AACGGCTTCACCTTTTGGCAGCTCGGGTACAGCATCCAGGACATGCAGAACCGCATGTTCACTTGCTTCCTCATCGTCACAATCCCCCCTACCATTGTCAATGGTGTCGTACCCAAGTTTTACACCAACCTGGCACTATGGCAGGCTCGCGAGTACCCATCTCGCATCTATGGCTGGGTCGCATTCTGCACTGCCAATATTGTCGCCGAGATTCCGGGTGCGATCGTTTCCAGCGTCTTATATTGGGTGCTGTGGTACTGGGCAACGGGGCTGCCTGCTGAGAGCTCTGTCTCGGGCTACGTCTTCTTGATGACCATGTTGATGTTCTTTTTCATGAATAGCTGGGGGCAGTGGATCTGTGCTTTTGCGCCCAACTTCACTGTCATCTCAAATGTCAGTAACAAATCTCTCCCTGATGGATGGCAGGACTAACTTTGAGACAGGTTTTGCCCTTCTTCTTCGTCATGTTCGGTCTCTTTAACGGAGTCGTACGCCCGTACGCATCACTCCCCGTCTTCTGGAAGTACTGGATGTACTACGTCAATCCTTCGACGTACTGGGTCGGTGGCATCCTCGCTGCAACCCTCCATGATCAGCCCGTGGAGTGCTCCTCGCTAGAGACTGCCATGTTTGATGCCCCGCCTGGCCAGACCTGTCAGGGGTATGCCGGATCGTTTGCTGAGCAGATGGGTGGCTATCTGTTGAACCCTGATGCGACCAGCGGGTGCCAATACTGTCCATATGAGTCTGGTGACCAGTATTTGCAGACCCTCAATATCCAGGCAAGTGAGAAGTGGCGAGACTTTGGTATCTTCCTCGCCTTTTGCATCTCGAACTGGGCGCTTGTTTACTTTTTCATTTATACTGTCCGAGTCAAGGGCTGGAGCTTTGGTTTCGGGTACGTTTTTGGTGGTCTCGGAAAGGCTGTCGACAAAGTCAAGAAGTCGCTGCAGCGCAAGAAGGAGGAATAGAACCTGTCAAATTCGGAGCTGGGCGGGAAAGTGGCAATAGAATCTTCTTCATAGCGAGCATTAGAACATATAATATTGCAACACATGAGCATTTTGACTTTCGGAATGACACAGTGTGCACAAAGGTCTAAAAAGCGAGTCAAAGTACACGGCAAGCAGATGACTGGGGTCTGTTTGCCTTTGGGGTTTGTTTGCTACCGAATCAATTGTTCCCACCATCCAAGTGCCGCTCTTCGAGCTGTTTTCAAGGTACCTCCCTTCAGGCTGACCTTTACGGCGGGAACAGGTTGAGCAAGGAGTCGACCTCGACTGCGTGACCTTAACGGGCACTTGACGATGATATACTCCCCACGCGTGACTGGATAGAAGTGGCTTCACTCTATCCCGCTTCCCCAAAATATGAGTATTACTCATAGTAATCTACTTTGCTTCCTCTGAGTGCCGGGGCACTTTCTCATCCCATCCTTTGCTCACCGACCTTTGCTTTCAGGTTCCTAGATAGCAGGTGCTTTGCTGTGAAGATGACCCTTATTCCGCCTACTTTCCATGGTAGTCACTTGCCGTTCACATTCATTCTTCTTCCATCCTTCCTCGGCCTCCCCCAGACATGACTCTTCCATCACCAGTCTCTTCAACATTCTGCCTCAGGAACTCGGCATGGCAGTTCTAACCAACAATCTTTCCGCTGCAGCGGCGGTGAGTATCATTATGGAAAATTTACGGTATTGAAGACTAAACAAGAAACCATAGCAAATGCGCTATGACCTAGGCCGATACCGTCAAGAAGAACTACCGCTCGACAGTAGCAGCCGCAGCGCCAATAGGTACAGTAATCTTGTCCGCAACAGGAAGCCTCCCAAGATTGCTCAAGGATGGGGAGGCATGTCGTCTGAAGCACTTCGAACCAGTCCAACTACTAACGCTTTGGTCAGTCTCAATCGATGATGCAGAGGCTTATCAAACACGTGGCCTTGCCCACGGAGACTCGTCCTGGAAGAACGCTACAAAAGCTGCTCAGTAATTACACTCTCTTCCTCATCATTATCTTCGAAGCACGCTGAGACTCGCAGAAAAACTACAACCTTCTCGCCCCGTCAGCCTGCCCATATGACCGCGGCCATTCCTGAGCAACTCAGCGAGTGCGTTGGATCTTGGACCTGCGCCGCAGATCCAAATGATCCGCTGCGCACGATCATTTACAGCGGGAATTGTATCGTCAGTGGCTCACTCCAAGTCAGGTTTGAGATCGCGATGGAGGACGAGCATGATTCTATGGAATATCTGTACTTATGGGCATCTGCCACAGACATTCGGCGATATGCTATCACAGACATCTCGACGCCAACTCTAGAGGGAGGCGTCTGCCGCTTCGATGCATTCACGGACAAGAAGAAGTACAGGATCCATCTCAAAAATCTAGAGCAGACCAGGGGGTTTCAAGAAGCCCTTCTCGAGATAAAGAAAGATATGAGCGACCGGGCGCAGCCACCAACCGTGGTTCCTGCTGCTCAGGAGGTTATTCAATCACGTCCTTTCCACGACATTCAGCCTCTCGGTTCCCAACCCCCAGGCCCTGGGATCGAGACAAAAGACACACTGCTCGACATCAACACGCCAAATGAAGAGGACACAGCCTTCTGCTCTTTGATGGAGATGAAACTGGCTGCGGTAGATTCAGCTCTGAGAGAAGTAGTGAGTTTTTTGAACAAGAATGGTGGTCTTTCGAAGCACAGCGCCCTCATGGCCAACATCGCTATGCGCCTGTTCCAAGATCAGGATCACAATGACTGGGGAAATCCCAACCAATGTAAGGAAACAATACTCGGGCTCATCGCACGTATATCTTCATGTGCTGGAGGCAAGAAGGGTTGTGAAACTGCCCACCAGCCTCCGCATGGACATCCAGATTCGATGCGCGGCTACGATACGAGGGTCTTCAGTGTGAAGGACATGGAAGAGCGGCGACGGGACGCGCGTATGCCTTCGCATAGCATGAGCCAAGATTCAGATGTTCAAAAGCATGTGTATCGCCCAGGTCAGTATGGCGTACCGCCGTGGTCCACAGTCGCTGACTTGAAACAGGCGCAGACTCAAAGATATCAATGTCGCCCATGGCACCACAGAAGGATATCGTCACGTCAGTGCCGAATGTCACAAGACTGACAGAGCAATTGACAGCCATGAAAATAAGCCCCGGACTTCCAGATGCTAAGACAGCTCGTCAACCCGAGCTTGGAGAGAAATTGAATGGCCAGTCCAAGAGTGACACAGACGGTCAAAGCGTGACTACAGCCAACGCAACCTCGCCTTCGAAGACATGCACCCAAGAAGCTGCAGACTTCTTTCCGTCAAATTCCTTGCCATCGGATCAAATCCCTGTGTCTTTGAAGATGCCACAAACGAACAAGGCTAAGACCGGCCTGGAGCGCTCGTATTGGGCTTGTTGAAGGTCGAAGCTTCGTCTCGGGGACATGAGGCAGACAGAGATTCGACTGAGGGGCTAGGATCTAGTATATTGCCAGTGTTCGCGGTCGTCTTTTTTGCAATTCTGTATCTCGAGGTATTGTCATTGTCATTGCGATTGGAGTTTTTGAGTGATTGTAAGAGAAATCAATCACCTTACAGATTTTTCCTGACATTTAGTAAGGAACATGCCCAATAAAGCCCTCGTTTCCTCATCAAATCCGTGACTCTGCCCTTCGCCCTGCTTCAGTACTTTCTGGAGGAAGTCTGTGGCTTCGCTGTATCGGCGGAAAAAGTACAATTCTTCTGCCGCGTACAGGACGTCCTGAATCTGGTGCTTCTTGGCACCCTTCTCAACCGGCAACCTGACAATGTTGTGGACCTAGATATGTCAACGGGACATGTCACTTGGATTCGCTGGTCGCCAGTTTGAACCGACCTCCCCGTTTTCAACTTTTGCTCGATAGTCTCTCCTCACGGCTTGGTACGCTTCTTCAGACTGGCCTGTGCGATCGCGAGGTGGCTCAGTCTTGGTAGTTTCTTCAGGTTCGGAATCGGACAGGGTTATTGAGAATAAGCCTCCAAGTTCTGAATCCATGGCGATGACGTGAAATGCCCCGTGAGTCTGTTTGTGCTTGATTGACGATGATTAGAATTTGTGTTGTCGCGCCCCACGAGAAAGAATTCGACTCGGATCGGGCCCTTCGTTGATGCTACTAGGAGTGGTGGGACACCACCTGGAGATGAAGCACAGTTTGCGATGAAAATATAAGAGCAGTGCAGAGGATATCACTTATTATGCTAACTCACGAGACGAAGAATGGGAACAAATGTAATGTGCTAAATTGATCCCACTCAGTTGTTCGTTGCTTGTCCTCCGTCCTTGGAGGCAATGAGGCACAAACCCGTGCAGGTCCAAAGTGGTAGGAGTGTGGGAAATGGTCACTCGCTTAGAGCTTCTCGAAAGGATTGTGGCGCTCAGCAAAAACATCGAAAAGTCCGCACCTGTCTTCCAGCTGTAATTATCTAAGGTATTCTTAAAAGTCTAACATTCCTCTCAGGAGTCGACGGTGAAGGGCTCGAGCATGAAACCCAGCGATTGCATAGGGTAGCCAAATCAGATAAATCAACTAAAATAAGTTAAGTTAACGTTAGTTAGCTGCCTAAGAGGCTTCAGCTAGTCTCTCTACCAGCATGACCTCAGCAACAAACAAGGTTTGGTGCATAGTCGCCTGGCTTCCCTGTCGATAGAACGGGGTCAGTTCCGATTAGAACTAAATCCATGATGGCTTTCACGCTGTGTGCATCAACGTGCATCTCCCATTGTGGGCAGTTATGTCGCAAGAAGCGAAGGTTGACCTGGCCTCGACCACTATCTTCGTGGCGCAGTACGCGACGATCCTGGTCTAGCCGCCGCCGACAAACCCACAGTCCAGGGTGACGATACCTTGGGCGATCCAGCTCGCCAATTCTTTTTGTTGTTGTTTGCCTCTTGCATATCTCATCGTATCATTGCAATCTCCCCTTCTCTGAGCGTTCATCCAGCGTCCTTGTCATTTTATCGTCATGGCTGAGAAGCAGGAGGAGACTCTCGTGCAAGACGAGAAGCCCAACCTTGACGCTAGCTCTTTGCCTGGGCCGGCCCCAGCCTCGAATTCCGAAAAACCAGTCGCCGCGAAGATCTCCCGCAAGCCAGTCCGGCAGTCCTTTATCGACATTGACAAAACAAACCCACGAGAGTTCGAAGGCGAGGTGGAGACGAACAATGAGCTTCCCTCGCCAGACACACTAAGGGAAATTGAAGATTACATTGTGCTGGATCGCGATGGCCGATCACATGCTTTCAAGTCACTCTATAGTGGCAACAACGTCGCACGCAGGGTCATGGTGATATTTATACGGCACTTCTACTGTGGTGTAGGTTTCGAGACGCCTTGGACAGACTTCAGCTGAAGCTAACACCTCCAGATGTGCCAGGACTACATACGAACCCTGTCCGAGACAATCACACCCGACTCCCTTCTCGCTCTGCCTCTGAGCACGTTTATCGTCATCGTTGGTTGCGGCGACTCTGCGTTTATCGACGACTACGCAAAGACCACGAAATGCCAATTTCCGATCTATTCTGATCCAAAGCGATCCCTGTACAATGCCCTGGGAATGCAGCAGTCGCTGAATCTTGGAGGCAAACCAGCGTACATCAAGCAATCGCTGCTGCAGTCCACAATGGCCGGGATCGCACAGGGACTAAAAGCCATCCCGTCAGGACTGGTGCTCAAGGCCGGGAACCAGCGGCAGGTGGGCGGTGAATTTCTGTTCGAACCGGCAGACATGGTCACCCCTATCAGCACGCCAAAGGAACAGAAGCAGCAGCCATTCGGGGCTCCCGACGCTGCTGGCGGCAATAGCAGGAGCCAGAGCGGCGCGGACGATGACGATGAGTTACGCGTGGAGGAGAAGAGGGTAACCTGGTGCCACCGCATGAAATCCACCCGGGATCACTGTGAGATGCCCGAGCTTATGGAGGTTCTCGGCATGAATGTCAAGCAGCACAACAGCGAGAAGGAAGAAGAGAAATGGGACAAGGCATCGAGGAGCAGAAAAGGGACCGGGAGCAGTATGGCGCGGCAGATGAGTGAGCTAAGTGCGCTCAACGGGGTTGGACCAGCAGCGGCCTCGCCGGTCGAGGCAGCAAAGCAAAATGCTTGAAGAGGAATTGATCAGGCTGATCAGGCGTCTATGTAGCGTTCATCTATTCATGTACCCATTGCCCATCTTCGTTGCTCTGTATGACCTCGTCGACAGGCAACCTCTTGTCCAGGATCTCTTGGCCGTTGACAAGATCATTCTCCAACGCCCTCTTATCGCCTTCTTCCAGGGTGGACACAATGCCGGCGCGTACGTGCCGTTCTCTCAGCCGTCGCCTCGCTACTTCAAAGTCGACCTCGACAAACCACACCTCGTCAAACAGAGCCTTTGCGTCCTTCCACAAGGGTTCGTTCAACGCAACGTAATTACCCTCCACAATGATCACTCGGTTCTCCCTACCGATATAGATGTCTCCCGGAATGGGGTCTTTCCGTCTGTGATCGAATGTCGGAGCTACAATCGCCTTAGTAGGGGGGTTTCTGAGATCAATCACTAGATCCAAGTAGGCATCCGCGTCGAACGTGAACGCCGCGCCCCGACGCGCGTGCGCCTCCTCGGCATTTGGCATAGCGGAGAGTTGCTTCCGCGTCAGATGGTAACCGTCCATAGAAATGGCCTGGGCGATTCGAGGATCGTCCAGGGCCTCGTTGACGGACTTTTCGACGACACTGGCCAGAGTTGTCTTTCCTGAGCCTGGAATACCTGCTATTCCAATGACTGTTCTTGTCAGCCACGTTTCTCGAATGAGAAAGGGTCTGTCATTGACGTACGGAGGCGCTTATCTGAGGGCAGATCCTGGAGTTTCTTGAGGACCTTGTCCACCAGCTTTTGAGTTTGGGTCTCCATAGCAGCGAATGCTCAGACTTGACGGTTCCTGATGTCTGCTTCCTGTGCGCAGGCTGTCATGAATAAAGCTTGAAATTATTGAAGCCTTCAGGAGGGAAGAGTGAGAAGCTCAGGCTTGCCCCGACGTCACGGGTGCTCCACCAGAATGCGGCTTGATGTCAGCCCAAGAAGGTCATGGTTTATTCTACGAGCTCTCATCAACACACGTGGTCCATGATGTTTTTGTGAAGGTTATACTGCATTTCGGCCTCTCCAGCACACGGAGAATTTCACCGACGTGTATTCAAAGTTCCAATACCCAGTCTATTGCCTGTACTGATGGTGGCCAACTTCACGGGGCGGTTCATTTACACTTGCGAAGAGTGATTTTCGCACTTCATTCATATAGCGCGGTATCCCGCAGGCATAAATCGTGTATAGCTGCTTATATTATGTGACCTTCTCTCGACACCAAAGGCCAACAGCGTCAATGTGAAACAGGCGACAAATAGACTCTGCACTCTGTGCCTTACCGTCGCCACCCTATCGCCCAGCTTTTAGTCACCCCACGGCGGGGTATGCTAAATGCGACCGCTTACTCCGAAAGATTTCTCCCACGCGACAGGCCACGCACCAAGAATCTGCCATCCAAGATGGCCGCTCAAGCACCCACAGAGGCTCTGAAAGAGCTCAAAGGTACGCCGTCCTTGCTTGAAACACTCACCGCTCAGCATAAACTAACAAAGACAGTCGCCGATCCATCAGCTGATGGCAAGGCTAACGAGAACAATGGCGAGAACGGCATTGACGACTCCGACGACGATGCCGAAGAAAACGATGGAGCCCCGGGCGCCGGCGGTGCCAAGAAGAAGAAGAAGAGAAAGCCTCGCAAGAAGAAGAAGACACCCACGAGTCAGACCGAACCTCCCCGAGTGAAGCTCAGCCAGCTCTTCCCCAACAAGAGCTATCCCAAAGGCGAGGAAGTCGAGTACAAGGACGACAATCTCTATAGGACGACTGACGAGGAGAAGCGCCACCTCGACAACCTCAACAGTGACTTCTTGGCGGACTACCGTGAAGCGGCCGAGGTGCACCGACAGGTCCGACAGTACGCGCAAAAAGTGATCAAGCCCGGGCAGTCTTTGACGGAGATTGCGGAGACGATTGAGGACGGCGTACGAGCACTGGTGGGCCACGATGGTTTGGCCGATGGCGACGGCATGACTGCTGGCATGGGCTTCCCTTGCGGCCTGAGCTTGAACCACTGTGCGGCACACTTCACTCCCAACGCGGGAGACAAGGTTGTCCTGCAACAATCAGATGTCATGAAGGTCGATTTCGGTGTCCACGTCAACGGACGTATCGTCGATTCCGCCTTCACCATGTCCTTTGACCAGAAATATGACAACCTTCTTAATGCAGTCCGTGCGGCCACCAACGCCGGCATCCGCGAGGCTGGTATTGACGCACGGGTCGGCGAGATCGGCGGCGTCATTCAGGAGACGATGGAGAGCTACGAGATTGAGCTCGACGGCACGACCTACCCTATCAAGTCTATCCGCAACCTGACAGGCCACAATATTCTGCCTTATAGCATCCATGGTACGAAAGCCGTGCCCATCGTCAAGAGCAACGATCAGACCAAGATGGAGGAGGGCGATGTGTTTGCCATTGAGACGTTTGGCAGCACTGGTAACGGTTACGTGCGGGACGACATGCAGACCTCCCACTACGCGCGAAAGGAAACATCAGGGCACGTGGACCTTCGACTGAGCTCAGCCAAGTCTCTGCTCAATGTCATCAACAAAAACTTTGGCTCGCTGCCCTTCTGTCGACGTTACCTCGACAGGCTGGGTCAGGAGAAATATCTGCTAGGCCTGAACAGTCTCGTCCAAGCTGGCGTTGTGGAGGACTACCCTCCGTTGGTTGACAAGAAGGGTTCATACACAGCGCAGTTTGAACATGTAAGTCAATACATGATTACTGGAGAGTGCCTTGCTAACTGTTTTGCAGACCATTTTGATCCGGCCGACGGTGAAAGAGGTCATCAGCCGCGGCGAGGACTACTAAGCACCTCCCCCCACCTCCTGCTAGAACAAATAAACTATTGTGAAGTGTTCGTGCTATGAAACTGTGATGATCCACAGAATTAACGGCGATGGAGAATGATAATGGAATGTGACCTGACTGGTTCGATGCCTTCGATTCAGGGTCCTCGGATCTACAATCGACGTCCTTTCGCAAACCTTCTCTGGAGATTCGAATGTTAAGAAACCTGGAGATTTCTGCTGTTCAGCCAATGATGCCGGACCTTTGACGTTGCAATGATCCGGTTTCGCCTCCGCATTGCCGTTGCCACCCGCGCGTCGGGAGAATATTCCCACTTCTCCTGGCCCCTGGCGAGCGAGCCAGAGGCAAAGCGTTCTAAACCCGGAAGCCTAGTGTTGGCAGACCAATCACATTGCGCATACGCTGGATTTCGCTCCGATCTTTTCTCGCTGGGCGCAGCACTACTTCCCGATTTGGCATAGTCTTTGTCGCTCCCGCCGCTCCGCGCTCGGTACGGTAACCCTCCTAGAAAAACCTTCACATGCTGGACATTGTCGCGCCTACTGAATAAAACCCGCAATCTCCCTTTGCCCTTACTCACCCATTTCCCCATATTACTCATTCACACTGTCAAACACCCTCGCGGACCACGACAAGATATTCCATCAAGAATCTTTGTTGCGCCTTCTTCTACACTCGTTTCGTCTTGCTTCGAACAGGCAGGAAAGAAAAAGAAAGAGCGAAGAAGTTGCTCTGTCGCCCCTGCCTCGACACGCACGCGACTGCTATCGAAATCTTCGAATCTCGCCACTGAATACTACCGTCAAGCCAAACAACTATCCGGCTAGCGTTTTCAACTCACTCGACACTCAACGTTCTCAACCCCAAACCTTTCTTGACCATGAAGGTCTTTTCTAACGCCGTCACCTACAACTATTCGTGGGACGAGGTCTCATCGGCCAACTGGCAGAAATACGGCCCCTGGAACAACAAGTCAGAGCATGTTATCGCTGTCGACACACTATCACGCTCCGTCGATCCCGCCACCGGCGTCCTTCGAACCGAGCGTCTCATTTGCTGCAAGCAGTCTGCGCCAGAATGGATCAAGTCCATCTGCGGCAAGGTAGATGAGAGTTACGTCTACGAGGCCAGCTACGTCGACCCCACAAACAAGACCCTCACCATGGTGAGCCAGAACTTGACATGGAGCAACCTGGTCTCCGTGCAAGAAGAGTGTGTGTACTCGCCGCTGTCCGAGGGCGAGACCCTCTTCAGCCAGAGCGCGAGGATCACAGCCCTCTGCGGTGGCTGGCAGAGGATACGCAACAGCATCGAGGACACACTCGTCACACGGTTCCACGAGAACAGCATTCGTGGTCGTGAGGGCTTTGAGCGCGTCCTCGAGATGAGCCGCAAGGTCTTCGCCGAGGAGAAGGAGAGGCTGCAGCGTGAGCAGATGGTTGCGGCATAAGCTCCGTTTCCCACGCGCACTTGTACATTTCATCGGCGTCGGTTGAGTCTGGGTTTCTTACGGCAGCATTGCTTTACGGCGTTTTAAGAGGGGTTACATGGTTAGAAGGCATAAACAAAAGGTCGTTTGAGGAGCGAATGATATTATACCCGGTTTACCGATAGATTAGACTACCGGGTAGAACGACTTACGATGTTCTCTAGAGAAATAATATTCCAATATTACTACTCATCACAACACGAGAGCCATTTCCCTGTCAACATGTGTCACACTGCGGGATTGTGTCTGCATCATGCAAGCTTGGGAACCATCATGCTAGCTTCAGAAACCTGTACTGCCAACGCGGGAACGAAATATCACCTTTGTTATAGTAAACCCAGCCTACTCCGACTCGCCTCGATACACCCTCTTGAGTCCGAAGACCTAAGAGGATGGACTGCGTGTCTGGGGGGTCCGTGATCGTGTCTGACGCGACAACCGCGACCAACTCATCAAAATGGGTGCTTTGGGTGTCGTCGAAGCGAAACTCCCCTTTGTGAGGCCCGATCTCCAGCGAGCATATTGGGCCGATCTCGGTTTTGCGCTCAAGTACAACGTTAGTCGCCTGTATACAGGCGCCCACAAAGCCTAGTTCTCCAAGCTGCAGCTCAAGTAAGTCGACAGAAGCACCCTGGTCCCTCAAGATTTTCATGTCGATGCCTAGCTTGTCTTGTGCGTATGACATGAATCGGTGACACTGTTCAGTGACTGATGCATCTTCGACCCCCTCACACGCAGCTTTCCACATCTCGTCAGTCCAGAACTTGCGTGCACTATCGCCGTAGTGCCAGTATGGGGTGAGGACGTGCATTCGCTTCTTCTTCATGGGGGCTTGCGAGATGTTCCGCGACAGCCAGAGGCTGTCTCCAAAGACAAACTCAATGGGACCATCCCACGACGCCCTGGGACGTAGTCAGTCAAACCACTTTGTCTTTCCGAGTGAACTCACCATGACCAAGAGGAGAAAAAAACGTCCGTGTCCTCGCATACTCGCCTCCTAGTCTCCTCCGAAGGGAACCACAGCATGGCTTGATATAGATAGTCGGCGGGAATGCCCTGCGTTTGCTCAAGGCTGAGCTTACTCCGGAAGACACCTTTCGTGAAGCGGTTAAACACACCCTCGAAGGCGTGGAGAACATCTTCGGGAAATGTCAGCGTCTTGCGGCTGTAGTCCTGCACGGCAGCCTGGTAGTCCTTGATGGTAAGCGTCCCAGTCAGGTCCCCTAGATAGCGGTAGGGTGTGGGATCCAGGTCCTTGCGCAGCTTCCTGTTCCACCATGGCGGACCAGTTCTGACCGTCAAGTCCTGGACTTCGCTCAGCGACTCGAGCGCGTACGCCTCTCGCCATTGGAGCTGGATGCAGTTGAAGTAGACCTCGTCTTCTGTAAAGTACAAGCATCTCTGAGACAGCGCTTGCTCTTGGAACGTCCATCCGCGCGTGTTCCAGACCGAACTTCGCACCTCGTCGTTCAGCGTTGGAGGTGCCAGGCTGAGATGGATTTCTGTGTCCTCATCGACAATCGTCACGGCATTGATAGTTCTGCCTCGCCGAGGACTGACACCACTGAGTCCGGCGTCCGCATTCTTGCCCGACACCGCGATATATGTGACGGTGGCAATGTCGTAGACATTGTCCATTGCTTGTATCAGATAACCCTTATCTTCTTTGTCATCTTGCACAATGCAGAGTGTGTCAATCCAAAGGTAGCCCATCCCAATTCTTCTTGAAAATTCCATCGCGTCTGTTACCGTCTGCGGCAATCGCACGCTGTGCATAGCTTCGATGGAAGCTTTCGACAGGCCGCCCGGGGTGCTGAGACTCTCAAGGTTGTTCCGCGTGGTCAAGAGGATAGGCACATCTTCTGTTTTTCCACAGGGACGCAGGATGGTGGGCAAGCAGCCCCAGACATACGACAGCGCAGCGAATGCGCAGGGCTCATTCTTCAGGACAAGGCACTCATCCTGCACATCGATGAGTCGAAAGCCTTCTCTTGCCCCGAACAGTTCAGTGTCGAATCTATCACTCTCCATTTGCTCAAGAGCTTTGGCTGTATGAGCATGCTGCTTGCAGTCGCGAAGCCATTGTCTGACCATCTCGTAATCAATGTCTGCGTCGACGGCGCGTCGAGGAATAAGCGAGGGCGCCAGTGAGTTCGTGGCCATGGAGCCATGACCACCTGACACCGACTCTATCTCGGCGATAATGTATCGATCCTTGACACGATCTACTTCTCGGATAACTCGCCTGTTCTCGCTGTAGCCTGGTGGCGACGTGTCCAAAGCCAGCAACAGCCGTGGTTCAGGGTGTTCAGTAACGCCATCCCTCTTCAACGAGATGGGACTTCGACTCTGGATAAAGGCATTCGGAATCTGGTCCGCCTCTGCGACCAACCTTGACGACGACCACCCTTCACCCCATTGAGACTGAACTGCCCTGGATAGCAGATTGCAAAAGGGGCAGTCGGGTTCGAGGTAATCGGAGAGGGGCGCCAACTCCTTGGATGGCTTCTCCGTCAGCAGTAAGGAATATAGGTCAAGCTTGCCGCAATTGGCACAGAGATCAGGCAATGACTCGGCCCTTTCCTGGTTCTGTCTTTCGGGTTCCAGTTGTTGGCGGCTAACGTTCGGTGAAGATGACGGTGGACGTCGCCGGCTTGCGGAGTCGCAGACGAGGCGGAGGGCGTGCTGGATCTTGTCCGTGACGGTCATGGCAACTCACATCACATTGTCGGATGATGAGAGGGCGGAGAATGGTCGGCCGGGATGTGGCCAGGCCGCAAGGGTGGGTTCAACTTTCCCAGCTGACCAGCACTCAGCAGCAGCCATTCTGCAGCCTCATGCCGCACGCGTGCAGCGTCCTCTCCCATATCAAGGCAGTGGAATGGTGAGCACCGAGAAGGATTGGACTCCTGATATTACGATGTACACGCTCGAGAGGCGTCTTCAATGGAAGGCAGCCTCTATCTCGTTAGAATTTCTACACTGTACAGACCACTGTCCTGACTCCTGCACACATGCCCGGCTGTCTGTGATAGACCGCAGGAAACAGGTAGAGATGAGCGGGATCAGATCAAATTACGCCGTTGCAAGAGTAAATCAGCCAGGTGTTTGTTGCACTTGACTCGTTGCCCGCACTGCGAACGAATGGCTGAACCAGGAACATGTCGTTCTCGATGTGTCCTGTTTCCAGAAGCTTTCCACGCTATCTCAACCTCAAGGTACCTTACGTAGACGCCTCCGAGGTCGAATTGATCGGCGCGCAAACTCTATTTGCCTGTAGCCATGATGCGGGCCAATCTGATTCTGACCTAGGGTCTGGTCCTCCTGGGGACATGTGGAATGGCTACAATTATAAACACGCCAATATGTCGAATTAGCAGAAGAAAGAGACGTTCAACTGCCAATTGACTTGGCGCTCAGCGCTTCGCAGCTCAACGGCCATTCTCTACGCCAGGACCGAGAATTGCCAGCAGCGTCTTATTTCAGACAACCTGGGAGTCTGGGACACGCAAGAACGAGCGAGGACGGGCATTGAGGGTCGGAATCCCCGGGAGCTACGACCTTTAATGATCCTTTGAATGGGGCGTCGGGGTGCTGGGGACAAGGATGTTTGATCAGGCAGACAAAATTTGGCTGGGAACCGCATCGCCAGAACCCGACTCCAGTTCCAATTGCCCTTGCAAAAGTGAGAGCAGGCCCGGGAGGCAGCCACACGCTCAAACTGTGTTTCCAACTCGAGCGTCGAGCGGCGTCCGTGGATGCAAACGAGCCGCCTCACTCAGGCTCCTCGGCGCTGGAAATTGAATCGGGCACATGGACCCTGAGATCCGTGCGCTGATTCTCCACGCACCAATCAAGTGCGTGGCGCACGGAGGATGGCCGCTTTCTGCGCGCGGCGCACCATCCCTCCTGGGCCTCCTCCAGCTAGCTGGATGCCGAGGTCGTGTCGACGAACTGGAGACTAGAGACTGGGCCAACAAGCCTCTCCCGTCTGGAGATGCCGTCCACGCCCAATCGCGTCCCTGCCGACGCTGGCTCATTATTAAAGTCTCTCCAACGTTAGGCTGCTTCCGTAAGGTCCTTTCGATCCGCCAAGATGGCTGCATGGACCAGGCCAGCACGGTCGACCACCTTTGCTGTTCGGGACATTGACTGACTGACTTGCAAGTTGTTGACTCGTCTCCCTTCACCTTGCTGGACTGACTCCCGATTCTGTCCTCTACAGTAGCCACCGCTTCTTCGCTCGATGTCTCCGGCCACAATGAAGACCTTCACCCGCGAAGCCGTCCGCGACCAGGGCTCCTCGGTGGACAACCCGTGGTGCATCATCGACACGGTCGTCTATGACCTCTCCGAACTGCTCGACACCCACCCGGGCGGCGAAGCTGTCCTGCGCCAGGTCGCCGGCCAGGATGCCACGTCCACCTTTTACAGCCTACACCGCCAGGAGGTCCTCGCGTCGTACTCCGAACTCGTCATTGGCTCCATCGAGGGGGAGAAGCCCCAGATCATCACACCACAGCCCGGCGACCTGAGCCCCGTGCCGTACGCGGAACCGCTGTGGCTGCGAGGCGAGCCCTTCCGGTCGCCGTACTACAACGACAGCCACAGGCGACTGCAAAAGGCCGCACGGGTGTTCACGGATCGCTACCTGGTGCCCGAGGCCAAGGAATGCGAAGCCACGGGGAAACTGCTCAGCCAGGAACTCATCGACCGCATGGAGAAGGTCGGGCTGCTCCGCATGCGCCTGGGGCCAGGAAAACACTTGCATGGGCGCAACCTCTTTGACGGCGCTGTCGAGGGCGAGGAGTTCAACTACTTCCATGTGGTCATCCTCGCGCAGGAGATGGCGCGGCCCATGGCCAGAGGCTTCCAAGACGCCAACATGGCCGGCATGACTATTGGTCTTACGATACTGCTGAACTTTGGGCCAGAAAACGAGTGGAAGACGAGAATATGCGATGAAGTGTTCAGTGGGCAGACGAAGCTATGCCTCGCCATCACAGAGGCATTCGCTGGCTCGGACGTGACGAGCATACGGACGACCGCGGAGAAAACGCCCGATGGGAAACACTACGTGAGTCCATCCCCAACCGCCGTGATCCGATCCGCGTCAACGATCAGAAGCCGGCACCCAAACCGTCTATTTTATGCGTGCAACGTGAGACTGACCCGGGCCCGTCCCCCCATACACAGATTGTCAATGGCACCAAGAAGTGGATTACCAACGGCACGTGGAGCGACTACTTTGTCACGGCCGTGCGCACGGGCGAGGGCATCAGTGTCATCCTCATCGAGCGCGGCGAGGGCGTCGACACAAAGTCCATCAAGACGTCCTACTCGTCCACCGCCGGCACCGCACTCATCACCTTTGACAACGTCAAGGTGCCCGTGGAGAACCTGCTCGGTAAGGAGAACGACGGCATCCGCATGATCTTCAGCAACTTCAACCACGAGCGGTGGGCCATGTGCTGCAGCGTGCTGAGCCAGTGCCGGGTCGTGGTCGAGGAGTGCCTCAAGTGGGCGAACCAGCGCATCGTCTTCGGCAAGCGGCTCCTAGAGCAGCCCGTCATCCGGCAAAAGTGAGTGGCTCCCGGGATCCCTTCCTCAGTAGCAAGAAAACTAACCAGGTGCAGGCTGGCCAAGATGATTGCTCTCGTGGAGTCCAACCAGTCCTGGCTCGAGTCCATTACTCACCAGATGTGCAATATGCCGTACGCGGACCAGGTTCGGCATCTCGCTGGCTCCATCGGCCTGCTCAAGATGAGCTGCACGCGCGCGGCGCATGAAATCGCCGACGAGTCAGTCCAGATCTGGGGCGGTCGTGGTCTCACGCAGACGGGCATGGGCCGTCATATCGAAATGTTCAACAGGACGTACAAGTTCGACGCCATCCTGGGCGGGGCGGAGGAGGTCGTGGCGGATCTTGGCGTGCGGCAAGCGATAAAGAATTTCCCAAAGGCGATGCTATAGCGGATTTGTGAATGGAATCAGTTTGCTGTGCGATCGAGGGTGACGAATTCTGCCTAGAGGGATGGGTGCCTGTGACGCTGTCAACTGTCCTGTCCAACGTTACACCTTACCGGACGGCTTCTTCTCAAGAGCACACAAAGAGAGGCCTTGAAGCTACACACACCACGAGCATCTCGTACACACAACGTTTCATCCTGGTCCATGTGATAGACCAAGCGCAATTTCATCTCGTCCTGACTAGCAACTGACCGAGCCCACATCGCCTGGCTCTCAACACCAACGTCCCCGCCATATCATCTCACCCATCACCGCCTGGATGATCACCAGGTATCCGGAGTGTTGCCGAATGTGCGTGTTGCTGCCGAAATGCCGCCGTATCGTTTCGTCGTGGTCGTTAGCTGCTCGCCGAGCAACGCGAGTTGCCGTTTCTCCGAGTAGTGTACCGAATCAAGTCCCCTTCCTTTGCTTTTGTTGCCGAAGCCCCCAATGCTCGCGGTAACTTTTCTCGCAGAGAAAGAAAATAGTGATAAAAACAAAAACAAAAAACATCACCACCCTCACCAATGTCGTCGAAATTGTGTTCGTGACTCGTTAAATCAAATGCGTGCACAAAGAAAATAGAAAGCCAAGATCATCGTGGGTATCGTGAGCTGCCACGCCAACTACCTCCCAGTCGTCCGAGTCGTGTGTACCGTTCGTGCAACAGAGAGTTGGGTCTCCACGGGAAACCTGTCGAAATTAGGCGTTGGGGCAAGCGGCCTGGACGTGGCCAGACTGCTGGCACTTGTAGCAGATCTTCTCGCCGCCAGCGGACTCCTTGGGGCAGTCGCGCGAGTAGTGGCCGGACTCGCCGCAGTTGTAGCACTTCATGCCGTTGACACACTCGCCTTGATTCTTTGTTAGCCCTCTGCAACGCCAAGCTGACAATTGTGTGTGTATACGTACGAGACATGTGGCCGTGGCCGCCGCAGGAGTAGCACGTCTTCCCGGCGCTGTTACCGCCGAAGCCACCACCGAAGCCAGCGTTGCCGCCATAGCCACCAGCGGTAGGGCAGTTGCGGGCAATGTGGCCAACCTGACCGCACTGCGAAATTGTTAGCAGCCAGGACCGACTGGATGTTGCTGGGGCATGGACAAACCTTGTAGCACTCAGTCGAACCACGGGGGGCACCGGAGCCGCCGTTCATGGGGCAGTCGCGGGAGATGTGACCGGCCTGGCCGCACTTGTAGCAGGCCTTGTTGTCCTTCATAGGCTCCTGGCAATCGCGGCCTAATGGTGGTTAGTTGGTGTTACCAAATAGAAGCATGACTCGTAGAACTCACTCATGTGACCAGCGCCACCACAGTTGTAGCACTTAGCAGCAGGCTTGTTGGGGCAGTCACGAGACTGGTGGTCAGGGTTGCCACACGAGTAGCAGGCACGGGGAGCGTAGGAGTCCATGATGTTGGAGGAGTGCCTATGAATGGAAATGTCAGTATTTGCTTCCTTGCAGACTATGTGCCACCAGTGTGCATTGTGAAGTTCTGTTAAACGATCGCGACGCCAACGAAGGTTTGTCGCGAAACGGCGACCAAACGGTAGAAAGTTCAGGGTAGTGGCGGGGCCACGCGTGAGCATGAACCATTTGGGGGTGCGTTAAACTCACAGTAGAGGAAGCTTTGGATAGCGAGTCTGGAGAATATGACAGAAAAGTCAATTGACGGTATCTCAAATGCACAGCGAGGTGTTTTGAGAAAGAAGAAATGTGAGGTGTGAGGGAAAGAAGTTTTGAGCACACGTTGAGCAGAGAATTTTGGAGAAGGGCGGCGGGCGGTTTCTTCGCCAAAGCATTACTTAGCACCACTACGTCGGCGGGCGAGGGGGCACTGGCTGATTTTTTTGTGGCGCCCAGCGAATTCCGGGTCGCGCACAACCGTTGCCACTGGCTGGCTGCCCACCAGACTAGTTGCCGTACGTATCATAGCTTCTGCAGGTGCGCAGCGTCTGGAAAGCAAGATACTTGTCGTTGTTGCAGCGAAGGCCAAAGTTGGCTTCCATGTTTTTTTCATTTTTTTTTTTTTTCATGTGGAGCCCAGCAGCGGCACCTCGGGTTGTGTCTCGTAGGGGTCCTAGAGCCAGATTGAGGGGTCATAGTGATGCTCAAGCCTCCGAGCTGGCCACAGCACCAGCCCTATTTCTTTGAATCTGGGTCTCATATTCCAGCTCATTAATGCGACACCATTCTCCAAAGCGCCCAACCGTTGGCTACAGGTACTAACTAAAACGATAAGGTTGGCGCTGCTGGTAGTGGCAAGCATTCTGGGATTGACTCTGAGAAGCGCAGTCCAGCCCAAGTGTGGAAGCGGGGGCGGGGCAGATCTGGATATGGGAGCTTGGATTGGTCCAGCTCAATCGCCTTTCAACGCCGAGCCCCCATCGAGACCCTAGCCACAGCGCACGGGTTCTTGACAATGAACGATCCCAGTCCGTGCACGTGATGCTGCGGCCCTCCTATCACGACGACGACAACTGGCCTGGGCTGGAACTGGAATGCTTGATGGACCCATTCAAGGCCCGCCACTGGGACCAACTGTGACAAGACGCGTGGAACATCCTTCAGGTGCCTCAGCTGCATCGTACTCTCCTTTGACTATTTGTTAGGTGAAGATATCGATATGCAATCTAAGGTACATGTATATATGTCTTTTGAAGCCTCACGTCGGTCAGCCTGGTCCCAGCCTAGGAAGAGAGCTTGAAACCCCCAACCCTCCTCTGCAAGGCCTGTGCATGGTCATACTTCTTGCTGGCTGACGCCAAAAAGCCCAACTTGACTTTGCCATAGGACTGAAGTGGTCTCTGGGAAGGCGCGATTCTTGAGGTACCGGAAGCTCTGCAACAGTCCCCTTGCGTCGACGCCGGTCCCCCACGCAACGGTGACCGAGCGGGCTGTTGCCTCAACCTCTGCATTGACAGCCAAGTTCGGCCAAAGGGCAGATATTAAAACAACTGCCGTGACATTAGGAGTGTCCAGCTGATAGCATGCGGAAACGTACTGAAGCCGTCATGGGCTGTTTCGAGTCCTATGACATTCGCGTCTTTGGGAGAATTTTTTTAACTTAGCTGCGGCCAGGGGCTCGAGGGTGGCGTGTCTGCCTCATCGGCAAAAGTTGTCAGAGACGTGATGTTGCGAACGAGGGATTCGTGCGGGACCGCGGAGAGATTGGCAAATGCCGCAGGCTCTGAGATTGGCTTGGTGTACACAGCTGAGGATGCCAGCGTGCACGCCTTGGTAGTCGATCTGTAGAGGAGGCTGGCAACCAAGGACGCCAGAGAATCGTATCGCCACGAGTCAAGCAAGTTCTTGAAGGCTTGGAAGATTTTGCCCCGTTTAGATATGTCGTACGAGATCGTCGTCGTGGATATGTCACCCAATCGGAAGGTTGCAAGGTCGTATCGAGTGACGACTCCGAGATTGTTGCCTCCCCCTTTCAAAGCCAGGAACAAGTCTGGGTTGCAGCGCTCGTTGGCGTTCACAAGTGAGCCATTGGCAAGAATAACCTCGTAATTCACAACGGCGTCACAAGCCCACCCCTATTTGGTGGTCAAGTGTGGTATTCCTCCGCCAACGAGAAGTCCTCCTACGCCGACATTCCCGTTGCGTCCTCCTGCCACCTGGACTCCTGTCCCATCAAGGTGCTGGTACACGTCAAGCCACTTTGCTCCAGCCTCGACACGGGCAATCGAGTGGCCTTCGTAGAGAGAAATCGATGACATGGACGTCATGTCAACGGTGACACCACTATCTACATTGGCGAAGCCTGCTGCAGGAGCATGACCCTGCCTCCTGATTACAAAGTGACAATTGCCGCGGTTGCTGTGATCTTGAGGGCGTCTGGAACATCTCCGGCTGTCCTGGGCTGCAGCACATAGGCTGGTTGAAGCGCAGACTCGTGTATCGACAAGTAGTCAGATATAGTGGCATTATAGTCCACATCCTTTGGGAAGCTGACCGAACTGCCCAGTCGTTTCTTAAGTCGATTACACTATCGAAGTTTGCTCTTTATCTGTGACATTCGGAGATTTCTATTCGTACACATGATGATGCTAAAGCGCTAGCGACTAGCAGAGCCCCAGCAACATTCGCGGTCTGAAGAAACAACATTTTCTCGTCCACATGCAGTCGAGCCGAGTTGTTTGACACTGTGTTTGCCATAAAGGCGCTCAGTACATGGACGCCGGACTATGACTACTTGTACGCATTCTCAAATACTTAGTTATCAAAATGTTCGGGTCGAATGATCCTTGCTTTAAGCATTTACCCAGCTTTTGGTGCTGGTCATTCGGCCGCTCGCTGCACACAGTCGGCTCTTCTGCATCCTGCTTGCCTGGAGACCCCAGAGGAACCTCAGAGGAACCCCAGAGGCACCCCGTTCTTCATCAGAGGCTGGACATCAAGTGAGAATAATGAACTTTCATCAATATACGTACCAACGATTGTGAGGTCGTCGACGGGGGTGCAAGGCTGTGAGAAGGCCTCTCTGACTGCGTATGCATATTGGACAAACATAGTGGCCACGAGCAATCCTCTACGTGCCAACGAGAGCTCGCCAGATCTGCACAATTCGCTTCTTATCATCTCACAAAATCCTCTGGGGCGGCACCAGCAGCCAAGAAAGCATCCTGGTCACGAACGGGCTCGCGTGCGTGCGCATTCGGTGCGAACCACGCGGCTTCGGAGCTATGCTTGCTCGTTCGGTGTGCTCGATGTGGACTGACACGATACCTGCCGCTGAAAGTACTGCGCGTGGATTAGAGGAGCTGCGTCTCGTTCTCAGCCTCAAAAACGTGCAAGACCGACCTAGGATGACGTGCCCAGTTCAAACTGGTTTGAGGCAGATATTGGTTCCAAGTACGTGGCCGCTAAACATGAGTACTCAACTCATGCCACCTGCAGCAGAACAAGGATATCTCAGGTGGTGGTAGCGCAGCGAAATATCCAATGGCATCTCCTCCGGTAGGGCATGTTGCAGTAAAAATCTCGGGTTTGGCGAGACGATGTGACCTGGATGAACTACAGTGGGTGAGGATGCTTTGTGCACGCCTAATGTTTGGGAAAGGAGACGGCGTCGAAGAATAAAGCGAGGGCAGTCCTCAAGCTTCCTATATGTTTTAGGCGAAACTGAATAAAAAAAGACAGACTCCTTGACATGAATTGATCAAATCGATTGAAACATTAATTATTGAAATAATGAAGAAGACACTGGACCTTTCTGAGAATGGCCCACTGCCAGGATGATCGTCTGGTCACGTGGGTTGGCGACGCTGCATTTGTCGCGTTTGGGGAAACGCGTCTGTCGTTGCAATGCCCATCTTCAACCCGACTACGCCAGCGTTGCGACGTCAGAGTTAATTCGGAGAGCCGCAAATGCATCTCAGCGGCAATGGCGAGCTGGTTCGTAAGTGGGCGGCCGGCACTTATGGCTGCACTCGAAAATGTTTGCCGGCAAATCGATGATGAGATGGAAGCGGGTGAGCCTCACATGAACTCATCTCTTGGGTGCACGACACTAATAGCTCAGAGGTCAATTGCAACTACAAGGACGCTACCATTGACGCTCGACCGGACCTAGTCACTCACGATGCCTCTGTGCAGACCGACGAACCTGACCTCGCCTCACCTGAGCATCTCAAGCGTTCATACATCAAACTACAGCGCAAGTACGAGGCTCTCGACAAGCAATTTAGGACCGCAAAAGATGCTATCGCGACAGCCAAGTCCGAAAGAAGCGGATGGAGGCGCTACGCCGAGCAACTCGAGCGGAGCATCTACCACGCCCAGAATGCCCACGGCATCGAAATTGCTGTCCTGCCACTGCCAGGCACAGTCAATCATGAACGATCGGATGCTCCGAAAGAAAAATCTGCCGTGCGCGGTAGCAGTGTTCAGTCTGCAGATCAGAACCTGGATGAGCATAGTCTGCTCCCCAGTACAGTGCCAGGGACCTCTCCTCAATCTCACTCGGATCAGGCCGTGTCACAGACACATGACTCTACCGCGTCCACCCAGGATGGCTCCGAGCAGGATATCCATACAGATCTTCCGCGATTGCCAGAAGACAGCAACGTGGCCCCGGTCACGATCAAGCAAGAGATCTCATCAGACACTCCAGTCTTTGTGGCTGAGAAGGTCCTGCGAAAACGGAGCAGGATGGAAGAGGCCCAGCCCATAGCTCATGCCATCAAGTCCGAACCCAGCGAGTCGGGATCGAGCCCACTGGTCAGCCTGCACCATTGCAGCTTCGTCCCGCAGGAAAGCTTCGACCTCGACGCAACAGCTCAACTTGTGGATACACCTCGAAAACGCAGGCACCTGCGGATCATACGTGAGCCGACACAATCTGAGCGAGTCCCCCCAATGGCGCCCCCTCCGGTAGCAGCTGCGCCTGCATCTCCGAGTGTTCCTGAGGCGACAGGTACACCACGTCAAACATACTTGTCAAGTTTCTCTTCAGCTCTGACGCCTGTGGATGTGAATAGACGAATGCAGAAATCGGATCCTGCTGCATCCACCGAGAAGCGGATGAAGAAAGGCCTCAGCGACGGCATAGGAAGCCTCGCCGAGGATAGCGGCGGGTACAGACCAGATGGCAGGGACAGAGCGCAGATGCCAGAGGCGATTAAGGGTCGCCTCGACAGTCTGCTAAACAGTCCATCGCCAGCTCCGCAGTCAGCCTCGATCTTACGCCCGATTCGCCGAGCAAAGGACATTCAGGGACTGCCCAACGACGAACTTGGCATTCCAAAACCACGAGCGTTGCCATTTGACCAGTCTGGACGAGCTACCCCCAAGCGCCCCAGTGACGTTCTGACACCCCAGTCAACGCGGACACCTCTGGCCGAGACGACCAACAACTCTATACTGCACAACAGACAGCGGCCAAAGGGAAGCTTGCGCACCAAGAAGGTCGCCGATCTACAGTTGGACGACTTTAGGATCAACCCAAAGTCCAATGAAGGCCTTGACTACGCCTTTTCAGATGTTGTCCGTAACAAGGATGAAAGAGCGTGTTTGCAGGGCTGCGTGGCAGACGATTGCTGTGGGCCCCAGTTTCGCGGGTTGGCACGAGCAGAACGACCCAAGGAGCCACTTACCGGGCTCCAGCGTCAGGAGGAGCAGAAGCTATTGGAGGAATATCTCGGAGACGACGCCTGGAAGATCGGGCAAATGGGCCCTGAAGAGCGTCTGAAGACATGGATAGAGGCAAAGGCGCGAGAATTGTCCAACAGGATCGGGACGCACAAGGCCCGCTTCACTCGTGTACGCTCGCCGCCAGGGTTCTGGGAAACCGACTTTCCAACGACGCAACAGCGCGAAGATGAGAAAGCGGAAGCCCAAAGGCGAGAGCGGCACAAGGTTGAGGAACGACGTAGAGAAGCTATGCGCCCCGGCGGCGTCTGGGTTTTTAGGGACGAGCTGGCGAAGTAAATCTGGATGCTGCGGCCTTCTTGCTGCCTCATAGAACTCGTATATTTTCCAAGCATGCTCGCATAATCCATGTCGCTTGCTGTTGGAGCCACATGCGCCTGGCGCCCACGTCTATGACTTGAACCAGCATGCACCACGTGGAGCACGAGAGTAGGTGCAGCGATGCTGTTACGGTCGCGGGGTGTCGCGCCGCCAAACACTAACAGCCCTCGTCTATGCTTGTTGTCCGCCTTTACCAAGCACGCGAGGGCGCGCGGATGACATTGATAAAGCAGACCGGAAGAGTGGCTGGTGTTTAGGGGAAATTCGAGCTTCTTGAAGCTCTTCACGTAACCATGTGTTGCTGTTCCACTACAGGCTGGATGCGTAGGTGGACGGTCGGGAAATTTAAAATATTTCTCCATAGGGCCCCCAAACTTGTTGACGTGCAACGGACATCCAGTCGTCACACCCAGCACTTGCTCGCTCCAAGATCACCGGCCCCTTCGTTGTCGGGTCAGAGAAATCCATCTTTCGGGAGGAGACTTTCGCTCTTGCTTGTCATACAGTGGCTGCGGGCATTGTTACACCAGTTGTCCATCCTCGTCGCGCGCTTGACTCGCCACGTACGACCGCATTACTTCGACCTTGCGACGACCTCATCCCGAGCCACGCGCACCACGCTGCTGCGCCCAAACGCCACCGAATCAAGGAGAAGAAGACGCTCTTGGCGATCCACGGGTCTGTCGCAAAGTCCATTGCGACGCCCGTGATCGTCTTCATCGACCCCAAGCCGGCAAGATGACAAACCGCCATCTGCCGGCTGGGCAAAGCCTAGCACCGGCCAACGGTTCCGCCATCGCTCACGGCACAGTCCTCAGCAGCAACCATAATATGCCTGCTGCGGCAGATATGCCAACGAGCGGAGGCGGTCCGTCTGGGTCGCGCCGCAGACATCACCAGTACCCGCCTCAGCACCACTACAACCAGCACCAGCACCATCACCATCATCACCACCACATGCAGCAACAGCATCCCGCGCAGTATGCTGCGCCATACGCCCATCACCAGCAACACATGGGCCCGCCGCAGCACATGTATGCCAGCGGGTATGGCATGCCATATGGTGTGCCTCAAGGCTACTATGGCATGCCTGGAGCGCAATACCAGACAAATGGCGCTCGGGGGGTGCCCAATGATCCCCGCTATATGCAATACCATCACCAGCAAGTCTACCCACAGTCTCCTCCAGCAGCTCCGGGCTACTCCCCCATGGCTGGTGTGACGGTCCCCCCAAGCTATCCCCGTCACTCTCAACCAATGTCTCCAGCCCTGGCGACACCGTACCAGCCTCCACCAACCCCGGCCGCGGCCGCGCCTCCCATACCGCCGCAGACGCCCTCCTCGACACAGTCTTCGCAAGCTGTCCTTCTGCCTCACACCCCTTCCACGCCCCAGCTCAGCGAATACAGCGCCTCTGTCAAGCCTGCGTCGCCTGCTACATCTGTGACACAGAAACCAGCCCCATTCATCGCACCTGTAAGACCGATCATCTGTGCGCCAATTTTAACGTTTGCTGATCTGTCTATAGCTCCCCTGGTTCTCCCATCCCGGCGAGCCCTTTCCGGCGTGGAAGCCGAAGAGTTCACGGAAGAAGTTCACGTCCAGCAGCCTCGCTGTGTCTCTACCTGCCGTTCAGCAAGAGCCCGCTTCTGAGTCGAACGAACCGAATGAAAAGGCAGACGCCGCGCCTGCATTGTCGAGTGCGACGGCGGGACAGATGAAGGATCAAGCAGCATCTCAGGAAACTACCAACATCGAACATGCTCAGCGCCCAGAGACCACCTCGGGCACACCTGCTACGTCAACGGTCCAAGAGCATGGCCCAGTTCCTACGTCAGTAGTTCCAAAGGACGCTTCCCAGAAGACGGTTGCCGAGGTCTCGGGGGCAGAAGAGCAGGCCACCGAGCGGGAGGGCATTGACGAGGCTACATCAGCTCCGGCCCCGGCCCCGGCTCTGGCTCCGACGCCCCAGCCTGCTCCCCCTACCAGCTGGGCCAACCTGTTTGCAAGGAACGCAGCAATCCGGGCTGTTGCCACCCATGGCGATTCGAGTGTATCCGCAGTCAATGGAGATGGCGCAAATGGACCATCAGGGACGAATCTGTTCCCCAAGGCAGTGACAAACTCTGCAGGTGATGCGATCCATGCATACCGAGTCGGGTCCAGCGGCAAAGCAGCATACATTGAGCCCCGTGGATTAATCAACACGGGGAACATGTGCTACATGAATTCGGTCCTACAAGTTTTGATGTTCTGCGTCCCTTTCTACGATTTCTTAAACCAAGTCAGCCAGCGAGCTGCGCACAGTTTCAAAAGCGAGACACCCCTGATTGACGCCATGTACGTATAGCTAGCCTTCTTCACTTGGGGAGGTAAGCCACTGACACTCTCAGGATTATGTTTATGCGCGAGTTCAAGGTACTTCGACCGCATGGGTCCATCGAGCAGCTTCGTCAATCTCTCAAGGCGGAAGATCTCGACAAATTTGGCGAACCTTTTACTCCTGAATTCGTGTACGAGGCCATCAGGCAGCTTCCTCGATTTGCGAGTATGAGACGTGGCCACCAGCAAGACGCGGAGGAATTCCTCGGGTTCCTCCTGCAGTCGCTGGATGATGAGTGCACAGCCGTCATGGGCAACTCGTCGAGCAGCGGTGCTCCTCAGGCCCAGTTGGATGCATCTAGTGTCGATGGTCAGGCTGAGGTATCCGGCGACTGGCTAGAGGTGGGCCGCAAGCAAAAGGCAGCCGTCTCTCGCTCTTCGGGTACGAATGCATCAACGCCCATCAACAAAATATTCGGCGGCTTCTTGCGTTCCGAGTTTCGTGTCCCGGGCCTCAAGGACTCCATCACCACCGAGCCATACCAGCCTCTTCAGCTGGACATCAGCACGCCCGACATTCGGAGTGTCACCGATGCCCTCCGTGGCCTGACGAAGCCTGAGCGCCTGCAAGGCGACTTCAACTCTCCACGTGGAAAGGATGTCTTGGCGACCAAGCAGGTCTTCATTGAATCTCTCCCTCCAGTGTTGATCCTCCATCTCAAGCGCTTCCAGTTTGACGCGGAGGGCCACGGCACTGTCAAGATCTGGAAGAAGATTGACTATCCCCTTGAACTCGAGATCCCCCCGCAAGCCCTCTCACGTCAGAAGCGTCAAGCCCTCACGGAGAGCACAGTGCCAAAGTACCAGCTCATCAGTGTTGTCTACCATCACGGCAAGAATGCCAGTGGAGGTCACTACACTGCTGATGTCCGTCGGCAGGATGGGCAAGACTGGCTCCGCCTGGATGACACTGTACTGCGTCGCATCCCCAGCGACGATGTCGCCGAGACTGGCTCCAAGGAGGAGCAAAACAAGGAGATTCGCAACAAGGAAGCGAACAACAACAATAGCCCCGGTGCCTCTGCGAACAGGTTTGGTGCCATGAACGACGAAGACGATGAGGCTGGGGATGAGGGGGATTGGGAACAGGTGACGACCACTGCCGGAGGAAACAAGCGCTGGAGCAGCGTCATCAACGGCAACGGCAGCACCACGCCCAAGAGCAAGCAACACAAGGAAAGTGTGAAGGACAACAAGGTGGCCTATCTCTTGTTCTACCAGCGGATCTGAATTTAGATCTGTCATGTAGCGGTCAGACTTGTCTGGCCTTATTCCTCCACGCACCCTCCTACGACTTACGGCCTTGGAGTGGTTAAAGAAAGGGACAAGACACGTCAGCAACCACAAGCCTGGGTCCAGGGAAGGTCTCGTATGCGAGTGCATCATGGACATGGAGCAAAGGCGTCATGTGCAGGGGGGCGGCGTTCCTCGGCTCCTGGGGCCTCGGGACGACAGGCGACGGCGTCGGGAAGAACATCCTCGAAGATGAAATTACTGGCGACTTGCGTCTACGAGAGCAGGTTTGGTGTGCGGGAGTAGGTCAATGTACGGAGTACGCAACAGCAAGCTTTTGGTGGGCGATAGACGATGGTTGTTCAATTCGAAAAGCTCCGCATTCGAATTGAAGCACAAGTCCTATCATTCCATGTTTCTCATTCATGACGCTAGGAAAAAGAAGAGTGTTGTGCGACTGAAGACGAGACATCCTCCAATCCCAGTCGAATGAGTTCAATACAGGGGATATACAAGCACCACCTCCCCATGTCTATGAACGTTCTCTTTGTTCTAAGTTGTCTTTCCCTTTCTCCGTATTGTTACATATTGCATGCACCACCCTCTCCGGCTCTTCTCTCCTTTAGTGCGCCTTGCGGATCACAGTCGCGGCGTCCAGTGCGTCCTTCTCGGCGAGCTCGGCCTCGACTTGCTTGATGATGGGGGCGAGGTAGGGAACGTCCTATTACATCGTGTCAGTTTTTCACTTCTCGCTGGTGGCATATGCGATTGCGGCGTACGGTCTGGTCGTTGATCCACTCGTTCTTGGGAAGGAGCTTGTGCTGGTAGCTGCACTGCGCAGCACGGCGAATGCGGTAGACGCGCTCGTAGGCCTCCTTGGGCGAAAGACGGTTGAGGGCAATCTGGACGGCCTCGCGCTCCTCCTCGTAGAGATCGTCGTATCTACTCTGCATCAGCTCTCTGCTCTTCTCCATGCCGCCCTTGCCCCGTCGTGTGCAATGGCTTTGGTAGGAGGGTGTGCAAACCTCAAACCCATCTTGCGGTACCCGGCGGCGTTAACGTACCACTTGCTGATGGGCATCATCAGCTTGTGGAGCCAAGGCCGCTTGACGATGAAGGGGGCGAGAGAGACCATCTTGTCGTCGTCCTCGTGGGTAGATGGATGTAATCGGTTGTGGTCGTGGTGAGCGTGCTGCGCGATATCGTCCGGGTCCCTGCGATGAATTGGGAGGTTTCGGCAAAAGTTGGAATTGGGCAGATCACGTGGTTGTTTTTCAGTCAGCTCGGTTTCGTGGGAGGTCATTGGTGGGCACTATGCGAAGCGGGTCTCAATGACCCGTGCTTTCAATCCGAAGGCGTGCAGATAGGACTTGGGTCATTCTGGTGAAAAAGGGCATGAGAGTAGGTGCTACTCAATGTTTAATTCTGATTGATTGAGTTGCTTGGTTATTGAAGTCTTTTCTATTTAGTAGTGTTCTAAATGGACAATTTTGAGTTGCTTCCTCCTTGATTGCATTGCAAGATGACGGATCAAAATTGTTAGTCGTCAATGGATCATTGCAGAAATTCTCACTCAGCAAAGATATCCAGATTTCGAATTCGACACAGGTTCTTTGCTTATTTCAGGAAAAACAGATGTTCACTTTCGTTTTATATCACAGCAATCCAATATCACAGCAATCCAGACTCGACCAACTGCCGCAATTCGCTTGAGTATAGGGTAGGCCATTCGTCGAACGAAAACGGTCCACAGGACGAAAAATGGCGTCACTGGTCAACCAAGACGCGAGACAGCAAGCTTCACGGTCACTATTACTACCACAGTCAAGCCAATGGATGACCCGAGTCGATGCAATAAATCCATCGCCGAAAGTTATTTCCTGTTGCTTTGGTTCAATTCGGCTTACTTGATCTCGTGTCAATCCTCGAACGTCAAAGTGTAGGATATCTATCTACCTTATCTCCCGAGCGAGGTCCGGCTTTGCTCCGTGCCCCCAAGACTCCACCCTCGGCCAACTTCGCTTCTCTCACCACATCCACCACTCTAATCCCTCGTCTCGCTACCACCACCCACGCACAAACGACGACCATATCGGCGACTACGCAAACATCTCCGAGTCAGTCGCCTCCCACTTTACGCCACTGCACCGATTCTATGCCAATGGCCGGCGGCGTTCGTTGATCATACCGGTCACTGTGCGTGGGAGAGCGTTCCCCGCAGTGCCGGTAGCTGCCAGTGCCTGTGGTCACGATACGCATGGGCACCGCTTCCCGAGAAACCAAAACATCACCCTCATATACGCTCGCTCGGCGAGTTCCCGAGCAAGCAATATCATTTCGGCGGGGTGCCGCAGCCCATGACACCGGTTAGGAGGAGACGCAACATAGAGATCAGAGCTCGAAGGAATGTCTCACGACCAGCGGACGAGCCGGGCCAACCAGCCATCAACGACAAAGTATTATGCAACGCCAGACTATGGAGTGACCGCTCAAGTCTCTCAATCAGCAGACGACACGGGCAGCACCTCGAACACCCGCCCAATGAAGAATCTGGGCCGTCCGACATTGCTGCAGAGGTGGGCGGCAAGAGCGCCGGACTCGCAGTTCCATGCCACTGCTGGTGCTGTAGGAGGGTTCACATCGGGAATTGTCACATGTCCGTTGGATGTGATTAAGACAAAATTGCAAGCCCAAGGTGGCTACACGCCCGTAGACAGAGGGCGACATGCTGGGCATCCCAAACTCTACAATGGCTTGGTAGGATCGGCTCGAGTGATCTGGCGAGAAGAGGGCATCAGAGGCCTGTATCGCGGGCTTGGACCGATCGTTCTAGGGTATCTCCCGACATGGGCGGTGTGGTTCACAGTGTACAATGAGGCCAAGACCGTCCTCGGCCACCATTATGGTACGTCTCACCTTCACGGGATTCCGTACTTGGAAAGCTAACGAGTCCAGAAAACCAACACATTATCAACTTCTGGTCCTCCATCGTCGCAGGCGCCAGCAGTACGGTAGTAACGAACCCCATCTGGGTAATCAAGACGCGGCTCATGTCCCAGAGCAAACTGCCTTCGGATCAGGGGCAGAGTTCTTCGACCCTGTTTCCAAAAACGGGCAGCACACCTACAGCAAGGCCAACATTATCAGAGCCTTGGCACTACCGATCGACCATCGATGCCGCCCGCAAGATGTATACCTCGGAAGGCATCGCCTCGTTCTACTCTGGTCTGACGCCAGCATTACTCGGCCTGTCGCATGTTGCTGTTCAGTTCCCCACCTACGAGTATCTCAAGACGAGATTCACGGGACAAGGCATGGGCGAGGCATCAGCCCACGGACAGAAGCCCCACTGGGTGGGCATATTGTCAGCGTCCATTCTCTCAAAAATGCTCGCAAGCAGCGCGACCTACCCTCACGAGGTGATCCGCACAAGACTGCAAACCCAACGACGACCTGTGGCTGGCGAACAGTACCTCCAGGGCATGGGCATTGCAGGAGGGTCAGAGATCAAGCCACAGGTCCCCAAGTATAGAGGTGTAGTCATGACCTTCCGAACAATCCTGCGCGAGGAAGGATGGCGGGCATTCTACGCCGGCCTGGGAACGAACATGACACGGGCTGTGCCGGCGGCGACGGTGACAATGCTCACATATGAGTTTGTCATGTCCCGCTTGAATGGGCTGAGGGACGAGGGCAAGGCCTTCCTGTTACAAAGCGAAGCATCGCGCCCTTGAGAGTGCACATAGCGACGTGCCGCAAGGCTCCGAATTTCATACACAATTATTCAGCATTGGAGAAAGGCTGAGATACCCTTGGTCGGTGTAGGTATAGACGAACTTTTCAAACATGTTTACTTGGTTCACACACGGTTGCGGCATTCATGTGTTCCTTTTGTTTTCGAGAACGGTGCAAAACCCAAGAGCACAGCGCAAGAATGGTTCGCAGGCTAGTCAGCTTGTTGCATGGTGATGTTGTATATGCATGAAGGATATTGTCTTGGCCAAGTCGGAGGCATTATCTTATTCAGTATATAGCCGGTGAAGAGGTGCACATGATTCACCATTCCGAGATGCTCGTGCTCGCATGTGAATGGCGTCTTTGCATGGTGATTGAGGGCTCGCGCGACCAGCACGAGGCTAACGCTGACCTTTCTGTGAAATCATATTAGAACCACGGCGAGGAAGAGGGAGAGTGACATGTCCATACCGCCTGAGATCTTGCTGATCGTATCGACGATCGGGTGTACCTGCATCGCGTGAGTTTGAAGGACCTTGGCCACTTCATCAGGCGTACGCACACGAAGAGAACACAGGCCATGCTGAAGGCCGCTGCAGGCGCCATAAACTTCTACATTCTTTTAGCTTGCGCTGGGAGGTAGGCTGTAAATTCTCACTCTTGGATCCATTGCAATGGTGCAGTTGTGCGACAACGAGACCAGATCCCTCGAGTCCTCGCGCCAGATGCATTGGATTGCGTGTCCGACAGTCCGATTAACGTGAGTCGCATATCTGCCCCACATCAACAACATATCGGGAGTTAAGTTCGGAACTTGGCTTCTTTCCCAACTCTTCAATTTCAAAAATCAGCCGCATTCCGGAGGTCAAACAATTGTTGATGGGACTTCAAAAGAAAGCCTAGCCTTTCGACCCTCCGCAGAGGACTAGTGAAGTACGTATATACCGTTATCGAAGTACTTGCCATGTCCGTATTGTGACTTCTCGGACCTGATGTATCCGCCTAGCCTGGCCTAGCCTGTCCTAGCCTAGTAGTGCCGGGCGGCCCAAGCTCCTTCCCTAAGGTACTTCCCAGGGTCAAGAGTCTAGACCGTCGCTGCTGCGGCGAGGTCTGGACATGCCAGTCACGACTCGCGACCGCGCCCCCAGCTGAGCATCTCAGTATCACCACGCGACATATCCTGAATATACGCACTGAGCTCTAATACATCGCGCTTCAAGCATCAACATAACAACACAAGTCCCGCGCAATGGTTGTTGAATTGAGGAAGCGCAAAGCGCACCAGCAGCCCGCCGTCGAGCAGCCTGCGCCGAAGAAGAAGGCCTCGTCGCAAAAGCTCAACAAGAGCGCCAAGGCAGCGCCCGCGAAAACAAAGAAGGCTGCCGACGATTCGGACAAGGCCGCAGCTGAGCAGCCTGCGAAATCAGCCAACGGTACCACTGACAAGGTGGAAGACGTGAATGTCAAGGACGCCGTCCCTGCGCAACCCAAGACGTATAGCGAGGGGGACGTCGTGGATGACCTGGAGACCTTTGGCGGTGAGGTGCAGACACATGAGAGCGAGACGACAACATTGAAAGACCTGCTTGATGCGAGCAAAAAGGCAGTGGTGCTGTTTACCTACCCAAAAGCGTCAACTCCAGGCTGTGAGTCCTATTAGGTCAGGCCTTTGACGTTACTTGACGCTAATACCGATACTAGGCACCACGCAGGTCTGTCTCTTTCGTGATGCACTCGATGAGATCAAAGCTCCTGGACTGTCCGTCTACGGCCTCAGCGCAGACTCGCCCAAGGCCAACACCACTTTCCACACCAAGAAGGAGCTGACCTATCCCCTGCTTTGCGATCAGAAGCGCACTCTGATCAAGGCGATTGGACTGGCCAAAGTCCCCAATGGCACCGCAAGAGGCGTCTTTGTCATTGACAAGGAGGGCAAGATCTTATTGTCCAGGTCGGGAGGACCAGCTGCGACGGTGGACGCTGTGAAAGCCTTGCTCGAGACCATGTAGACTGCACGGGCGAAATCGAGCTGGCAATGTCCTCCGAGAAGGGGCATGTTACAGGGCGATCATGCTCATGGGCTGCGCCGAGGGGTTCAAGGAACGAGCAGTCCTATATTTGCCACTTCTGTATTTGTTCGCATACGAAGCCAATCAGAAGTATGAAACGAAACTATGTACTCGCTACCATATGTCCTCGATAAGAGTACACTGCAGTCTTCTTCCACAGCCCGCCACTAGAACCACTTGGTGAACAACGTGTTCTTACTCACTTCACTAGGTCTATCTTTGCAGGAAAGCATCCCATACTCCAGCTTGTCTTGTCCAAAATTATGCCGGCTTGATCGTCATTCGTCTTCTTTTGGGTGTCTCTGAGTACGTTCATATGGCCATTCTAATTGGAGACGTCACGACTGACACTTTTGCAGAGCTGGACTTCTTCCTGGAGCAATCCTTATCATCTCCAAATGGCATCTCCCTGGCGAGACGCGGACCAGAATCGCAATCTTGTACACTTCAGCCGACACACGAGGCGCCTTCTCTGGGCTACTGGCTTATGCTATCGCCAAGATGGACGGCGTCGCAGGGTTGCATGGCCGGCGGTTGATTTTCATCCTCGAAGGCATCATGTCCGTCTTTGTCGCGTCCGTGTGCTTCTTCCTCCTTTGCGACTCGCCTGCTCTGTCTGGGAGCTGGCTCGACGCGGACAAGATTCGCTATCTCGAGTTTCGACAGGTTACCCGTCGCTCCACGAACGCTCGCGAGTTCAAGGAGAGCAACAAACACTTCAGCAAGGCCATTTTTAAGGACATATTTGGCAACTACAAGATCTACCTCTTGATCTTTGCCAACTGGTCCAACGCGTTATCCAACTACGCCATGAAAATCACCATGCCAACCATTTTAACCTCCATGGGCTACACATCGGCCCATGCGCAGCTGATGACAATTCCGCCCTACGCCATTTACTGATGCCTCAACCGCCAGTACTGTTCGATGTGGTTGAACACAGCTATAGAGAACCAGGAAAGCCAACTACCCATCTCAAATGGGATCGGTCCCCACAAGGCCGCTCTGGTGACAACGGTCATGGCCATAGCAACTCTTCGTCAGGAGAAGTTGTCACAAACCGCAGTCAGCATCCATCTGGACGGGTCGATTCATGGGAGCGATTGCCATTTCTGCGCTGCCTCTACTCTGACTAACGCCCGAGACGGGTCTATCGAGACTGGAATCCGTACAGACGCGTGTCCTGCAAGTCCTGTGTCTTTTACGAACCGGAAGAATGACTCAAGCCTGGTACGTGTTCGGGGGGACCGTACCTTTCGTCTAGGCGCTGGGTCTGCATAGGAAAAGCCGTGCCGCTAGCAACAGGAACACCCCGGGGAACTATATCATTTCCCAGTGTCGAAAACGCATTTTTTGGACCGTCTATATCATCGACAAGTACCTCGCGGTTGTCTTTGGCCGGACTCGCCTCTATCACGACGATGTCATCGACCAAGAATTTACGGATCGGGTGAACGACGAGGACATGTCGTTTTAAGGGCCGCTGAACAGCGAGCCAACAATGGACTGTCACATTGACTCGCTCGTTTTTCACGCCAAAATCGCCAAAATCGTCGACAGCATCTCTCGCAAGGTCTACTCTCTCCACCGCGTGCCCAAGCCAGCGCGTCTCGCACCAGCCCAGACATTCGGCCAGAAGCTGTATGCCTGGCGAGAGGAACTGCCACCTCATCTTGGAGCAATACGGCCCCTCAGTCTGATACCCTCGTTTCGACGACAGTCCATGGGTCTGAAACTGTCATATGCTCATGCGCTGATGCATGCCAATCGGCCCTTTCTAATGGGGGCCGATCGCACAGAAGAGGAGGAGAAAAGCACGATAGTCTGCATCAACGCAGCAAAGCTCGCACTAGACACTGTGGACAGCGTTGTAGGCGACACAATCATGTTCCACGCCTTTTGGTGGACGCCATACGTGACCTTTTGCGCCTTGACAAATGTCTACGTCTGGGAAATCCAAAAGGGAGCGAGTAATGCTGACAACCCATAACTTTTCGCACTGGCCAAAATATGTCAGGGTCATCTAGCTGCTTCGACAGTCACAAACTCGCCAAGCCAGAGCTACAGCGTCATACTTGAAGAGCTTCGTCAAGAAGCCCGCCAAGGGCTGGCACACCAACACCAGCTGACGGACAACGCCAATATGGCCACCATGGCGCAGAACGAGCCAAACCAACTACAAATGACTTTGGAATCTTTCACTCTGGTCCGATTCCAGAGGCAAATGCATTGGGCTTGTCCCCGAACGAGTGGCAAGCAACCGACTGGCTGGATCTGGACTCATCTGGAAGTACTACAGGCATCCATCATGGCTTGTATCCTTGCGCTAACAGATGTGATGCAGGCTTTCGGTTCATCCTTGGAGATGAATGGCTCACCGATCATGTGGATGGGGGACGTTGGCCAACAGTAGCTGTCCGCACTCCAGCGCGCATGTCCACTGGCTCTCATCTGTAACAACACCGCCCTTGTGAATCCGTCAGAAGATTGATATCTCAGGATTCAGGTCTGAACCATGTTCGTTGTGCACCTGCCCGAGACATTGCACGATGATCTGCAGCAGAGCCTGCCTTATGCACATACTGTGATTGAAGCTGTCAAAATGTTTTATTATGCACAATCCCCGTACCTATGAGCATATGACTCGTATCACAGTATCACCGTCCAAACGAAGCCATCCTCGCCCTCGCTTGCCCCAAGTCCTAAATGCAAGATGCCTGCCCGTCTGCGCCATAACCACCATAACCCCGCTACACCATAGAATCATGCGCTCATTGAGGCTTGCCCCGGATGGGGAGATCCTTTGTGACCTCTGCTGAGGCAGTCGACATGCCACCAGCAGCAGATCCTTCGTCCACAGCCTTGCCTTCGCTCGCCGCGACATCAGCACCTTCGGACACTACCTTTTGGCCTGCGACAGCCTCCGACACCTTGTTCACAGCAGCCTTGGCCGCTTCGGCCGCCTTGGCAGCCTTCTTGGCCTTCTTCCTCTCCTTCTCCCTCTCCTTGTCCTCTTGCTTCTTCTTCTTAGCTGCGGCTTCAGCCGCACGCGACTCCGCGCTTCCACCGAACTGCTCTTTCCACTCGGCTAGCTTCTTGTCCTCGATCCTGGAGAAGAGATACGTAGCCTTGTTGAGCTTGTGACCGGGCTTGAGTGTATCGGGCGTCCACGTGTCAGGGATGGATCCGAGCGTGGTGTTGAGCTGCTGACAGATTGATTCGGCGGTGCTGGGCATGTAAGGAGAGCAGATGGAGGCCAGAAGCTTGCAGAGGTTGAGCGCGAGACCAATGACAAGGTATGTGCGCTGGGGTTGCTCCGTCAGACAAGTGTTGTCGAGGCGGTACTGCAGCAAATTGTTGCCCTCGCTGCTGATCTCCAAAATCTTCCTGGCGCCCTCACGGAGATGGACGCCCTCCATGATATCGGTGTACTCGCCCAGCAGCTTGTTGACATTGGCGACCCACGCGCTGAAGTCAAAGGTCTCGTCCTTGTACTCGAGTGAATATTCCGGAATCACACCGTCAAGCTTGGCATTGACAAACTTGACAACACGATTGACAAAGTTGCCAAAATTGGCCAGCAGCTCGTTGTTGTTGGCCTGTGCGAAGGCGTTCCACTCAAATTGAGTATCGCTCGTCTCGGGCCGGTTGGAAAGGAGGTAGTATCGCCAAACGGAAGGTGAGATACCAATTTCTTCGGCTTGGTTGCCGAAAACACCGATGCCGCGAGATTTCGAGAACTTGCCGTTCTCATAATTGAGGTACTCCGTAGTCGAGAGTCTGTGCAGCATAGTCCAGCCCTGACGGGTGCCAATCTGGGATGCAGGGAAGATGACTGGACTGTTAGCACATTACGCTTCGCTGGTGAAGTGAAAACTCACTGGAATGAAATTGGGTGTTGTCCTTGCCCAAGAACTGATATAGCTTAACTTCCTCGGGGTTCTTCCACCACTTCTCCCAGTCGTCCGTGTACGAGGCTGTGATCGAAGGGTATCCGATACAGGCGTCAAACCACACGTAGAAGACCTTGTTCTCAAAGCCGTCCAGAGGTACTGGGACACCCCACTTCAGATCACGGGTGATACTGCGTCCTTCGAGTCCCCTTTTCAGCCAGGCCTTGGTGATGGCGACACCATTGGCCGACCACTTTTCGTGCATTTTCTCGAACCATGCCTCGACCTCGGGCTGCAGCTTGTCCAGCGACAAGAAGAGATGCTTCGTATCGCGCGGGACTGGTGTGGCGTTGTCCACCTTGCAGCGAGGGTTGATCAGCTCAAAGGGGTCTAACAGCGAACCGCATTTGTCGCACTGATCACCACGTGCATCGTCGTACTGACACTTTGGGCAAGTTCCCTCTACAAAGCGGTCCGCCAGAAAGGCCTCGTGTTTCTCGCAGTATGGCTGCTTCGTGGTGCGCTCCTCTAGGAATCCATTGCTGTGCAGCTTCCAGAAGATGTCTTGCACAATTTCTGTCTGTTTTGGCGTGGAGGTCCTGCCAAAGTGGTCGAAGCCGATCTCGAACCAGTCGTAGACGGCCTTGTGTTTCGCGTGGAATTCATCGCAAAGCTCCTTGGGAGTTTGTCCCGTCTCGAGGGCCTTGGTCTCGGTCGCAGTGCCGTACTCGTCTGTGCCGCAGATGTACAGTGTCGGGCGGTCGCGAAGCTTGCTGAAGCGCGCATAGACGTCGGCGCTCAGGACACTGCCTACAACGTTGCCCAGGTGGGGGACATTGTTGACATAGGGCAAGGCGCTCGTCACGAGGATGTTGTTCTTGCCCTTTTGGGGGAGGATTGGGTTTTCGACGCCCATGGCGATGCGATGGTGGGGTGGAAGAAACAGGTTCACTTTGTCTTCTTGTCTTGCGGGTCTAGCGCAGAAATATCCTTGTCTATGTGAGGGCTCCCTGTGAGAGATGCAACTCTAGATCGGAGAACAAACAACGCGACAGAATCAATGACCAAGGCTGTTGTTTGAGTCACAAGGGATGCGCAGTCGGAGTTCTCACTTTGGAGTCGAGGGGCACTAGTAAGTTGAGGAATTCCCCGCCATCGCCCGCTCTAGAATTGTCAGGCGGTCAATTTCTGCCAATCCTCGCTCCCTCGCGCACTCACTCACCCGACTCAGTACTTTCAACTACATGCCTCCAGTACAGTCTATTGCCTCTTTCTCTCATCGAACGGCGCTAGGCAATCGCCGACATGGACGACGACCTCTTTGACGACGTGTTGCACGTCGAAAGCCGATTTCACCAGGAAGGCTACCAGGAGGGTTTGCGCGATGGCGCAAAACATGGCTTAGCCGAGGGCCGCGCATTCGGGTTGCAAAAAGGCTTTGAAAAGTGGTTAGAGAGTGGGAAGCTGGCTGGGAAATCTATCGTATGGGCCAACCGCCTGCCATCCGCAACGCAAAGCTCGGCGTCGGCGTCATCAGGGTCCAAGCTTCCGTTGCTGCCGAACAACGTCCGGCTTGACAAGAACGTTCACACACTATATTCCCTGGTGGACCCAAAGACCTTGTCAATAGACAACTCGGACGCAGCTGTTCAGGACTTTGATGAGCGACTGAAGAAGGCGCAAGGAAAGGAACGTATTGTCAGTCGCGTCGTCCATGGGCCGACGAAAGATGGACAAAGGGCCGGCTCCGTCACTTGATAACCCAGTCACGATTGTGTATCAAAAGGGATCGATTGCCGATAAGCTCTATGCCTCCGTTGTCTGCTTATGTACATATTCAACGCCGCCTTACTTGAAGATGCGGCAGGGGTAGCTAGGTCATGTTAGCCAGTATTCATGTCGTTTCCACACATTAGACATACCCATCGGGATACGACCTCTCTGTAAGCTCGTATTTGTACACTCCCCACTGCGTCCCGTTCAAGCTCGTGCCGCTCGGTGTGGGTGGCAATCCGCCAACGAACATATCTTTGGCCATATCGCCCGGCGACTTCTTCGCGTACGCCGCCAGGCCAGTCTGCCCCTGCTCCTTCACATCGACAAGCTGCTTCTGGCCCGCCTCGCCGATGAGCTCAACCTTGGGTTGAGCGGCGCTGCCAACACTCAGCAGTCCGACAACGTCACCCTGGCCCACGACGCTGAGGGCAGGATAGGAGCGGCGGTTGTCGCGTTTCCAGTATGGGTTGTCGGCGATGTCGCCAGCCGGTACGGTGACGGGATCATCGTAGGCAATGGGATCGTTTGAGCCAGGCGGAGGGTTTCGGTAGGTTGGGTTGAGGGGGACACCATTGGAACGATTGGGGTCAATAGCAAAGAGACGGCGAAAGGCTTCCCACAGACCGGAAGACTGCACCGTGTGCTTCTGCGATGTTGTTAGCCGGATGTTTTGAGCGTGCCACTGGGCGTGGCACGGGCGAGAAATCGGCATATGAGCTGACCTTGGTGATGGAGACCAGGCTCCCGGCGGCCTTGTTGGCCATTGGCGTCGTCATTTTGACTGTATGCGCGATGGAGGCTGGTTCCGTAAGGCGCCCTTCAAGTTGAGGTCGAATTGGCACGGATGATGCTATTCGGCGACGGTGGTTTAGCCGGAGTTTGACCGGGCTCGCGGGTGTCTGTGGGAACCAATCACAACACCCCCATTTGCCATACGGATAGGACTGGACCAATCTCGCTTCATCTTTCGTTTACTCGGGGCGAGATGCAAATTTATTCGCGACTATAATCAAGCATTCACCGGACTTGGACTCGGAATTCTCCCACGAGCAGAGCACGATGGCGTGGGCTGCACCATTTGCGCCGTGATGTCAAGGCACGATCGTGTTTGGGCGTGAGGGCCTAGCACACTCTGTCCCAGCTGCTATAAGCCGGATTGGCAGACTGCACCTGAGACCAAAGCCATTTGGAGCCTGGATTCGAGGCTATTGTAATTTTGTAGTGTCCTCGTAAAGCGTATTAGGCTAGTTTGAGCGCACTCCCGTAGATGCGACATGATTACTCATTTGCGTAGCAGGCTAGCAGCACCGAGCTGTGCCCCTCCATCCAGCACCGCGGGACCGGGGTCGATCTCAAAGCTTCAATTGAGAACCAACCGCGGAGTCGCCAGTTCCTACCACTGCACGAGCGCGCGACTGCCTTTCTAGAATTAACCTCCTCCTAGTCTCACAGCCGACCCGTCATCATGGATATCCGCCTCCTCACCAACGCCGACCTCCCGCTCATCCAGCACGCCAATCTCGAAAACCTTCCAGAAAACTACTTTCTCAAATACTACCTTTACCACTCCCTCTCGTGGCCTCAGCTCTCGTTTGTCGCCGTCGACGTCTCGCGCCCGAAGAAGGGGCCGTATGACTACCCCAAGATTGTCGGCTATGTACTGGCCAAGATGGAGGAGGAGCCCAGCGATGGAGTGCCTCACGGTCACATTACCAGTCTCAGTGTGATGAGAACACATCGCAAGCTAGGCATCGCCGAGAAGCTCATGCGCCAGAGTCGTTAGTTGCGTCCTGGGTCTTTCAGCCTACAAGAAGAGTAGTGAGACCATACTAACGGCAGGCAGAACTGGCCATGGTAGAGACATACCAAGCGAAATATGTCTCTCTGCACGTCCGTGTCTCCAACGTGGCTGCACGACATCTCTACGAGAACACATTGGGCTTCACAAACGAAAAGGTCGAGTCGAAATACTACGCCGACAAGGAGGACGCCTTCTCCATGCGCCTAAACCTGGACGAGATTAAGAAGCAGATCGAGGCGGGCGAAAATAACGGCGACGTGGAGGAGGACAAGGAACACGAGGACGAGGGCGATGCGGTCGGCGAGGTTGGCAAAGATCCGGGGCAGACTGCTGAGGGGAAGCAGATCAAAATAGCGCTGGGGAAACGGCCGGCTCTCGGCGTAGGGGACCTGGTGGAGAAGGACGATAGCAAATAAAGGAGGGCATACATGTATGAGATGCGATGGCATACATTTCGGGCGGTTGGCATAGACAAAACGCATAGACCCAGGAGCTGGTCACGGAGAGGTTGGCTCGGACGAGCGATGGGCCTGATCATGGTGACGGAAGGTTCTATATACTGGTGACAATCTCTCGATAGTAACACACTAAGTTCGCATACAATCCGAATTTTCACCGGGGTTGCGTTTTGCGTCTCAAGGCTGCGAAGCCGGCAACGTCCCCGTTTGCTGTCCCGCATAAGCTGGCGGCGTTCCTGGCGGCGGCCCTGAGGGCGGCATGTAGTAACCACCCATACCTCCCGGCGAGGGCGGCCCGCCCTGGTGACCGTTCGGAGGGGGCGGCGCACCGTATCCGGGACTCGGCGTATCGAGTCCCACGGATGGTCCAAACCTGCCATGCCCATGCATTTCAGGAGGCCGATACCCCGTTGGCGGTGGCCCATAACCCCTTCCACCCGGCCTCGCAGACTCATAACCTCTGCCTCCAGAACCCTGTGGACCGTATCCCGCACCGGGATATCCAGAATGCGCATTCCCTCTTCCGTATGCTGAGCCCGGAGGGACCGTGGGCCCAATCGGTCGTCCGCCGTACTCCATGCCTTGCTGGTCCATCTTGAATTTTCCAATCTTGAGACCACCGGCGTTCAGAGAGAACTTGCTGCCGACACGAATGCCCTGTGGATCGAAGGAGACGTCCTTCTCGGAGGCTTTTGACTTGAGTTTCCCCATGAGGCGGTCCCTGGAGGAATGCTGAGGGCGGTAGCCGGAGCTACCCCCTACACTGGGCGCGTGATGGAGTGAGCCTGTGGCCGCGGGGCTAGGTCCAGTGGAGCTTGGACCAGGCCTGGGCCCAGCGTGGTTTGAATCCATTGTCGGCATATCAGCAAAGCCAGAGTCTGCGCACGTCTTCCCTTCCTCGTCTAGCACGATATTCACGCCTCTTGGCCCAAAGAAGCCATCGTTCCATTCGCCAATCACCCTTTCGATTGCGGCCTTTCGCTCGGGCGACAGTCGTTTCGCATCCGGGACGACCGCGTCATCCGGTATGAGGAAGCCAACAAAGGTAGTCCAATCTTGCAAGGAGACATCGTGGTTGAGTGCCCAATTGCGCGGGTAGGGGATTTCAGCCCTAATACTGTTTGGTCGGATTTGTAGAGGATGGCGAAGCGGTTGACGGGCTGTTGAAGTGCGCGATGCAAAGTACTGTGCCGAGGACTGTGGGGATTGCGACGCTTGCGTTGTAGTCTGATCGGACTGACCGGCAGCATGAGGCTGTCGATGCTGCTCGTGATGTTGGTATCCGGGCGTCTGTTGGGGCCGTGGGTATAACGGCGGGATATTCGTGGACTGCGCGTTGGGTATTGGGGAGGATGGCAGAGGGATATCGTTCGAGTGGAGAGGGCTTGATTCGACATATGGTGGGGGCGGTTCGTCAGACCCTGGAGGGGGTGGGTGTCGGGAGCCGCTCATGTCTTCCTATCTGTGCCCAGCAAGCAGTGTAAATAAGGTCTATTGTATGTAGCGGCGCAGCGAGTCAATGTTGGGCGATGAGTGTCCAGGGCCTCGAGATAGTTGAGGTGAGAATAGGGTATTGGTGAGGCTATGCAAATGACATCACCCGGCTACCGTTGGTTGGAGGGGCGCCAAGCCTCCCGCGTCGCTGCACTGTCCTCCGCATGCATGTGGCTTCGTGATAATATCTTCTCCCCACCGGATTTGGATGCAGCCACCATGGTTTAGATTTTGGGTTCTGGTATTTTTTTCGTTCTTTTTCTTTTATGTGAAGCATCAAGCATCTTGAGGCGCCTTGAGGTGCAGATTCACGTCTTCCTCGGCGTAGTGGTCGCTGATCAACCCTGATAGATGCTCCCAAGTGTGTGTGCCCCTGAATGGATACCTGGTTAGCCCTGAAATGCGCTCTGATAGATTCAAAATGACTCACAGGTTCGTAATGTACGTGTCGATCAGGTTGGCAGGCAAGAAGGCAGTCAAGCCTGCCTTGACCTCGACGGCGTGCACAAGGCTCCCATCCGAGAAATCCACATGCTGCATGGGATCCGCGAATTCAACGGCCGTCTCCTGGGTATAAGGACACTCTGGACTGAGCTTGTAAACACCGGCCAGTACGACAATCGGGACGCGATGCTGCTTGGCCGCTGCTGCGACGATTGTCGAAAAGTTCTCGCTAACTACTCCGCCATTGGCAGTGATGGCGCTCGCACCTATAATCATCTTGTTGACGCGAGACATGTACGACATGCCGCCTCCTGTTGTCATCACAACTGTTTGCACGCCCTGGCTCTTGAGCTTCTCTCGGAGCGCTTTGTACTTGTCATGCCCAGTGGCACCACGCGGCTGGGGCATGCAGTGGATCAACAAGGTAAACTTGCGCTTCTGCGCGGCCCTGAGGATGAAGCGCTGCACCGTAGGAGATGGGTGATAAACGAGAATGTGGTCGCCGGGGCGAATCTGCACCTCGGCGTGCGCGGCAATCTGGTCATCCACCTGGCCCATCTCGTCAATGATTTCCTGTATTCCGTTGATCACCTCCGACCGCAATGCGTGAACCTGGCTGTTGGTCGTCTTGTGCAATGGCGTTGACGTGCCAGAGTTACCAAACGGAGAGATTGTGCCTTCGTTGTCCGCCACATCCTTGGCGGACAGGAGCATCGACAAACTGCGTGGTATGTTGGCTGAGCTCGCGGCGCCCACAGGCCCAGGTCTTCGAGGGGCTTCGAGCGGTGCTGAAGAATGAAAGCTTTGGCTCATTTCGCCAATTGGGGTCATCTGTCCCTCGCTGGGAGTCTCGCTTGGCGCTCCGTCGTTTCTATCCTCGGTGGCCTCATCGCGAATGAGCCCGAGCACGCGCCGCACAATGTTGCCAATGACAAGCTCGTTGGGGCGGGCGCGCATGAGCTTGCTACCTGCCCGGGACACATTCGCGAGTAGGGTGTCGGCGTCTGTCCATTTCGACTTTGCGACTACTTGGCGGAGGCAGTTTGCGGTGGCGAGGGCACAGTCTTCGGGACCTGAGATCTGGCGACGCTTCAGGAGGCTATGGTTGTTAGAGGATGAACGGCAAATGACGTGGGTTCTCATACTCAACGAGGGACTGTATGGTGAGGTCGAGATGCGCGTGCCCTTTGAGTGACCGCAGGTACGAGTCGAGGGTGGGCGCAAAGCCCGGTACGGCGGAGGGCATCTGCGCCTCTGGGTTTGATGATATGTCGATGTTGTCTGTAATCTGCTAGTCCAGCTAAGAAGCTATGATCGGTGTGCAATATGGACGAGTCCAATACTGTCTCTCAATTCAATGGGCAGGCTGCGTGCTCTGTAAACGTGGTTCGGCTTGGGTGGTGTTGGAATGGAGCGTGTGTGATCCGCTGGTGAGTCAGTCAAGCTGTTTTGCAAAAACGCCTTCCCTAACCGTGGGCCGTTTTCGCAGGGTGGGTGGGGGTAGCGTCCCGGTGGTACTGTCGTGGGACCTGAGACGACACATAATTCCGAATATCCTGTTGACTAGTAGCAATCGGGGTAGCCACGTTGAAACTGAATGGGAGGGCTTTGTCCTTGCGAAAAAGAAATTATATATTTCAATCACCAGGAACCTAGATTAATGCCATGCCGTGAGATGTGTGCTGCTGCGATAGGCCACTTTCAGCAGGTCGTCAACCCCACCAATCGATGATGCAAATTATCGGGTTATCCAGCTTAGGGGCCCAAGCGATGCATGATGTGAATCCCAGGAAGTACACACACGTACGTAGCACCTCACCCAACCGACATGGAACCAGCAACTTTTGAAAGGTATCACGATTGAATCGCAAAGCTGTCCTATATTTTCTGCGTTACTCTTCACAGGGGCCAGCCCCGTTATAGGGCGCTTCCACCTTACCTTACTCTACATTGTCAACGACTTCACGGCCTCGCTGTCCTGCGTTCAGTCCTCATTCATCACCTCAGTATGCCGTCCTCACATCCATCAGGTCTACCTGGAGCCCCTCGCCATTCCCTGAACTTCCGGGTGGGAAGCCTTAATTCAAACATGCGATCAATCTCGATGCCACTGCGCCCCTTCATCTCTGGGAGGCAGAAGAACCCCACAGCCACCCCAGTTATGCACAATCCGCAGTAAACGAACCCCGTGAAGGCTCCAAGGTCCGCAGCATCCACCTGATATAGATATGGCAACGACGCCGCCATGATAATTGAGCTCGCCTGCGCAGACACGTTCCCTATACCCTGCGTCTTGGCCCGGAGGCGCAGAGATGGCGTTTCGCCGAGGATCGCATACCCGGCAGGCCAGCAACCCATACCACAGACGACAATCGTCGCAACCATGAAGCCAGCAACAAAGTAGGGTGCGATGGTCAATTTGCCCCTGAAAAAGCCGCACACGCCAACACCGCACCAGAACGCAGCAGCCACGCCCATCGTCCAGAATGTGGACTGTCTGCGTCCGACTCTTGACAGCGTCCAGATACCAACCGCATTGCCTCCGATGCCAGCCACTACCCCCGCGATCATCATAAGGAGCGCGGTGCTGGAATCGAGCCCCACGGTCTCGAGAAATGTGTTCGCATTCGAGAGGAGATCGAGCCCGAACAAAGCTGGGAAGACGTTGGCAAGGATGGTGATGAATGTTCGTCGAATGTTGGTGTCCTTGAAGCAGGCGATGAAGGTGGAGCCTCCTTTTGTGGCTCGCTCCTCTTCCAGCGTGTCGCGGTAGCCTTTCAGGACCAGAGATGGGTTGATCTTTGGCGCAAAGAGCTTTGTTGCGCTCCTCAAGGCCCGATCGGTTTTGCCCTTGCGCAGCAGCCACGCAGGCGATTCATGCATGGTCAAGGAGATGATGAAGGGCGCGAGAGCCAGGACGCCTTGCGAGCCCAACGCACCCAGATAGCCACGCCGACCCGGGACACCGTTGGTCACATACGTCACCACAAATCCGATCAACTGGCCCACGAGAGTGAATGTTGGGAAGAGAGCCATGGCAGAGCCGCGGATGGAGGTAGGCGCGTTCTCGGATACATACGTGAGGCAAGTCGTCTTGATCAGACCGACGGCAAAGCCCTGTATGGTAATGCCACCAGTGAACATGGCCCTCTTCGTCACAGCACCGCCGCCCACGTGCGAAAAGAAGATGATGACGACTGCCCCGGCAGAAACAACACTGCCAGTGAAAAGCGTCCATTTGCGCCCGAAACGATCACCCAGCCATCCAGCAGCCATGGCACCGCATGCTGTCCCTGCTGGCGGCAAGCCAAACCACATGGACAACCACATGGAGGGAATGATTTGCCGCCTTTCGAATGTTTCGCCGTAGTCTCGTTTGAACGCGTCCACGCTGACGATAGCGCCCACGATGACGAGTTGGTAGCCCCAGCTGATGATGGCAAGAGTCATGACCAGGCACCATCGAGCAACCTTCGGGTACAGCTTGATGGCTTTACCCAGCGGGAGTCTCTGCTCGGGATCTACCTCATCCTGTGACGCGCTTCTTTGGCAGCTTATGGGGCATGTGGGAAGATTCTTCGAGTCGCAGTGAATGGGTTGGATTCTCTCAGTTTCCTGATTCTCATCCAGGGGGCTGTCGTCGGATTGCGCCATACTTGTCGTGTTGTTTCTCTAGTTTCAATGCAATGATCTTGCACACAATCAAATTGATAACGCTGGCTAAAGGAATCTTGGACACATTCCGGTCCCGTTCTTTATACACGCAGGCCAGTCCTTATGCATCCCTTTAGAAGCAGCAGTCAGAGTGGCCCGCATTGCTGACGTGACGACCGAGGGTGATCTCTCTCCAACCTTGTCACGAATTGCCGAGCCAGACTAACGTAGCCCTACATGGGAGATCTGCGCTGTTGGGGGAGAGACAACTGCCCCTTTGTGTTCTTGTTGCTATGATCGTCGTGTAAGTCCCATACCGACGAATCATAGCACGAAGCGCACTTCGCAGCCGGGAGCGGGGAGCGGAGTGCTTTCGTATGCTCCGAGTCCGATATGCGTCTGAATCTTTCTTTCTCGCAGTAGAGTCGGGAACGTCTCGAGACACAAGGATGAGATCTTACTTGAACCGGAAGGTCCTGACAATATCCGACTGTAAAATCATGGATGGTGTTGACAATGTTCGGTTGTAATTATTATGCCTGGTCTTGACAACGTCCGGCTTTAACATTGTGCAACCTCTGGGCAATTGTTTATCGGCCAATCTAGACTAGGCCAGGCGGTACCTACATGCTACACCGCTGCCGCTGCCGCTGCATGAAGCTGTAATTAGTCTCTCTAGAAGGAGGGGGCTTGTCACATATTGCATACGTACAAGTATCATGGCTGCTAGCATCCTGCTACCCCCTGTTGTTCATTATTGACGACCATGGCCCGAAATGCGGCTTCTTGGCCGAACTTCGCCGCAGGTAACTCACGCGAGGTCATAGGGCTTTGGGCCAAATGCTCGGACAGACCTATCCCTTGTAATCGGAGTTTCGTGATTCCAATTGCGCTTATAGTCAGACGAATGTCCCGGAGACGGAGCGACTTATAAGGATCCAATGACCTACCTCTGTGTACGTCGTTCGTACCTCGACAGCAAAGGCGTGCCATTCAAACTTGTATTCTACTTCAAATTTCACATTGCTTTTCTCTACTAAGTATGATGGGTTCTTCATTGAAGGCAGAAGATGTGCCTATCTGCCACATTGTCACGCCTGTTGGCATGATGGGCTATGGCTTCGATATAGCTCCAACGGAGTATCAGCTTGCTCACCTCGTCCCTACCGGAATACCGATCGCAATCATTCTTGATGCAGGATCAACAGACTCGGGTCCACACAGGCTAGCATTGGGTTCTACGGGATGTCCACGCGCTGCTTACGTTCGAGACTTGACTAAATTGCTGGATCTCGTTCACCGGTTCCGAGTGCCGTTGATATTCGCCTCGGCTGGAGGCGATGGTACAGATCAGCATGTCCAGCTCATGGAGGATATACTTACAGAAATATGCTCACGTGGAGGAAATGAGTATGTTGAAACCCGTTGCAATTGGTCCCAGTATTAACAAGCTTTCCGCAGAGATTATAACTTCAAGACTATCTCGATATGTTCCAACATCAAGAAGAGCCTTGTCGCTCAGCGCCTACAAGATAATCAAGTTACCGGCTGTGGACCCTGCGTTCCCCCCCTCACAGTCATGGATATTGAAGAATCGACGAGTGTCGTTGCCCAGGTCGGCCCGGAAGTCTTCCTTGACGCAATGCAAGCCACCCCTGACTTCGATATCCTCATCGGTGGGCGAGCTTACGATCCAGCGCCCTATGTCGCCTACGCTCAATTCGCATTGAACCGCCAACACCCCGGTCTAGCAGAACAAAAGTCCGAGCACAGACTGGGCGGTTTTACCCACATGGGCAAGGTTATGGAATGCGGCGGCGCATGCTCCCAACCGAAATCGCACGGCGCTATCGCAAGTGTCTTTGCAGACGGTGTGTTTGATGTTCGACCCCTGGCATTCGAGTCCAGATGTACAGCGCAAACTGTCGCCGCCCATGCGCTGTATGAGAACACGCGGACCGACTTCCTTAAAGGCCCTGGTGGTGCGCTGGAGCTGCTGGGAGCAGTGTATGAGGAACTGCCCGATCAAAGAACTGTCAGAGTGCGCGGTAGCATTTTCAAGAGCTCGAGAGAGCAGGGTCTGCCCTATTGCTTCAAGTTAGAAGCCGGCAAGCTCGTGGGCTACCGTTCACTCTTCATGGGCAGTATCAAAGACTGTAAGTACGCAAAGGCCTTATGCTATGAAAAGTTGCGCTGAAACGTGACAGATGGTCTTATTGAGCAGATTGACACTCTCCTCCCGGCTGTCAAAGCCTACGTCAAGCAGCAACATGTGCACTTGTCTGACAACTGGAATCTCGACTTCCACGTCTACGGAAGGGACCACACGAATAAACGTGGCGGCCCTGGGGAGCTGTTTGTCGTGGCAGAAGCGCTGGCACCATCCCGAGAGTTGGCCAGCAGCATCGCGTCAAAGGCGCGTATAGGATTAATTGTGAGTGTTGCGGGTGGTCGGTCCGTCGGCAATACCGACGCGAGAAAGCTAATAGGGACAACAGCATGCACCATATCCTAAACAGAAAGCAACTTCAGGCAATGTCGGCTTCGGTATTGGCGGATTAATGGAGATTGAGGCCGGTCCCTGCGCGGAATTCTCGGTTTATCATCTGCTTGAACTTAAGTTGGGAGAAGAACACCTTGTCCTGGACAATACCCCTGAGATTGAAGGGTCCTTGCAACTTCGCAGGACGGTCCAAACTTTCGGTCACGGAAGGCCTACAATCAACGGTCTTGACTTCCAGAGGGACGTCGCGCGTCTTCGTGACACTCTGCGACAGCCAACGACCAACAGCCAACCTCGGGCGACAGGCGAGGAAGCACCTCGCACATGTCTCCCCGCCAACTTGTCCGACCTCTGTGGGGTGTTTCGATCCAAGAACGCCGGACCTTTCGAAATCACCATCGACGCCATGTTTCTCACGCCCCAAATCTACGAGGCAGTCAAGAAGTCCAACATCCTCACACCTGAAACGGTCGCTCGCGAACTGGGTGTGTGCAGGAAGGACATCATCTGGATGGGCTTCTACGGCCCAGCCAAAGCTTTCAAAGTCACCATACCAAGAATTCGCTCGGGCATGAAAAAGGCCGCCGGAGGATTCATGGAGAATGACGTCCACGGCTCCCAAGAGCATGTCGGCTTGGCGACACTGAAGCTACCACAAGACCTCGAGGATCTTGTGTCTTTGGATTCAGCAGCATCAAAGGCCGTGGTGAACACTACACGTGAGTGGACGACAGTTCTTGGGGTGGCGGCTGCAGTCGGAAGTTTGGGTGTCGCCGCATTGCTCAAGCGATTGGTGAGTGGGAGGTGAATCGCGGTGCTGTTTCCCGCAAGGCTTGCATAGGTGACAATGCCATTCCGAGTATTCAATGCCCGTGTGAGAGAATCGTTTCATATTTAAGTTCCACAGAGTCTGTCCAAGGCACCATTCATGATAAAAAGGTGTGCATGTCGCTGGTGTCGAAGTTCACCATGCTCATGAATGGGTCATTCCAAAAGCCGTCCAGGAGATCCAAATTCATGCCAAAGTGACTCGGTGCCATTTGTGTCAGGTCAAGTGCTTGCCAGTCATGAAGCGCAGTGGTCGCCTGCATCTCATTCGAGACCGGCTCCAAGATTTTCTCTTCCTGGATGTTAACCTCCGCGCCGCGCACTTCGCTCGCGTTCGTGACAGCATCGTAGACTATCGACGCCCCCATTCTGTGGGTCAGGCGTAGCTTGCTGTCGCCCGTTTCACCGGTTGAGTTCTGGGCGAGGACTTGGAAGACTTTGGCAGTCCGACTGTACTCGTCTTCCGGGTCAATAGAGCATCCTCTGAAGTGATCTTGCGCCAGGGCTATGTGACGTGCGGCTCCTTGGCGCTCTTCGGGTGCCACGTCCTGTTGCCTGTAAAAGAACTTGAGGAGAATGATGGTGGCGAATGCAAATCCACGATAGTGGTTTTTCGGTAAGCAGCGCTCGCGTTGTGCTGCCGCTGCATTGAAAAGGCCTCCGGCTGTGCTCCTCCACGAGAGCGTCGCAAGGTGTATGAACCGCTGGGCGGCTGACAGGGCAGTTGCCAACATGATGTGTCTTGACGTTCCCTCCGACGCTTTGGCGAAGAACAAAGCGTATATGTGCAGTTTCGCGTCTAGGATATCGAGCTCGATCCGTGTTTCCTTATCATCGTGGAGCGTACCTTGCGGCTTCAGTGCACTCAATTCCGCATCGACCAGTCGAATGAGCGACGCTGTGGTGGACTCTTCTGTGTCTCGGTTCAAAAGCGCAGAGAACTTGGCAACGACCAGCTGGATTCTTACCCTGCTGGAAAAGAAATTCGGTACATTCTGGAGCTGGAGGAACTCCTCTATGGTTTTGATGTCGAGTTCAGCATCTATCGGGGCAGGAACCCAAGGTGGTAGCTAAGCCTGGTCCGTCGTCAACATCTGAGCTCGCCCTTCCGCGAAAGAAGGCTTCAAACTTACGATGTGGTGACAAAAAAGCATCCCAGCCATGTGTTGATCCTCGCCGATATGTTGCCCGGAGCAACTCCCAAGCTACGCAAGGATGGGACCGTCTGTTGACGATCCAAGCTCATGAACCGTGCTGCCTGGATGGCTACGCCACTGTACAACCAGGTGGGATCTTTGGCCTGTGTGCTCACGCCAAACGGCCATTCGCACAGTAACACGATGGCTTGTATCTTGTACAGTGGCAGAGGAGCGTCCATGATCTGCTGGTTTAGATATCTGGTGAATGCGTCCTTGAATCGCATGTTCACATCCACGAAGCGCGCTTCGGGCCGGTGGGATCCAATGATGATTATGACAGTCCAGAACAGTAGTGGTTGCCCATGCAACATGGCGTCTACCGATATTGATCCTATGATTGGAAGCTGTGGACGGAAAATGTTGGCGAAGCTAGATTTCGTCAGCCGCTGAGACAAAGTCAAAACGTTTGTCCTACATTTTGAAGGCCTCCACTGCAACCTCGGTGCCCAAGTGAATATCTTCTAAAGATATGGTCGACGCACGGATATTGAAGTCATCCTTGGCGTCCACTTGATCAACGTTGGCAGGCGAGTCTGAGACCGCTGCCGAGGATTGCTGTCGCGGCACGGCAGGGGAATCAGCCCCAGATGTTTTGCTTCTGAGCTCGAGGAGCTCCTTGTTCATGGCTTCTAGGCGCCTGACGTATTGTCAGCCGAAGCTCATTGAGGTAGTTTCCAAGTTAGCGAGACTTACTTTCGCGCAGGCGTCCGCTTGAATGAAGCGTCCACTGTGCAGAAGAGATTCCGTCCATCACATCTTGAGCATGGATTGGGGAACTTTTCCTTGTAATTGCAGCGCAACTACGGAACATTAGTCCACGGCTATGGGCGCTTTTGATTGTGGGAGGAGAGTGGTGAAGATACTTTTGATTGCTTGCACTCAGTGCAAGTCTTGACCGCACGCGCGCCTGGGGCAGATCGTGAAGCCATCCTGAAGAGTCATGTCTGTCCCGCGCTGGGGGAACATGTAAAAGACAGAGCAAGATTTCGTGGTAAAACTCAAGAGTTCAAACCTAGCAGGGGGGCTATCTGCCGGCATAGAAATCCTGGGAGCTGACATGGAGCATTGAGCACTCAACCAAGCGCAGCTGCCGCAGGCCAAAGCTCATCATCTTCAAGTTTAGTGCGTTCTCAGCGGTAAATTGTCTGGACTGTTATAAAGAAACCCGACTGAAGTTGACATCGCGACAAGTCTTGCCTGGCATTCGAAATTGACTGTAGCACGGATCCAGCAATAGTAGTACGCGTCAAGCTCCAGCCGAGCCGACATCTGCTCGTGCCCTAGGGTAACGCGAAGAGCATTGCCAATGATGGCACGACGTCGGCCAATAGCGGGCCCAGCGTCACCCAACAACGTCAACACGTGAATCCATCATCCGTCATCCGTCGTCGAATCCAACATCCCATCGAGCCCTCCCACATCGCCCACTGTCACTCCACTGCGACTCAGCGCTCCCCTCTATCCGGCCGTGCGACATTGAACTCGGCGCATTCTCCTCTGATGCCCCCTCTCGAGGACAAGTAATTCAGCCAATCGCGCCTCGCCTGCATTGTCCACGCCAGCAGAGGGCATATACGCATTCGGTGATATTACGTGCGACTACGATTCGAGACGCATTTCCTTTCAGCAAAGCGAGCCTCCCACCTCCCCGCCCCACGTCCAGATTAAGCGAGTCCCTTATTCTTCTAGCATCATCGAATTGTGCGGGCGTTTGGCGATTCGTCGCACTTGGCCATTGCCCTTCTCGACGCTCGTTTTTCTCCCTATCCGGGCGCGGCGCGGACTGCCGCGGCACCGACTGCGTGTTTCCCGCAACAGACTTCGGCGTTCGATTCGGCCTCGAGTTCGCAACATTTATAACCCTGATGGCTCGCACTCGCATATAGAACAATGAATTCGCTCAACATCCTCACCACGCGGGTGGCGCCACCATCTCGATCCAACAGCTTGAGCCACCTCGGCTTGGGAACGTCCGAAGACGAGAAACAGGGCGACAAGGTCGACGCATCCTCGCAGGATGATGTTGAATCGTACCCAGCAGCCTCAAACGAGACGCAGTACGAGGAGAAGTATGAGGCTTCAGATGATACACCTTTGCTAAGCGAGACTGCGGTCGGGAACAAGCGATCCCGCTGGTGGCACTCATTACCGCGCAGCCTTGCGTCAAGTATCCTGGGGTCCATCCGATGGGTGTTTGCAACACTGGCCTCTCCTGGCGTGTATTTGTACGCCTGCTTCTGCGATGAGCTTGGATACTTTGCTCCTTGGACCCAGTTCAAGAAGGCACTTGGTATCCGAAAGGGGGCCAAAGCCAAGACCATTGCCAACGAAGACGGTGCATCTGAAAGTGACAGGCGCCTTTCTCCTTCTCATGCACTCGGATCACAGCAGCGCAGGCGTGATCATTCTAGATCGTCCTCGATTGCCGTTTCGTCCGAATCCGAATCCGATGAATTGCAACCACGAACACGAAGGCACACTCGATCCAAGTCGGAGAACGTGGAAGAAATCAATCCGGCGCGGAAGTCAATCCGAATCAAACTCAATAATGACGAAACCCTGGAGAAGCGCAGGCACAGAAAGACCCAGTCGGCCGTGGCGCGAGCCAAATCAAGCGAGCTTGGTCAGGAGGAGCTATCGGCGCATCTTAAATCACCCACGTCTCCCACCACCGCGTTGACCAAGTACCCCCGAGCACCTGCACCTCCCCGTCCTCTGATCCCGCGCCGGCAGGCCTCGTACCTGAATCTCGAGCCGCCGCGCAAACCCACGAAAACCTTGATTCTTGACCTTGACGAGACTTTGATCCATAGCATGTCGAAAGGGGGGAGGATGGCCACAGGCCACATGGTGGAGGTGCGACTCAACCCTGCCTCTCTCGGCGCTGGCGCGCAAGTTGGCCCTCACCCGATCTTGTATTGGGTCAACAAGCGCCCGTTTTGCGATGATTTCTTGCGACGCATCGTCAAGTGGTTCAACCTCGTCATATTCACGGCTAGCGTCCAAGAATATGCGGATCCTGTCATCGACTGGCTCGAGTCGGAGAAGAAGTTCTTCTCAGCAAGATACTACCGTCAGCACTGTACCTACCGTCAAGGTGCTTACATCAAAGACCTCAGCGCAGTGGAGCCAGACTTGAGTTCTGTAATGATCTTGGACAATAGCCCGCTGAGCTACTTATTCCACGAGGGTGCGTATGCAAGATCGCGTACTGAGCCATGACTAACGTTCTGCAGACAACGCAATTCCCATACAGGGATGGACCAATGACCCCACAGACCACCACTTGATGCATCTGATACCGCTTTTAGAGGGGTTGCAATACGTTCATGATGTGAGGTCACTTCTGGCTCTCAGGGGCGGAGAAGAGGGACAGAATTCATGAGCTTAAGACGCTCCAATTGCATTGTTGCTGTACGTATAATCCATGGTTTGACACACTATTGAATATCCAAAATGCCAAACTCCATTGCGACGTCTGCCGTTCTGCATTCGCCTGTAAATTGTAATCCTGTAGGTGCCGCAATAATTAAGCCTTTCAGGGTCCAACCACATTAAGCTACCCCTGAATATATGACGCAGCAATGTTTCTCATACAGCTAATGCAGTGACCAAGCGCTCAAAACTCGGTAGACCGGGTCCGTCGACATCATCCAAATCTGATGATGACCACCAGGATCCACGAAACTACGTACTAATTAGTATGGGCAAAAACCGGCTTCAACCGCGGCTTTCGAACACGGCTAGAACCGGTTGCAGGGCACTGCCATTGGCTGGCCCCAGGTCGAGGAGGTAAAGCTCCTGCGTCAAGATGACGGTTCTGTTAAGCTGTTGCAACCAGCGACAGGCTCAGTAGACTGCGCAAGCTCAATTGAATAGGTCCGAAGTAATGTTGTTTGTACCAAAATTACTTTCAGACACGGCCGTCAAAAAAACAACGAAAACGATTCTTGAGGGAATGTGCAATATGATCGAGGCCATCATAATTCCTCTTGGTTCTGATCCCGCGCTTGCACATCATCTAGCGACTGAGGCTAACCGCATGCGGCAGCGCTCCCAAGCGCAAGAATGATGACATCACAGCCTATGAGTGACGACAGGTGCGACCAGCTGGGTTCTGGAACCTGGAGCAGGAGCTTGCCCGGGCAACTTGGTACAGAGAATGGGTGAAACTCACCCCGATCGAGATCGGTGGAGGGGGTCTGGCTGCGTTCGGGCTAAGCTAGCTAGCAGTACAAAAGGTTCAAGCTCTGCTGTTGCTACTGTCGTCACGACTTTGATCCTACTCATCTGACGCACTCTTCAATACCATCAATCTTGCCCAATTTCATCGACTCACTACACACAAACCGCCATCATGAGCCTGCACTGTAAGTTCCCATTGACCTCGTCCCTCTCGTGATGTGGGCGGGACAACCGAAATGCATGAGGCACCCCAGCTGACCCGTTTACCCCAGACCTTCCCCCCGTCAAGCCTTCGGCCATTGCCCTCGGCACCTTCTTCAACCACGGTGTCGAGCTCGCCGTTCTCTCTCCTCTCTTCGGTGCCACATACCAGCGCGCCAAGTCTGCCAACACTAAGGAGGAGTTTGTTCGTTCCAAGGAGGCCAGTTCTGCTGCCGTCGCCTGGGGCACCACCCTTGTCGGCTCGGCCCTCCAGGCCTACGGTGTCGGCGCTCTCATCAACGCTACTGGTACTCTCTCATACAAGGGCGCCACCTACCTCGGTGGTCTCATCTTCGCTGCCACTGCTGCTCCCGGTCTCCTCGTCCAGGCCCTGAGCGAGAGGAGGCCCCTCGACACCGTCGGTGTCAGCGTCCTCGCCAAGCTCTTCGAGACCGTCGGTCTCTCGGTCTTCCTCTCCTGGTGGGGGACCCGCACCAACCCCTTCGAGTAAAGGGTCACATGGAATAATTTGACTGGATAATCAAGTGGCGTTCAGGACAGGCATGGAAAATGGCCGGAACGGACGCTCTTGATTGATAGTTACTACGAGGTGGTGGAGTTCTTTGCTGTACCTATGTATCGTCTTTGGCGAATAATTGTACTATTCAACCAAAACCATGACATACGTGATTGTTTGCGAGTGAAAAATGATAGACAAGCTCCCGAGTCTGGAAGTTCAGTTCCGTCCAGCGCAAATTGGCCAGATGTAACAGATGTGTGAGCAAGTTGATTCTTATTGAATAACACCGTAACGCCTTTGACCACGACCGTAAGCCTCTGGTAATGTACATCCAGATGTTCGAATAAACCAGTCAGCCCGTACTCAGTTCACATCCTAAGCCACTGCCTTGCCGTCGCCTTTGGACCAGAAGGCCTGCTTGCTCAGCTCCTTCTGCAAGTACTTGACCAGCGCAGAGTAGCTCTCGCCAAACTCCTCGCCATCCTCCTCCTTCTCGTCGCTCTTCTTCTTGCCACCCTCGCGCTTCTCCATGATCATGACCACACTGGTCGGTCGCTTGGTCTTGGCGGCCGCACCCAACTCTGCGCGCGAAGAGACAAAGATGAAGGGAACGTTGTGATCTTCGCAGAGGACGGGAAGGTGGGAGATGACATCGGCGGGGGAGATATCGCCGGCGATGATGACAATACCGGGGAAAGAGGTGACGCCAGGTCCGGCGGCGGGTGACTTGCGGAGTGTCTTCACAACTTCCTTTACACCACGCTTGAGGGTGTTCGCCTTAGCAGCTACTGTTGTTAGCACGGAAAGTATCGCTCCTGGTCGATCGACAGGGTCTCACATTTCCGGATGGTCTTGAAAACCTTCTTCGTGCCCTTGTCGTCGGCCAATGGCACCGCAAAGGGCACGACAGTCCTCTCGACCGGAAGAGAGGAAGCATCGTCAACCTCAACGTCAGAGTCGTCCTCCGTGGCAGCGACCTTCTTGACCACGACGGCGGCGGCCTTGACGGCTGTGTCGCGCTCGAGCTCATCTTCCGCGGCAGCGGCAAGCTTCTCCTTCTTTTCCTTCTTGTCCTTCTTGTCCTTTTTGGACTTGCTCACGCCCGACTCATCGCTGCGCTTCTTGTCCTTCTTCTCCTTCTTCTCGGGCTTTTCGGCGGCCATTTTGAATTATCGAACGGCCAATTGGACTATGCGCAGAGGTTTGAGGATGGCCAGGGGAAGATCGAGGCTGACAATGTGATGCTGGGTCCGTCGGTCGTCGTAGTATTTGTCGAACTTTGGATTTTCTGGGCGGCCAACTTTTTTTGCTGGGGCCTTAGTCGCTGGCCGAAATTTTCGGTGTTGGCGTCCGGCTCCGCCGGATCACGTGACCGTCGAAGCGTTTTCGCCTGCTCTTCTAACTCATCTCTTGCCTCGAAAAGAGGTTGCCATACTTGCGATAAATTGAGTATTGGTACAAGTCATGGGTGTTCTTGAATAGCATGATGAAGCTTGGGCTCAATCGCAACCAGTTAGGCTGACTTCATATTGTGTGACTGGGTCTCAGAATGTCTGTCCTGGTGGCATCACCGTACTGGCCACCAACGACCCGTCGGTGGCGATTACAAGCTGTTCAAATACACACGAACCACGGCAGCGTGCGAAGCATCGCAATAATTCTTCACAAATGAGATTGATTGCACGAAGTTTATCCGGCCCCCATCTAAGTAGTTGTACAAAGGCTTCAAGGACAATGAAATCCCATAGTCGAACAACATCTATTCCTCGTCCGCAAACTCAGCGCGACCGGCCTTGGAGTTGAGATAGTGGTTGCTGCATTAATCCTGTCAGCGCCTGGGAACCATGAGGCTTGATCCAAAGGGTAACATACCGCTCAGTGGCCCAGTTCAGGATATAGTAGCCGGCAAAAGCGGCGGGGAGCCAGTAGAAGATCTGGGACTTGGTGCGGCGGAATGTGTTGAAGACAGCGTCGTATGTTGCGCCAGCAAAGGGGTTTTGGCGGTTGGCAGAGAGACCCCACTGGACAATGCCCTTCTGCTTGTTGGCACCACCTATATGGTCAGCATTTGCTCAGTCAACAAGCGCGAGCTATGTCGTCGGGTCCCTCCCAGAGCTCCTAGACAAAAGCGAGGTTTCTAGCGCATCTGCTCAGCGAGAATGCACCAATCGTTATCGGTTGAGTTTCGTCTTCACTCTTCCACGTCATAACGGTCATCTGGCCTGTCGCGTCGCAGCTGGGATTCGGTCGACTCGGCTCGGCGTGCAATCGTAGGTAATCTATGGTCACTCACCAATGGAGCCCCAGTCACCAATGTAGCTGCAGATTGTTAACATCTATCCCTCAAGTGATGCGTCGCGCAACGTTGCCGGCTGTATAAAGGCCGCATTCGATCACTCGCCGCGCTCCGCTAGCTGATGGTGGAGAACTCACTGTCCGGTCTTGGGGTCAGGCGCGCCGCCCCCACGGAGGATCTGGGTAGGTCTCATGATGGCTGGTTTCCGTCGTATGGGTTGGAGGGATATCGGGATGCGAGGTTGAGGATTTCGGGCGAGGTCGGTGGAAAACATCAAGCAACGGGGCTTGCCGGGTTTTAGCCGCGCATGTGGCCAGACGCATTCGCCAATAGCACGACACTGATTTCTGTGCACTGGACTGGGAGCGAACATAACGATAACACTCCTGTTCCTATTCTACGATTGGAACTTTTACCGTTGGAACTTTCACCGAATTGAATGGGCTAGAGATTTATAGCAAATTATCGCCGTTTTAACTATTTTCGGCGACCAGAGAGACGTTTCAGAGACGTCTAAGCTAGAGCTAGACTTTACGTACCCTATACATTGACCTCGCGGCTTCTCTGGCTGATACGTGTTGCATCACTGGCAGTTTGGTCTAGAAACTGATGCAATTGATTACTCGAGGATATGCGTTTGTTTCGTCTCATGAACAGCTCGCGAGTGATATGTACACCCTTGGGCTTTGATTCGCAAGTATATGGCATTTCCAGCAACAGCCCTGTGATTCTGCACGAGCTAAGAGCACAAAGACATCGACGGATGGTTACCAAATAATAGAAAGCATTACTCACTCAGAATTCTCAATCGCTTCCGAGCATCGTACTCGTCCACACTCTTCGGTTGTTTGGTGCTTTCCATCGTTGGCTCATTCCTGTTCCGTTCATGAAAGCTGCGCCCGGGCCTAGCTTCATCCACATCATCTCATGCGACGGCCACCTCTACCTTTTCCACGAAAGTCAGTCAAGAGGCAAGATTTTCCGCCCATGACTACTCCTCAAACTCACCCAATGCTTCTCAAAGGCTGATTTATATCGTATGACCACAATGAAGAGTCGCCACAATGAGCCTCGATCTCAAGCACATTCCCTGCCCAGCCGGCAATAGCTGCACCGCTTTCAAATGCATCTTTGGCCATCAAAGGGACATCAAAGCCCCAAATGTCAAAACTCCGCAAGTCAATGACGCACAGCAATTCAAGGCAGTGAAAGACACCGGACCGCCAAGAAAACGCGCGAAGGTGGATGATGCACCATCCGCAAACAAAGACCACAAGCCAGCGTCGGACGTAGACGCCCTGACAGGCAGCGTGAGGACGGCCACGAAACAAGTGTCACCACCGCCTCTGAAAAGGCCATCGAATGATTCCAAAGCAAATCAGGGACCCGAGAGCTCTTTCGCCAAAGCCTCTGCTGGGGCAGAAGCAGCCTCAAACTCGACTCCCGTTAAACCAAGAAAGATTGAGACTTTGAATCCTAGGCTTCTGAAAAGCTCCCCTGCCAGCCATGAAACACGCACCAAACTATTGTGTTTACTACATGCCGAATACACACGCCTCAACAAAGAGCTGAAGAAGGATGCCACCGCCAGCGAAGAAGAAATTGTGCTCTCAGACCAAGATATAATCTTCAAATCGCTCGATGACGAGGAGAAGACTGCCCTGGAGAAACCTTCTGTATACCCCAACGTCATGAAGAACATGGTGATGCAGTACAAGCGTATGAATACTGCACAGTGGAAGGATGAACGCAAGCAAGCTATCGCAAAGCTAGCTCCCAAGGACAGCGGCGGGGCCAGCGCACCGAAAAACATCGAGACTGGACTGCCCCCAGCTCTAGAGGTCCAGATTCTGCGACGCCTGTTGACACCGATTCAAAACCTAGCGAATCATGGCTATGTGCCTTCCATACCGGCGCCAGAAGACATACAGAAAGCCAAGGATGGGCAGGAAACAGCAAAAGGCTGGGAGCAGTGCGATCGATGCAAGCAACGCTTTCAAGTATTCCCAGGCCGCCGCGGCGAAGACGGCGCACTCACCTCTGGCGGGATGTGCAGATATCACTGGGGCAAGCAATATGTCCCCCTCAAGCACCCGGGGGATCGATCAAGGAGGGAAAAGCGATGGAAGTGCTGTACCGAGGAAGTTGGCGAGTCAGCAGGCTGTCATACGGAAGATTTCCACGTCTTCAAGGCGAGCAAGGCCAACGTGCTGGCCGCAGTCATGAATTTCAGAGAGACACCCCCCAATCCGTCTGCGCCTGCAGACCGAGCTGTGGCGTTTGATTGTGAAATGGGATACACCGTCCATGGTCTGGAGCTCATCCGCCTTACCGCGGTGTCATGGCCAGCTGGAGAGGTGCTCCTCGACGTGCTCGTACGTCCGATCGGCGAGATATTGGATCTGAACAGTCGCTTCTCTGGTGTATGGCCAGATGACATGGCCCGCGCAACACCCTGGAACGAGTCGTACCCTCCGCCCTCGGCACCCGATCATGCAGTGTCTGAAGATTGGGGTAGCGAAGATGGCCAGGTTGCTAAGAAGGTCCTGCCCATTGTTTCCTCCCCTGAAGCGGCACGAACACTTCTTTTCTCATTACTCGCACCGTCAACACCCTTGGTTGGCCACGGACTCGAGAATGATCTCAACGCCACGCGTATAATTCATCCAGCCTTGGTCGATACTATTCTGCTGTATCCTCACAAAGCTGGACTGCCTGCTCGGATGGGTCTGAAGCATCTGATGAGTTACCACCTGAACCGTCAAATACAACAAGAAACCGGCCCGAAGATGCTAGGCCACGATTCGGCCGAGGACGCCAGGGCAGCCGGAGACCTCGCGAAGTTACGGGTCGTGGAAGAGTGGGAGAAGATGCAACGGATGGGCTGGAAGGTTGTTGAAGGTGAACTGATCCAGTCTGAGACTTGACAGCTTCGTTTATGCATAGGGTTGGCTTAGGAGCCTACCGTGGGTGTTGTTTTCAGGCGTTTGGTGGGTTCGATACATAGCGGACCATTCTACGAAGTCACAATTTGAGAACTGCAAATGCCTGCCTCCTTGGTGATTATGTGGTCTTTTTCCTAGACCTAGAAGTAGAAGTACAGTCCTTGTAGTACAATTCATCAAGTAAGTGGCGAATCCGTCCTGCCCATGTCCATCTTTACGCCCTGCCAACCGACAAGAGGTACTGACCACCCTGTTTCCCAGCACCACCCGGCAAGTATGCGACATTGGGGTTGGATGCCAATGTTTGGGCAATCTCCCTGCTCGCCTCGATCTTTCGGATCTGGATCAAGCCGTCACCACTCTTTGCAATCGCCTTGCTGATCTCTTCGGCACTCTCGGCCTCACCCTCTGCGCGGATAACGTTCGCCTGTCGCTCCTGCTCGGCCTTCTCAACGATGAAGCGTGCTCGCTCGGCATCCTGCTGGGCAATTTGCTTCTGCTCGACAGCCTTTGTGAATTCGCGACCAAAAGTCATGTGGGTGATGGAAACGTCCTCGAGGGCAATGTTGAATTCGGCGGCACGGCGGGTGAGATCGCTTCGGATGCGCTGGGATACGGCCTCACGCTGGGTGATCAGCTCGGCAGCATCGAACTGGGCGACAATAGCCTTGAGGACTTCGTTGCCGATGGACGGGAGGACACGCTCATCGTAATCGGCGCCGAGGTTCTTGTCAAGTCAGAGCGATGCGCTACACTGGATTTAGAAAGTGCCAACGTACCTGGTAAATCTTGGGGAGCGCTTGCACGTTTGGTCGATGCAGCACACGGAGCGTCAAGCTGACCATCTGCAGATCCTTGCTGCCGGTCGTCGTTGAGATACTCCTTGGCTTGGTACGCACATCAAAGATGATGCTACGCTGCAGCCACGGGACTAGGAAGTGCGTGCCCTCGTTGATGACGTCCTCCTTGACACCGGAAAGCCTGTCGAAGATGACGGCGCGAGTCCCGCCTTTGACATCGTAGATGGCCTGGCTCGCGAAGAAGGCGCCGACGGTGGCTGGGACCGCGAGGCGGTAGGTAAAGTTGAGAGCCCGTGCAATGTTGGCCATCTTGAAAACGGGCGTTGGGGATGGCTTCGGGTTTTGTGGGATGGTGAAGCTGTTCGGGACTCGGAGCTTGAAGTGGTGATGCATCCAGGTCTTCGAGCTACCATCGAAATCACGTGACCAGTAATCGACAGAGTTGAGAATACCTCAAGGAAGACAACCCGACGGACCATTGGATTGTTTCTCGATAAAAGCACAGCATCTGCATTTATTCTTACAGTTCACAAACGTCACCGGAAATACTCATCTGGTCTCATCACTGTAAGCACCGGGTTGGATCTCACAATCATCGAGGCTATGCGGTGCAGTTGTGCTGCTTAGGACACTGCGTCTGATTGTGTCAAATTTCAAGACAACTCTACGCTACGGAGTACCCAAGCCTGGCACTTTCCAGCTGTCTATGGCCATTGCCTCATCATTTATCATTTGGCACAGTCACCTTCCCTTTGACGTGTCTGTGCCGGACTAAACGTCTGTACGGAGTATTACATGTTGAGGCGCCAGACGCTGGTGTCGGGGATCCATGATTCACTTGAGATCCTGCGGAACGAATCGGCATTCGGATTTCGGAAGGGACCGCGCGCGGATGTTGATGGACTTTAGCGGAAGTTGCGCTTCGAGTGGAATTGGCGTCGCAACACACAGTTTGGTTCACATCAGTAAGGAAGGCGGGCAGTGCGCTCGCCATGCCACTCCAACAACTGAGGCGCCAGTTACCCTCCGCTCCTCTGTTTCGTCTCCTTGACACAGTTCCTCGAGTCAAGATCATCCAACGCCGGCCGCGCATAATGGAGCACATTGGTGGCAGTACCAAAGCACAGCACCTTTGCGTGCTCGTCCATGGTGTGAGTCTCCAACCAATCCCGTGTCCGCGTCATCGAAATTGTTGAGGCTCACAATCCACAGCTATGGGGGAACCCGAATCACATGAACAACATTGCGAAGAGTTTGCGCGCGACATTTCCTCCCGAAGAGCTGTATCTCCTCCTCGCCAAGCGAAATAGCGGTAGCTTCACCTACGATGGCATCGAACGGGGGGGCGAGCGTGTATGCCACGAGATCGAAGAAGAGATGAAGATGATTGAGGAAAAAGGTGGCAAGATTACAAAGTTGAGTATCATTGGGTACTCACTCGGTGGGCTTGTGTCGCGTTATGCTGTGGGCTTGCTGGAAGCCAAGGGTATTCTCGATCGCGTCGAGTGTATGAACTTTACAACGTTTGCGACACCACATCTCGGCGTGCGATCGCCGCTCAAGGGATGGCACAACCATGTCTGGAACGTCCTCGGCGCGAGGACGCTGTCCATGTCTGGACGTCAGTTGTTCATCATTGACCAGTTCCGCGATACTGGAAGACCGCTGCTGGCTGTGCTGGCAGACCCCAAATCAATCTTCATGTCAGGCATGCGGAAATTCAAGCGGCACACATTATACTGCAACATTGTCAACGATCGCAGCGCAGTGTACTACACGACAGGAATACAGAAGACCGACCCATACAGGGATCTGGACTCGCTCAGGGTGAATTGGGTGAAAGGGTATGACAACGTCATACTTGATCCTGCGAACCCTTACAAGGCCTATACCAAAGTCCCAGATCCGACTTCCTTTTCGTCGTTGACGGTGGCGGGCCTGCGGTGGCTAAAGAGGATACCATTCATGATTGCACTTGGCATCTTTGTTCCGATTGGCGTAATCGGATATCTCTTGAACTCCATCGTGCAGAACGCACGAAGCTCAAGTCGCATCAAGCTCTACGAGAAAGGACATGAGGGCGTCAGAATCGAACAGTATCGAGTCCCTGTCCTTCTCAAAGAGATGCGGGAGGAAGTCGAACAGGTTTTTGAGACGATCAACAGTTCTCAAGAGCAGGAGTATCTGCGCCCCGAGGATGAGTCCGACGCGGAACATCTGGGAGTTGACCAGCGCTCTCGGATGAAGAGAGAGCGCAGAATGTCTGTAGCTTCGGAGCCTACTTTGGCATTGGCCCCAGCTCAGTTCGAGATGATTGATGGGCTGGACACACTCAACTGGCGGAAGTATCCCGTCTGGATCCAAAGAATCCGGCATAGCCATGCAGCCATCATTGTGCGGATGGACAGGGATGCGTTCAGCGAGGGCAAGTTGGTACTGAAGCACTATGCTCAGTCCGAATTTGTGAGGTGAAGCGGGCAATGTCTGTGCTTCTGGCTAGGATATGTAAATATCGTATCAGCGTCTCTATCTATAGACTTACAAAGTACATACAGCATTGGCTCTAGTTCGTTCAAAGATTAATGTAATGAATGTCCACAAAATCAATCAATGTCTTACACAAACGTGTCGGTCGTCTGTTGTGCACACACCTGGATGACTGAAGGCCCCCTTGAAATTGACTTGCTTTCCCACGTGCCAATTGATCATCTGCCGATTTTCAGAAGAAGTGTAGATTCATCCTTTAACGATTGACGTTCTATGTCATGACGTCGAGCACACTAGGAATCGGAGAAGATAGCAAGAACTTCAGCCAACATGAAACCAGGCCAATTGAACGACGTAGCTCGGAGGTACGCCGTCTTACCCCAGACGGCTCAGGCGAGCAGTTGCGTTAGACCCCGCAGCTATGACCAATCACAACACGAGCATATACTCCTGAACTGCTTCGGCCAATGAGACGGCGTAAAGGGTGGCAACCACCAAAATCCAATCCGAGCCGACACACCGTGCAGTAAGTCCAGCAGCACATCAGTCGATTCCTCCCAAACGGTCTCGACCTTTTGTTCCATCATCTTCCACCTCCTCTTACCTCTGCACAACACTCCCAGCTTCTCATTCATCTTCTGTTGTCGTCTCATACTTTGATTGCTGCGCGAGCGATACTCCTCCTCTAGCACGATTGTGTCGAAAACTTGAAGGGCATGATCCGCTGCGTAATCTTTGGCCGAGCTCAGTAGGGCAGCATCAGCGACAGGACACACCGCGTGAGCCGATACTCTCTTCGAGCTAGCCTTCCGACATTCACCTTCACAATGGTTCTTCAACACTCAACTACGCACACATACTCTCATCCCTTTCCGACCGTCACCCTCGCGTACTTTCTTCGCTATTCATCGCCACGTCTGAACCCCTTCGCCACCCACGTCCTCAGCACCGACACCATCTCCAGCCATGTCGACCCAGAAACACAACGTCTCCATACTACAAGGATTCATCTCAAGAAAAGCCGTATGCCTGGCGCGGTATACAAACTCTTGCCAACGAGCATGACAGGCGGCGGTTCCGGCGACAAGTCGTCCTATGTTCTCGAGACCAGTATCGTGGATATTCGGGAAGGCTGGATGAGCACCGAGTCGCGCAACCTCAACTTTACTGGCGTGCTGTCCGTCATAGAGCGGCAGCACTTTGCCATCCCCACGAACCGTGGCATCACAAGCGAGACTGATGTCACCACCACGGTCGACTTCCGATCCAAAATTGGCGAAAAGCTGCGAGATAAATTCGGCCAGGCCCAAGCACAGAGCGACGGTTGGTTCTTTTCCGGTTGGGGCGCGAAAAGGATCGGCTCCACGATTGAGAGCCTCGCGTCGAACAAGACGCAGGATCAGCTGGGCAAGAGCCGCGATGGGATGCGCTTGGTTCTGGAAAGAATCCGCAATACTGGCATGATCGGAGTCCTGGAAACCCTGAGAAGGGAACGACAGATCCAGGCTTGAGCCATTGTACAATATTTGAGCACTGCGCGCGACCCAACGCAGAACTGGGTAACAACCACCAGGATGGACTTCGGGTCCAATGTACACACTGACATTTATTTCTGAGCACGGCGTCATGGGATTGATTCAAAATCTGGTCGATAGCTAGGGGGGCATAGTCGAAAGCACGAGGCAGGACAGCGAAGGGTGAAGAACATGTCGGCAGGTCACAAGTCCCCTCTCTGGGTTTCTGGGTAGCAGACGTACCTGTATGCTTAGCAATGAGTGTACATATTAACGAAGCAACGATTATATCTTGTTCTCGTATTATCCTGGTTGTCACTGATTGTTGAAGTCGATCTGTCGGGCTCAATCCTGGTCATTTCTGTGCTGACAAGAGCCGCATATGCTGGTATTAAATCGTTTCATTTCACCACGGATACGAGACCAAATCAGAATAAGGCTGAACAAGCATACAAGTTCGCCAGTTAATATTGAACAGCACGTTCAAAGAATGTGAGGCTGCTGGGTATCTGTGATGGTGTGACGCACTGTGCCACACTGCCACTTTGGGCCTAAGTATAGTGCAGACTGGGGAGCTTTGACATACAGGCGCACTGTACCACTACCGCGGGGTATCGATAATCTATCCATAGCCTCTTCCACTTTGCCTCAGCCTCCTCCTCTCTGATCTCGATAAGCCCTGCATCGTACTCACAGATATGTCTGAGCCTGTGTCTGTTCTCTTCGTCTGCCTCGGCAACATCTGCCGATCCACAATGGCAGAGGGCATCTTCCGGCACACCGTCAAAGACCCGCAGTACCAAGGGCGCATAGGGAAAATCGACTCTTGTGGCACAGGTACTATGACACAGCAGGGATGATTGTAGCTCCATTAGTAACGAACACATATTGCAGGCGCTTACCACGCTGGTGATGACCCTGACGAGAGGACGATGGCCACGCTGGAACAGAATGGCATCACAGACTACCGGCATGCTGCTCGCAAAGTCAGTTCCATGCCGCGCACCCCTGCACATCTCATTACCTGACACAGCCCAGTTCAAGAACTCGGATCTTCAGGAGTTTGACTATGTATTCGCCATGGACCGTTCAAACTTGTCGGACTTGCGGCGTAAAACATCAAGTGGCGACAGAGCCAAAGTCATGCTCTTTGGAGAGTATTCTGGCACGGGCAAGGCGGAGATTGTCAACGACCCGTACTATGGCGGCGATCAGGGATTCAAGACGGCTTTTGAGCAATGCAGCCGGTTCGCGCGCAACTTCCTGGACGAAGTGGTGGCGACGGAGAATTAGACAACGCTCACTCTTGGGCTTACAGACGGAAAGATGATCATAGGGCTAGAAATAGAAGACTGACACACATGGGGTGTTTCCAGATAAAAAGACTAGAAAATAAATATGTACAAAGTCATCTGCATCATGGAGTCTATCCATTGATGAGCCCTGTGTGAAGCCAGAACAGGATGTGTCAATGCGAGTGAAGGGTGCAGTGTCACTGGCCGCGAAATCCACACGACTAGGGCAGAATCATGTTCTGTCCTTTTTACTATCTTCCTTGAACCCATAGTCTACAGCGCGGCCAATGTTCAAAATGTCAAAGACATTTGGAGGACTCTGTGGCGAGCGTAAAGGCCTGGTCGAGATACCTTTCATCTTGGCAACGCGTCAGTCTCACGGAACCCTATTATCAAACCAGCAAGTTTTTATTTGACTTCAGGTAGATTGTTTACATATTTCTATTCTTACGTGTTTTAATCGCAGCAATCTCCGAGCCATAACCCAATTTTTATGGTACCTGCCGAGGGAGTATGGAACCATCGAAGCATTCATGACGGAGGCGGAGACTTTAGACGAAATATTTTCCCGGACATGATACTATTGCTTTGAATATACATGCATGTAAGGCTACGAGGCTGACGAGTTGTACATTTTTACTCAAGCCGTGTAGGCTTAAGGTTGTGGTTGGGTAAAATTGCAGCGTGTTTGATCGACGCAAGAGCCGACGGACGCCTCGAGCTCGCTAATGAAGTCTTCGACTGGCATAGGCAACTCATTGGGGGCCTGCTGTTACAGGAGTTTGCCGTCTCGTAAAGTCTCGGACATGGCTCCTCAGCCTGCCGTGGCTCCTGGTACAACGTGCCGAAAGAACCAAGTCAGCCCTCCGACAAGCCTCACTAGAGCGACGCAAATGTGCCCTCGCATCAAGTCCCAGTCCTTATCCAGGCACAAACTACACTACGGCCTAGGCATTTCAGGGGTATCGATACCACCCCGGGCCAGTGCTTCGCTACATGCATGCAGAGGTATATGCACCTATCAAGTGTTGACATACCTGACCTGCCCACCCCTTTTTGTACTATGTCTATCTAAGTTCGTCATGATTTAGGACGCCGGGATGGGATGGAAGAAAAGAACAATCTCCTTTCACAAGTACACAGATACTTACTCTACTGACGTTTTTGGTCCTCTATTCCCAAGTGTCGGGTTGCTCCGTCACCTCGGCGCGAATTCCTGAAGCTCCCAAGGGAGTTGAAGTCTGAATCTGGATCCTCGAGAGGATGGCGTATAAATGGTTGCTGACGTCGGAATGGCCATATATCGGGCACGAATAGCAGGTTAGCAGACGTCGGCGGAGTTTCCAATAAATGGCCGAAGCGACGGCACAAGCTTATACAACTTGGCCTGTCCGCAAATGGCCCTGTTCAAGAAGACGCACATACCTACAAAATGTAGCTCATGGTTCGTCAATACGGTCATGCTGACCAATTGGCAACGCTCTTGATGAACGACTTGCTAACTTCGTTGCGTCTATTGTTTATGAAATCCGGGATTCTGCAGGGAGCGGCCTCTGGCCAATGTCCGAGGGAGTTGCGCGAGTGATAGACGCCCAGCAAAACGCGGCTCCTGGATGGCAATGGAGCCATCACCACGGATGCTGAAAGGGCGCGAACCTGTTTGGACTTCGGCCCCTAAATGAACTCGGCCAATCTCCAGCCGTTGGGATCCTTTTAAGTTCAGGTATTTTGCAGGCTAGCTGAATTGGCGTCAGCCTCGATTAATAAACGCTGTCTAAAAATTGACATCGATATGCAGCAGTTGTGAAGGTACAATGCAGGAGCGAGGACTGCATTGTGTCCCTGGTGTGATTGTTGCGTGTGATTCGTGCGTCGGCGGCTGCCTCAATACCGGGTTGAAATGACAAGGCGCAGCCATTGGTCTAACAGCTTCTGCAGTCAGCATCGCCCAAGTCTGATAAGACAGGTACGTACCCAAATCACCATCACCTGGCGGGCTAGCACCCACTATTCCCTCCTGCCAGACGGAACCCCACAGGCTATTCTTGGGCTGCGCTTGCGCCTCTACGCGCCAACCTTTGATGTATCATCCATATTAATATCCGGGCCTACCATGCTCTGTCCTGCTGCCCTCGTTATTGTCCCTCTATCACTACTTCAGCCCTGAGAAATCTTCCTCTCGTTCGCTTGCCTCACTCTGCTCGACGCAGCACAGCAATCGCCACTGCTCTTCGACTGCCCCGCTCCTCACCCTCAACGCGCGTACCGGCGCCTGCATCTACCCCTCGCTCGCATTCTCGAGCTCTCTCCAATCCCTCGTTCCTGTTCAACACGCACCGGTGACAAGGACAAAGACATACATAAAAAATGGCAGACCTCCAGGGGCGCAAGGTCTTCAAGGTCTTCAACCAAGACTTCATCGTCGACGAGCGGTACACCGTGACCAAGGAGCTCGGTCAGGGCGCATATGGCATCGTCTGGTAGGCCACTGTCTGTGCTTACCCCGCCGTTTCGTGATGCTGACGGAGAGTCAACAGCGCCGCCGTGAATGGCCAGACCAACGAGGGCGTCGCTATCAAGAAGGTCACCAATGTTTTTAGCAAGAAGATCCTGGCCAAGCGTGCCCTGCGCGAGATCAAGCTGCTGCAGCATTTCCGGGGGCATCGAAACGTGAGAACGTCCCGACTGCAGACTAGATGGAAGCAAGCCACTGACAAAGGGGGTCCAGATTGCATGCCTCTATGACATGGACATTCCTCGTCCCGATAACTTCAACGAGACATATCTCTACGAGGAGCTTATGGAATGCGACCTGGCAGCCATCATCCGTTCGGGCCAGCCCCTGACCGACGCCCACTTCCAGTCCTTCATCTACCAGATCCTCTGCGGTCTCAAGTACATCCACTCGGCCAACGTCCTGCACCGCGACCTCAAACCTGGCAACTTGCTTGTCAACGCCGATTGCGAGCTGAAGATCTGCGACTTTGGCCTGGCTCGTGGCTTCTCAGTCGACCCGGAGGAGAACGCTGGGTACATGACCGAATATGTGGCAACCAGGTGGTACCGCGCGCCCGAGATCATGCTCAGCTTCCAGAGTTACACCAAGGCCATTGACGTGTGGTCTGTCGGCTGTATTCTTGCTGAGCTGCTCGGAGGCCGGCCCTTCTTCAAGGGTCGCGACTACGTCGACCAGCTCAATCAGATCCTCCACATCCTCGGCACACCCAACGAGGAGACACTCTCGCGCATCGGCTCGCCCCGTGCGCAGGAGTATGTGCGCAACCTGCCGTTCATGCCCAAGAAGCACTTCCCCGCGCTGTTCCCCAACGCGAACCCAGACGCGCTCGATTTGCTGGACAAGATGCTCGCGTTCGATCCCTCAAGCCGTATCAGCGTCGAGCAGGCCCTCGAGCACCCCTACCTTCAGATTTGGCACGATGCTTCGGACGAGCCGGACTGCCCGACCACCTTCAACTTTGACTTTGAGGTCGTCGACGATGTTGGGGAGATGCGCCGCTGCATCTTGGACGAGGTGCATAGGTTCCGCCAAAGCGTGCGAACAGCGCCAGGGAGTGGTGCGCAGGGCGGCGGACCTAATCAGCAGCAAGTGCCGGGTCAGGTACCCATGCCTCAGAACAATGGACAGTGGACAGCCGAGGACCCGCGTCCGCAGGAGTATGTCGGACAGCATGGCGGGCTTGAGCAGGACTTGGCCGGTGGGTTGGATGCGTCGCGGAGGTAAAAAGGGGTTGGTCCGGTGTGGTGAATCTTACGTGTTAGACAAAGGAGCGAGCGGACGCTTGGACAATATTTCTATTTTCGTTTGACGACGCACGCGCAAGTAATGAACCCTTGCGCCATGAGACTGTTTCTTTCATGTCCTTTTTCCTTTTTCCTTTACATGTATCGGTGTGTGGAATAACTAAGGTAGGGAGATGAGAAATAGGTCGCCAAGCGGCCACGGCAATCTGTGCAAGCGCCCGTTGCAAAGCGTCGCACTAAGGCGTGACCAAGGCTGGGCATGTGAGCTTACTGAATGCCATGTTCACAGGTGAGCTAGTTGGACATCGCAGAGGGAGGAGGCATTGATCTTTTGCTAATTTCTTCTATAATATTTCACTAGTCAAGTCTCAAAAGAACGAAGAGAAGAAACCCCATCCATTACCTATGACGCCAGACACCGTGTGAGACAGACACAACTAGTCCTTAGTCCAGTATCTATGATCCAAAACTGCCACCATGAAGGCTTCACCCAAAGAACCAGTACTGCGCAGTGTATCCCGTGCTGATCTCCCCCTCCTCGGCACCAGTGCACTTGTGCGCAACACCTCCGACGGTGCGGACCCTATACGCGAGTGTCGCGCCCAAACTGCCGTCGACGGCACCGAGGTACAGCCAGTCGACAGTCCCAGTGCCCTCGACCCCGTCGTCCGCGGCGGCGGGCGCCTTGATGTTGTCAATCTTGTAGGCGAAGAAGTCGATCTCCCCATCCCCAATCTCAAAGTAAGGGACGCCGTCAGCGTTGAAGAGGTGGTGGCCGGAGAAGGGGATGCTCAGCCCGTCGACGACCAGGTCGTTAGTCCCGGGGAACGGCGAGCCCTCCTGGTCGACGCCCGCGATGGTGGCGTCTGGCTGGGCAAAGTTGAGAGGGATGTCCTGCGAGTAGAGGGTGTTGGAGGGGAGGGCGTCAAAGGCGTCGATGGTGAGCGACTTGTCGGACTGGCCCGGGTACAGAGGTGTGACGTCGTAGAGCATGGCGAGCGCGCCGGTGGCCTTTGAGGTGAGGTCTTCATTGCATGTGTAGTTTTGGATGCCGAAACCGAGGGCAATGTGCTTGACCTTGAGGTTCTTTCCGGGGCTCTCGAGTTCATGTTCTTGAGGGAAAGAGTCAGAATTGCGTAAGCTGGTCATTATGAGGTTTCCATGAACTTACCACCCCCGTTGACGGGGAGTGTCGGGCGTGGACGGCTGGCGCCGCATGAAGGGCCACTTTGGCGTTTGACGGGTGTGGCGACGGCAAGGGCCGCCGTCGCAAGGATGCAGAATGTTTTGCAGAGCATAATGTTTGGTGGATGGACGGACGGGCGAGTGTTTTGGTTTCTTGTGTGTCAATGGTGGAGGGTTTGTCTCAGATAGGCCGTGTAAGTCCAGCAAAGCAGGGCCGCGAGGGATGGATGTCGTGTACAGCAAGGAGATACGGCAAAGAAATACCCAAGGAAAGAGAAAGAGGAAAAAGGGGGAAAACGTGCTTTCAGAGAGGTTTGTCTTTGGACTGGTAATGACGAGGCTGGAGGAGCAGGATGGGCATTCGTCTTATAGACCTCTCAAGCGCCCGCCAAGGCTACCAAGGGCATCCTTGCAGGCCGCGCCGAGAGGCGGCCACCCGCAACGGGCGGCAGAATGCAAGGATGCTTCTCCGAAGGGGAAGTTGCAACATGCGTCTCTCCCACGAGTCAAGTTGATCTGCATGCGCCTGAGAGGATGTTGGTTTTGTAACGTGCGCACAATTGCCGTGCCTTGAGCGACAAATTCTACTAGTTGAGAGTACTACGGATAGTACGTCGTATATTGTCTGCCACGCCCTGAATTTGGCTTCCGACCTGGTCCTTTGTCGAGGAGGCTGACGCCGCCAACACTCACCACAAAGACGACTCTTGAGCATTGACGGCTGAGGGAAGATGGCGGCGGAGTTAAGCGGGACAAGCCAAGGACAATTAAGTACTGTACTACGTATACGTACTGCCGACTGCGCGTCGTGGGGATTAATTCCCATCGCAGCGAATGAGAGAGCTGTTTGCGCTCGGTAGCGCGGTTATCGCCAATAAGGCCAAGGTCACCACCTTGAGCAATTCTCCGACCAGCCTTTGCCCTTGCAGCCTTTCCAAACACGCATCTGACGATTCCCCCTTTCCCCTGGATCTACGTACGCAGTACTACCAACATTCTCCGTCTGATCCGATGCAGAGGCACGCCGATCTCGCCAGAGGAGTGTCGTGATGCCCACGTGCGGCCTGGAGTGCAAATCTCTTCAGAGACCGAGACATGCGTCCCAGCCTCCGGCCCTCATCTCTACAATGCGCCTAACCGCCAGCGCGCTTAATCTGGGCACCGTCATTGGCCGCCTGGCGAAGGATTAAAATAGATGCCTCACTCAATTGGCGGGGAAGAGGGGCGCGCGGGTTTTGTGCCCCATCCGCCAAGCAGCTTATCGAACTAAACGTTGTACGTACTGTGACCTCAACTGTACGCAGGTTGAATTGTCGAATGCGATCCTTCTGGCTACATTTATCAGTCCCTAGACGGGTGGGATTCAAGAAGTACCTCATCTACATCGAGAGCACTAGCATCCTCAACAGACGTTCTGCATGTTCCGGATATGGACTGGCGACATGCGAGGTTCTGCATATCTTCAAACACGTTGGTTGAGGGAGTAGCACCGGCAGCTCATCCCCATCTCCCGACTTTTTCTATTTGAATTGAGTTTGCTAGACTAGCTAGATGCATCTAACATACCATTTACATGGCGCATGTCACCCTCAAGCTTCAAGCTAGCCTACCCCAGAATTCAGTTTCAACTAAGTTACCGAGTATTCAGTTTCGCTTCGACAGATCACACGGTCAATCAACACAGCTCTGAAACCGCTCCCCCGAGTTTCAACCCCGCATCCTCAGTTTCAGGGCCGTTAGACCGCCCAGGTAGGCTCTCAACAGAGTAATGGATGGTCCCTTGCATCCTAGCCTTTAGACAAACGTTCGGCCGGATGTGGAAGAAGAATTCAACGATGTCGCAGTATGTTGAATACACTGGGGACCTGTTTGCTCTGTTGCGGGGAGCTGTCCCGAGAAGCGCCTGTGTCGCTTAGCATTTAGCCCTATGCACAAAATAGGACCAACGGCATGACGAAACCCACCAGAGGGCATGACCAACGGTGCCGGTGCGAATATCAGGCTGACTGGAGTAAGAAAGGTGCCTACATGTAGCCGATAACTCGCGCTGCGCCCTCGTCTCTTCTCCTCCAAGGTCTCGTACTCTGTGAGCTGCTGCATCAATTAGGTGCATTGGATAAGAGTGAACATAGTGAAGGAGGATGAAACTGTCGTTTCTGGCACACTAACAAATAGTAGGCAAAGTCCAGATGAAACAGCAACATTTCGTCCTGAATTAGGTAGGTCGTCAATGTGTCAATGTGTCAGTGTCACTCTGGACACCGGGTACATGAAGACTGCGCGGCCATGTAAGCACTGTCATCCCCCACCAGCAGAATTGCAGTGGCGAAAGTAGCCCTGCACGCAAACTGCAGCGGCATTCGAGTTGAGTATCTCGTACATGTGAAGGACTGGCCCTTTCATGAGCTGGCCATGAGCCACAAGTCAGGCACTAGACTAGTTAGCATCGCTTTATACCAGCTCATCTGCTGTTTATCGCACCCCGTTCCCAGACTTTGTATACATGTTTCTTTGGCTCTCAAGCAATAACCAGACATCACCGAAATCTACCGTAAGATGACCTCGAACGCCAACACGTCGCCTCAGCGCATCTTCATCTTCGACAACCCTAGGTGTCGGTCTCATTTGTTCTTCCGCCTGCTGTCAACCCATCCTCAGCTGAAGACTCACTACCACCCATACGTCCTCCCTGGCTGTCAAGGCCCAGAAAAGATTCATTATGACATTTATAAAAACAACCCTGCCCGTGCGCAGCTGGTCAAGGAACTGTGGGAGCCAATGTGCTCAGACGACTACACGTTCGCCAACGCAGAGCGCCATCTTCTCGACGCTGTCGCGGCCATTGAGAAGGAGGGTAAGACCCTCCTGAGCAGCGAACACTGCTGCTACCTCTTGAAATCGCAGATTCTCATCAAACACACCAACTCCCGCCAGCTGGACGAGTCCTGGGCCACCGACCCTAACCCCACTCACCTCCCCGATGAGCTGTGGAAAAGCGTCACCCCGATCATGGTGATCCGGCATCCAGCTCTCTCCGTGCCTTCGATGTGGCGGTCCATGGCTGGTGTTCCTGCTCTCGCCAACATGGATCCCATGGAGAATCACAATTACTGGTTTGCCACACTGACATGGTCAAGGGTGCTTTTCGAAGCTTTGAGGAACCAAGGGCGCATGCCCATTGTCGTTGACGGCGAGGACGTATGCACTCGTACTGATGAGGTGATCCGGGGCGTATGCGGCGGACTGGGTATTGATCCTGCCGGTGTCACGGACACCTGGGGTCCATGGGGTCAGTCGCCGCTGGACCACCCTCTCTTTGTCGAGATGACAAGGACGATCTGGGAGAGTGATGGGGTAAAGAAGCACGAGGTCGGTGATTCTTGAAAGGCCATGAAAGTCTGCTGCTGACACTTTTAATTCACTCGTAGGCCAAGGGACCTGTCGACGTAGACGGGGCTGTTCGAAGCGTTGAAAAGGAGTTTGGCGCTGAGGTGGCGGAGCGGATGAGAATGCTCATCGACGGGGAGATGGACAATTATCGATTCTTGGAGCAGTTCAAGGTGTAAATTTGATTGAATCGGCCTCTAAGGGGTTATTTTCACGTTTGTGGATCTTACGCATCTGACTGAACATACATTGAGGCACCACGCAGTCCATCTCAATAGTGGCAGGCACATATAGTGTTTCGTGCCCTCGAGATGCTGACAAGAACAGGGATCATCTTGGAAACAAACCTAGGTCGATAGAGTGTTTCAATAAGCTTGACTTTTGCCTTTTGCACGGTCTGCAGGGTAGACTGGCTGCCACAACTACAAAACCGCACCGTGAGTCCGTGACGCGACCTGCGCCGCTGCGCGTCTGACCGCAGCTCTCACTCTTTGTTCGCCTTCACATTTCATTCCTCAGTCAACCTCTGGCCTCCTACATCTGTCGAAGCTGTCCTTCCGAACCGAATACCCCCTTCCTCTGGTCTGTTCCCTCCAAATTTTCCGCCGCCACCATGTCACGCAGGCAGGTAAAAGGCGACTATATCGAGACGGTACGTGGAAACCCAGCATCGCAACTGCCAGCACCTAACCGGCCCGCAGGAAACCGGCAATAAGGTCTCCCGCAAGGCAAACCTCCTCGGCACGCAAAACATGGTCCTCGGGGGCAAAGTAGTCATCCAGCCCGAAGTCATGATCCGCGGCGACCTCGTTCGCACCGCGCCCTCCTCCTCGTCGTCCGGCGGCACCGCGGCGCCCAGCACGACCGCCATCCAGACCGGCCGCTACTGCTTCTTCTCCAAGGGCGTCGTGCTCCGACCGCCCGGGCGCCGGTACAAGGGCCAGTTCTCGCACATGCCGATGCGCATAGGCCACCACGTCTTCATCGGCCAGGATACCGTGGTGCAGGCGGCGACGATTGGGGACCATGCGCGCATTGGCAAGAATTGCGTCATTGGGGAATTCGCCATAATCAAGGAATGCGTCGAGGTCCTCGACGGCGCCGTCGTGCCACCGAACATGGTCATCCCCAATTACTCCATCGTGGCCGGGCAGCCAGCCAGGGTGGTCGGCGAAGTGCCGGAAGGCGGAGGGCCTGACGAGAATGGCCTCCGAGGGCTATACAGCACTGTCGGAAACAATCCCCAGAATCCCGACATGTAGGTCGCCAATTCCCAACATGGCCTGCCAGGCCATATATACAGCCTCGCGCGAGGACTACGCGCATCGCAGCATACCAACGGTGTCGTGCGAGCCCAGCGGCCAAGAGACATGTCACCCGTCATATGCAAGGATTATCATGGCTGCAGCTGTTTCACAAAGATGGTGTCTGCACGAGAAGCCAAGTGCACAATGTAGTAGCTCTGCCTTGGACGCTTCGTGTCGACTACTCGGGACTGGATGGGCTTGACTCTTATTTTCTGCACCGTCGTCTGCTCTTTTCCTCTCGATGGTAAAGTGCGTCGCGAACTAAGAACTAACGAGTCGTTTGACACTGTCGGCCGCCACATTTCGGTTCCCTGCAGGGTAACTAACATTCTCTCCTTGATGCGTGTCTGGAAGCGGAAGTGCAAAGCTGCAAGTGGCGCGCTGAAAACCACAAGTGCGCCAGGTTACGGGCTAGGAATGCTCGCTTACCCGTCGCCTGACATCTCTTCTGCTCGTGTGTGCAGCGCAATGTCTTTCCTGCCGGCAAGGGGCCGGCTGGTTCGTTTAGCTCATGTGGTAGGACGGATGATCGATCGCCGCAGCGTGGCAATCGAGACGGGAGCAGTGGCCACCATGCTTTTTCTCCTTCATCTCCGAGAGCGCCAAACTTGCTTGTCTCGTGGCTGACAGACATTATGAACTAAACCTTAAGCATTCAGGGGCTGCGCCGACGTCACGTCTTTTCCGAGACACCATGCTTGCCCCGAACCTCTTTCTCGCGTCGGCTCAACGCAGAAGTCTACTTCTGTTGCACAGGCAAGATATGCGTTGCGCTTATGCAGTAGACATAAGCGTGCATAGTCTCCGCCGCGATCAACCCTTGCCGGCATTAGCGGGTGCATATGCCGCGGTGGGCGATGCTTATTTGGGGCAAGAAATGCACGCGCGAGACGAGCTGAACGAGATGAGTGAAGCTGTGATTTGACAACACGGGACACAATGTGGATGGATTCATGTCTGAGTTGATTTACGTAGGAGTGCCGACCGGCGAGTTGCAGTCTGGCCTGAAAAAGTGCTCAGTGCTCTCTGTTTTTGCCTGGGCCTTTCCTTTTCTTGTCATTTGTTCAGAGTCTTGACCAGACGTTCAGACTTTGTCCAAGAGCTAGGCCAGGTTTCCAGACTGGTGGCAGACGAGCGTCGTCTGTATACTCAAGATTTCGTCGCCATGGCCGCGCATCGAGGCATACTGCGGCGCATGCTGTCGTCCGCATCCGCCTCGATGCATCCCCCCGCAGACCCGGAGAGGCAGTACACGTCGTCAACACTCCCCGTCAAGCCCAAGCACTTGAGCGTCTTGACCTCCAATCCCGAGGACCTCGTCCCAGCCGCCGACAAGCTGCTCATCTTCCGCACACTCACTGGGATCGACACGGTGCCTGTGGTCTCCTCAGGTCACACGACACGAACAGCGGCGAACATTGGTATCTACACCCGCGTGGTGCGCCATGAGCGTGCAGCCAAGAAGATGTACAGGGTCATCAAGCTGCTCGCCTCACTCTGTCTCGGGCTTCAGATCCTGTTTGGCGCCGCCGTCACGGCGCTTGGCGCGGCAGGGGGCTCCTACAACGGCATCACCGGGCTAGGCGCGTGCTCCACCATCACCGCGAGCATCGTTGCGTATATCAAGGGCAGTGGCCAGCCTGACAAGCTCAAGCACGCTGAGACCCGTTGGCGGACCGTCCGTGAGTATATTGAGCAGCGGGAGCGAGAGCTGTGCCTCTTGAACTGTGGACTGGACGTATATCACGAGGTCATGATTGTGGAGGACATGTACCAGACGGTTAAGGAGGAACTTGCCGTCAAGGGCCCGAACCAGCAGAACGGAACGGCACCTACCACGGCCACCAACGGCGCAGGCATGGGCGGCGGCGGCGGTTCAGAAGGCATTCCGCAGCGGGTGAACAGTCTGCGCGGAGGTGCTGTGAAGAACACGGATGGGTGGAAGAAGCAGACTGGCGCCGGCATCAATGAGCGCATCAACGACTTTGGCACGAGCGCCCGTGGCTTCGTTGATAAGCTCGGGCATGCAGGCGACACGACGAGCCGAGAAATGGACGGTCAGGTGAACAGCTTGGGCGCTGCTGGCTCTGGGCTCGTGGACAAGATCGATAGTGGGAGGGACACGGCGAGTAGAGGCATCGGTCAGCACCTTGGCGCGGTGGCTGCTAATCTGCGTGAGAAGGCGGAGGATGTCAGCGCCGCGGGGCACGACATTCTGCATCGACCTGTACATCAGACGGAGCCGACCGGGACGGTAGACTGTCGCCGCGAGAATGGGTGCCGATGTGGTGCGGAGAAGGGCCCGACAAGCGGTGCCAGGAGTTGATTTCCCGGGGCAGGAGGGTCGAAGGAGAGGCCAGAATAGAATACATTGGCATGTAGGGCACATAGAGAGGAATGTAATTGGGAACACGTCAAGAATGCACGACAGATGGGACCTAGTGTCAGTGAAAATGGGCAATGTTTCCTGACGACGTGATGCATGGGGAGACTGGGCGCACCCTCAGTACCTACGAGGGCTTTGTGAAAGCTCCTGTAGGATAGTCAATGGGGTTGCGGGCTCGAACTATGACTTGCTACGCGCCTCGCATGAGCCGTTAGGCTCTAGAAAGGAGGCGAGTGAAAATGGACGGCACGCTCATAGTGACTCATCGTGATGGAGGATGACAATCTGTCTCAATCTATGCTCCCCATAAAGCAGCGCAGATTGTTTGATCAATCAATCACCCTCGACTTGCCTTCTTCACAGCATACTTTCGAAAGGAGCCGTTTGGTCACAATTGTACAGCGTATTCCGCGTAAGTCGATTCTTCCTTGAAAGGTGCCCTTCACCATGAGAAATATGACATTCACTCGCCGATCCGAAAACTACATGTGGCCAATGTCCATGGCACTGGTTTCGACGTTTCTGATGAGAAACCCCTTCTCCATTTCCTGTCTCTCTTCTGTAATCTGGACACGACTGACAAACGACTGTTGCTACCGGACATCACCAAAGCGTCAACCCCTGAACCGATTCACTCTCAACAATCCCAAGACCGCAGCCCGATACAGCTGTATTCTACCAAGTATAAATGTGCAATCAACGAGCTGAACGTTTCCCATACGCCATGTCTGTCCTATAGCAGTGTCAGCTGCGCCGCATCACGCTTGCCCGATTCGAGACATATGTTACCAGTCATCCTCTGTGATGGGGTTGAAGCTCCCGATCATCTGCCTCCCGGGGTCGTCTGTTAGAAAGACAACCTTGGAACCAAGTTTTGCAACGTTCTTCTTGCTGCCCTCTGACGTTTTCCCGCGGAGCACTTGGCCGACTGAGCCAAAGATATACGGCTCCTTTGAGTGGAACGCAACAAACTTTCTAACTCTGCCGCCTCGTGATTAGCTCGTGTTTGATGGATGTATCACATGTAGATGTACTTGTTCGCCGTGAACCTCTCACCGTAGGGGATTTCGAGAATGGCGTATCCGCTGTGTGTCGGCAGACCGTTCTCATCGATCGTCTTGAGCCGTCGCCTCTGGTGGTATGAATTCTTGTATTTCTTGACAAGACTCTCAAAGAACAAAAGGCGCGCAAGACCCTCGACTTGGGGGTGCTCTGTCGTTCGGACACATTGCGACTGGTCGATCTGGCTGCGATCGAGGGCGGCCCAGTACGCGTCGAAATGGTGACATCTGTACTTGTACAGTCGATTCTCATATGCTACGTCATGTTGGTAAACAGTCTTCGCCTCGGGTATGTGGAATGAAATCGTACAGGGACTTCGGCGGGAGAGATCGATCAAGTTTGTCCTCGTTGCAAGTGCAGCCACACCACGGGGATTTGAGTAGACCTGTTTCCCATCGAACGCAACACAGGCGCAGTCGACGTCAAATCCTGTCAGGATTTCGCTGATGGACCTGTACAGTCGAAGAATGACCTAGGGTTGCTTTTCAGCACATGGAATTGCCATGCAGCCTTCATGTTGCCACCCTGACATACCTGGACGTGTCGAAATGGCCATCTCGGGGAAACAAAGGTGACCGCGTTGGCTGTCCGGATTGTTAGGCCGCATCCAGTTGCCAAACGCTGGTTCCGCCGGATAGCCGCTTCGAGCTGAGATATCTTGGCCAGCGCGGCTTCCTCGGTGAGGCCGTAGAGAAAGAGGTCAATATCACTTGACGAGGCCGTGCGTCTGGGTCGATGTGAGATCCACCAAAGCTGAGTCGTAGTTCGTCTCGACATGGGGAACGTACTGGTAGTATGTCTCTAGGGGGTCCTCAACCGCTGGGTCGGTGGGAACTTTGACGTCCGTTCTGTGAGGAAGCAACGGGAGCATGGCGGACGAGCCAGCCGCGACGACGTTGCTCCAGTCTATGCTAGAGAGGGTCGCTATGAACGGGAGTTTCAGCGATGGTACTCGTCCTATTGCTAGGATCGTGGCATACTTACAATGAGTGAAGGCATCAAAATTGCGTTGATACGCCTCCAATGAGTCCGCAACGGCACAGGACCTGTCTGTGACAGAGGAATCACTCGCCAACGGCATCAGATACTTTTCAGGGTCACAATGTTTCCGGTCAATGCTTCGAAACGTTGGCAGAGCAGTATTGGGGGCATAAATGTGAACCAGGTTCGCCACGTCGTCGATTGATCCGTCGCGCTGCGCAAAGGCTTTACGTAGGGTCAGTTCATATTGTAAGAATGGCCCTAATACCTCTTGCGTCACTGTGCCAGTTTCGCTGTTGAGATATGCCACAAAGTTCTTGGGATGGTCTGGCAATCCATGGCTGTCCACGATTGTCTTCTCCGCGTCGTCCTCTGGCTTGGGCACAACTGTGCTGTTGCGCTTGTCTGAACGGGAGCGCAGCGGTCGCGAGCACAAGTCTCGGAACGAAGGCATCGTCCACAGATAGTGCGAATAAGACGAGGGAAATGCAAGGCAAAGGGAGCAGAAGAGAAGTCCGCCTCACAGCAGCAATGATCTTCCACACCGATCTCCGGTTTGTGTTTAGCGCGACAGACGTCCGCAGCTGAACGTGGCAGGCATGCCTGGATACCCTGTGGCGCGCGTTGGTGACGCTCAGCCCCTGACGAGATAGACAACAGATGGAGAAACAACGACCTCTCATCACATTTTGATGGAAGTGTTTGCACGAATTGATCAATGAGCCACAGGTAAGTCGGATGCGCGAGCTGGGTTTGTAGAGGAAGGCGGATTTGGCAAGCTCCTAAGCTAGTAATATTTCAAGCAGTTGCCGAATGAGATACCGAGATCCTTGAGCAACATGGTCTCGTTAATCGAAGCAGAAACTTGCACCTGCGTGCGACAAGTTATGTGTCCCTATCATGTAGAGTTTATTGATGACTCCTGACTCTCGACTGGAGTGAGTTGCCGGGATACCTCGTTACGCCGCTAGCGCCGCGGTAAGCGCATTCCGACGGCAATGTCTAGGTAGCGGCACGTTCCTGAATCGCGAGCAATTCAACACCCAGGTGATCCGGCCTCGCCCGTAATTTTGCCTCTTGTACAGTCCATTGTCACAAAGTCATGATGGCGAGCAGAAATAGGATCGCGCGGAGGGCGCTGTCTTCGTGGGGCCAGTGCCCAAACAAGGTGCTGCCACGCTCCGCGACGGCATCCTTCCACACAACAGCTGCACCGGCAACGGATGGCGTGTACCGCGACCTTACTGACACACGAGTTCGCATGCCGTGGATAGAGGCCTTTCACAAGCAGCAGAAAGGGCAGATGATGGAGGATATGGAAGATACCCCAGAGGAACGCGATCTCACTCCGAAAAAGATGACTGACAGCTATCATCGTGTCGTTCTTCCGCTTGGCCAGGATCCGTGGCTGTCGGATACATACATCAACTCTTCAGGCCATATCAGGTAAAAAAAGAATTGCGTTTCCTCTGTGGGCTTTCATCACTAACCCTGCGCTGGCAGGCTCGGCACATTGCTCATGGATCTCGATGCGCTTTCTGGCATCATCGTTTACAAACACACGGGTCCTGGTGTCACCACCGTCACAGCTGCTTTGGACCGCGTCACACTCGCCCATCCTCTCACAGAAATCTGTGATCTCGAGTACAGCGGCCAAGTCACGTATGCCTCCGGCAGGAGCAGTGTCGAGATCACTTGCAGGGTCGCCAAGGCCACAGCTGAGGGCGAGCCCAGCAAGCCTGAAGACGTCCTCCTGACTTGCACATTCACCATGGTGGCGCTGGATCCCAAGTCCAAGAAGCCCGTCAACATTCCCAAGCTCGAGTACAGCACGCCCGAGGAAGAGAGGATCTACAAGGCGGGCGAGGCCAAGTCAATCGCCAAAAAGGAGACGCTCAAAGCGTCACTCCTACAAACAGAGCCGAATGATCCCGAGTCGGCACTGATTCATCGCATCTGGCTCCGGCAGCTGGCATACCACGATCCCAACAACAGCCTCCGCCAACCCAAGAACGTGGTGGCCATGTCCAAGACACAGCTGTCGACGGCCGCCATCATGCAGCCCCAGTACCGGAACCGCCACCAGACAATGATCTTTGGTGGGTTCCATCTCAAACAGACGTTCGAGCTGGCCTTTTGCTGCGCAGCCAGTTTTGCCCACGCACGCCCGACCTTTATCAGCGCTGATCCATGCACCTTCCGCAACCCTGTCCCCGTTGGCAGCGTCCTGTATCTAACGGCCACCGTGGCCTACACCGATCCCCCGTTGCTGGAGGAGGATGGCTCAGAGCCCCATCAGGTGGATGCCGACCAGCCCATGACGCGCGTGCACGTTCGCGTGGACAGCAAAGTCAGGGACGTGGAGCATGGCGTCGCGAAACCAACGGGCCAGTTCAACTACACGTTCTCCGTCCCCAAAAACCTCAAGGTGCTCCCGCATACGTACGAGGAGTACATGATGTACATTGACGCCAAGAGGCGTGTCAAACACGGGGACGCTCAGCGAAAGCAAGAGGAGATGACATCGTTTGGTAAGAGGCGGGGCTCAGAAGGAAGCGTCGACCTTATGGAGTAGTCAGAGCTGGTTGTATCAATGGAATATGCCTGGTCGTTGGTGCTGGAATGGCTTCCTCTGCAGGCCTGTGCTTAGCGCGTGTAAGCCAACATGAACTTGACTTGACCATGATGGGCCGCGCACAGCGAGCTTCAACGAACGGTTTGCACCACTGTATGATTTCTAGCAAGTGGACTCCTCGAAACAGTTTTTGCAAACTCATAAGAAGCGCAGGGCAATTAGCTAGTCCCCCAGCAAGAGGCGCATGCCGTTCGGCTCCTCATCTAGATTACCCTGCACTTGCTCTATCACCCTGGATTCTGACGTCCACAAATTCAGTCGTCCACTTCCGCTCTCTGCTCAACCAGAGGGTACACAACCCTCCATGATTCCAGCGATTTCTACGGTGACCAGACGAGTGCGGGCATTCGAGGGACTTTTCTTTCATTACATGTAGGTATGCGGTCCACACTCTCTTATAGTTCGATCTTTCAAGCCGAGGCTTTTGGGTCATGATCTCATCACCTCATTGCTCCTGCCGTGTCAAGACTCGAGACTCGAAATCGCGAGTCAACTGCTACACCGATTTTATGTTAAGGCTTCAATCGTCATAGAACATGAAGATTCCAACCTCCAGTCGTTTCTGGCGATGAACAGCATTGTTAAAGCTTACTTGGAGCTGTATCTTACACTTCGACTTACAGCACACTTTGATACGATAGCAAGTCGAGCACACGTCACTATCCCATCGATTCGTACATTCCAAAGGATACATGGACGCTTACTCAATTTCCTATTCCAGTTCGTCGAAACGCAAGTCCTCGAGAATCTACCAGGACCTCAATTCTATACACTTCTCTAGCCTCCGGGGTCTGGGACAGGAGCAGCAACTTCGAAAGCTGAGCACTATGGATACTTACCGCAAGGTGAGTGGTGTCTGGATTCTCGACGAGCCTCCTTTTGACGAACAAAGCGTAGCCATAGCGGCAGCGAAAAGCCCCATGTTGGCATCGTCGGCGCTGGCTTAGCCGGACTGCGTTGCGCAGACATCCTCCTTCGCCATGGATTTCAAGTGACCATCCTAGAAGGGCGGGAACGCATCGGAGGTCGTCTTCACCAGGAGAGACTACCAAATGGGCATCTCGTGGATATGGGGCCTAATTGGATCCACGGCACAAAGGATAATCCAATACTCGACATTGTCAACGAGACCAAGACAGATGTCGGCAGCTGGGACACGAGGTCGTACGCTTTTGACGAGTTTGGTGGCTTGTTTGACGTTGCCAAGAGCGACATGTATGCGGATATCATGTGGGACATTGTGCAAGACGCCTTCAAGCACTCGAATGAGTATTCGGCAGAGATTGACGACAAGGAAAGCTTACATGACTTCTTTATGGAAAAGGTGGTGCAAAAACTACCCGAAACCGACCAGGACTGGCAGATGAAGCGACACGTTGTCATGCAGATGTCCGAGCTATGGGGTGCCTTCATTGGGAGTCCGATCCAGAGGCAAAGCCTCAAGTTCTTCTGGCTAGAGGAGTGCATAGAGGGAGGTGAGTTTGTAATGCAAGTTGATCGTGCTGTTCTGATCAGTGTAGAGAATCTCTTCTGCGCCGGCACGTATAAGAAAGTACTTCAAAGCGTTGCTGCACCGGCGCTGGCAAAGGCAAGCATACAGTTCAACACCTTAGTTGACCGAATCACTACCTGCAGCCAGCCTGGAGATAAGATACAAGTCCATGAAGCGAGCGGGAGCAACTTGGAGTTTGACGACGTGGTAGTCACCGCTCCTCTTGGCTGGCTCAAACGACACCTGGACGCATTCGAACCCGGCCTACCAGCCCGTTTGACTCAAGCAATCAATTCAATTGGGTATGGTAGTCTTGAAAAGGTAAAAGTGAACTGACTCTGAGACGTTTGGTCGTTGACAATCTACCAAGGTGTACATTACTTTTCCCGAAGCGTTCTGGCTCTCTCGAGCAGATGACGATCAGAAGGTCCAAGGCTTCGTTCAATGGCTTTCTCCCGCTTATGCACCCGAGTCGAACCCTGGGAGATGGTACCAGGATGTTGTCGAGCTCGCCAGTCTCACGCCCGAGACCTCACATCCTACACTCTTGTTCTACATGTACGGCGCCCAGTCCGAGCATGTCACAACGCGGGTCGCGGAACTACAGACGAAGCACGAGAAAGATGAATTCCTGGTTGCCTATTTCAGGCCGTATTACTCTCTCCTACCTCACTATAAGGAGTCTGACGAACGATGCCAGCCGACAAGCTGTCTGTCAACAGCCTGGTCCAAGGACGAGCTTGCAGGGCAGGGCAGTTACAGTAACTTCCAAGTCGGCTTGACTGAAGGCGACCGTGACATTGAGGTAATGAGACATGGGCTTCCGGAACGTGGTCTTTGGTTTGCTGGCGAGCACACAGCACCGTTCGTGGCTTTGGGCACAGCGACAGGGGCCTACTGGAGTGGCGAAGCAGTCGCAAGGAGACTTGCGGAGTCTTATGGTATGAAGATGGCCGAAGTATCACAGTGAGCATCTCTGCGTCACCTAGAGCACTTTTACACCCTGATACTATAAACCTATCTGCAGTACAGGAAGACATAAAATTGCTACGAATCGCTCATTGAAATCACCCCGTTGCATTAGATCTCACCCGCAATAGCATTCACAATCTCCTTTTCGGCCGCCTTTTGCTTTGCTTTCATCATGGACAGCACAGTCACGATTGCAAACGTGCTGCCGAGCTCGCCCGTCGCGCCCTGCCCGACAAATTCAATCGTGCCCATTTCGGAGTTTGTGTGCAGACCCATGCCCCCGTAGTCCGTCCACGTCGCGACAGGATTGTCCAGGTCTCCCGGTCGGCTGAGGATATATCCCGACTTGCCGTGCATCATGTCCTTGAATCCAGAGTCCATAGTCTTCCACTGGAATGTCTCCTGGCCGCCCCGGTCGACTGGCACGGTAAAGGTGTAGGAGAGGTTGCCGATGGAGCTCATGCCGCTCTTCTTGACGGCATAAGAGGAACCGTCGGCCAACGTGATTTGGGCTGAAGAACCGCTGAGACCAGAGTCTTTGGCTTCACCAAGAAGAGGCCCTTTCTCCTTGTGCCCTCCTCCTGTGACGGTAAGTTTGCCCGTAAGCGAGGGGATTCTGCCGGCATGACTAGGCTCCCCAAGAGCAGGGCCGACCAAGATGTAGGTCTCGCCCGAGCTAGACATGCGCGACCACATGACAACCTTCTGAGGGAATGGCATGCTGCCGCGGCCGCCAGGGGGTGCAAAACCCATGGGAGGTCCCTGACTGCTCTGGCATGGAGGCTGATGGCCTCCATATCGAACTTGGGGAGGTGGGGGGCCGTAGGGTTGGTGTTGATTCTGAAAACCACCATGGGCGCCTGGAGGCGGACCCGGAGGAGGCGCGTAGTGGTTGTATCCTCCTTGCTGGCCAGGTGGCGTGTGTGCGTAAGGGCCACTTTGACTTTCCCCGTTCTGGTACCCTTGGTTCTGAAGTCCGCCGTTGCTGTACCCGTAGTCACTCCCGTAACCGTTCTGACCATAGCCAGGATGTGAGCCATTCGCATGCTGCTTCCCACTGGGCTCATCGAGAACCTTGTCCAGCTCATCGCGAGCCTTGCTGATGAACTTTCTCATGGTAATCGACGTACTTTCAGGTATGTGTGTCTAGGTATGCGCAAGCGATGCCGGGGGGATTCTTCGGAAAGTTGGCGTTTTGTCGGATACGAAAGATCCCTCTAGAGCTCAAGGTTTACGTTTGAAAGGAGGAAATGCGAAAGACGGAAAATGGAGAATACGTAGGAGGTTGTGTAAGTACCTTATGTAGGAATCCGTGGTGGGACGGATCTGCCACTGTCTCGTGAAACAAGCTGAGCATGGCCGCCACGGACTGCCTGCTTAAAGGCGAATGCATTGATTGAAGCGGTCAGGCGCATCACGAACCAACGCACCAATGAAGATCAGTGTGAGGCTGTGAGCTGCCACATTGTCCTGTTGGTTGATGCCCTTCATCTTGTGTCGTGCGACTCGTGCCACCGCGGGAGTGTCACCTTGGGTACAGAGTGCACCGCACTTAGACGTTGAGCCGTGAGCTTGCTTCAGAAATGGATGGACCGATGATGAGAAAGATTTCCGCCAGGGGACATATGTCGAAACATCGTTGAAGCTCACACAGACAGGCTTTTTCATCAGCGCGATCAGGTTGAGAGTACGTGCCTTGACTACCCGGGATCCTGACCTGGAGGTCACCATTAGGGTCTCCTGTTGACGTCAGTGAGTGGGGCTCAGGAAGTGCTAGCCTAAAATGTTGTAGATCATCTCTGCAAGCTTTCATGTTGTACTCCGTAACGCGAAGAGAGCACGCTTCCCTGGGTAAGTGAAGGTGATGGCGAGAAGATCAATATGCATGGTATAAAAAAATTCGAGCACAGCCCCATCTTCGCGCCAGCGTTAAATTCCTGGCGAAAAGACCAGTCACAGGCCCAAAGCTCACAGCCACAGCGGTCATCTAAACCAGCCACTATGATCGCCAAAACAGCCAGCTTCATAGGAAGATCACTTGTGTTGAATCAGGAACAAGAGCGTATCAGTTGTTCGAGGAGTTCGACTGGCAGCGGCTTTTTCGCCCAACTTCATGAGAATGCAAACTTAATGAGAGAGACGCCCTAATATCCATTGGGGATCTGATTCTGAACGTGGGCGAAGCCGCGAAATCGTCCCAGGGGAATCTCGCGAGCATGGACTTGTGCGCGGGAACGCGAAACGACAGCATATGGTGAAGAAGAAGAAAAAAGTCAAATAAATCGATTTTGAATGTATTCGGCAAAGCGCTAACTAGGAGGTTCCGTTCTCCAGGTCGATGGCCGAGTTCAAGGCGCTCCAGCTAGTCTCGTGCAAGTCGATCCGTTAATCCCAAGGCCGTACGAGCCGAGTCACCTTGTCAAGTGACTGAAAGTTGCAATCGTACCAACGTTTCCTACCACGGCGTTTGAACTGAAGCCAAAAGCGTGTGCTTGGTCACCTACTAAGTACCTATGTAGCAGGAGGTCTGCATCGACTCTGTTGCTGGGCCTGTCAGACGCTGACATTGATATCCACAGACTGGACTCCTGGAGTCACGAGCCTCCGGTCAGACCAAACCGTCAAGGACGGACTCCGAGGACTGGACGCTAACGATCGGCACGGGCCCACCTCGAGCCCCTGTAGAGCCCGTGACACCCCCACACGACCAGTGACTACTCGCCTGGAGCTGGCCGCGACAACGCCATCCTCAGCATCTAAGCCTTACGCGCGACTGGACTATACTTCACGCTGTCAGACGCTCGCAGCTTTCAAACTTCGCGCACCATTCCCACAAACCAAGAGGTCAGATTGTTTGCCTTTTTCAAAGTTTGATCAAACATCCTTATCGACCCGATATCCCTTGACATCTCGCCCGCGCGCCTGGATGGCGTCCGAATCATGAATACGGCCTCCCCGCATCTGGCCAAGGGTCCAGTCGTCCTACGATTGCCCACTTGAACGTCGGTCGAGCAAGGCTACTACAGCTTCGTACCCAGAAGGTGATAACCGTCGCCTCCCTTTGCAATGGCGACTCTATTTCAGTCGTTCCGGAGCTCCTCCATGCCCAAGAGGTTGCTCCGGTATGCACTCGCCAGGCTCGAGTTGCTCGATACCGATGCGTTGAACATGGAGAACTTAGACTTTGCTCTCGGGCGGAATACAGTATTCGAATTTCGAGATGTCGGCATCAGGCTCAAGGTACGGCAAGACGATAACCGCCCTCTGTCGCGCTTCTAACACATAACCAGAAACTAGAGAACCTCCTGAAGCTACCACCCGCCCTCCGTTTGCGTAAAGCCCGAGTCATTCTACTGCGCGTGACAATACCCGTCGATTTCTACACAAGCCCGATTGTCATCGAGGTGGAAGGCGTGGACGTCAGGCTCCAGATACTTGGCACCGAGCTTGAGAAGGGCCCTGCTTCTGATGACAGAACGCCTGTAGAGGAAACCATCGTACCAAATGCTGCCGACTTTGCTCAGTCATTCCTTGAGGGCCAGCCACAACTCGAACGGCAGGAACTGGAGAATGCGCTGGCAATCGAAACACAAGACCTAGGGGCTTCGGTCACCGTCAGCGACGATGGCAGCGGCGAGGAAGACACACTAGGCACGGGGCAAGCTCTCTCGCTGCCATGGTTTTTGGCCGACTTCCTGCAGGGCATCATGGATCGGATGCAGCTCAAGATAAATGGTGTCACGTTTCAGCTCGACGTCGATGTACCCCTCGACCCGAGCTCGTCGAGACCCGAGGCCGTGTCTTTCCAGGTTGCGCTCCAACACATCAGCGTGGAAGGCATGACTGCAGCGAGTGAGGTACAAGGTGAACCTGCGGCAATACAACACAAGGAGGGCAAACGACATGTCTCTTTGCGGGACGTGCGCGCCTACATCATTTCGGAAGCCAATGTTTTCTCAGCCCTTGCGCAGTCCCCATCCGTGACGTCGCCTTCCGGAACATCGTCACCATACATGACTCGGAATCCACCATCTCGCGAACCCACATTCGCGGACAACGATGAGCTACGCAACTCCTTGTCATCGGAAAACAGACCGCCGTCCGACCCAGACTCGCCTTTGGAAGATAGCGAGGATGCCCTAGGTATACCTTACGATAACCCCCCGACGTCAGGAGGGTATGAAGACGAAGGTCCCTCCACGCCTCGAGCGTCCGCTTACTACGGCTCTGATGGGTCGCCGGTGGAATCAATGTTCCACACGACTGTTCTACCGGGTGATCGCATGGCACACTCAACAGCCGCCTTGGACGACGAGGCCCCTGTTTGGGCAAGCGCACAACTACCTCCCTCAAGGGGGGGCAGTCCTTTGGACTCATCATTTGGTGAGCCTATGGCGATGAGTTTATTGTTTGATCAAGACTCGACGCCGGGCGACGATCATGAGGAAGACCTCACCCAATCCCGCATTTATGGCTCCGAAGAAGCGCAGAGCATGTATATGAGTGCTTTTTCTGCAGAAGATCCATTCCTCTCGGCTGATGCACAGGCGACGGCAAGGCTTGACACCGAAGCAGTTCCAATGGTAAAGGAGGATGAGTCCAGCCTCCACGGCCAGTCTTCTCACCACAGGCGAGATTTGATGCCCGGTTGCTGGGAAGATGAAGAGGAGACCTCGATCAACGAGGGTCCAGCCACCCCCGAGCCCCTCGAAAAGTCCGAAGAGGACGAGAAGCCACTTGATCCTCCCGGCAACTTGGATAGTGGTCGAGCTTCTCCCAGCCGCGCCGCATTCGAGCAGTCCACGGACGCAGATGAGGCTGCAACACCAAAAGGACCGACCAAGCTTGTGAAAGAGCTGTTGTCGTTGGAACAAATATCGGTCTATATCCCTTCTCAGCACGAGCATATTGAGATACAACCTGCGTCAGCCGAGTCGGTATCGAGTCTCGGCCAATCTATGAGCCGATCTTTCATTCCTTCCGCACCTGGCGCTTATTCCGTTCACCACGCGCGTAGTCCGGCGCAAGGGCCCGAGCCGGAGAACAGGGACAAGTCGCAAAAGTCAGATGATACTCTAGAGATTGACGTGTCGCCCATCGCAATTCAGTGCGACATGTCTTTAGGCTTTCTGCTTTCGACAGTGGTTAACAGATTACTTGGGATGCTCAAATCGAGCCCTGCGGCTCCATCGAAACAGGAACCTGAGAGGACCAAACAGGCCAAGTCTCAGGAGATATCTGTCAAGCTTGAAAGTGTTTCCTTGGATTTCGTCAGCCTGCTTGGGGGCATTTCTGATGTTGCACATCGGCACTTGGATCCAGGCGCCTTCAGCTTGGATAAGGATGTCCTGTTGAACATGACTCTCAAAGACCTGCATATCGCCACAACTCATGGCTCGCCGCTGGTCACAAACGACAAGATGACGCCGGCGGAGAAGACCAAGACGTCCACCTACATCGGCCTCAAAACCTTCCAATTTGGCTACCCAACAAGCCACATTGTCTCATTTGACAAAACGCAGCCTATGAGTACATCAGTCCGTGATACCTTCGCCGCCTCCGGTCGTGATATCGAGATCACTTTGACCCAGCTTGGCCTGAACACTTCGATTGAGGTTTTGACCCTTCCCGTGGTGGTGCAGCTTGATCTTCAGAAACTGGACGAAACATTTGGGTGGTTTGGGGGTTTGAGCAGCTTCCTTAACATGAGCTCCTCGATGACATCTGCCCAGTCTCCGATAGTGAAACAGGAGAAGCCCAAGCCCAAAGCCAGGGGCGTCCGTTTCGAAGCTCCATTGGAGCCGGGTCATAAAGCCGCGATCGCAGAAAGCAAGTTCAATGTGCGCTTTGGGGGTTCGTCGATTCGTCTCGTCGGCAAAGAATGCAGTGTCGTGGCTAGATCAAGTGCGGTCAAGATCATCGCGCGTGAAAACGCCATTGGTGCAGGCATCAGTGACTTTCGTCTCGATGGTCCGTACCTGTCCTCATCAAAAGCTGATCCGACGTTCAGTACCAGGTTAGAGACGATCAGGGTTGAATTCCTGAGTATACCGACCGAAGATGATTTGACAAGGCTGCTGGGACTCATCACACCGTCCACAGCTCACTTTGACAGAGAAAATGACGAGATCATGGTCGATACGCTGTTACGGCAACGGCGCAAAGGGTCCGTGCTGAGGGCATCTGTCGACACAATGACTGTGGATGTCAAGAACGTGGCGCAGCTCTCTGTTCTGCCCAGTCTCGGGGAGGATCTGGCAAAGCTTTCGACAGTAGCCAAATACTTACCCGAGGACGACCGTCCGGGGCTGCTGACGATGGCCAAGGTCCACAAGTTGAAGGCCACGGCGGACAGCGGGGGTGAGCTGGGACTCTTTGAGCTGGCAGCTGAGAGACTTGACGTGGCTCACATCTCGTTTCCGTCTCTGGTCGCGGGCTCTGTGTGTGGACTGTGCATCAAGCGGAACCGCGTCGAAGAACTTGTACGATGCCCAGCCGATGAATCATCTGGGCCAGACCAAGGCCCAGTCGCCATGATGCGCATAATCGGGGATGAAATCGAACCAGTCATTAAACTCAAACTGCACAGAGCTGGTTTGGAGTATCGGGTGCCCTTTGTCATGGACATTCTAGGGCTCAAGGAAGACGCAACACCGCAGGAGTTCGAAGCTGGGCTCGCGGCCTCTGTTGCCAACCTCGGAGAACAGGCACAAATGGCGCTGAAGAACCCATCCGACTCGGGAGGCAAGTCAGTCGCCACCAAACCTACGACACTCGACATCGGCTTGTACGACTGCATCGTTGGGCTGAATCCCTTGGGTTCGCCCGCCAGGATGTTGCTTGCCTTGACCGACGCCAATGTGCAAGTTGTGCTACCGAAGGATCAGGAGACGCACGCCGTCGTCAACCTCAACAAGGCCTCCGTTCTTCTCATAGACGATGTGCAGCAACTCACAGCCGGCCGGGCCCAATGCAAAACACATCGCCGAGCAACCTCTACGGCATCCCAGCAAGTGTCTGATCTTTGCGCCCAAGGCTTCGCCGACATCTGTTACGTGTCGTCCCTCTCTATCGTGGTGAACGTTCGCTCGGGGCCGGAAGAGTCGCAAGTGGAAGTCGACATGACCAACCAGTTGGTTGTATTACAGACTTGTGCCGATTCGACCCAGACCCTCATTACACTGGTCAATGCCCTGAAACCACCGACGCCTCCTACGAGAGAAATCAAGTACAGGACCAGTGTCGTGCCGATCGAAGAGATGCTCGCCTCCATTTCCGGTGAAGCCTTTGGCAAGCCTGAAGGTGAATATGACTTCGATCAGGACTTTGCTGGCGCGCAGGAGCTTGCCGGCAGCAGTTCCGATATTGAATTTGGCTCGGAAGGCTCCATGCCTGTTGCATCCAAATACTTTGATGAAATCGAAGACGTGGATGCTGGCGAAGAGATGTTCGATGCGCTGAAGTCATCCGGCCTGTCGCTTGGTACCTCAGTGCAGGAAGACCAAGCGGACGTGTCGTTCCAGGGACTTGAGTCTCAGAACGGCACGGCTTCCCACAGCAGTGCGGAGTCGCTGTCCATTCGAGACGACTTCTACGAGCAGGTGCCGAGCGGCCGGCATGATATTGCCAAGATCTGGGATTCCCGAACAAACCAAATGGAACCGGCTCTTCAGCAAACAGTCGAGAGATGCCCACTCAAGCTGGTAGTCAGAGACGCGGGTGTTGTATGGAACCTTTTTGATGGGTACGACTGGGTTCATACCCGCGATGTAATCACCCATGCTGTGGAGGAAATTGAGCATCGAGCCATGGAACGCCAAGCCAGGATGCAACCTCTAGAACAGGAGCAGGAGGACGACGATGAGGAGGCCATTGCTGACTTTTTGTTCAACTCCATCTACATCGGCGTCTCGGCTGATCAAGATCCCCAGGAACTGACGAGAGCGATCAACCAGGAGCTCAACGACAATGCCACGACCACAGAGACGGAATCCGTCGCGGCGACCACCATGACTGGGGCATCAGACCGGACCATCCGGCAGACTCATCAGAAGCCGCGTCGCCTGAAGCTCAAGCGAAGCAGACATCACAAGATCTCGTTTGAGTTGCACGGCATCAACGCCCACTTGTTCGCGTACCCCCCTGAGTCGAGTTCGACGGAAACCAGCATGGACATTCGAATCACAGATCTGGACATTATCGATCAGGTACCTACCTCGACCTGGCGCAAGTTTGCCACCTACGACCGAGATGCGGGCCCCCGATCGGCCAAATCCTCCATGTTGCATCTCGACCTCCTAAGCGTGAAGCCTGTGCGTGAGCTTCCTGTGGCCGAATTTGTGCTGCGCGTGGAGGTCCTCCCTGTACGTCTGCACGTCGACCAAGATGCCCTGGATTTCATCACGCGGTTCTTCGAGTTCAAAGATGACCGCGCGCCCGTGCATGCGTCCGAAAGCGACATCCCCTTCGTGCAGCGCGCCGAGGTGCTCCCGATCCCCGTTCAGCTCGATTTCAAGCCAAAACGTGTCGACTACGCCGGGCTTCGCTCGGGGCACACTTCTGAGTTTATGAACTTCGTGACCTTGGACCAAGCCAACTTGGTGCTGCGGCATGTCATTCTACACGGTGTGCCCGGTTTCGACCGGCTGGGAAAGACGCTGAACGGCATCTGGACCCCAGATGTAATCAAGGAGCAATTACCGGGTGTGCTTGCTGGACTGGCGCCTGTGCGATCGCTCGTCACCATTGGCGGGGGCTTCCGAGATTTGGTCGAGATCCCGATCAAAGAGTACAAGAAGGACGGCAGGGTACTGCGCAGTTTCTCAAAGGGGGCCAATGCCTTTGTGCGCACGACCGGCACAGAGATCATCAAACTTGGTGCCAAGATTGCCATCGGGACGCAGTACGCGTTGCAGGGAGCCGAGGGCTTCCTCACAGACCAAGAGCAGCAACAACGCCAAAGCGAAGGCCATTGGGAGGAGGACGATTTCGAGGCTCCTGAAGAGAGCAGGCAAATCTCGCTATACGCCCATCCAGCGCCGAATGTGATGCAAGGATTCAAGGGCGGGTATCGGTCGTTGGCCAGGGATATTGAGACGGCGCGAGACGCCATTATTGCTGTCCCGGGGGAGGTCATGCAGAGCCAGAATGCCGGAGGCGCTGCAAAGGCCGTGTGGAAGCGAGCGCCCACCATTATCTTTAGGCCCGCCGTGGGCGTGACCAAGGTGATTGGGCAGACACTGATGGGTGCGACAAACACTATTGACCCCGAACATCGCAGGCGGGTCGAAGACGTGAGTCCCCCGTCCCATGCATGCATGCACTGCATTTGAATAGTTGAAGAGAGATACTAACACTCACAGAAATACAAGCGATAAAGCATATGACGGCAGACGACCTTGAACAACATGAAGAGTGGTTTAACTGCTCGACTTTAGGGGTTGGGATAGAGTTGAGTAACGATTCTGATTTTTCTTGGCATTTGGGAAGCTGGCGTTGTAGGACGATGATACACCAGACGCACTATTCACTGCATGTACGTTGGTTCAGAACTTGTCTAGACTGTGTAGTGGAGCCGGGCTGCGTACATAAATTCGAGCTTTTACATAACATCCCTTAACACGCCTTCATCACGCCGTCATCCATGCGACCTCCTCTCAGTGTCCATCATACAAGCCGAGCCGCTTCTCCTCGATATGTCTCGCCTCGTTCGCTTCGTGCCACCACGCGTGCGACTCATCGCTGGGCGCCCACTCCCCGTCCTCATTCCTTTCTGACCACGGTTTGGGGCTCCAGATGTAGTGTACCACTTTCACCTCGTCCTGTCTCCAGATAGTGTCATGCACGCCCTTCCAGCGCAACGTCTTAAGCGCGTTGTAGATGTACGGCAGGACCACCCACCGATCCCTGTACAGGTCCGCCAGCAGGTCCTGGTCGGGGAAGGCCATGTCGGCCGTGGCGGGGTCCTCAAGGGCGGTGGTGATCTGGGAGAGGTAGAACTTGGAGGGGTTCACGACCAGGAGGCCGCTGTTCAACGCCCCGAGCGGCGCGCGCTCCGGGCCCCTGGTCTGGGCGAGGTCGGGCGTGGCGTGCTGCGATGTGTATGCGCAGTTCGCCGGCACCCACTCGGCCGGGTAATGCTTCTTTTTGGCGGGATTGCAGGTGCAGGCCGGGCTGGCGGCCAGGACCCGCCGGCCGGTGGTCTCGTTTTTGACTTGCAGCTGGTCTGTCTCGCCGTCGACGCCTGGCCCGCCGCCGAAGCCATGGTGTCGCGGGGGCGCATCGAGCTCGAGGTCCATCAGCTCGTCCAGGTTCTTCGTGATGAGCATGTCGCTGTCCAGTAGGACGATGCGCTCAAACTGGTCCAGGCCAAAGGCAGCCAGCTTGGTCCATGTGTCCCGGAAGCGCGGGTCGTTGGCGTAGGTGCCCGCGTGAGAGGGCAGCAGGGGCTCCACGGTGACGGTGGGAATGCGCCGGCTGTGGAGGGCAGCAACGGCAGCAGCAGGCAGGCTGGCCGTGATGATGGCCACAAAGGGGTAGGCAGTAGACGTCTTGGAGAGGGTGTAGTGAAGGGTGAGAAGACCTGGGAGGTAGGACATGTGTGTGATGAGAGACGCCCAGACTGCGCGAAGGGTTAGTCCAGTGCCACTTGTGCGCATAGGCGTGTGTAATACCTTTTGGTGAGTCTGGGACGGGCGGTGACTGCGCGCTGTGGACGGCCATTGCGACGAGCGATGCCTGCTCTGGCTGAACAAGGTATGTGAGATGAGGGTTTTGACGATGCTGGGAAGTATGCAGGCCGACCACCGAACAATGTTGATGACTAGACTGCTATGTACATGAGAAATACCTACTTATCCACCCACGTGGGGCTCCCTCCGTCCGTCAGGAACAGTACGTTGCGCGATCGGCTTTTCATGAGAATCCAGATTCAGGGTCCAACTTGCGCGTGGGGTTGGTCGTACACATGTGACCATGCCGCAATGTGTTCGGTTCCTTTCCGCAGAGCGTCGGCTGTCTCTGCTGTGCCCTGTCGTAGGCTCGTCTTGGCCATCAAACGCTCAAGTCCCAAGAACGGGCTTATCATTGTCGTCTTGCTCAGTCCTTGTCCCTTTGCGCGGGCGAGATGGAGACTCCGCTCGGCAATGACGACATGACTTGTTGGTGGACTCGAGGAAACGGCCCGCTCTCCAAGCACGCAGCCAGTTACTTTAGCCAGTCCTCGCGACCGAAGCGTCTCGATTGATGATTAGGTCGTATTTCCCCATGGCTGCGCCAATTCCGTCAACGCTTGCTGCTTCTTGGGATTCGAAGGAGGGTCCAAGGTTCCTAGGCTGCCCCGCGAAAGCTCGGACTCTTCACCAACACCACACTGGGCAAAATACAATCAGAACCGGGCGGCGATAGCAGGAGATTTGCAAGATGTGGAAAGTGGAACAAAGGCAGAGACGGCTGGAGTGAAGGTAGATGCCAGAGGAGTGCAGAAGGCAGGCGTTGTGCTGCTGTCAGCTGCACGACACGACAGCGCCCGCACAATTGGCAACCAGACTCGAATCCCGCGTCTGTCCACACGTGGGTTCTGGATTTGGAACACGGTGACACGGACAAGTCGATATAGCAATACAGTGGACTGGGGAGCTTTCTTTTCCCCAATGCTGCCGACTTGGCATTTGCGCTGGTGCACGTACGGATGCAACGACAAATGTCCATCATCCATGATCTGGCTCACTTCCCACCACCCCTGCTTACGAGTGCCGTGGCCGGTCCACCATCGCCAATTCGGTTGACAATGGGATTGTCAGCTTTGGCGATATTTGGGGCGGTCTGATGCGGAATGGGGCGACCCATGACCCAAACTACCCTGGAACTGGACCTGCTAGCAGTCACTCCGAGCGCGAGTCGTCGAGGACATGTACATGTACGTACGTACCTGTAGGCAATGAGTCGGATATCAAGATAACGGCGGCGGTGAGGAATGAAGATCGCACCGACCACCGGCAGCTGCAGCCTGCATGCGCGGCTGGCGTGCATGTGGATTCCTGGGGGTCTGGTCGCGGATCTGTTGAATTGGACTCGTGACCGCCAGTGGAGGGGCAGTGGGGTAGGTAAGCTGTAGTTCGTAAGTTAGTGGTGATCGAGGCCCGGATTCCGACCAAGTGACTTCAACAAGCCTCAAGGGCACAGCCTCTGGTGCCGTGTTGCAAAGATGCAACATTGATGAGACTGAGAACTGACTCGGTCTCAAGACTAGTCATCAACCATCGACCTGTCTGTCGACACGGGAGCATCTGACAGACCGAATCCAATTCTTGCACTCGCCGATCTCGCCCGCAGGCCCATTATCAGCTTTCCAGGACGTAAGCATGAAACTTTTCTAGGCTGCACGTAAAGACTGCAGAATGTCTTCACAGCACTCATTCGTCAAGTTCGAGCCGGTAGCTGCGGGCGACCTACATACCAGGTATCTTGCCGTTTTTCTTTCGAATCGCAGGTCTGACTCGAGCGAGGGTCATTGTCTGGACTGGTGGTCGACTGCGCCCGCCATAGTGGGCTGCCTTCTCACACTGGCCCATTGACGGATGGGCTCTTTCTCTGGCATGAGTGCCTATCTCTGCTCCAAGGTATTGTTAACATCTGGCAGTCGACTGTAAAGTAGACCACGAACTCAATCGACTCGACGCCAATAGGTGGGGCAGGGTAGCTTACAGCTCTCCACTCTCGCGGCCTCGCCCCACCCGCTCCCGGCCCCAACAAGACAGACCGCATCCACCTGCCACAGCCTCACCGAGACTTGTCAAGCCCCTATTGTGTTGTTGTTATCCCCCCAATTGACATGGCCTCGCCTTACGAATATTGCCCGATCCAGACAGTCAATGCCAACCCGTTGCTCCCGTGATCCTATATAAGCCATAGCTGGCTGCCGCGCCGCCGCCTCTTCCACCTGTTTTTCGTTCCGGCCGTGCCACCCTCGAGTCGTACTACCTTACCGCACCCTCTTGTTGGAGTGCCGTCCATCCATCCATATCAAGCCCGTCCAGCCAGCCAGCCAGCCAGCCAGCCATACAACCCCAAGCTTCCCCTCTCCATTCCGCCCTCTCAGTCTCTTTAACACCTTCTCTGATCTGCTTCTCTATTATCACCATCTGTCGGCCCATTTCTATATCCCATTTTCATCAGTCAGAACATGTCCCGTGTCACTGCTCCCGCGAAACAACTCGCCCGTGCGCTCAACGGCACGGCCGCCTCTCGCGCCGTCTCAACGAGCACCTTGGAGCACAGCACCAATGCGGGCGCCACCATCTCGCCCAAGTATGCCGAGCTGCTCCGCAATCGGCTGAGCGAGCACACTGATGTATGTTCAGCTACCATCTACAGTATCATGCAATTGAGCAATACGCTGACCCCATGTCGTAGTCCTCTCGTGGCATCACCACCACCCACCGCCCTACGCCTCAGCCTTCCCTCGCCAACCGCACCAAGCCCTTGATGCAGACATTCTCCTCGTCCGCCATCACGCGCACGCCTTCTGCCCATGTCGACGCCGCCGTCCTGCCGTCCTTTGAGTTCCTCAACGAGGCGCCCAGCCCGTTAAAGCCTACCGTACCCATCCTGCCGGACAACTACTCTCTGGCGAGCGCCGAGGCGGCGGACGCTCCCCTCGAGGAACCACAGGTCACAATCCTGGCCGTGAACCCCGACAAGGTCCTCTCCGCCAATCCCTTTGGTGAGATGCACCGCGCGGACGTGCGCTTTGTGCACGACGGTGTCGGCCCGCAGGGCGAGGAGCAGGCGGGCGGCATGCTCAGGGACCTCTGGAAGGGCATGGTGGACGAGGTCATAAGCGCCACGTCCGCCGCGCAGCCCAAGAGGGCTTAGCCATGACGTGCGCAGGATCATTCGGAGCTTTTTTCTTCGGTCGCTCGAGACTCTCAGGCGTTTTTGGCTCACTACATATTATGACACGACTTACGCATTTGTCTTGGTCACTTAAAGCGTTGTAATCAGCCGATCCGGCATTATATCTTAATACTACGTTTGCCCTGTCTTGGCACGGCGAGACCGTGACCGCCACTACATACGTACTCATCCTCTCCATACATTTGCTCTTCGTGACCGGCGCATTTTGCGATTCGTAATGTACCGAACCTTGCCACGCTCCCCCAACCCGTGGCATATCTCTTCGTTCAGCTTGTTGTTCCCTCCCCAGCCACCGAGTCTACTTTCCCCTCTCCTTGCTCAGCTGGGTCTCTCTACCGCTTCTTCATGGATGGTCTGGGCTTGCACTCGTCTCCCTGTATCGGGTGCAGCATGACCTTCGTAGGATAGCTCGACGTGTTGTTCTGGTACCCCTTGCTCCAGTCATAACTGATGGCGTAGGCAAAGATGGAACCAGTCTTGTTGAACGCGGTCGCCGTGATGGATCCGCCAACGTTCGGATACCCCTTGAGCCTGTGCTTGGCATCCTTGTCCCAGAAGTGGAATGTGCCGTCGGAGCCGGCGGTACTAAAGGTCCCGTGGACGGGGTGGAAGGAGATGGAGTTGACGGCGTGGACGTTGACGGTGTTGTTCACGGCGGGGTCTCTGTGGCACTTGAACGAGAAGTTGGAGCTGTCATCACGTGTGAGCCTCTCTGTTTTGCGTGCCACGGGGGGCAGGGAAGGAAATGGGAAGTCTGTAGCAACATACCTGGCGTCCTTGTCCTCGACGTACTGAATCGCGCACCGACCCTCGATGCTGCCAATGGCATAGCCCGCCGAGTCGGTGAAGCAGCTCACCACCCGCGTCTGCCACTTGAGCGGGCTCTGTATCGACTTGTAAATCTTCTGCGGGTTCTTGAGGTCGATAACATTGATGTAGCGATCGGCCGTGCCGACCACGCACAGGTCGCCTTTGACGTCCATGGCGTACACCCGGTCCTGACATTGCACCGTTGCCGCAGGTCCCTGCTGCCTCATGTCCCAGTACTTGACCGTCTTGTCCCACGACCCGGACACGATCATGGGGTTGCCGCCCGCCTCGAAGAAGCGCGCCGTGCGGACGGGCTGGTCGTGCGTCCCCGCCACAATCTCCTGCTGCGACGCGAGGTCGCAGACCTTGACGCTCTTGTCCGCGCCGGCGCTCACAATCTTGGTGCCATCGCGTGAAAAGTCGACATTGAGCACGGGCTGCGAGTGCTCGTACTGGTAACGGCCTTCTGATTGTCCCTGGCCGTTGATCTCGTAAATCCGCACCTTGTTGTCCCACGAGGCCACGGCGAGAAAGTCGGACTGGTTCTGCCCGGGGTTGAAGGCGAGGTCGGATATGGAGTCGGTCGGCGGGTTGCTGAGAGGCACGTCGCTCTTGAGATCACCCTGCGTCTGGTTGCTGGCCGAAGCCGCTGTGGAGGATCCGCCGCCAAAGAGGCCCGACATTGCCGTCGTTCTGTACTCGGTCTCGAGATGTTCGTTGCTTGTAGACGCAGAGGCGCCCGAGGGTTACTCGAGTGACGTCGGCTGATGGATAACTCGAGATAGCTCGATGAAGACAGTCAAGTCGTTTCGTTCACGGAGAAGATGGGTTCCGATGAGGTCAGGCGAGCAAGGCTGGAGCTCAAAAGAGTTGAAGCTTCGCAGGGCTTGGCGGCTGGGAAATGTTGTAGCGACAGAATTAGGCCCTGCACTAATTTAGGCACCTACGCGCATCCGTCGCGCCTGCGGAGCACACATATCTAGAGGAATGCGATATCCGTACAGTAGAGCAAGCACTATACTCTGGATATCACAATCGTTCCTTATCAGATTGAGATCAGTTTGACTCTTTTCTTTGGTTCAAACGCCATCCAGACTGACCTAGAATCTTCAGTGCAGTCTCTGCCTCAGTGACCCAAGGCTCTTGATTTCGCAATCACGTGATGCATCATGACCGCCCCACACGCTACAATAAAACTTTCTGCAGCGCACCGAACCTCACTTTCATCTCTTCCCTTCTCTCCAACTCCCCCTCGCTCGACAAATCGCTATTCGAAGCTCACATACAGAGACACTTGGGCTCTGCCCAGCGTCTCCCACACAAGCTTTGGGAGAAAGTCCCCGGACGTTCCTCTCTCTGTAGAGGATGTGCGGAAACGCGCCGCCATAGAAGCACAGCGGCTGACCTCTCCCTGACCTAGGCCTTCATGTCCACCATCGCGCCCTTCTTGCCGCTACATCTGTCTCTCTTGCACCATCATCTCCCCGGACTTGTGTGAACCTACCGTCTGGCCACCTATGGATGAGGATACGAGTCCGCGTCAGGCTGGTGGGTTTGCTCGGCGCTGGGGGTGCCGTGTGGTGTGAGGGGATGGATGGCATGTTAGCCGTGTCGATGATGTGGAATTGCTGGTATCGGGCGGAGAGGATATTTGTCGAGGTTGATAGGTATGCGATTGCTTGACTGCATCTTGCAGTTACGTTACTCGATGGGGCTCATTCTCGAGGCGAGGGGGGTCGTTGGTCAATCACATGTCCTGGCGACAGCCTGGCTTGGGGACTGATTCTCGTTTTTTACACTCTGGGCTTCGCGGGAAGTCTTCTCTCTTTCCGAGATGATGTCTCTTTGCTTGTTTTGTCAGCAAGGATCTGAGATGTCAAAGTTCTGTGATGAAGCTATACATAGAGTCAAGCACTGAGGATAGGGATCATCCCTTCCAATGCGGACCATGTTTACACAGTCTCTGAGAACTTTGACAGTCCTTTCTCTTCTTTTCACTTTTGTTCTCCGACTGCACAAGTCGCATCCTACTGTGCGAAATCTATTTCTCGAGTGTAGATTCTGTCCCTTTGCACCGTAATTGGCCGCGTATTCGCGCCTTTCCTTGTGACATTGGCGTGCATACCCAGAGCCCGCGTCATTGATTGGTGAATCGGGTGCAAGTGCATCACATTCTCTCTCTGCGCTCTGTCGATAGCGTGGCCCATTCAGCAAATGGCTTTATTCTCACCGTCCAATACGGAACTCATATGCGCAAGATCATCTGGCTTGGTATGTCGACGTGACGACTCTTTGTCCTGCACAGGGTGAAGACGCCGTCACAACGGGCGCTGTGTTGATGTGGCTGCCTTGCTCATCGCGTCGCATTTGCAAAGGACGTCACACCATTTGAGAGCAGTCAGTCTTCCCATCTTCTACATGTACGCTGTTTCGGCTCTGTGGCAGTGCAACAATTCCGGATCTCGATGCATCCCCCAGCGGTCATGGTCAAAGTACTATTACCTAGTCTCGAGATGGCGGTCGAATCATCAAAATCGTGGGGCAGGAAGGCTGAAGGCTGGAGCTGGCTGTCAGGCGAGTTAGCCGGCGCGTAATAAGCCAACCGATGTAAGTGCACTCACTGCATGTTGACGACGCAGGGGCTGGCTACAAGTACCTCATGCAGAATGACAGGGGTCCCTCACACTTCCTCACGGTAGCTTCACCCTCTGCATGGCTCCCAACAGTTTCAGTCCGGTCTCGGCTGATCCCTCCAGCGTTGACTCTTCTGCACTGAACCTAATCGATCAGAAGTAGTACCGTATCACAATCGATTCTGTAGTGAGTCTCGCTACGCCGAGCCCCAGGCTGGGTAGGACGAGTCCGCGACTAGCTGACTCGCAACCAGCTGAAGATGCCTTGGCTTCCACAGCAAAGATTTGAATAGTCAATATCGGGAAAACGGTTGGCTGAGTACCTGAGGTGGCCTCATACTATATCTACCTATACCCAAAGGGGGGACATTTCGCGAGTCGACACGGTGCACCACCCGTCCACCTCTGATCGAGACCCTCGCCGTAGCCTGCTCCCCAGGATCATGTTTAGCCGGTCATTCTTCATTTGGTCTGTACCTGACGTTAAGTATCTGCAAGGTGTGACTCCATGTGGGACTCCATCGCCCTACTTCAAGTCCCCTTACCCTTCTTTTCCACAAGAAGCCAAACCTCCGTCCCCAGACTATCTACACTACGGGAGTACTGCTCCATCCATCGCCAGCCATGAGACGACGCCTTCCCATCGTCGTGCTTGCCGCTGCTGCCAGTGCCACTACCACGACCGACCTCAAAGGTCTTCGGGAGAAGCTGCCGGCGTGCTCACTGGCGTGTATCGTCAAAGGTGTGGAACAATTCGGTTGCGCGATCACCGACCTAGAATGTCAATGCCGAAATATTGAGGGATTGACCGCAGAGGTCTCGCCCTGCCTCGTTTCGGATGGCTGCTCCTTTGAGGATATCACCGGTAGGCTTCTCCATCTTGTGGCAACCATGTTGCTCGAGAACCAATTGCCGTAGCTAATGAGCCCAGACACTGCTGCTGCTGTCGCTGGCGCCTGCGCCGATCTCATTGCCGCGGGCACAACTGCTCAAGCCACTCCCTCATCGAGCCAGGCTGTCTCCCAAACGACGAGCGAGCCTGTCGGCGAACCAACACCAGGTTCAGCTGCATCATATGGGGCTGGAATAGTCGGCGTTGTGCTTCTTGCTGTTGCGGCGGCTATGTGACGACAAGTGGTTGATTTTGGAACAGAACATTTCTTGCAAAGGAGGAAAAGTCGAGGCGAGGCGTCTATGGATTACGGGAATAACCTGTCTTTGTGTCATTTCGGTCCTTTGGTCTGGCCAGTCTATGCCATGTCTATGTCTATCTCTATCAGCAGGATTCATTCGCAAATGTTACCGTGCTGTCTCTTCCCTCCCTCGATTAGTTAGGCCACGCCGTTCGAAGAGCGCCCTGGCTTCCGCCGTCAAACAGGTCGTGCGCCTTGTCGAGCTCGTGGAACCTGGATCCAAGCTCCATGCCCCTCCTCCTCTCGGCCTCGACGCGCCTCCAATCCCATTCCCCGTCCTTGTCCAAGTCGACGTCGCTCAGATCGACGCTCTCATCGCCGACCTGCGCCTCGCCGCTCATCCAACCACCCGGGCGCTCAGGGAGCATCCCGCCATCGGAGAGCATGAGCGCCGGGTTCACGGTCAGACGTCCAACTTTGAAGACGTACTTGCTGATCGCCGTCGCAATGATCTTGCGCTCCCAGCCGCCTGTGGCATCCTGCCCGCTACGGACCTTGACACCACGGAACCCAGGGTCCAGCCACTCGGTCGGCTTCGCAGTACCCTTGGGCACAAAGTGGGTGATCACGTACAGCCACTTCCTGTCCCAGCACAGAATCCGGCTCCACACCTCGTACTGCTTGAACGGCGGGCACTCCTTCTTAAAGCTGCATGTCACAGCGCCGAGCAAGATGCCCAATGGGCCACTCACCGGCTCTTTGGTCTTGGGGTCGAGAACGAGGCGCGATCGGGTGTTGTGGGTAAGCTTGCGCATTGTGGAGCGAAGCAGGTATGAGACAAGGTGCGACCGGGAGACATCGAGGTCAGTGAAGAAGGTACTGTTGGACTTGTGGAGGTTGTAGTCGATCTCGAGGAGAGGAGCCCTGGTCGTCGAGATCATGGGCTTGTACAGGGCTCGTGGGCCAAGTGGCGGGGATTTGCGAATGAAGTGATGGTACATGATGGTGTAGAAGACGCGGAACTAGCCATCCATGGTTAGCAACTCCAAGACCACGACAGTGAGACCGCCCAAGACCTACCGTCCACGCAAAGGGCAAGTTCTTCCAATTGAACCAGCAGAAGAAGAGCATGAGGATCCTCGACGTTCTGCCCGGTCCAGTCAGAAAGTGGGTGATGGCCGTCTTCCAGTCGACCTTGTAGGCCGCATAACCTCCGCCCCCGAGCATCAGCGGAACCACCACGGGGACGAACAGCGCAAAGGCATCCACGCGACTCGACGCCGACGCCATTTTATCGGTGCTTTTTCGATTCGCCACGATGGGCAGTTTGGCGCGCAGAGTAGGCGCGAAGTGGGATGATTGCGATGCAGATCAGGGCAAAGAGCCAGAGAGGTACGGCACGAAGGTAGCAAAGGAGCGTACTGGTCGAGCAGATGGGTTGCAAGCCGGGCATGTAGGAATGCGCGAAGAGAAGGACTGGTCACTTATTAACAACAAAAAAAGAACAGTTGACTCAGGGTGGGTAGACATATGAGCCGAGGTATTCGTGGTCAGTAAAATTATTTTGACGCGATCGACGGACTCAGGGACCCAGGACGGGCTCCACATGGTGATCTCAGACTCCAGTCGTAGATTTGAGTGCCTGTTGATCTCTCAAGGTACGTACCTTAATTGTCTCTAGGGTAGGGCAGATCTTAAGAAAACGGTCACTCTGCCCCTGGGCCCTCAAGGGGGTCAACATTTGTCCACTACCTACGTCTAATTAAAACGTTTTTGTTTGGCCTCAGATCGAGAGGAAGCCCTCTATATCAAAGGTGCAGCGACTGTATCATGATCATGTGGCGATACTGCTGACACTCAACCAACGGTGATCATAAGCTGCATGAGACGATTTCACGAAAGAGAGGTACGTAGTCCAAGGTGTCAAAATTGATGAAGTTGCCCAATGTCCCGACGCGTGTCTAGCAGTACCTGAATACTTCAAATAGAAAATCTTTGGTCTCGACATGGTAGTTGTTCGGTGTCTATAGAATCATAACATCATTACTGAGCCAAGACCTCAGGCCCTGATAACCTTGGTACCCTCTGCGGGCTCCAGCACCTGCCATTCGCACTTGAGATTCTTGTCATCGTTGAACTCTCTCAATTTGGCGATGATCTTCTCAGCAATGTTCTCAAAATCGTGCGTAGCCAATGCCAGAATCGTGGGGCCTGCGCCGGACAAGCATACACCCAGGAATCCAGGATCCTTCTTGGGCGACATGCTCTCCACAATCTCATTGAGACCTGGAATCAGCAATTGGCGGTACGGTTGATGAATCTTGTCCTGCATCGCGAGATGGATGAGTTCTGGGTCCGGTGGCGACTGTCCCAGCGCTACCGGCAACAAAGCTATGCGCTGCAGGTTGAAGACGACATCGGGCCGCACGTACTTCTCAGGCAGTACCTCGCGGGCCTCGTGTGTGGGGACGACAAAGTCGGGGATGATGGCGATGGCCTTGATCTCCTTGGTCCAGGGGAACTTGATGTGATGCCCGATGCCGTGGGGCGGATCAGGGGGTGTCTCGCCCGTGTCGACGCCGCCAGCGGGTGCTGGCAGTACCTCACTCAGAGGGATCTCGGTGCGAGCTGTGTCCTCGGGGCTCAGGGGCTTGAGGTAGGTGCCGACAAAGCCACCGAACAAGGCAGCGCCCACGTTGTCGGGATGCCTCTCTGCGTGTGGAGTCAGTCAACGTTCCGCGTGTAGACAGCCCTAAATTACTCACCGATCATGAGACAGTAGTCGAATAGACGTTCATCCGTCAGATGGCTCAGCCCTCCCACCTCCTTGCCCAGCACCACGCCCGCGACAACGGCTGCTCCTGAGCTGCCCAGTCCTCTGCCCAGAGGTATGGGATTCTTGATGTGCACATGCGTCTCGACTGGGAACGACCTCTGTCCATGACAGCGCAGGACATAGAGCGCAACCCGGGTGATAAGATTCTTTTGCGGGTCCAAGTCGATGTCTCCAGAATCCTCACCTTGGCCCTCGTAGGTGACCTTGCAGTTCAGCGGCTCATCCGAAGACGTCTTTGTTCGGTCAACAGTAACGTGGAGCTCAAGGTAGATGGAGAGCGCGAGGCCAATGACGTCGAAGCCAGGGCCAATGTTGGCGCTCGATGAAGGCGTCTTGATAACGAAAGAGTCCATGGCGTGTCTGACCGCTCCAAGCGTAATGTCAATGTTTCGTCAGCTCACAGGGCACAGAATGGGATTCTTGAATGAGGTTTTTCGTGATGGTGCTTTCGGGCCCGAAGTCGGACTCGGTGGAGCATCCCCGGTCGCGCCTGCCCCTCCACCAGTCGTTGCCCGTTAGACGACGGCCCCGGGCTCGTCCAGTGACTCCAGTTATGATGATGAACAACAGATCAGAAGAGAAGGAAGAAAATGAGTGTTCTCTATCTTAAGAACATGCTGATGCTTAAAAAAGACGAAGAAGAAGAACGCGATAGCGCGAAGATGCCTTTTGACGTGTTGGCCGAATGTGTAGCCTAACGCAGCGATGCAAACATGCCTAACACACAACACTACGTAGCCAAGCAAGTAACCCCCTTCACCTCCAATCCCCTGCGAGTGACAACTTTGACAAAGCGAGCTGTCTCATGTCTCCGAGTGGCGCGCAGAGAGCATTTGCAGACCATTGGCGAGTGACATGACAGATAAGGCATTATAACCCGCCAAACCCCCTCTGACGTCAAGTGCCCAGGGTATGCCAAACGACGTGCTCTAACCAACTTAGTTAACGGGAGCAAAATGCGCCCGTATCGGCAGGTTTCCTCACGTGTCGCTATCGTCCGCCGTATTCCTCTTTGAAACGTCGAATCAAGGAGTAGAGCAATCGTTCCCTCTCAAAGATTCTCCTTTCATCTGGCACGCTACCGCTTTTCTTGCCAGCCTACGGAGTAAATGTCATGTCGTTCCACGTAAGCTGACGTCCGACGCATCTTCGTCGCCTCAGAGGCAGATCACCTGCGGCGAACACAGAACAAGATGTCCACACAGTCGTGGAATATTCACATTCCGGGTCGGGAAAATAAGCCATAGCAATAATTAGTCCCTGGTGGAAGACATGAATCTAACTTGGACCCAGGTTCCTCCAGGGCTTGTGGATCTCCTCGAGGCTCATGGGGCGCACGCAGCAGCGCCGAAGAAGGATCAGCAAAGGATTCAGTTTGTTGCACGGTTCGCCTCTCCCGCGCGCAATAAAAAGGATTCAAGCCCCCCCGGGAGCTCCAGACACTAGGATTTGTCCTTGGGTCGAAGTACTGCAATCATCGAGTTCGCAGCGCATAGGTACATTACGAACGATCTCCTACAAGATCTCAAGATGCACTTGACAATATCATCTGTCCTAACCCTGGCAATGCTTGCCTTGGCCGAAGAACCTACGAAAACGACAAGAGACTTCAAAGCCATGCCCGCTGCCAAACGCCACCTCCTTCTCCCGCGGCAAACGTTCTTCCCGAACCCGTTCGGCGACGTGAGCGACGAATGTGTCAAGGCCGCCGAAGAATATGTCGACTCTCTCCCTACGCCTGATCCCGACCTCGTGCAGGCTATCGACGTGCCTACAGAAGAAGGCTGCTACACGCTACCGGAGTCGCTGCACGATGCTTGGAGCAGCTACTCCAGCGAGGCAAAGTCTTGGGCTACTGCGCACGCAGACATTATGAGCAAGGCGGAGGAACACTGCCCCGAAAGCCCTGTTGGGCCTGAATTTGAGTGGTGCGATGGCGAAGATCCAAACGAGAACCTTGCCACCGGGTTCGAAGCATCGTTTTTCGTAGCCGTGGCCGCTGCCGCTGCCGTTGCGGCTGCGCTTGCACTCTGAAGAGACTCGGCGTAGTGTTTGCGGAATGTTAATGTGATACCCTTTTATTCGACATGGACGCTGGAGGAGGAGAGCAACACCGAATTCTGTATTGATAATTTACTGCGTGCATTACATTGTCGACGTCGACGACGAGAGCGAGCAATAAAAGCGAGCAGGACTGCTATAACTTAGACACCCCTAATATCTCGCGACAATTTTCACAAGCCTGTATGGTCGCAAATACTTTCTCGACGACTTCCCTCCCCCTCTGCAGATAAGTCTAGGTTTATTTTCGTACCCTTTTAGCGCCTCCATGTCTAGATCTTGCAGTGCTCTTCTTCTTCCAAGCGGTGATCTTCTCCACCAAATGGGTAGGTGTTGTCTCCTTGACAGCAGGAGAGGATTCCGGCGCTCGCGAACTTGTGCGCAGCGGATACTTTGTACAATTTTCCGTTTCCGACACAACAACCATCGGCTTCTCGTTCTCTTTATGATCCCAAAAACCTTTCTTTGGTGGGGGTCTCGGGTCTTCATGGCCAAGCGAAAGCTCGTCGGCCGATTCTTCGCGACTTCTCAGGTCACGGCTTCCGATACGTGCGGTGGATCGAAGGATCCGTGGCAGGTTATGTGCAGGTGGAACAGACTCGCTCAAGCAGGCCGGCGGCGGTAATTCCACTGATGGAGTGACGGATGCGTCAATAGCTGGCGCCGCCTTTGGAGACTCAGGGCAGCCCGGCTCTGTCAGAGGACTGATGTTTGTAGGCCGTCGAGGGTTCCCATCCTCGCTGAATAACTGTGATTCAGGGGGATCCGAAGACAGGAACACGTCTATCCCGGCATCAAACAAGCTTGGTAGCTCTGTTGTATCTGCTTCGCACGGCATAGAATCCGACGTCTCGATTTCGTCAACATCCAGCTCGACACCTCCTTGGGTAACGCCTAGTACAGTGATGCTCTCAGCCCCGGGCTCTGTTCCACGTCAGCTCGGTAGCTTATCTTGGTGGAAAAACATACCATGATCTTCATCAGCCACTTTCAACCACATGACATATTCCACGATTTCTACCCTGCCTGCGAATTCCGCAAACTCGAGTCCACCAGGCAGGCCCTCGGGTGGGAACTCAACGTCGACCGGCGTCTGAAGAACCGAGACGATGTGATCCTCTCTGACAAAGTTGCTCGCGAAATCCTGAAACATCTCCAGGAACCGTGCTTCACCTCGGAAGGCGAGGCAGCGCTTCTCAGGATGGAAGCCCATGAAACTCCTAGCGTGGGAGTATGACGAACCAGTATTCTGTACGTGAACGCTTGACGGCTGGCCAGAGTCATCGACGGTTGAATCGATGAGGAGGTTTTGCTTTGATACCAGCTCAACGTGAGCTGGGGTACAAGTAGAAGGTGCAAGTGGGAGGCTGCCTTTCTGGTACTTGCTCCACAGGGGTTCAATAGTTGCGCGTCGACCCTCACCTAACTGGTGAATCCAGTGAACTGTTGCTGCGCTGGTATCGGACAGGGTGTCCATAGAGGTTACGGTCATTTGATGCTGGCGGTAGCCAAAACGCATCGGGTTGCGGCGAAGGGGACGAGGCGAGTGGAAGGTGGGAGATTGAAGAGGAAGATTTCATCTGGTTAGGTACCTTATATATGAGCGTGAGTTAGGTGCGAGGCAAGCCCTCGGCAGGTGCGAACATGGTCAGTGAGCGGTCAGTCAGTGACTGATATTTCGTCGGATCTCCAGTCGTCCCGACTCACGACCTGTTGCTTTCAAACATGGCTGTATCCTACGCTTTCCAATGGCTGCGAGTTGCCTTGCTTCCGAGTATCAGCGCAGATCGAAAGGGGCAAATCATCCATTCCATCAGCTATGCCAGGCCTGCATGAAAGCATGAGATTACCACAGAGTAATAGGCAACCAAGGACTGAGTCACAGCCATGATCGATTTATTGCATTCTGCTCACCGCCGCTGGCACTCGTCTAGATACAAGTGAAACGTGCCATGATCCATTGAACGCTTCGAAGCCCCTACCCAACACAAGCACACGCAACGATCGGCCCAACCATCCTCAGGCTATCCATGATGATACCAAAATCCCAAAAGTAAACTCCAAAAATGTATAAGTGTATTCTATGAGTCTTCGCCGTCCTCGAGGTCACTGTCCGATAAATCGACGCTGAGCTTCTGCGCTTCATGTTCCTTCATCTCACGATATGTACTCCAGCTCAAACCCACGAATGCCACGATGATCATGGTGCCACCGATGATGGCTGCCCAGCTCAAAGGTTCGCCCGTGATGAACCAGTCAACAATGGCCACCAGGAAGATGGTGAGCAGGGCAGCGACCGATGATAGGACGGGTGAAGTGAGCGAGATCAGGACCAGAAAGGAGCCGCTGAAGGTGGCATTGGCGAGAACGGCGCACAGCACGAGCCAGCCAGTGCGGGCGTCGGGGAGCTCAAAACGTTCAATATCCAGCCAATGGAGAATAGGCAATGGAATCCAGAGAACAAGGAGGGTGAAAATGCCGATGAGCGACCCAAACGTGGTGGCAAAGACGACTCCTCGCCCAGGAGAGCAACCCTCCGGAGGGCAGGCGTAGCGCTTGTACAGTACCTCGTACAAGCCGTACAAGACCGAACCTATGCCAATCACGATATTTCCAATGAAACGACCACCGGCTGTGGTGTCAACTTTACCATCCTCACCCGTCGAGCCCTTGCTGTCACCGTATGCCACCACTAGAACACCACCGATGGCAATGATCACAGCCACTGACTTGTCGAGCCTCAACGGTTCCTTCAACAGGGGCACCGAGAACACATAGGCGAAGAACGCCGAGCAGTTGTATATAGCCGTGAGATCGGACGGTGTCGTGAGCGCCACGGCGACATACCAGCTCAGCCCCGCCACCGTCAATGCGGTGGTGATGATGGCAGTGTACCTCGCCATGTAGCGTAAGGGGTCCGCCTTGTGCGCGACGGACGGCTTGTGGACATCCAACGACCTCGTCTCCACCATGGTCGCGGTCGCTCTGAGGGACTCAAAGTGCTTCCGCAGAAACACCTTCCATGGGACCGTTCGGTTCTGAAGCTTGAGGACGACAACAGTCGCGGGCCACAGGACGACCCATGATCCGTGGGTGAAGTACATCATACAGTATGCCTTCCCCCATCCAAGGTCGTGTTGGATGTACGCGCTCAGCTCGGTCTGAATGCAGAACGTAATGAGGCTGACGACGAGAAAGAAGGCGGCAAAACTGTATTTCTTCTTGGCGGCATTCTCAGCGGCAATTTCTCGCGGATTCCGACTGTGCATCGTGGATCCTCTGCTAAAGGTCGGCCTCGAAGGCGGTGGGTTCCCTTGCTCTTCTTCCGACCCCCTTCCATCGTATAGGCGTTGTTGCTCGCTCCCGTCGTACAGGCGTTCCGACATGCTTGGTGGTTGTTGGTGGTCGGCCACATCATTCTCAACACCGTAGCCAGGCGCACCTCCATCCTGCTCCTCTGCCTTATAAAGAAGCGGTTGACCCAAGTGGCCGCTATCCAGCGGTGCGTGCCCTGCCATGGCGCCGATGGAGGAACACTGGGAGGGTAGCGAGTAGCGAGGGAGACGCGGAACAACTTCGCGACTGCCTGCAGTCTATCGTCGGGAGGATGTAGGCGGCATTCGATGTAGTACCCGTCCTTCGTATACGTATCAAAACATCAACCCCAAAGTTTGGAGAGAGAGCAAAGCGTGAAGGTAATTACAAGCAAGGTGGAGGATTTGTACAGTCTTCCTTAATGGTCGCCTCGCAGGCAGATAAGGCAACGTGCAGGACGGGGGTCCTCGAGACGCAGTTGACGGCGTATTTCCCCACGTGCGCTCATTGGTCTGGGTCGCCCGGTCAGCGAATCAGAGGGCTGAACACGGTGCTGAGTCAATAGTGGGGGGCCCCCTGAGTCCCTTGGTCCCTTGGCCCCTAATCAGATGACATGACGGCACGACCATTTCTCATCAGGAGTGATTTCACATGCGATTCATGCGCCCAGCAGCTATGTCTCTCAACAAACTCAGATGACTACAGGCACTCACTAAAAAGAGCCTTCTTTGTGTCATACGTATACTCTAGGTCTCCGTGCCAGTAGACTGTCGAATCAGCCTTTGTTATCGTCCACGCTTGATCTAGCGCCTGCACCACCTCTTCTGGCAACGGTCCCTTTTCCAGATTGTCAAGGTTCTGCTTTAGCTGTTCGACACTCGACACGCCGATCAATATCCCGTCATTACCACTCGTGATCTTCAGGTGCGAGTGGTGAACGACCCAGCGCAGCGCCCATCTCGATCATCGAGAGGTTGTGCTTGGCAGCCACCTCCTCCATGAGCTTGAGCGCCTGGAACGTGGAATCCTTGAAGTACCTCTTGCGGTATCCCTCGCCCTGCGCGCCGTTGTTGTGGCTAAACCGACCAGACTCGGGCAGGATATCCTGGCTCTTGATCTTGCCCGAGAAGAGACCCCCTGCGATGGGGTTGTAGACCACAATGTCAAGGCCATAGCGCCTGCATGCGACAAAGAGCTCGGACTCTATGTTGCGCGTGATGGCGTTGTACATGCCTTGGTATACCGTGGGGCGGATCCAGCCATTCTGCTGGCAGGTCATCACGACTTCGGCGACTTCAAAGGCCGCGAAGTTGCTCAGCCCCAGTCGGATGAACTTGCCCTGCTTGTGTAGCCTGTCAACTGCCTCAAGCGTTTCGGCAAACGGAATTCCTCTGTCCGCACGGTGCAGGTACAAAAGCTAATCAACATGTCAGTCTCAGGGCCTTCTCAAGCGAGGGGCGAACCTACATCGACCCTGTCCGTGCCTAGTGCCTGGAGGCTCTCTTCCACAGACTTGATCACCTTGTCTCCAGCGTTGTCACCAGGGTCCTTGGGGTAGCGGACTTTGGTTGCAAGGGTGAGCCCTCTTTCCTTCCAGCCCGCCTTTGCCATGAAGGCCTCCTGCTGTTCGCCAACATAGACGCGCGCTGTGTCGACCTCATTGTAGCCGCGGCTCTGGAAGACATCAAGCGCTTTGTTGAAGGTGGCGAGATCGGTGACACGAGCACCGTCGGCAGCAGACTCTCCAAAGGTCATTAGACCCAGGATGATGCGGTCGGTGAGCTTGCTTGCTACGAGTGGCATGGTGAGCGGGGTGAATAGCTACGTATACGATGCTAGACGACACTAAGAGGCATTCGCGGTTTCGGCTGAATGGTGAGATCTAGGTGTCGTGTCTCAGCATTAAAATCGAGCAGCTCAGGCAGGAACCGTAACGTGAAGCATTCGGTGCCTGTCCTGGGCGCTCACCCAAAGCCTTCCCTGGGAGCATGCGCCAGTGTCGGGGCGAGCAAACTGGGGTTGTCCAACTGCAATGCGCATTCTTTGATTCCGTACGTAGTAGGAGAGCTCAGCGTCGCCCCGGAGTTCATAACTGCGAGTGAAACAGCGACTTTTCGCCAGATATGATTTGGGGAGGTATGTCGCTGACCAGGCCTTGGGCCTAATGCCGTCCGGTAGATTCTCGGCGAAACAGTAGCCCGAGCTCAGGTACCTTACCTACCTTATAGGCCTCGATTTCTTGGGAGCCTCAAAGGTGACTTGATCGCAAGCTGCAGGCGCGAGGACACATCTGATTGAACCATTTCTCCTCATACTCAAACATGCTTCAGTAAGGACACAGACACTCAGGTACTTAGGTGTGATCTAATAATGCTAGTCTTCCCCACACATAGTTGCTTTCACCCATCATGAGGGCACATGTCGCCCGCCATGCCCGACACTTTGTCGTTCGTCGCGCCTCTTCCTTTCACAGCCTTTCCGCGCCAATCCCTCGACGACGGCATCTCAGTCCCTATCCCCTTTACTCGAACTACGCGCAATGTCGAACCTTTTTCGGCGTTCTCTTCCAGAAGCCTCCAAGGGAGGTGCGGCAGCCCGAATACGAACCGGGGTGGATGAAGATCATGCTCTGGCGAAGCCGTATGCTCGATAATCTACGACCGCCGCCCAGAAAAGAACTCTTGCAATCTTGGAGGGATCTTATGGCAAGCAAGATCAAAACTGGTCAGCCACTGAACACTACCCAGGCAGTGCAATGTCGAAGGCTGCTGGAGTGGCTGGCGGGACCAATCCCTGAAGGAGAGGGTGGGAAACCGTTGGCTAATTCCGACCTGGACGCGGCGAGACGAGTGCTGCTACTTATTGAACCATATGAGCGGTCCGAAGCCCATGTCCAACTAGCGAAAACACTGCATCGGGTATGGCAAAGCGAAGGAATCACAGGGAAAAGAGAGGACTCGACAAAGAGTTGGAGCTACATGGTCCTGGGCATGGCGCGCCACGGGGCGTCCCGGGAAGCTTTACAGGAACTATGCGGAAAATGGAACGAGCCGGAGTACAAAGCCATCGTCAGCGGAGAGAATAAGCTCATCGAAAAGGTCGCACAGGATCTGGCGAGGGAAGGCCACAAGCAAGAGCTTCTCCAATTATACGCCCGGGTAGAAGAGGACGATCTTCAGCTTGCCCCGCGACTGCACGAGATTATCACCATGTTCTACGCGCAAAACAACAGGGTTCCTGAGGTCAAGGAATGGTTTGCCAAACCAATGCCTATTGAGGGCCAGGTCCGAGCAGAAACATACTATGCTGTTGCAAGCTTCGCTCGGAGGAACGGGCTACAAGAGTGGGCCAAGCCCTTTTTCACGGAGCTCATGGAAAGGCAACCGAGGAAAACGCACTGGCACGTGGTGTTGCAGGCGATGTTGCTCATGGGCGAGGATCTGTCGAATGTGCGCAAGACCCTGCTGAATATGCAGGGCCCCAACGGGCCGCTGACTGCGGACACTTCGACCATCAACGCAATGCTGGATGTTGCTTGCGACACACTGGACGCAGAACTGGCGGATGAGATTCTAGCCATCGCTAAGGAAGAGTCGATACGGACCGACGCCGAGACATACCTAAGGTTGATGTCGTTACATCTTACAGCTGGGTCTCCGCCACCCATCGTGGACGTGGCCTTTGAAAAATTCCAAGAGGCCGGTGCACTGGAGCCCGATGCGCCGATGCAATCGTGGGCGCAGTACGCGCAGCTGCTCAACAGGTACCTCCTCTACCTGACTCGGCAACGGCCTGTGGACTTTAAGTCAATCTCGAAGATCCTCAAGGTGATGGAAGAGGAGATGCTTCATCTCAACCCAGACACAGCCGCAGCCCTGTGCCTCCGGTTCCTCGAGAACGAACAGACGTATGACGTACTTGACATTCTTTCGGCTAATGTTTTTCGATACAGCGGCGAACAGCGAGACCTGGTTCAGCAAGCAATCATGTCGTTCACGCTTGACCCGCAGACCAGCACTGCACGCGCATGGAACGCGTATCAGATTATGAAAGAGTTCTTCCAAGACCTCAGTCGCGAGAGGAGAGAGGCTGTGCTGCATGCCTTCTTCGACAGGAAGAGACCCGACATGGCGACGCATGTCATTAGCCATATGCGGCAACACTCCCGCATGGATGTGCAACCAACCATAGACACCTACGTGTCTGTCTTTGAGGGCTTTGCGAAGAATCCCGATCGCCAAGGGACAGAGAACGTACACAATATGTTGAAAATGGATGTGCGCATCCAGCCTGATACCAGGCTCAACACGGCGCTCATGCTCGCCTACGCAGCGTGCGAGCGACCATTGTACGCCCTTGACTTCTGGAACGAGATCAAATTTTCTGCCGAGGGGCCTACGTATGGGTCACTGGCCGCTGTGTTCTGGGTGCTGGAAAGGAAATCTGATGGCGCCAAGATGGCGAGAGACATCTGGGCCAAGATCGAGAGCATGGATCTGGAGGTGCCCGCAAGCGTCTACACTAACTACATTGGCGTGATTGCGGCGCAAGGTGACGAGAAGGAGGTGAGGGGTTTGGTCACGAAGATGGCGTCCTTTACTGGGGTGGAACCGGACGCATTGACGTGAGTTTCTTTCCCTTCACCTCCCCATGAACCATCACTGACGCGCTACCACAGCCTCGGAGTCGCCTTCAACGCCCTGCCGGGGGACGACCTACAAGCCTCGTTCAAGGAATGGGCAAAACAACAATACCCCGTCCAGTGGACAGCGCTGCAGAAGAAGAGGAAGCACATGAATGAGCACGGGCTGTGCGAGTATAGAATCAGCCGCAAGCTGTGTGCCTGATTGTACAAATGGTGTACACGTATGTGTGTCTATAGAAGTACATAGTAAACCCAACTGTTGTACATTGCCATCAGCATGCGAGAATACGCTCCTAATTTCCCCAGCGTCCCGGCGCCTGCCTCTGATCCGGGAACCACTTCCTGTTGAACATCTCGGGGTGCTGGTGGGTACTGGGGTACAGACCCATGCCAATCGCTCGTCGGACCATCTTCGCCACGCGGCGCTGGTTCACGGCCCTCAAGCCGTTGATGCGCCCGGGCAAGATCTGGTTTGTCGAATTCACGAATTCGTTGATCATGGAGAAGTTCTGTCATGTTAGAAAGGCGTTGGTGCACGAGGATGAACAAAGGGACCACATACCTTGTAGTGATCCTGCGGCCTGATGCCCAGGGCATCAATCGCATCGCCGCGGCGCCTGTTCCTCTTCCTCGTCTTCTCCATCTCCGCGCCGCTCAGATCGTGCGGGCTGTACACATCACCAGGCAGCCAGTGTCTCGGCATGTCCTTCATGTACTCTTCTGCCGTTCGACGTTGCTTGTTGGCCTCTGTGAGGGCGTAGATGTTGGCGGACGAGGCATCCTGGCGGGCGCGCGTATTCTGCACAATGCGCTGGGCGGCGTCGCCTCGACGTGTGTCGGGCTTCTGGGAGTTGTTGAGGTTCAGCAGGGTAGCGGTGGTAGACCGACGTGGCGGCGCTGGGCCTTCGCGAGGAGCAAGTGATGAAGCGGAGGTCGAGAATTGACGAAATGACGAAGCAAGCCCTCGAGGGGCTGGGAATCGCGGTACCATCTTGGCTAAGGCTGTTGGCACATTGACGAGGATTCTCGTGATGTTGGAGCTTAGGAGATTTCTACCGTGTCGCAGGCGGAATGGTCCGCCCATGGTATTCCGCTGAGCTGTAGGGTAGGTAGGCTGTAGCATTCCGCTACTTGTCGAACCCCACTAAAATTTTCGATCTTCCAAGGCACCAGCGTTGCTCATACCATTTATATTCATACTTTTGCTTGCTCGGCATACACAATTACCCCGGCGCAGACAACGACCATGGTTCGCAAACTCAAGCATCACGAGCAGAAACTCCTGCGCAAGGTTGATTTCATCAACTACAAGCAGGACAATGACCACCGCGACAAGGCCGTAGCGCGGCGGTACATGATCCAGAAGCCGGAGGACTATCACAAGTACAACCGGCTGTGTGGTGTATGAACGCCCGAGATCCTGTTCATATCATTGCATGCTAACATTCGCAGTCAATAAGGCAATTAGCCCACCGGCTATCGCTTCTACCGCCCGAAAATCCCACCCGTCGCAAACACGAAACCCTCCTTCTCCAGAAGCTGTACGACATGGGCATCATCTCCTCTACCTCCAAATTGTCCCTCGTGGAGAACAACGTGACAGTCTCAGCCTTTGCTCGACGTAGACTTCCGGTGGTCATGACAAGACTGCGCATGGCGGAGCACGTCCAGGCCGCCACCAAGATGATCGAGCAAGGCCATGTGCGAGTGGGCACGGACGTGATCACAGACCCGGCATACCTAGTGACGAGGACGACGGAGGACTTTGTGACATGGAGCATGGGAAGCAAGATCAAGAAGAATGTTATGAAGTATCGGGACAAGCTGGATGATTTCGAGCTGTTGTAGGTGACTCTGGGTATTGTTACAACATGGGACGGCGCCAGGAGTTACTCACGATACGAGGATGGAATGATTATCAGTTTTTCAGAGGGTTTTTATTTTTTATTTTTTTTTTCCGACTCATAAAGGCCGCAGTTAATACCTAGGTACGTTGGAGCTTGATGAGCCAGCAAACCCCGGCGTCTAGCCTTGACGGCCAAGGTATGAGCGCATTATGATGGGGAAAGGGTCAGCGAAGACGGATGCCTAGATGATCCTGCAGACAATCTCGTCAAGCAAGATGGCGCCGCTGGTCAATGTCGCCCAGGTGCTTCAGAGGTTTAGCTGGACGTTCTGTGAGGTTTGGCATGCCTTTCACCATCGAATCGCGTGCACTCTGCGCATAGCCCCACATGACCGTGCCGGAGAACGATAGCCGCCAACTTATATCGTGCAACTTGGAAAACGCCAATAAACACATTCCGGAGCTTCCATTTGGTCATGGCGGGGTTCAGTCTCTTTTCGTTCCGGTTGGATCCAGGGGTCGTTGCTTTCTGGTTGGCTCATTGTGCTATGAACTAGACCTTCCGCAAGCGCATGCCGAGCGTTCTCTGGGGCAGCATTTCCGTTGCGACGAGTTACTTACAAATAGCCCTGGTCAGTAAGCCAAATACCCTCCCGAACATTCATCTCTCATGCGAGCGTGATCGGTCAAGATGGTTGTCACCAAGTCAAAGGCAGAGTATACGCCTGACGATACGAATTTCACGCCAGGGAAGAATTCCCATCTCAGTGCCCTCGACCCAGGCTTCGCATCCCTAAAGCCTACGATTGATCCTCTAATTGAATCTGTATGGGAGCCCTCCTTATCACTTGAGGACTTTCGCAAGCTATGGCTGAATGACCAAACACCTCCACCGGGGTGTCCTGTCGAAGGGGAGGATGTTGTTTCCGAAACGAGGATGATTCCCATGCGCGACGGTCATGAGATCGAGATCAAGATCTATCGGAAGAAGGGCGACGACGGTACAAAAGCCCTGATGATGAGGTATCATGGGGGCGGCTGGGTGGTTGGTGGGCATTGTACGGAGAAGGCTGAGGATTTGCTCATTGCTGGGCGTACCAACACTACCGTCGTCAGTGTTAACTATCGAATGTAACTACCGTTTACACACCCACTGCCCCCTCCCCCCGCCTATCTCGGGAGTTCTTTCGCTGACAGCAGCAGGGCACCTGAGTGGCGCTTCCCCTACGCCGCAAATGACTGTTTTGACGCCTTACAATGGGTTGGTTTGCTGCCTGCAACGAATACTGACGCCGGCTAACAAACTCAGTGCCAAAAAAACGCGTCTACTCTCAATGTAGACCCTGCAAAGACTCTCCTTAATGGCGGTTCCGCCGGCGGTGGCCTAAGCCTGGTAACGGCTCTCGCTGCGCGCGATGCCGGGCTCCCCCTTCTCGCCTATGTCGCCACGTTCCCTGTCACTGTCCACCCAAAGTATGCGCCAAGGGACAAGTACGAGCTCAAGAGCTTTGCCGAGAACAAGAATGCCAGTGTTGTCAACGATGTGCGGCTGGAGTGGTTCACAGATATGTACATGCCCGAGCCCTGCGATGACTGGAGACTCAGTCCATTGTTGGCAGAGAGTCTGAAAGGTCTACCACCTGCGCGTAAGTCAGCGACGCATGCTAGCCATCTGTACCCAGCTGACAGTCCAGATATCGTGGTGGCTGGGTACGACTGCCTGAGGGACGAGGGTCTTGCCTATGCTCAACGACTCAAAGACGAGGGCAACGAGGTCGACCTGAATGTCTATGCCGGGCTGCCGCACTGCTTCTACATGATTGGTGACCACCCCAAGGTGCGCAAGTACTTTGATGACATGGTGGCTTTCGTGCAGAAGTACACGTGTTGAAGTTGCTTCAAGTATCAGGGAACAGGGAATTTAAGTAAATTTGAAGCAGACTTGCTGGGTATCCTTTCCTTGACGCCGTAATCATTATAATTCATCATCATCGTCGTCGTCGTCTGAGAGGAATATCGAGGCTCGCTTAGACGATACATCCTTAGTCATGCATGCGATGCCTTGCTCTCTCGAGCTGGAGCTGGGTTCCACTTTGATTCCAGACTTTGCAGGCGTTATGGCTGAAGCTTCTGACTTGATGGGACTCTTCACCGCTTGGGTCTTGTCCGCTTTCGTCTCCTTAGCTTCAAGCTTCGATTTCTCATGGTCTCCTTCGTCAGACTCAAATTTCTCCAGCAGCATGGCCTCTCGTTTGCGGTAGAAATGCGCCAGGCAATTGCGCCTTTGCTCCTGCGACCAATTCTCTACCACCAGGGCAAACTCGGTAGCACTGGCAAAGCAAAAGGTCCGGGCCATCTCGCAGAACTGGCGCAACTGTACATCCTGTGGTGGGTTGTATTGTGTGTACAGGCCTTGGCCCGGAGAGGTGCCCTCCTCATTGCTGGCAAAGAGTGCATGTTGCCCTAAAGTGTCACCTTCGCCATACTGTCCCAGGGCCGCCCTTCGCGAAAGATGCTCCTCGACTTTAGATGAACCGACGACCTCGGAGTTTTCATGCGCGTATTCGACACCTGCTTTTGAGAGGATGGCTTGGATCGCGTCCGTTCTGGGCGCGTTCGCTTTCCGCTCTTGAAGCAGCTGCTCCTGGTCCTTAGCCTTGAGCAATTCTGCAAGCTGGCTCAGACCGCCGTCTTCCGCAGTATCGCCTTTCGTTTGAATCGATCTCAGAGCATCGCCCTCCTTAGCAGCCTGGTCCATATCCACATCAAACATGTTGGAGCCCACGCGGGCTTCGGCAACGTTGGTCTTGTTGACGATATCCCGAAGTAGACCGCTCTCAGTATGGTAAGTGAAGATATTCTCCAAGCCGAATATCTCGCCCTTCTTCCCGGCTTGCTCCTGGATGCCTTTGAAGTATCGACGTTCTGAGGATGCTGTGTAGCCGATGTTGGCTTGCTGTTGCTTGTAGATTTGGCGGGCATAGACAATCTCCTCGACAGTGCCAACTGAAATAAGCCGGAAGACCTCAACGTCTCTTTTCTGACCAATTCGATAAGCACGATCTTGAGCCTGCAGATCATACGACGGGTTCCAGTGCGGGTCGATAATGACAACCTTGTTTGCGGACGTGATGTTCAGGCCCATGCCACCCGCCTTGGTCGAAATGAGAAAGACGAATTGTTTTGGATCCGAATTGAAGTCGTCCACCACCTGCTGCCGCTCTTCATAGCTCAGCGAACCGTCCAGAAACGACACATTATACGACGTGTAGTTGAAAAGGTGCTGCAATATGCGCAGCAAACGTACACTGTGGGAGAAAACGAGTACCTTGTCCCCGTGGCTGTGCCAGTATTTCAGCATCTCCTTCAGCACCTTCCATTTTCCACAGAACTCTGGGTTGATGAGACTGGTGATTTTCTCCCTGTCCGTGTACAGCTGGTTCCAAACTTCAGGGCAGCACGTCTGCAGGCTGCGCAACTCAGAGTTTTGTTTTTCGTCGAGATCACTTGACAGCGGAACAAGAAGCGTCAAATGATTGGCAATCTTCTGCAAAGTAACCATGGCCGGGAAGACGAATGTCTGCCACCTATTACCGTTGGGCAAGAACTGGTTGCAGCACCAGCCAATTTTCTTCCTGTGTTGGCCACATGTCTCAGAAACGGTCCGAAGAATCTCGACTTCCCTACTGTCGGTGAAATTCCGGTATGCCTCGACCTGCAAGTCTGTCAAAGGACAGAAGACTACCTTGTCTGTTTTCTTGGGCAGCTGATGCGCGATGAGAGACTTCATTCGGCGCAAGAAGAATTGCGGTAGCACGTTCTTGACCAGCTTCTGCGCGGTCGTTCTCGCTGCGTTGAGCTGCGCAGCTGTAGCATCATGCGACTGGCCGAGCGTCAGCGGTATCGATATAGCAGACCTCCATTCGCCCAGTGTGCCGAATTGGCCCGGGTTCGTCCAGTCGAGCAAAGTCCAGAATTCCTCGTATTTGTTCTGTATGGCGGTTCCGGTCAAACCAATCCGACACAATGCGTTCACTTCCATTAGTGCTTTGGTCGTATCTTTTGTGTGGTCCTTGATCTTGTGGCACTCGTCTGCGACCACGGCATCCCACTGTATCATGTTGATGGCGCTCTTCTTGTTTTTGTACGTGTCATAGGTGGTGATCATAATCTCAAGCATGCCGGCTCGGGCACTGCCGAGAACATCGTCTTTCCTGGCCCCATGATACACGTCAGCATGCCACCAGCCCCAGCGGTTCAGCTCGTTTTGCCAGTTGATCAAGACCGACCCTGGACAGATGATGAGCACACGCGGATACCACCGCTCATGGTGATATCGTATCTCCCGCATCCGCTTGTCGTCTCGCTCATCGCCAGTCTTTCCAAATGCAACTGTCAAGAAAGCAGCCACTTGTACTGTTTTCCCCAGTCCCATGTCATCGCCTAGGATTCCGCCCTGTTGGTACACGAATTTCCGATGCAAGAAGTCTACACCTTCAACTTGATAGTCGCGCAGATATTGTGCAATAGAGGCGGGTATCAATCCACCCGAGTATTGTAGCTCAATGTCTTCATAGGGGCGAGATGGCTTCACGCCGCTCTCTTCGGTAAACTGCGGTCGCTCTTGTAACTGGTTGACTAGGACATCCTCGTCGTCGAAAATGCCGTTGTAATCAGGCGGAACTTTGAGCGCTGCTTCGTGAAAGCTCCTCCTACGCGCATCAAAGTCCTGCCGCCTGGCCTGTAGGTAATCCGGCAGGTCGGGTGCATCCTCGGGCGGCTCATCGCCAACAGGCTCGTCTGCATATATCGACTTGCGCTTCTTTCCTGCAAATTTTCTTTTCGCTCGACGTTTCTTGGGCTTAGACGGAACAGTGTCAGACTCGTCGCTCCAATGAATTTTCTCCGAAAAGTCAGCATCAAGCTTGCGCTTCTTGCTGCCTTTCCTAGACTCGCCCAGCTTGGGCTCGGTGCTGGAGTCATCGGTATCTGCGGGCGAAAGATCATCGCTCACCACGACCGGGGACATGGTGGACAAGAACGAGTGCGGATTTGTTCTGCATCTTTCGCAGCCAGGGCAAGGCGCAGAGGAGTGGTATCAAGTGTGACTGTCAATCACTGTTCAGTCTTCATCTTCATACGGATGAGGCGCGTTGTCGTGACGTGCGGAGGATGCGTGATCACGTGATAGCTAATCGTTCTACTAAGGTACCTTACCACCAATACAATTCGGCATCCTTTCGAGTTTCTGCTTCATCCAGATCTTGATCAAGTACCACTAATTAGAGCTTGAAGCGGAAGCCATGCTCGACTGCCTCTCCAGGCGCCGCATTGATGGCGCCCTCCACCCTCTCTCCCCTGTCAAGCTTCTTGTTCAGCCCGGCCAGCATTGTCCGCAAAGTGAACGCAGCCGCAATCGCCGCCGCTGCCATTACGCAGTTATGCACAAATGCACCCGTGTATCTAGGCGCCGCCGATTTCGGGTAGAGATAACTTGCGTAGATGGACGCGCAGTTGGAGATCGCGTTGATGAAGCCAAGCGCTGCTGCGCGCTTAGCTGGGGGGCGAGGCAGCGTGTTGCTGATCCATGCGAGGGCAGTGGTGTACCCAGAATAAAGGCCCGAAATCTGTCACAGCATTCAGTCGGTGTCCGTTGACTTTCAAACCCTTTGACCACCTACCATGAGCATGATCGCCGCATACCTTGCCGCGACATTTGTGGTCGCCGCAGCGATTATGAACGTCACAACGGCCAGCCACAGGGGCAGGGTGATGTGCCAGAAACGCTCGCCAGTCCTATCCGCATGCCAGGCGTTGCAAAAAGTGGTGATCACGCCAAGGCAATACGGCGGACTCGTCAAGAGGAGTGTTTCGACCTCCGAGTAGCCAAGTGTCCCGACGACCGTTGGAAAGAAATTGGTGACGGATGCGGCAGAGACATTACCAAACAAAAGGGCAAGCTACAAGATTAGTCGAGGTCGAAGTGGACGCCGGATGCTACCTACTAGTACCCACATCTTCACATCTTGGAGCGCCAACCGGAAACCGAGCCAAAGGGTTTGCTCCTCACTGTTCGTCCAGTCGTCCGCACCGATATCTTCCTCAAGGCGCCAGATCGCCAGCGCAGTTTCTTCCTCCGACAACCACGACGTTGTGCGAGGAAAGTTGGGTAGCACCCAGAACGCAGCGAAAGCCACGGCGATGGTAACAACACCTTCAATTAAGAAGAGCCAACGCCACGCTCGGAGTCCCAGACTGCCGTCCAAATTGCCCGTGATCCCGGCAGAGATTAGTCCTGAGAAAGCACCTGAGATGAGCGAGCCTGCGTATAGATACGTGGTCCGAACACCAAGTTCTTGACGGGTGTACCAGCAGCTGAGGTAGTACAGACATCCGGGCTTTCAAGTCAGACTGCTGTTCGGGTGGCAAGGCGGGTGTACGCACAAAATAGGTCGCCTCAACGAACCCGAGGAAGAAACGGGCCGCGTACAGACCGCCCACGGACTGGCAGCCGGCCGTAGCTGAGGATATGACGCCCCATAGGATCATCTGGGCTTGTCAGGGCTGAACAATTCTTCTGGGTAACTGTGACTAACAGAAGCCGGCAGATAAATAGCAGGTTTGCCGATCTTGTTCAAAACCAAATTTGATGGAACTTGCATCAGAATGTACCTGGACTGGTCAGTATGCCACGCTGAATGGAAACAACGCTCTCGACCGAGTCAAACCGGCAGCAGGGGTACGACGAAGGTTGTCAGCCGATCCTGTTCAAACCAAGTACCAATACCTTTGATCGAACATCGAGTCTGATCACTGCTGCTGTCTGATTACAGTTGAGCGGATGACGACTCACCCGACAAAGAGGATGCTCACTGCTGTCTATGCACTTCGTCAGCTGCCATCCGTCTCCGAGAGTAGGTCGCCTACTGAGAACTGGGTGCCATCCTCGTCCATGTTCAAATCTTCCTCCAACCCGGCGTACCGCGCAGCAGCAATGTTGTTCCTACCAAGTCAGGTGCACATCCTTCTGCCGGGTGGAGATCGCCTACCGGTCAATGTAATTGAGGATGTACATGATGACAATCATGGGCAAGAGACGCAAGTCGATCTTACGTCGCATCTTCTTCTCGAGCACAGCACGCTCCTCGTCAGACAGGTGCCCGAGGATGTCTGGCAGCTCGAGACCCCGCTGCTTCGCCGCAACAGCAGATGGAGCATCATTCTTGGTGGAAGTGTGTGCAAGCTCGATCTCGTCTGCAGACGGCGTATTAGTGGTAGCCGCTGGCTTCGCCTGTGCAGCGCTGTTCGCAATGGCTCCAGCTGGAGCCGACTCGGTTCTCTTGTCGTCCGCCATGTCGTACATCAGCGATTTGACAAAGCTTGCTACGACTCCCGACAATCTCACAGCAGCGTCCACGGCTCTTATACCCCAGGCTGGCGGCTCATGTCCCTCCTCCAAATTCACTCCCGGGCACCCATCAAAGCCAGAGCGTCCACATCCCGCTATGTACTGTACTTGTAGGCAACGATCGCCCGGAAAAACGCCTGTGGCTGGTCGCTGGTAGGGCGCGGCCAGTGATATACGGTCACTATCATGGGGTTGCGGCGTGCATTGCGGGGAGAAGAAGAGCTCAATGTAACGATGAGCCTCAAACGGCAGTTCGCGCGGCTATCCAACGGTATGTCCGAGCGGAGATTCCTGTGGCATGACCTCACTTTGCGAAGGTCGGTGTTCGCCATATCATGCGCTCCAATGGTCAAGGTAAGAACAGAGTGCCGCTGAATACTTTGCACTTTGAGATGCCGCCGTGCCGTTTGACGGCACGTGGGAGCAAGGGAGACAAGATTGCTGCTCGTCAAAGCAACGCGTATTTACTCAATGCGTCCCGCATCTAGTTTTGGATGGTTCCAGGCCAGGAAACCGGCTATTCGGGCCCTACGGCGCGCGGTAACTGCGAAAGTCGTGCTGAGACCGATTCTACTTTCGATAATGTCACACAGCAGCTGATACTGTTACGGGCGGCTTATCTCGAACACAGCTTGGTGACGGACTCGAATTACAAGGGTTGTTTCTATGCCTCTACAATATCTAGGTTCGCCCCAATTTGAGCGACAAGTGGGAAATACAATAAATAAAAAGTTGACCAGAGAACACTCTAATCACGCGCATGGATATGGGAACGTTTGTCAAGGCACGACTGAGTGATGTACCAGTGCTCATCGGTTGTTTCCCCTCGAATTCTCAATGCAAGCCTACGGATTTAGGCTGTCTCAAAATACACGCTTCATTTGCCTAAATCTTTGGTGGTTTACATTGAATAATATAAGTATGGTTCCCAACGAGTGCCGGTACGTATTGCGTTGTAGCAGTAGCTTCTGGAGCAGGCATAGGGTAGGTAGGATCTTGGTTCATGAACAAGGACCTTGATGGGCGCGGAAACGTCACGTGATCTGTAATATCAAGTGAACTGGGCAAGCGAAGCTCTTCACGATCCCTTGCCAGCTCGCAGCGCGCACCATTCGCACCAGGGATTTCACCAGCCATCATGTCCACGGCGGCTACGAAAGGTCGATCGGCCTCCCCAGGCGAGGCCAAGGCGAAAACCACGCTGCACCCCGTCGCGATTGCCGACACGCCGGCTGCACAGGCCGTTTCCATCGGGCGACCCGCGCTGCTGCTAGGTGCTCTGTACGTGAGATTGCCAGCCCTCATCAATGACCCCGTGGCGGCATTGAACAGCGCGCTGCCGTTCGTCGTGTTGGTGCAAATTGCCTACGCCGCCATCTGCCTGCCCATTGCCGGTGCCCCGACCGTCGCGAAATCAACAAAGAAGCCTCGAGCAGGCGAGAAGAAGAGGACGGAGTCAACAGCACCCGCACTCTTCAAGGCAAGCCTTTTCCAGTCTTGTGTCATGTTACTTGTGTTTCTAACATGTCCGAACAGCAATCTTTCCTCGCGCTCATCCTGACCGTCATCACCGTGCCCGCCGTCCATATTCTCTTTGTGCTCTTTGGCGCACCCTTGCTCGACCACGTTGCCCGGACATTTCTCTGCGCCGCCCACTTCTCCATCCTCGCAGCGTTTCCAATGTTCTACACGCGCGGCGTGGATGCACAGCCCATGCTGGCACTGGCGGGCGCCCACGCGCCGCTTGATGAAGTGTCTGGCGGAGTTCTAGGCGCGGTGCTGGGCGCTTGGTTGGGCGCAGTGCCGATTCCCTTGGACTGGGACCGCGAGTGGCAGAAATGGCCTATTACGATTATTGTCGGGATGTACCTGGGCTATGCGGTGGTTTCCAAGGGCGTCGGGACGCTATTCTACGGCAAGAGACTTGCAAAATCGCCAGGGGAAGGCAACGAGTGAGGATTGTACATGCGTATGTACGAGTACCAATGTGCCATGCACATAGTGAAATCAACAAATCATGCCATTCGCGGTCTCGGTGCGAACCCGGTCGTGACTTCGTCATCGTGCCAAGACCTGTAACTTACGCGTCTTCGTTTCAATTGTACCCAGGGTTGTGCGCCGTCCGCCAAGCCAAGACTACTAATCCCTTGGCGATGTTGACATGGGGAAATTGACATCGAATTAAGGTACCAGTGGCCTGTACGTTTAAAGCTTTAGATTGCAGACTTTTTCTGGAGGCGGCTCAAAAAAGAAAAAAGCCTAACCGTGGGGCTCAGGGCGCTGCTGCGTAATTGAATGTCGGCTGCTGAATGCCGGACCCTGTGGTGAGGCTGACAGCTGGCGGGGGCGCCGCGTGTCAGTGACATGGAGCTCGCAAAGTTGCACGCGCTCGTGAAAATATGCAAGAACACAAGGCTTAGATTTTTTTGATAATTTTTTTTTGGGGTAGCTTCATGAAGTCGTAGACAACCGTCCGCAGCTGCAGGCGATTACTTCATCATTATTTCCCCATCTCTGCATTTGCTCGCTCTGCCATGTTCTATTTCCGTCGCCTAGTGATCGATCAGGGCGATCATTCAATAATTGTGGCTGGTGCTGCGGACGATGTGTGGCGGTGATAGACATGCAGGGCGATGATTGGCTGCTAGCACGTGGTGCATGACCTTGATTGTGGCGCTTGCTCGGCAGATGCACCGTTACAATGACGTAACTCTTAGATGTTGCGAGCTCACCTGGCCGTCGAATTTGGCTAGCTGCTCCTGTCGCTGGTCACGATCCCCTCCGTGGTGGTTTCTGCGATGAAGCTGTGAGAAGAACTCATGATAAACTAGATGTTTCAAGTCAGGCTGAGCACTGTACGGGTGCCAGTGGTGAAATACTCGTACAAACTGTGCTTCGTAATATTCACGGAAGCCAGGGGCTCAACACGCGTATTTATCTGAGCTGCGAGAAAAGCCAGCGGAAACAGAGCGCAGAAATGGCATGCCAAGGCTGTCGATGACGCACGTTCTCGCCTTGAGCGCCGACAAGTACGACCCGTTTACGGCATGGCCGCTCGCCAAGGACGCATGGATGATTGACACCGGACCTGGACTTCCCTGCTTGCTGCCCATTACACACTGGAGAGACGCGCAATGTGTCCGAGTTCCTTCTGATATATAACGTCCATTAGCTTTCCTTTTAGTCTTCCCAATTCTCTATCTCCCGCCTTCTTTTCTTCGAACAACCACAAAACCACACCAACCAACCCCTTCAAGTCAAACCATTCAATTTCTTCCGACCTCCATCACCAGTCACCCACCAATACCGCAACAATGGCCTTCACTGCTTCGTAAGACTCCCCTACATGTCATCACTCGCTGGTCATTACCATTCCGTCACATCCGTAACGTCCCGTGCCGCGGTGTCCTACGCCCTTCGCACGATGTCTTGCCAAAATAGATGGATAGATCTCCGCTAACACAATGCTTACAGCGACATTTGCAAAATCATCTTCGCCGTCATCTTCCCTCCTCTGGGTGTCTTCCTCGAGCGCGGCTGTGGTGTCGACCTGCTCATCAACGTCGCCCTGACCATCTTGGGTTTTATCCCCGGTATCATCCACGCCCTCTACATCATCCTCAAGTACTAGACGGCCTTCGCCAGCGCGCTCTGCTGCGATACATCACACACCATGATTGACGCATAATACCACGGGTCGTGAGGACGACCCTCGAGATGACGACAACGACGCATCGAGAGCAACAACGCCCTTTCTAATAACCTGCTCTCAATTCTGCCTGCACGCTGGGGAATCTTCTATGTTTTTGTCATTTGCACGAAGGAGTCACAGGGGCGAGCGCGGGAAGTGGCACTTGGATTTCTACTTAGTATACTTCGATACCCATAAATCCGACAACACGTCACCGCCAAACAGAACGCAAAACTTGTCTCGTTGTGTGAGGAAATGCACATGTAATGTGCCGTCTGCATTGCACCGGGCTCCGATCCAAGAAAGTGGTGCGGTTCGGGAATTATCGTAGAAACGCTGTACGCCAGTCATCTAAACAAGTGCCATCAAACGTATGTATGTTTTCATGCCTCACAAAAGCTCTCCTTCGCCCTCCTCGGCCGCCAAAGCATCGTCGTTTTCATCCCAGTCCAGTTCAGCGTCCAGTTCCTCTGCGCGTCTCTGCACCTCGGCCAATCCAGACAGCTCCGCGACATAGTCCCTCTCTTGCAGTGCCCTCCTCACGAACCCCCAGCCGTCGCTCCGATACGCTTGAAGGATCTTGGGGCTACACGCGCTGCAGCAGTCGTACGACTGGCCCCTGATGACTATGTTCTGAAACGTTGAGACATAACCCCGGATCTGGTGTGGCACGAGGCCCAGAGGGTGTGACGGGGGATCACGTTCGGGCACAGACCCATGAGTTAGCTGCGGAGCAGGCGCGTGGTTGCCTTTGGGATGCTGGAGCAGACTGGTGAGCGTCTCGACGAGGAGAGCCGAGGCGATGGCTGCGACACCGGGGCGTGTGACGGTGCACTGCTGATCGAGCGTTTGGTCTTTCATGGACTGTGAGTGTGTCTGTCAGCAAACAGTTCGGGCGAGACTGGGACGGCAGTAACCTACATCAGCTGGTGCCACGACATCGTTGCAAAAGTAGCAGCCCAGCGAAGGCGCATCGGCCTCTGTGCTCTCAGCGCCGTGTCGCATTACCACGTACGAATCGAAGCCGAGAGCGGCATTCATGACGATCTTGCCGGCGGCTTTGCCCATAACAGTCGGCAGCCAGCGCGACTCCCGCGTGTCCATCAAAAGAAAGACCACGTCATGCGCGTTGATCAGAGCATGGAGCTTATCGTAGTCGGCCTGTGTTTTGGCCTCGTCCGTGTAAGGGTGCCCCAACATGGGAACAGATAGCGAATGTCCCTCGCTGTCGACTCCGGGATATATCCTCTTCAGCATGGCGGCGGCCGCTGCCGCCTTGGGCTTGCCGCCGTCCAAGCAGTCCTCGAATTCGAAAAGGGGCTGCCGCACAGGGTTGGAGAAAGACACTCTTCCGTAGTCCACGAATGTGACTTTTCTGACACCCCAACCAAGCAAGTTTCTTGAGACGTAACCGCCCAGTGTGCCCGCCCCTAACAGGAGACACTTTGTGTTCTTGACGCGGTCCAGGTCCAGGTCGGGCGCCAAACGCCACTTCATGAGCTTCAGGTTCAAATCGACCGACGAGTCGGCGATCCGTGAGGGGTCCATATACTCTCCGAGGTTCGCTTGCTGTGCCTGCAACTTCCCATTCCGTGACCTCTCCCATCCTGTGACCTTGGGCATGTCTGCCATGACCACTTTCTCCGTGGGGTCCATCTCAATAGGGAGGATCACGCTGCGCGACTCATGCCTCCGTGCCCAGATGTCGCGGAAGCACAGGATCTTCACCTTGTCCAACTTGTAGCGCTGCCGGATCAGGATCAAGAGGTTGCGCAACGGCCAGCCTGGTCCTTCTGGGTAGGTCGACGGGTCCACAAAGGAGACGTAGCGGTCGTTCTCGGGGACCTCGTTGAAGAATCCTTCCTCGAACGCCCGCAGCGAGGCAACCTCCCACCGGTAGCCTAACGTCTGTGTTGTGTCCTCGTCGGTATCTTCTCCTGGTGTGCGGACTTTCTTGGCCAGGAAGAACCCGCGCTCTCTCCCGTCGACGCTGTAGCGCCATGTTCCCACCTTTTCCAGCAGCGCGCTGCTCTCGTCGACTTTCAGATGCTCGGCCGGTCCGTTCCGTTTCCATTGCGGGTCAGAATGTAGCGCTGGGAACGCGAACCAGTAGGTGCACTTGTATTTCTTCAGGTCGGCGTAGGAGAGGATGATGAAGGACGAGAGAAGCGACGGGACCGAGTAGATGCTGCCGTCGTTGATAGCATCCCAGATTTGCCGTCCAGCGGTCTGCACCATGGCCGTCTTGTCCGTGTTACGAAATGCGTCGAGGGTGTTTGCGTTCTTGATAATGCCCTCGCCGCGCGCCGAAGCGAGAGGGGCCCTACAAGGTCAGACATGTGGCTTCCCGACAAGTGTTTCTTGCGCCTGGCTCACTCTGTGCACGTCAAGGCGTTTCCCAGGATCTGCATGTTGCAGCTCGCATCGGGCTCCTCGAGCCGCGGCTCGTACAGGCCCAGGACGCCGCGCGCGGAGTCGTCCAGCTTGTCATAGTCAAGCTTGGAGGCGAAGAGCGCAGAGTAAAAGGGGAGTTCGATCTCGGAGGTGAATGTTGCGAATTGCAGGGGCGAGGAGGACGAGTTCATCGTCGCGCCCTGTGCTGCCGACATTTGTCTGGCTCGACGATAGACGTCGCCGCCGCTTGTTGGAGGGGAACGACGTGGGACACGGTACGATGCGCGGCTGGTTGGTGGTTTGAGATCAGGGATGCAATAGGTGCGCCGCTGAGGTTTGAGTATCGATGTTGAGGGAGGCGCGCGACGCCAAGGACAACTGATCGCGGTCAGGCCAAGTCGGGGCACTAGTGCTTGCTCGTCAGATGATAAATCCGAGGCGGAGGGAAGTCAAAGTGCGGCTCGTGATGTTCCAGCAGCTGGTCAGCGGGCGGTGGCCAGTGCACACCCAGGCTACTTACAGTGGTGGGCTGGTGGCTCAGGCTGCCATTCCGGGGGCCCAATCGCCAAGTCTTGTGCCCCGCCGCGGGGCTACATCAGTACTGGTACGTAGGGCAGCACGTATCAGGCCGTACTTTGTATTTTTCTGCCTTTTGCGACCTCAATCAAGCAAACCAAATTATCATTGATTCTCTTTGATTATGTTTAGCTGATAGAACCTGGATGTTATGGCCACATGCCTAAGCTTGATCTTTTTCCAGAGATGATTCCAGTCTGAGATACCACATTCTGGACACCAGCAGTCTCAAGCCCATGTGCAATATGACAATGAATGGACACCAGCAGGGCCCAGGTCTGATACTCAAAAAGGGGCAGGTTGGTACTTAAATCAATTCATAGTTACTAAAGTACTGCAAGACTTATAAGCATTAAATCACACCTGAGATTGAGTATCTGGTCGGGACTCTTCAGTACCAAGGGTCGAATGAGGGCATTCTCGCCCAATCATCTTACACGGCTTCATCAGCAAGAAACATGCCCACAATGTGCGACGACGAGTGAAAAAGATCGGAAAGGGTTGAGGAGACACGGAAGGAATGGATCGAATCTTACCATCCTCAGACTTTCGTGCAAAAGGACTGGGGCAACATACGCAGGATAGCATGAAAAGTGGCGATCGACCGACTGTAGCGAAAGCCGAGACCTCCGCATCCCGATTCGAGCTTCTTCCTTTTCCACAACATACAGCAAGACTGTACTGCAAGGCCATGGCAGATCAACACAGCGCGTATACTCTGGGCCACAAAGCCTCCCAGGTCCAGCATCACGAATGGCGCACCGCCGAGAACAGCGCCGGTCACCTCCTCCCGCACCTCAAGGACACAGCGTCCAGGACCCCAGGCTTGAAGTTCCTCGACGTTGGCGCTGGGTCCGGCACCATCACCGCTTCCTTTGCAAAGTACATGCCTCAAGGCCACATCACGGCTACAGACATTTCAGATGAGATCCTACAAAGAGCTGCGAGCTTTGCCAAGAAGCAAGGCGTGGACAACATTACCTTCCAGAAAGCCAACATTTTCGAGCTGCCCTTTGAAGACGGAGCATTTGACATTACTCACGCCCATCAGGTGCTCGTTCACCTGGATGAGCCAGTGGCGGGGATCAAGGAGATGATTCGGGTGACCAAGAGAGGCGGTATTCTGGCTTTGAGAGAAGCTGATATGGAGCACATGGTCATCTGGCCCGAGTTGCCTGGCGTCATCGGCTTTCACGAGACACTCCTCTCTACGTGGAGAGCTAGTGGAGGACATCCCAACGGCGGGCGCCAGCTCGTGAGCTGGTCGCTGCAAGCGGGCGTCCCTCGAGACGACATGACGGCAACCATGGGAACATGGTGTTATAGCCAGGAAGGCGACAGAAGGATCTGGGGTAAGTAGTCCTCTATCAGCACTTGGGTTGTCGTGCGCTAACATGAGCAGCCGATTCCATGATGGAGAGGGTCAAACATGGCCAGATGAGAGTCAAGGCTCTGGAGATGAAGCTGCGGTCGGAGCAGGATCTGGATGCGATGGCCAAAGGTTGGGACGACTGGGCTAGAGCGGAAGACGCGATGATGGGTATTGTGAATGGAGAATTGATTATCCATATCCATTGAAATGACCACAGATAGCCGAAGAACCATTTTATTTCGCAATGAAACTATGCGTTGTAAGGCTGCTTGAGCTACTTAGTGTAGTACGAGTTTCTGGCGAGGGCAATCACATGTTGTGCCTGATGCGAGTACTGCCGCTAGAAGCAGAACTTCCGCACCAGGGTGAGTTAGGCCTACACATCAGCGAATCCGGGCCGGGCGGTACGTAGACGTACTGGCTGTACTTCTTTTGGAACGATGGGTAGGTCCAGAAGTTGCTGATGAGGATCTGGACGTATTCTTCCATACGTGTCATTCCTCCATCCCGGGTGAATTTTTTTTGCTCACCTGACGGCCAGACACAAGAAGATGGCCTACTTGTAGTAACTGGGGCTCTTACGCACCGTCTTTCTATGCAATCAGAATAAGTCTCTTGCTCAGAGGGTTGATCACCTGTGAGCACTCCGGGCTTTCATCATCGCCAATACTTCCCAGTGGGGGATACGCAGTGCGTCTCTCTATCCTGATAAGCATATTTGTGCCAAGGAGATACTTGACGCGAGAGGTTTGCATCGATATCGCTTCAAGAGTAGGTCAGGTTTTGTCCATGCTTGTGCTATCCGATTTGGCTATTCCCACAAAAGTGTGGCACGATGGTACGGCGACAGCGATAGCACTAGAAAACGTCCTTAGCACTTTGTAGTGAGCGGGTCTAGCCGCGCATGAAAGTAAGTCGTACACGTTGACTCATGTGGATGCCTGTGTTCGAAAGTAGGAGTAAATAGATGGCCTCCTATCGTAGTAGCTTGGACCCTTGAAAATTGGGTTGGAGTTGAGGTGTGGGACTCCGCATTTCGCGCCAGCACCATCACGCGAGAAAGCGCGACTATCAACGTCACCGCGTTCGACCCCGGATCATCCATCAAGGGATGCGTCAATATGCTGATTGGTATCTGTGGCAGTGAGTTTCGGCCTGGGTGAGATCTGCGAACCTCTTTGACGGATCTTCTAGGCATATGCTCCGGCAAGAAAACGGTTGCTCACTATCTTGTTGAGCACCATGGCTTCAAACGCCTATATCTAAAGGCGTCGCCCAAGGAGGCCAGCGCTTCGGCGCCAGATGCTTCAAGCAACGCGCCAAGTGAAGAGCAATCACCTGACTCTGAGCCAGAGGCCTTCAGCGGCGCGTTGAGCTCGAGTGCTCTGACGACCAAGAACGGCCCAAGGCTGGCAGCCAAGGGGTCGCTCGCCTTGCGGCCCCAGCCCCAGGAGCATAGCTTCACCTCTGCCGAAGATCTACTCGACTTTGTCACGAGGCGATGGCGGAGTCGTTTTGTCATTACTGACATCCCCACCGAGGCTGTTCTTGACGTGTTTCTCCGACGACCCTTCTTCCTCCTCCTGTCCATCGACGCGCCCCTCACCGTGCGCTGGAAGCGCTACCGTGACCGCTCCAGCAGTGCGTCCGAGGCTTCGCGGATCAGCCTCGAAGACTTTGTCGACCAGAACGATCGGCATTTGTATGATCCACACGACGGTCTGCAGTCCCTCATCTCACGCGCTACTGTTCGCTTGCTCAACACGTCGTCCTCGCTGGCCCATCTCTACGCTAAGCTCGGCAAGCTGGACATCCCCAACCCTGACCGCCTGCGGCCCGGATGGGATACGTACTTTATGGCACTCGCCTCGCTCGCGGCGCAGCGCTCCAATTGCATGAAGCGTCGCGTGGGCTGCGTGCTCGTGGGTCGCGAGCGTAGGGTCATCAGCACGGGCTACAACGGCACGCCCCGAGGCCTGACGAATTGTGCCGATGGCGGGTGCCCGCGCTGCAACGAGGGCAACGGGTCTGGCGTCGGCCTGGGGACCTGCCTGTGCATTCACGCCGAGGAGAATGCGCTGCTGGAAGCTGGCAGGGAGAGGATCCGTGACGGCGCAGTTCTATACTGCGATACGTGCCCGTGTTTGACGTGTAGCATCAAAATTTGCCAGGTTGGAATTAGTGAGGTTGTGTATGCGCATGGATACAGCATGGACAATGACACGGCTGCCGTCTTCCAGCAGGCGGGCGTCAAATTGCGGCAGTTTACACCGGTACGTTGGCGCACACAAAGCAAACCTCCATTGTCACTCTCCCCGTCACAGGAGCATTCACTAACTTTGTCACAGCCGCCAAACGGTCTGATTCACCTGGAGAAGATGGAGCTTTACTGAGGAGCAGGTGCAGCAACAATGGGAGAGAGGAACTGCGGCAGGGCCGGGGAAGTTTTGTTATTCAGCCCATAAATATTAGTCCTTTCGATTTCCCCCTCTCAATACTTTGACAGCGACTGTGCTCAGAATCCAAACTCGCAATAGATTGGCCTAGCGAAACCGGTTCAACGCTCTCGGCAACATGGGCCTCTCCAGCTACCTCCTCGCATGCTCTCGAAACACAGGACTCGTTGTCCAAGCGTAAGGATGGAGAACAACCGGCACGATTCACCTGGAACATCCGAGGCGATCTGTACACTCAATTCCTCGACGCCCCTTCTGTACTTCAGAATATGTGGCACAAACTAGTGTACAGGGCCTGGCTCATTGAGGAGCTCGAGAGAAACGTGGTACATGGCTTGCCCGACATATGCGAGGCGGTCTTCCGGAACAACAGGGAACCTCAGCTGGTTGATCGGCTTGAGAGACTGAATCCGCAAGTGTGTCGGACTCAGCGGACGATTGTGGGTGACATGGTGATGCTACGACACATGCACGCCAACCATGTCCATCAGAGGACGAGCAACGAGGCGACATGGGTGGTTGGTCTCCTGTCGGACGTTCAGTCGATTGTAAGTCCATGGCAGCATCTTCAATGCAGAGAGGAGGCTTACCACGTCGAATCAGCTTGACCAGAGCCTTACAGTAGCGAACTACGGGGAAGGCTACCACATGATTGCCAGAGTTGTCGACTCGATTTATGAGGTAAGAGGGAAAAGACAATATCCATCGGCGCGTCTCAGCCCACATCTTACCAATTGCTACAGCACGTCGACCGTCTCAGTCCGAGCAACACGTGGAGCAGTGAGAACCGCCATCGGCTGCAGCGTCAATATATGAGGTGGAGCCACATGCCTCCCAAGACGGATGACTATGTGACATTGAGGCTCTACAACACAAGTACGGTAGGCAGAGCAGAGCCCTGGAACGACGGGCACGGTTCTGGTTCGAGGTGGCTTGCCAGTATCAGCAGCGTGAGCGTGCGCTCGTGCTTGGGTCTCTCCAGACTTTCTTTGATAGGTGCATAGACGCCAGGAACCATCAGCAGGCTACAAGTATCGGCTGACAGCTACAGTCAAAGACGCCTCACGCAGCTGCTGCTTTACAGGGTTGAGGAGGGTGGTATGGCGTACTGTCCTGCCCCCTCCCCCCCTGGATGGATAGATTGAGTATCTACGTCACGGCCATCGATGACGGACCAAAGCATCGTAGGAGCTTCTATAGCTCGTCAATAGTACGCGTCCGCCGTCTAGCACTAATTGTCATCCATGATTCGACCCTCCTTCAAATTATCCGGAACCGAAGCAAGAGGAATGTCATCAAGCGCCACCACCGACTCGCAGTACGTCATCGCTCTCCCAAGGGTGGTGGTGATGTTGACCCTGCGGAGACACTAATACGTAGCGCGTCGTTGTTTGCCGATCCATCCAATGGTCCAGTCTCTCTAAAAGGGTTGCGAATGTCAACAAACAACTCCTAGAGAACATGCCAGATCGACGTTGCGTGCGTGTACGAATTTGGTACTTGGTACAAATATAGAGACCTTCAATGTTTCATCTCTATGAGGTAGAAGTATGTTATGCAGAGATGTTGCAAGCTGCGCGCCCAAGAACTCCAAGCCCCTGAATTATTCTATCTCGGTAGACAGGCCAAGACCAAGCGTTCCGTCCTAAATCTCGGCAGGCTCCCAACGCAACGTGCGATGATCCTAATATAAAAATAGAAGGAGGGAATGACCAGGGCTAATGCACCCGAAGCGAGTTCTGTGGCAAGCATCCATACGCCAGCCTACCCTGCGTCATTCGACTCGATGGTTTCCCAACACGTCTTTTGAACCTCAATATGTACGAGGTCCAGCCCGGGATAATAATAAAAAAGCAATTGATGATCAGCATGTTGTTGTGTCACATCTTCTAATGACGCGGTAATGTACTGCTGGTTACCGTGGAAGTTGTGCTGATGGTTGCAAGCTTGCATTATCCAATTTCGAATCGAAAACAAGTCGAGCGCACATCACGAAATTGCATCTATTTGTGCATGAACCCTCGTGTTACATGTTAGCAGTGTGGTGCACGTCAATTGATGAATTTTCATCGATTATAGGACCTCCGATCGGCCTTGACCTTGCCTGGCCGAACAATTGAGACGGGTGAGGTGAGCCCCAGTGAACACAAAGAACGCGTAGGGCAGCGCAACACAACTGGTGCCCGCCATCGCAAGACGTGAGGCCAATCCCCCGCCGCCCACTTCATGACCAACGTTGGCTTTGAGTCGAAGAACGGGACCGCGGGAGCGGCACGCATCTGGCTGGTGTCGTTCGGAACCATAACCCGGCAGGCCCCCCGGGGGAAGACGTCGCAGTGTGCCCCCTTTTCTGAGCAATGAGATTGCGCCAACCCCTGAAGGACCGGAGCAAAGTTGGGTAATAACGCTTAGCGGTGAGCACAAGAAGTTGGCAGCATAATTTCACAAACCGGCGGGGGCCTAGTCACAAAGCTGCGCATGGTCGAAACCCTAATTAAATGCAGTGTTGACGATGATTAAGTCGATTTGATTAATTGTTGTGTTGCTGCTGTTGATCGTGGCTTGTGGCGAATTCCTTGTTTTGATCTTCGTGTTGGGCATCAAGCTTGGAGATCAGTCTGGCCTGTGAGCCATGGGGCACTAAAGCTCATGTGGCATCGATCAGCGTGGCCCTACAGGCCACAATAGGGGTCCCGGTGCCTACAGTACGAGGACATAATACTGAGTCATGTTATTGATTCGCTAAAGTACCTGACTTGTAGATTCGTGGCTGGGCCGGCGTTAGAGGCTCGGAGTAGACCGCCCACTTATTATTATGATATCGCTAACAGACGTGACTGGCGGTCAGGTAGAGATGCGTCGCGTTTGACAGAATCCTCTCGATGGGCACGTGAGCCAGTCAACCGCCAGTGTACTGTGGATTTTGCAGCTTGCAGGCTGCCATGCTGCCTGACGAAGCCGAACGTCTGGACTCTTGATGAGTGAGGCTGACAGTGACAGCGACACTGTGCTTGCCAACAAAGTTGCCAGAGGATTTTCACGCAAAGAGCCCTGGACTTGCCCAGACCCTGGCCCTGAAGTTAGCGGCTGGCTGAGGCGTCGGAAAGACCAGGAGTCACGCGCTAAAACATGCCCAGGACAGTGGCTGGCAGCGGAGCGCGTTCAAACTGCTAGTAAATAGGCCTGGCAAGTAAATACTACTGCAAAGGAAAGTAAACAAGCGATCTACTTGTTCTCACAGTTTTCTCGCCAGAGATATTAACAGACCAGATTCTCGGGGCGGTGTAATACTGGTTCATAGATCCTTTGCGATGTCTTCGAATCTCACTGAGCATCCGGCGGCGGATGGCAGTCACCCAGAACGCGAGAAGCCTCTTGATCCGCGGCGGCTGTGTATGTACATCCATCACACGTGCTTGACGTTCGGGGGTGATGCGTCGCGTGACAGGGATTTCAGACGCGACGCGTGTAGTACGCTAGGCCTAACTTGGAGCATAGGTAAACAACTGCGTCACCCCTGACTCTTGCGCAAGCGCGCCGCCCGCAGGGATACCCACTACACCACAGCGCGAGCGTAAAGTGGGTTGCCACTCAAGAGGCAGCAGTCCACACACACCACCAGTCACCAGACAAGTCAACTTGCATGACCACCCAATCGTGTCCGTCCCAACTGTCTCGACCTCTGGATGTATGTCTAATTCTCAAACCTCGCCGTAACTCTGTCGTCGCAGCCAGCAGGAAGGCAATATCTTTGTTTCCCGTCGATATTGCATTTGCCGCCATCGCAAAAGAAGACTAAGCAGCAGCAAGTCGCGCATTTGACTCACAGTGGCCACCGCCTGAGGTGACAGCCCACTAGCCAACTCGCCGCGCGCCATGCTGTGAGCAGCCATTGCCATCGACAAGAAGTAGTGACGAGGAGAGGCGGACCTCGTGTCCCCAGGAAGGAAAGAACGAACGGAAGAAGGGACAGCCGTAGTACCTTAGTCCGGCGCAAACGACACACTACTCAACGGGCCTCGCGATCCGAACGCGAAAGAGCAACCTCGCACTCGCAGCCACTTGCCAACATCATCGACCCGCGCAGGACCGCACGCTGCGCCTGCACGATCTCGCGATACCTACCACCACTGTCCCTACTTAGACTAGGTGCATCTCAGCGGCACATTCTCTCGACGGTGCATCCCAGCCACACATAGAGGGGCAGTTACATCAACATCCTCGCTGTCGCACCTGCCTTGTCTGACTTGCACCATATCCACTCGTCAGGCTGCTGCCAGTCTGAATCATCGTCCTTCTCCCGTGCTCTCCACCATCACTTGATCAACTTCACGTCCTCTCCGACCTTTCCACCTACTGAATCCCGCGTCTCTTACGACACGACTGGGCCCTGGAGCGCTTGCTGTGTCCAGCCCGAACTCTCGATTCTGGGATTCCTAATCCTCGGCCAGCTACCAGAGCCAAAAGACTTGTCTCAATCAGCATCAGAGCCGGCTTGAAACACAGTCGCGGACCAGCTTCACTATCTTGCAGTCTGACGCTACTATTGACATAGCGCCGAATCACAGCCCAGGCGTGACCGTCAGTACATTCCTTCGACGATTATCCAGAGACCAAACACAGAAAACACAGCCTGGTATCGCATTCCAGACAAGACCAATCATGTCTCTTCCGGAGGGTGGTGGTGGCACCTTCGCCCTGCCCTCGCCCACCCATGCTCACCAGATGGACGTAACGTCAGCTGTGCGATCCCTCCGGCGTTCTATTTCGAGGTCGCCATCCCGGTTCCTTTCGCGAACATCGTCGCGCAACCCCGACGGCTTCACACCGGCCTCGCCCCAGTCGCCCTGTCGACGTTTCCGTTTGACGCCGTCACGGCAAATCGATCATCATCTCGCCAGTACAGTGCATTCTCTCTCGCATTCGACCCCCGCCCCGGCGCCGCCTGCGCATCCATCTACAGCTCCTCCAGCTACTACGCTCACGCCATTACGACCAAACTCAAAATTGTCGCTTCGCTCGAGCGCCAAAGCAGCCAGGACGTCACCGTCTAGACAAGTCGGAGGACGAGCTCGTCCTACGCCACGAAGCCCACTGCGACGCGCGTTGAACGCGAGCCAGGAGCAAATCCCGGCGTCTACTCAGCGCTCACTCTTTTCAACACCTGAACTTCACATGGAACAGGAAAACAACGTTCAGAAACTGCACGATTCAGAACTTTCCCCTCAACGAACACCTGACAGACAATCGCGACACAGCCTACATCTCGACGTTTCGGGCTCATCTGGGACTGCCTTTTTGAAGGCGCTGGATGTCAAGGCTGAAGTTGCTCCCATCAGCGCAGGCGGCTTGAAGAGGAACGATGCTATGATGAACCTTGACCAGCCATATCAAGGGAGTCCGGTACCTAAGAGACGGAGTATGCACGGCGCCTCGAATCCAGAGCCTACCAGTGAGCGAAGCATATTTGAGGGCTGCAGCAGCCCAGCCGCAAATACGGCTGGTTTCACAATTCACGAGGACAGCAACGCTGGAACTCCGGAAGACCCAACCAATTCAAACCACATGGGTCGGCCAGAGGCGCAGGCGGCTCCGCCGACACCTTCTCCAGGCTTGTCGAAGCGAGCGTCGTCAACGCGCAAGTCATCGATATTGCCACGGTATGGCGAGAAGACCTCGTGGGGAAAGCGTTTTGGCCAGCGCCATTTGGCCCAGCTAGAAAATGAAGCTGTGTCGACGCCTCCCCGAACCCGTACGCCAATCTTCACCGCGAATTTTGAACCACCTACTGTTGGACCCTTATTCGGCTCGACAACTCCCATCGGAAACCCACCGACTCAGTCCACCAGTATATTCCAATTTGCTGAGAACAAGAACGCGGCTGGTCATCATCCATTGGCTCAGAGCACGACACTCAGTGCTTCATCATCGGGCAACAGCTTCACAGAAGAGACGTCTTCTGCCATGCCCGCGCCACCAGTGTTCAACAGGGCCCCGCTGCACCCGTTCTCGCAATCATTGCCTCTGGGCGCCGAGCGGCCTTCTAACGGTTACTCGACCATCCAACAATCAACTCCCGCGCCAGGTAGCCTTTTATATCAGGGTGCCTTTGGCTCAACGGGCATGGTGTCGAAGTTCAACCGCAATCCGGAGCAAGTGGAAAAGAAAATTGTCCCACCAGACACGCCGTGTAAGCCTTGGAGGAAGCCTTCCGAGCGCTTTTATACTTATCCCTCGGCCTCCACTCCTTGCTCCAACAGGAAGACGAAGTCCAACAATCGGAACTCGTTCTCCGGAATATCGTCTCTCACCTTTCAACCGCCAGCGGATGCTTCTCAGCCCCGGGATGATAAGACAGACCAAGAACCGTCAAACTTTGGTCGTCGTTCCATCTTCTCGCGCACGATCCGACACGCTGATGTCGACGGCGACGTGAAGCTTTCCGACGACAGCGATTACGAGACTGCGGCGCTGTTCGGCACCCCAACCAAGAATGGGTTGACCACAAGCTTCAGCAATCTCAGCAACCTCAGCGAACTGAGCGAGAACTGCAGTGATGATTCACTGGATAGCCCGTCTGCCAACCGCAGAAGCAATGGTCCTCGCGACCCTCTGAGCTCGGCGATGCGTCCTAGTCCGCTTCGCCAAGCCGACTGTAAGTTTATTTCGCGGCTTCCCCGATACTGCAAGAACAGCTCTCTGGAGCAGCTTGCGAACTACACAGATTCTCTCCCTTCATTTGGTCGAAATCGAGCTCTGCGAGTGTCCAACCCCCCTTCAACCTTGTTTGCTTCTCAGAAGGTGTTTGCTAAGATTTCCGGAGTTGGTACGGCCAGTCCGCTTGCGGACAGTCTGACACCACGTACGCCACAGGAATTATTTCTCCCCGAGAATACCAGCCAGCTCTCCATATCGAACAACAAGCTCTCCCCAGCTACACCTAGGTCCCAGCGTGAATTTCGCTCCTCCACCGCCACCTTCTCCACACCAGTCCATGATGATTTCCGCGCCTCTACTATGGCTCTGGAGCCTGTGCTACAAAGCCGATTCGATAAAGTTGAGCATCTTTCTGAGGAAGGCGAGTTCTCCATCATCTTCAAGGTCACGGAGAAATCAGAGCCACTGGACTTTTCTCTTTCGCGCCGTCAAAGCCCGTCATCTCTGAAAGAGCAGATCTTCGTAGTCAAGAAGACGAAGCAACCATATCATGGCCGCCGCGACCGGGAAAGAAAACTTCGCGAGGCGACTATTCTTCGAGCCCTGCGGGACAATGACCACATCGTGCAGTACGTGGCTGACTGGGAGGTGAATGATCACCTCTATATCCAGACTGAGTTTTGCGAGAACGGCAGTCTGAAGAACTTTCTCGACCTCAACGGGGACAAGGGCCGAGTGGATGATTTCTGCATTTTCAAAATTCTCCTGGATCTGACCATGGGCTTGAGGGAGATTCACGCCGCAGGTTTCATGCACCTTGATATGAAGCCTGCCAACGTCTTCATCACATTCGAAGGCGACGTCAAAATCGGCGATTTTGGACTAGCCCGTGAACTTACGGACTGTTCACCTCTGGACATGGAAGGTGATCGTGAGTACATGGCTCCAGAGATGCTACATGGCGAATTCAGCCCGTCGTCCGACATTTTCTCTCTTGGGTTGATGATGGTCGAGTCGATCACCAATTGCTACGTACCTGGCAATGGCGAAGTGTGGCACAGACTTCGCAACGATGACCTGTCTTTCGTGCCGAGCCTGGCGTGGTCTGTTTCCTGCGAGACCAATCCGGAACGGTCGAGCCACTACAGTACAGGAACCGCCTCGGACAGTGTCTACAATGCGGGTGATCTATTCGGATCGCACAAGCGGTCTGAGCTGCTTGAGCCTCCTACCTTCATGGCAGATCCTGACCACCCTGAGTCGCTGCGAGCCCTCGTCGAGTGGATGATCTCCAGCCAAAGCCATCGTCGGCCGACACCTGACCAGCTCCTTAATGTGGGAAGCTTGCAGTGGGTAGCGCAAAGACGCAAAGCGCCAGCAACGGTCTTCGAGGGCCGATGGGGCCCAATGGACTTGGGCAGGAATGCGGAAATCGAAATTGTCGACACAGAGATGACTGGTGTTTGATTTGCCACTAGAAAACAATCTGGATTACCTTGGAGTTTGGTCATCAGCTGGTACAGGCTGAAGGAATGCATTGGGCTATGAGAGTCTGGCGTTTGAGGAATACTTGGCCCTGTTACGAATTATGGTACATCAGCGGCGTCGGGGGACGTTTCTGTGGAATAGTCGTAGAGTTCTCATCGGCCGGAGCGACGAGAATCATGTATAGTATATAACATACCGGCGCGAGAGACGCAAGGCGCAAGCAGGAAATGGGCCAGGAGAGGAGGATTTCATTTGTTACTCACGAGAGGAGGATTCCATTTGTTATTCACGAGGCTTACGAATGCAACGGCAAGAACAGCATGCTATGATCTGGCATTTAATTATACAAACAGCACGAAAGGCAGGATGATGTCCCCACTAGTCTAAAGGCATAGATTCTGACAGTACGTACACTGCTGCACTATGCGTGTGTGGTATATAGTAATGGTAGACAAAAAAGTGATAAGCTCTCCTCGGCTTACTCTACAACGTGCTGGAACAGTTCTCTCAACAGACATTATGCCCTCTTCGCCTACATTGCCACCGTTACGCACTCCCCGCGTCTACAGGTCCTCCTCCTGCTCATGAATTTTCTCCACGAGGTGGAAACGATCCGCGCCGGTCTTGCTGTCTATCTCGTGTTCGACCGTAAGCTTTTGCAGACTGGCCAAGACATTTTCCAGCTTGGTATCCTTGTGGCTGCGATCCTTGCGGCCGAGATTGTTGAGCCAGCTCCACTTGTTGAGGAGGAAGTAGACAACCGCGATGACGACTGTGACGCCAAAGGAGAAGAGCCAAATGATGACGACGGTGACGACATCTGTCCATCCATCCTCGCGCTGGTCATATCCGCCCGGGGGACTTGTCTGCACAGGTCGACCAGAGAGCCAGCCGAAGATGCAGAAGAGCGTGGCCAGGACATCAACACCAAAGATGGCGCCCACGAGCTGCCAGGATGGCCATGTCTTGCCACCGCGGGTGACAAAGATGAGCCAGTTCTCCGTCAAGGCGACCTCGAGGAAGAGAACTTCCTGGACGGAGCCAAAGTTCTGGATGATGCCTCCGCTGGGGAGGAGCATGGTCGCGCGACAGATCCAGGTGCCTATGGCGAGCAGTATGCCGAGAATGACGGAGATGACCCAGATCTTGGGCAGCTGCCACTCGACAGGGCGAGGGTCCCAGTAGGCATTGTCGTACGCGACAGCCACAGTGGCCAGATCGGCAAACAGAGCAATGAAGACAATCAACTCGGCGCGGATGGTCTCATTCAAAATGATCATGCTGAGTACCAGGTAGATCTCGAGATGCAAGCACAAGGCAATGCGGTATTGGATGTAGGACTTCATGCGTTGGAAGATCTGTCGCGATGTCTTGATGGCGAGGACAATGGTGCTGAGGCCAGGAGCGAGGAACACAATGTCGGCGGCGGCTTGGGCGGCTTCCGAAGAGCCTTCGACGGCAATACCGCAGTCTGCTTTCTTGAGGGAGGGAGCGTCGTTGACACCGTCACCGGTCATGGCTGTCAAGTGGCCTCGTTGCTGGAGCATTTCGACGACGGCATACCTAGCGTGGTGTAAGTGACGACTTGGGTTATGGATACGTGTGAGCTTACTTATGTTCGGGGAAGACCTCGGCAAAACCATCGGCACGCTCGACAAAGTCATGCTGCACGCTGCCAGACAAGCCACCGTGGATGAGCTTCTCGGAGTTGTAGACCTTTGTGCCCAAAGACAGCATCTTGCATGTCTCCTTGGCGATGGCAATGGCGTCACCGGTAAGCATCTTGACGGGCACACCGAGCTGAGCGGCTTCAATGATGGTCTGTGCCGTGTCCTCGCGAGGAGGGTCGAACATGGAGAGCAGACCGAGCAGGACCCAAGGCTCGTTGTTCTTCTTGACAGCAACGCCTAGAGAGCGGAAACCACGACGGGCGAATTCCTGCGCCTTGTCGCGATAGAGGGACGCGGTGGGCTCGGCACATTCGGTCAGTTTCAAGATCGCACGGGGCGCACCTTTTGCGCAGGTGAATGTATCTTCGCCGAGACGGCACACTGCGGTGATGCGCTTGGAGACGGGGTCGAAAGGAGTGAATTTCTCAGTGACCCATCCCTGCTGGAGGATCTGGCGGGCGCGTGGATAGCGCTTGAGAGCGAGTACCGTGACCTTGTCGATTGGATCCAGGGACTTGACGCTGTGCGACGAGGCGAGGGCTGCCACCGCCATCATCCAGTCGACGTCCTGACCCTCGGAGACGAAGGGGTCACGGAGAGACAGTTTGTTGGCGGTCAAGGTACCGGTCTTGTCGGAGCAGAGGATGTCGACGCCCTATGTCTGTTAGCAGTGTCATGTGTCTGAGGAGTGCCGGGAGGGTATACGGCAAGAGACTCAATGGCCGTGAGCTTCTGCACAATGGCCTTCTGCTTGGCCAGGTAGGCCGCGCCGACAGCCAGCGTCGTGGTGGTGACCACAGGCAGACCGACGGGAACACCGACAATCATGAGAATCAGGGCGGACCTGAAGAGCGTCTGCTCCGCGCCCACCGTGACGGGGATATGGCGGAAGAAGCCGCCGATCCAGGCGGCAATGATCCAAAACATGACAAGAACCAGCAGACTAGTACCAATGTTGTTCATGACAGCTTTGAAGTGGCCCTGGTCGTTAGCACCCTGCACAAGATCGGCCGTCTTGCCAACAAACGACTGGCGAGCAGTAGCCGTCACCAAAGCGTACGCCTTGCCGCGCTTGCAGCCGGTGGTGTAGTAGACAATGTCACCCATGTACTTCTCCACGGCAAGCGATTCTCCGGTGATGGCAGACTGATCGACGGCCAGGAGGGGACGGTTGGTGTGCTGCATCATGTAGTATACTGAGCCGCGACGAGTGTCCCCATCCTCCTTTTCCTCTTCATCACCAGAATCATGATGACCGAATTTGTCCTCGGCGAGCAGTCGCTTGTAGATGGTGAAGTCCTCGGGGTGGTCGTAGTCGCAGATGAGACGGGCGTCGGCAGGAACTGTGTCGCCTTCCTGGATGACGACAATGTCACCGAGGACAAGCTCACGGGCGAGGATGTTGGTTTTTTGTCCATCACGCACAACGGTGCAGCGCATGGCAATGTCGCCCTTGAGACTGGCCACGACATCGGCGGCCTGCTTCTCCTGGTAGAAGCCAACAAAGGCATTGAGCAACAAGATGCCGACAATCACACCAAAGTCGATCCAATCACCGAGGCCAGCTGCCAACAGCGCGGCTAGTTCCATGACTGTGCTCATCAGCCGGGACCTTTCTGGGTGGGAGGAACAGGGAGCTACATACCGTAGAGAATTGGTCCCCGAAAGTATCCAATGAACTGCGCAATGGGGTTGGTCTTTGCTGCCATCAACTCGTTCCAGCCCGTCAACCTTCTTCTTGGCTCAATATCGGCTGTGTTGATACCAGTGTTGATGTCCGTGTTGAGCCAGTCCTCTGGGATACCGTCTCCGGGGGCGAGGGACCGACGGCGATTGTCCTCGTGACCCAACCCCCAGAACTTCCACCAAGGTCGTTTCTTAGGAGCCTTGTCATCCTCCTCGTCGGCTCCCTTTGTGTCCTCGCGATAGGTGCTGACGAAGCGATCAAGGGCGGCATACTCACCGAGGCCATCCATGTCATTGCCGCTTGCGCTGCTTGATTCACCCGTCGCACTGTTCTGGCTGTCGACATGGGCATCTCCGGCCTCCACGTCATTTTCGTGGGGCTTCTGGTGGTGAGGCCGGGAGAGCATATTGACAGCAAGAGGGGAGGAGGGCAACCTGGAAGACTAACACGGGGGTATCACTTGCGAGAGGGCAGCTGACTCTAGCAGAGCATCACAGATGGCAGGACACTGGGGAACAACGTGTGAGTGGCGCGCCCTGCCTTATATGAAGAGCCATCAAGCTTTTCCCTAGCTCCCCAATTGCCATGGCAGCTGACGCTGGGCTCCGAATCTCGCTGTGAGGGAAAGACGCGAGCTAGTATCCGAAATCTGAGAACCCCTCATATCAATTGATGGAGATGCTCGGGTACGCTTAGAAGAGGCCGAATTATCCGAAGGGTGTGTTCGCGCGATCAACTGCCACCTGATTCGCGGAGATGGCCGTCGATTTGAGTTTCGCACGTAAGAGTCGGGGGGCGCTAGAGAGCGAGAGAGGAGATGTCCCACGCTGCGCGCAGAGCCTGTGATGGTTGTTACTTGTTATGTGAGGAGCAAGCATGAGGAGCGCGCAAGTCGGCAAAGACGGATGGCTCGAGAGCCATCCCAGCAATGACGCGTGAGGCCGCCCAGAGGTTGGGGTATATGCCCGAGAGCGCCGTTGCATAACGCGAAAGCTTGGGACATGACGGTCCTCAAGCACCTGGAAGTACAATGATCATTGTCAGGGCCGCGACCCATTCTACCGTTGACAGCGGTGACCTCGCTTCCCAGATTGTTGCTGTACGTAGATGCTAAGCATAGGCGGCCGGTACAGTCGCGCAGCATCAGCAAAAAGTATGGCAGAGGAAGAAATCGTCGAGAAGGATAGGCAGGACACCCTCATGCCAGGCGTGAGGCCCCGTAGTGTCCTAGCTAGCCAATGCCGACTCATCCAGGAGCAACCATCTTCTCGCCTGGGTGCCGACAAGCCGAGAGACAGTCGATCAGGCCAAATCGAGAACCCTGTTGTGAGGTGTGTGTCGTAATGAATCCGGTGGTGAAGATGCAAAGCTGCAGACTACACGTACATGTAGGTGTAGATAGAGGAGTGAACGATGCAGGGTAGGGGCAAGATACACGTAGTCAAATGGCCTGGGGGTCGATAGTACTTGCCTTATCCATACGCGGAACGGCGTCACGTCCGGCGCTAACACTAACTGACGGTCATTACGTGTGTACCCACTGACCCCTCCCACGATAGGGTCGATGCTACCCTAGACACGGACCGCGACTCACGACAAAGCATAAGGAGCCTTACCTACATCATAGCTCCTGTGTTCGCGACGATGACCGCCTCGACAACTCAGCCGGGCCAGGCTTCCCTGCCCAGCGCCTCACCGACACATTCATACTGGCACTCGCAGCCGTCTCAAACACTCCTCGATCACCGAACAACGAGCCAACTCCCAAGTTCGGCCACTACTGTCATTGTAGGCAGTGGTATCACGGGCGCCTTCGTTGCCCGGGAGCTCATCGAGAATGGGGCCAGCGATGTCGTCATGCTAGAGGCAAGACAAGCCTGCTGGGGCGCGACTGGTCGGGTACATCACCTCACTCCCATACATGATCAAGGCGCTCATTAACAATCAATAGAACGGGGGCCACTGCCAGCCTCTGCTATACTTGACAAAACCGCACATAGGCCGTTTCGAGCTTGGCACGTATCATTTCTTACAAGACCTTGTCCGCAAAGAGACGATCAATTGCTCGTGGGAATCGACTGGCGGTGTCCACGCCATCTACTCCACAGCTGTGCTCGACCTCGCTCGCAAGGCGATTCAGAGACTGCCCAGTGACCTGTCTTCCAGCGTCCACCTCACTACCGACCCCGAGAAGTTGCAGACACTGAAACTTCGGGATAATGCCATCGCCGCCATCGTCCAAGACCACGCAGCAAAATGCTGGCCCTACAAGCTCGTCTCTCATATTCTCGAGGCCCTTGTACGGACATCATCCTTTAACTTGCAGACTATTACACCCGTGACGTATATCCAACGTTGCGCCTCGTCGTACATTGTCCACACCGACCGGGGTCAGATCGCTGCGGAGAACGTGGTCCTGGCCACCAACGCCTACACGTCGCACCTCCTGCCATCCTTCACAGGCTTCATAACTCCAGTGCGTGGGCACGTCTCGGCTTTGGTGCCGCCCGACGGTCAGAGCCTGGCACACACATATGTCTGGTCAATCCAGAAGGAGGGAGACGCCGGAGAAAGCGACGATTACTTGGTGCAAAGACCCACCGGAGAGCTCATACTCGGGGGCGAGCGAAACGCTGTGACGGACGGGGGTGTCGGTATCTCGTCGGACGACGAGGTTGACCCCATCGTCGCCAAGCGGCTTCGGACCGTGCTTTCTTCGATCCTGAAGGTTGGAGAGCATGGCATAAAAGAGTTGGAAGCCAAGTATGAGTGGTCAGGTATCATGGGATATTCCCAAGACGCATCGCCCTGGGTTGGGCGTGTACCAGAATCGTTGGGTGGGAGAGACGAGGGTCATGGTAATCTGTGGGTAAGTGCTGGCTACACCGGCCACGGTATGCCAGTTGCTGCGCGTTGCGGTATTGCCGTCGCGGAGAAGATACTTGGGAAGACGAAGCATGTGGTAGATGTTCCCAGTGAGTGGCTTATCACTCAGGAAAGAGTCGACGGGCTCAAGTCGCTGGCAATGTCGGACACCATGGAGGACGAGCTTAGGATGTTACTTGAGAGCGATGGCGCATTTTAGACAATGGGTGGACGTCTTCTTATATCAGCCGGCAATGTATTCCCAGAACCTTACATTCATAGAGGCCAATTCTCTTTGGTACGGGTAAGACAGCGGCAGCGGCAGGGGCAGTCTTGCCACTGGATCGAAGGCACTGGCTAGTGCCTTTTACCTAACTATCTATTCAACTTAGTGCAAGCAGAAGGACGAGTTTTGGGCTTTGAATGCTAGCCTTGAATAAGTATATGCATCTCCATAGAGTGACAGCAACATAGCCTAGCGAATGCTGGTTGTTTCACAGACATTGCTCATAGCCTTGAATGAAAATCACGAGCAGCTTCTTCCTTTGCTCTTTCAGCCAAAACCCTTCTGAGCAACTTGCCAGACTGTCTGCGTTAGCCAATTGTCTTCACCAGACAGATGTCCAACCACTCACCGGGTTCCTTGGGATGTCGGTCAGGAATACGACACCACCCTTCAGTCTTTTGTAGGGCGCTACCCTCTCTGCAAGCCACGCTTCTATATCCGGCCCAGAGGTTTCGCAACCCTGTGCCAGGACGACATAAGCCTTGGGCACTTCCTGACCATCAACAGCAACGCCAACGACCGCTGCGTCAGTGACATCCACTCTCTCCAGTATCAAGGCCTCCAGCTCGGATGGAGAGACTTGAAATCCTTTGACCTTGATCAGGTCCTTGGCACGATCAACAATGTGAAAGATTGCGCCCGGCGCATACTTGTTCACAATGGCAATGTCGCCGGTTCTCAACCATCTCACGCCTCGATCACCCTCACTTATCGCTTTTGATGTGGCCTCGCTGTTTCGCCAATAGCCTTTCATCATTGTGGGCGCCGAGACGTCCAATTCGCCTGGCACGCCGGGTTCCAGGATCTCGACTCCGCTCTCCATGTCGACGAGCTTCGCTCTGCAACCAGGCATAAGCTCCCCCACGCCTTCTTCCTCCGAGCTGTCAGGATCCCATGCCAGGGCCGTGCATGTCAGCTCTGTCATACCGAAGCCCTGTTTGAGCGATGCATCTCGATGTGGAAAGAGGACTGCGTTGGCCCCTTTTTGCGTCTCCCGTGCAAGTGGAGCGGCGCCGCTACCGACCATCTCGAGGCTCGACAAGTCTAACTTGCGTGCGAGTGGATGTTTGGTCATTCCCATGAGAATAGCAGGAACCACGAAAAGCTTTGTGATTCTGAGGTTCGCAATGTGATGAAGCATACGGCCTAAATCGAACGAAGACATGATGTACACGGGAACACCCTGTCCAGGGAAGCTCGTGGTGTAGTACCCCTGGCAAAAGGCGTGGTATAGGGGCAAAACGCACAAGGCCGAAGCGTGGTTGGGTTCCTGATCGTTTTGCAGGTCGCGCTTAGCCATGGATATGGTAGCCCGAGCGTTGGCGATGTGATTGTAATGTGTGATCTCGACGCCTTTGGGAAGACCAGTCTTTCGCCAATTAGTTGCATGTCTACCAGACTGGTCTTTGTCGTACTCACAGTTCCAGAGCTGTAGTTGAGACAGCACGTTTCGGAGGCAGCATCTCCAGGCTCATGCCAAGAAAAAGAATCGCCCGCCACAGGGCAAGCCACTAATCGAGTCCAATGGCGGTGTTCTGTCTGCCTTTGCGTGTTGACATTATGATCTACATCCGGGATCATCTCGTCGAAGAAGTACAGATCACCCGAGGCCATGGCCACGTCTGTGGATGCCCGTACTGCAGTGTCCCAGCTCTTTTCCGAAGCGAGCATGATCTTCGTGCCACTGTCTTCGAGCTGGTATGCGAGCTCACGAGCCGTGCAGGCAGGATTGGCGCCCGTGAAGATACCGCCAGCCATCCAGATCCCAAACATAAGGACCGGAAAGACGACACTGCTGCCAGCACATACCAGTACCCGGTCCCCAGGTTGAAGACCAGCATCGCGCAAGCCCACAGCTATACGCTTCGCCAGTGCCCGGGCGCTGACCAGCGTGAAGAACCGAGTCGCTGGATGATCCGCGTCTATCCAGACTTTTCTGTCGGGGAGATGTCCTGAAGGGGAACCAAACAACCACTGCTGGACAGAGCAGTTTGGCACCGTCACTGAGAAGCGTGATTCAATCGTCATGCTGAAGATGGTTGAGTAGGCTCCAGGCCAGCAGAGCTTCACCGGCTGTTCCACTTCGACGTGTGTCTTCTGATTCTTCAAACCCAACGGCAGGAGGTAGTGGCCAACGTGAAGGCACGACTGGAGCTATAAAATCACGATAGGGCTTTTGCTGGGCAGTACATATTGTGAAATTCGTGAACTACCACCTGATTTGATCAGCAATCTTCGAGGCAGTGTTTACTACCATAGACTAGACTAGTACGAGATCAGTCCAAGCGGCTGCTCTCCCGCACGTGGGACTCCACATAATCAATCATACGGGTTGAGACTTTGAGTGAGGGTTGAAGCGGCCACAGCATGCAGGAAGAGCAAGCGAGCTTCGAAACACATCGCGCCTATTCAAGTATGACAGTCTTGCATGTTCATATACCGCAACAGATCATGTATCACCTGGCCGTAAGTGAGGGCCCAACAGCACACCCGCGACCGTTAGACAAAGGAACGACGGGGCGCTATGGCTTGGCTTCAGTTGCACTGGCCTCGACGGCTGTGACGTTCGACAACACCGCGGGCATTAAAGCGCACACTGCCATCCTGACCGCGTTCCTGGACACCACTTGGTCACCCACACAATATACTGCTGTGAGAATGTAACTCGAGGAAATAGTTGTCAATGATGCTGCAGATGAAGTCGAGTCATCAGCAGAATGTGGTAAGGGAGGCAATTATCCGAGCTTCACCCGACTGACCAATTACGGTCGCTCATTTTGCAAGCAGCTCGCAAAGCACCGGCAACGACGACGTCGACGACATTTTGAGAGGCGACTTGCACGAGCTTCTCGACATCGAATCCAATCTCCACCACGACCCTGCGTGCGCGCCGCCTCAATTGCGACGACAAGTTCTCACCACAATGGCGTCCAAGATGACACCCTACCTATTCCGCTCCGCCATGCGGTCGGCATCGCGCGCTGGCTTTGCCCAGACACGGGCCTTCTCAGTCACGGCTCGCCGACCGAGCGACACCCTCATGGTGGTCAGTACGCCCCCGATGTCGCACTGAGAGATTCTCTCTGGGTGCGATTGGCGCCCGGCAGACCGGCTGACAATGTCTCTTCGCAGCATCGTAACACGCCCGAGAACAACCCCGACATTCCCTTCAAGTTCACCCCTCAAAACGAGAAGATCATCACCGAGATCCTAAAGCGCTACCCCCCTCAGTACAAAAAGGCCGCCGTCATGCCCATCCTCGACCTTGGCCAGCGCCAGCACGGCTTCACGTCGATCAGCGTCATGAACGAGGTCGCCAGGTTACTCGAGATGCCCCCCATGCGCGTCTACGAAGTGGCCTCTTTCTACACCATGTACAACCGTGACCCCGTGGGCAAGTTCCACGTCCAGGTCTGCACGACGGTATGTTATTTCGAGGAAAGGTGCAATATCAGAGAAGTGGCATGCTGACTCTATTAGACCCCCTGCCAACTGGGCGGCTGCGGCTCCGACATCATCGTCAAGACTATCAAGGAGCACCTCGGCATCAAGCAAGGCCAGACCACCCCCGACGGTCTCTTCACGCTCGTCGAGGTCGAGTGTCTTGGTGCCTGCGTAAACGCCCCCATGGTCCAGATCAACGATGAGTACTACGAGGACCTCACCCCCGAGACCACCGTCTCGCTCCTCAGCGCGCTCAAGGAGAGCGCGGCGGCCACGAACCAGGCCGACGCGGACGCCAAGATGCCCAAGCCCGGACCCCAGACTGGGCGGGACACATGCGAGAACAGCAAGGGGCAGACCAACCTGCTGGATGAGCCGTGGGGCGTGGAGAAGACAAGGTCGGACTTGTAGATGTTATATCACCTATTTGAGATTCGCGTTTTTTGTCTGTAGCGGATGTCGCTCAAGGATCTGGGCGGAACTGTACATAAAGTATGAATGCTACTACGGTTATAGACATACAACGTCTCCATCGGTAGATTTGATCAAGACATGCCGCGGACCAAATTAGCTCGAATCTTCAGACCTAACCGACCAAAAAAGAAGCCCGGATCAACCAAGACGCAAAATCCAACCGTCACCCAGCCGTTTGTTTTCCTCGCTCAACCCACCCCAGATAACAATAGCACTCTCTTCCAAATCAGTCATCACAGCACTCGCCTGCCACCCCCGCGACTCGGGCTCGTCAGCGTTGTCCTCGTCAAATGGTGATGTCGTTACCCGCAGCCACTTGCCCTCGCCCGTCTTCCGCCCGACGGCCTGCAACATGGCGCTGGTGAAGCTAGCCGGTGTCATGCCCAGCGGCGGCACTTGAAACGTCCACACGTCACTGTGGAACTTGCCAGCACCGGCGTGGCCCTCGGAACTGGGTGAGCCCTCACCAAAGGCTAGCACGAGATACTCGCGGCCGCCACCAATGGTCAATGCGTGGAAGGACATGACACTGCGAGCCGCCGGCCATTGGTGTGCAGGCTCAATGGGAATATCTTCAGATGAAGCATCCAGGTTGTTCTGGATGATGGACTGCCAGGTGCCTCGTGCGTGGACGGCCACTTCGCCTTTGTTGGCCTTGTCGTCAAACGCCTCAACTTCGAGGTGAATAAAGTCGAGCTGTCCGCCAATCTCGTTCTGGCCGTCAAAACCACCGAATCGGAACAATCGACTCTTGCTGATACAGATGGCCGTGCCGCCGCGAGCGGGACCCGGCGCTGCGGGAAGCTCCGTCCAAGTCCTGGTCCGGACGTCGAATGCCCACATGTCATTAGTACGCTCGCCATTCGCAAGACATCCGCCATGGACGATGAAGGTCCCGTAGCCGTCGGACTCGAGGTCGGTTGCGTTCTCCGCCACGTTACCCACAATGGGGTCTTGCGGGATGCCCGTCTTGGACGTATCACCGACGAGTCTCTGTCGCCAGTTCTGCGGTGGCTTCGGGGTTGGCTTGGCGAACTCTCGAGGTTTATCTGTCGCGGTGGCGCAATGGTAGCTGCGCGCCGCAGGGTGCGGCACAATTGTGCCCCCCTTGACGGCCGGGACAGGATCGAGGTAGGTCCACGTGTTGGTTCTCGTATCAAACACCCAGACACGTCCCGCTTCCTCCAAAGGCTTCATCTCAGGACCACCACGTCCTCCAAACAAGAAGATGCGGCTGCCAACAGATGCCGCGGCATGTCCCACCCGGGCCTCTGGAACATTGCCCGCCTGCGAGGCGTACGTAGCCGGCTGCTTTTCTTTGCTCTTCTCGGTGGGTGACGCTTCGTCCTTTAGATCCACAGTGTCCAGATCTCCTTGCGTGGGCTCTTCAGCAGGTGTCTGGAAGTCAGGCTCAGGCTCAGGCTCCGGCTGCAGTTCCGTAGCAGGTGATTGCCTAGCCTCATCGGGCGCTGCTGCCTTTGCGGCGATAGCGTAGTGGTCTGCGCCAGCCATGCTATACGGCAGCTTGACGACCTGCATCGCATTGTCGACGGGCTCGCGCGGGTTGATCTCACCGCCAAAGATGTACGCGGCGCCTGAGATGACATTGATCGAGTGGGATGACCGATCTATGGGCGGCAGAGGAATGCGCTCCCAAGTACCCTTCATGCCTGGCTCCTTGCCCCCCAAGCTTAGTGACGAGATTTGGGGCATTTGTGGCAGCTGCGGAAGCTTCGAGGGCATGTTGCCTTTGGCATCCTGGAGCAAGTCGGACGTGCGCCGACGAATCATGGAGAAATTGTTCTCCATTGCTGGAATCGCGGTCTGTTTTTCTTGGGCGAAGATGCGATTTGCGTATGGAAGAATTTGTAGAGGTCAAATACTGGTCCTTATATCGACTGCAGCCGTTAGCAAGGAAAATGCAGGGATCGGCGAGGCTCAGCCTGTGAGGATGACGTAGGTGTAGGTATCACGAACTGGTGCGGCCTCTTGGTGTCGAGAGAACATGAAACAGGTCTGGCGAGTTTATCGCAGTCGGCAAACAGTGTCCTTTGAGATGCCTGGTTCTTGAGCTCAGGAGATTGAAGAGTCTGTCCTCTGCTGCCGTGGGCTTATTGAGAGACCCTGATGATGGCTGGTTGCTTCAATCCCATAGCGGGGCGCAAGGCGTAATCTGGGGTGGGGTCCAGTCGTGATAGGTTGGCATGGGCAGTCCTGTCAGGCTGTCAGCCCGTCAATTACTTGGTATTACCAGGTACGGTACTTGGTCGGCGGCTGTACAAAATGCAATTGCCTGCTATTATTAGAGAGATGCCTGTCAAGACCTAAGAACAAATGGCCGAACCGATTGATTGGAACGACTCGGAAGGAAGGCTTCTGGAGCAACGAAGCTAAGGTACCTATCGAGCTCTCTCCTGGCGGTTAGATAAAACCAACATGATTACCTTAAAACCCGACCTTTACAATTGCTCAAAGAACGACCGCAGCTAGTAATCGCAGCATACTGTGCTCTTGCCGTAAATTAGCTATTTCTTTGTCACTCCGCTCTCGAATGATTCTGGAAGCTGCCGCGTGCATGGCAACGCTAATTAGTGTGAGAGAGCTGAAAGACACCTCGTAAGATATCCAGACAGACCCGGGATTGCCAGGTTCATATTAAGAGAATGCTACCTAACAATAATTAACAAACAACGAAAAATGTCTCCAGCATTTGCTTGCGCAGGATCCACCTAGACTAGCCTAGCACTGGCATATGCCCATCGGGCATGGTTAGCGGTGACGGGAGGCCCGCGCGGGGTACCACTGATCGCAACCCAGGTCGCATGGCATTTTCCAAATTGCATACTGGCACTGATGAATTCGCATCTAGACCAAAAGGGGTCCCTGTCGTAGCGGCGAGGCCGGGCAGAAGACACTTCATTTGCTCTGCGGGTTTGCCGTTTGGTTGTCCGAAGCTTGTTGGAGTCAGATAGGATTGAGGCCAGATCCAGCGATATGCCAGCGCACTTCGACGGAAGCGCTGGCGATCTAGACCGAGTACATGTAGCGAATTTTTTGATGACTCTCGCTGGAATGGCAACGGAAATCACATCCTTGCTCATTATAACGCATGTTGGGAGGAAGATTGATCGTGATCCTTTCGTGGCCACACCCATCTTGGCATGACCATCGCGGTGTCAGAAGACTGGAGGCGACAGGTAAAGCGGTCGTCTCTCAGCCCAACCTGATTTGCACACCAAATCGCGAATCTCTGGAGAGACCTCCCACACATGACGCAACAGCAGCGTGCGCCAATACCGTTCTTGTATAATTCATCTTTCCAGGCGTTCCACTGAAGCAATGCTTGCGTGCCAACTCCGTGCTATCCCTCAAGCTGCACAATCTTGTCGACGTCGAAAGTGGACAACCTGAGCCGGGCGCGTAGGTCTGGTCTTGCAAAGTCCATTAAGAGTACATACATGTATGATATAATGTATTTGCTTGGTGAGATCGAGCGGATCAGTACTGTACAACCTCTCCGCTGTGAACACCGTGTGGGGGGAGCATTCTCAACGTGTCTTGGCTCGCCGCTGCAGACTCCAAAGTGACCTTGACTGAGGACGGACCATTTGGCCCGCGACTTGACTGTTGGACAATTCGCCGCTGCAGAGCTGGGCGACTGTACCTCAAATCTCCCAGTCCTGATTCCTTCCATCTCTACCTGATGAAGGCACTTGATTTTGCCTTCACATTCGAGTTATCGCTGCAATTTTTCGTCTCCTTGACGCCGGAAACAATAGATCTGGCCCCATTTACCCACAGGCGTTTGGTCGCGGGAGTCGAGTAGCGTGACAACCGAAAGACTGCCCAGCACCTCCAATCATTGACGATATCGTCTTCAGGGTACGGCAACGCCTGCTGCTCTAGAGCGGTGCTCACTCGATTATGGCCGCCGTTTCGCCAGCAGCAGGCAGCGTCGAGCCCGCGCAACTGGGCTTTCTCGCCATCTTTAACCCTTCTCTGAGCGTCTCGGACGATACCCTCGATGACCAAATCGTATACTATGCTAGCGTCAACACCCAAACAGACCGCAAGCGGCAGCGGCGCCGCACCCGTGGGGGAAAGCCGACCGAGGGCCTGAGTCAAGAGGAGAGGAATGAGCGCCTCAGGCAGATTGGCCTGGCGCAAGGTATGGCTAGTTTCAGCAGAGGCTTCGCAGATGGCGCCGCGGTCGACACGGTCGACATGGACAAGTCGCGCGTGTTGCTGCACGAGCTGGAACCGGGCTGGTGGATTCTGGCGGTAAGGATGGTCACAAACTTCTGTTGCGGGAGGTTGCTAACGCGACGGAACAGTCCATCGATCTGACCAAAATTCCACTCCCCCCTCGACTACCGACAAAAACGGGCGATGGCCAGGAAGAAAAGTTCGAATACTCGAGTCGCGAGCTCAAGCCCGCCAGCTTAATGCTGGCTGATCTTCTGCGCGCGCACAACATCTTCCTCATGCACCACGATTCCTCGCTAAGCGCCCTATTTGTTCGGAGTAGACGATCCAAGTTTGTGACCGTGCTGAGCCGTTACTGGGACCTATACCTCTCAACATGGAACGTGATGCTACATGGCAATCCCGCACGCAACAGCTATGGCGGTATCAATGTTGCGCCTTGCGGTGAACTTGGCGTGGGCGTGGGCGAGGAGGACCGCGGAAGCAGCGAGCGCGAAGTGTTGGAGGGCCTGGTCGGGAGGATAGAAGGACTTGTTGATCTCGTCGTGTCCCGATTCGGCGAGTGTGAGGCCGGCACGGAGGGTGCAGCGTCGACCGACCAAACAAATTCGCATTGGCTAGGTGCAGGACACGAGCCTGGCCACGAAGATGGCGCCATCTTTCTTGGGACCGGAGCACTGTCACGCAAATCTGTGAGGGATGTCACGCACTGGATGGAGGATCTCTACACGTGGGGAGAGCACGCGTACGGCCTCATAGAGAGCCCGACATCTGTACGGCGAGCGAAGCCTAGCAAGTCCAAGGCTCAGGCTCAGGCTCAGGCCGCCGCACCTTCGCACGATGAAGAGCCGCCACAGCCGACAAAGGCGCAAGGCGATGCTGATCCCCGTCCGACAGATGAAAACGATTCCGAGCAAAGCAAATTGGACAAGATGTACAGCTACATGAAGATGGGCTACGGTACCTATTGGTCCTTACCGGGTGCTAGTGGACCTAGTAGCGACACCGAGGCCAAGGACACTGGGCAGCCTGCAACAACAGAACATGACAAGTCTTTAAAATCCGAACGACCAGGCTTGGGACGTCGCTCGTCTTCCAGCGAAGCAGCTGGGCATTTCCTCATTGGCCTTAAAGGTGACATTGAAGAAGGCAATAGCGATAACGGCAGTCACACCTCTGAGGATGGCGAGGAGAACCACAACTCACGCACAGTGCTACGGACCATCAACGTTGAACTCGAATCAGAGTCAGCAGAACAGCCAGAAGCGACCATTATCAAGAACTTTCAGCATCCCGCGAGCGTCCATACGCAGTCGCAAGTGGTGGGCAACATGGTTCCCGGGTACAATTCACATGACCTGAACAAGGCCGCAAAGCTGCGGGTTGTTGTATATGTAAACAGGCCCTTTGTCTTTGCTTTCTTCTTCCGTTTGCGTACCGACTCGCTGGCCATGGACACCCTGTACCGATCGCTGCACCACCAGCTCGCGCCCCTGAAGAAGCAGCTCATCGCGTCTACCGAATACAGGCCCCGCCGCCCAGATTCCGGCCGTCAGGCATCCGAAATCCATGACTTGATCTGGGACCCCCAGTCCATGACAGTGCGGTCGAATATCCCCAACATCCCCGAAACAAACGATCCTCCCGACCAGTGGTCGCGTGCTGACGCATTGAGCACGCACTTGCATCTGCTTAATATCCAGGCTGCAACGCGCCACCAGGCTTGTGAGCTCGAGCGTACGCAGAAGACATCTAGAGGGTGGTGGATCGTGTGGACACGCATCTACGACGAGGCAAAGGCGGGCGATGCCACCGACCTCCAGACAATCCACGAAAGCACGTCGGATGCCGAAAGTCAGTCTGCCCGCCAGCATGACGACCGTGATGCCACCATTGGCAAGGAGATTATCCTCATCCGCCGGGCAAGTGACCACATCGGGTTCAGGACGGAGAGCGTGGCAGGAGGTGAGGGCGCTGGAAGACTGGCGCAAGGCATAGGCGTCGACACAAGGCGCTATATCGAGGAGCTTCTCAGCTTGCTGTAACATGTCCGGACAAACAGGGACATTTGGGCAAGGTTTCCTTGTCTTCTCCTTTTTTCTTCTTTATCATTTCTTCTTTTCGTTGATTGGGAAACGCATACGAGGAGCAGTAGCGGGCATGGGACTTCTAGGTCATATCACATGGGGCATAGCATAGCATTATTGGCGCTTGTCCTGGTGCCCGTCGTTATTACGGGGCAGCTACTGGGCAGAGACCCTCACGAGTGGCGTCATAGCGAAATTTGTATCTGACGGTTTCACGTATTGTGTTCTTTATGCAACTCACATGTGTTTGGATATCATGGCTTATTCATCTATGTGCTCGGAAAAGTAGTAGCTTAATACGCCTCAAAATATATACCGATTTTGAATGAAAGTATATCTGGGGCACTGTATACCCACATGTTTTCCAAGTCCAGTCTATGTCCTGTCCCACGCCGGGGGGTTGCCGAATTTTGTCCCACGCTCAGAAAAAAGTAACGATCTGCCGAATCGGTTGGATCCGAATTTAAGCGCTGTAGCTGTCGAAAGACCACTTGGCGGGTTGACGGCCACTCGTGAGCGAGCCATCAAAGAGTTCCTTGTACACCTTCTCAGACACGTCAATGTCGTTCACAGCACAACCCATGCACTTGTCACGGACAGTCGCCGAGACGCTCTTGCCGCCGACGGTGATGGTGATGGTCTGACCGCACATGGGGTTGCCGTTGGACTGGGTGCCCATCAGCTCGTGGGACAGAGCGACAATGTTCTCCACCTGGTCCATGCCTGCGTCGTCCTCGCCGCAAGCACCGAGGCCGACCGTGTAATAGGTGATTTCACCATTGCGGACCGATCCACCGCTGCTGCCACCACCGTTCGACGGAGGGGAGCTGGCACTGGGCTCGGGCTCGGGCTCCTCCTGGATGGTGGTTGTGGGCGCAGGGGGCTCGTAGACCTGGGTGGTCTCGGGCTCGATCTCAGAGCTGGTCTGGGGTTCAGGTTCGGGCTGAGGCTCGGACTGTGGCGCAGGCTTGGGCTCCTCCTTGGGCTGCTCTGTAGTCTGGGGCTGGGGCTGCTCCGTGGTCTCCTCCTTGGGCTCCTCGGCAAAGACTGCTGGAGGATCACTGGTCGTCGGCTCTGGCTCAGGGATGGTCTCTTGAGTGGGCGTGATCCACCGGGTGGTCGTCTCGTCGACGAGCTTGGTCACGTACTCAATTTCGGTGACCCAGGCGGTCTCGATGACAAGATTGCGTTTCTGCTCGTTTTCACGACGGTGGAGATGAGCGTGGTGTTGGTGGACGCGAGGCTGGGCGGCAGCCAGGCCAATCAGCACCGCGGAGGTGAAGAGGGTAGCGGTAGTCTTCATGATGCTGACGTTCTTCTTTTGGTGTGGAAGGATAATAAGGCGATGATCTACACGCTCGGTGTGCCTTTGGGCAGAAAGGAATGATGTTCAATTGTGTTTGTAGGGGAGGCCTGCTCGGTAGGGAATGGATTGGCACGAGAGAAGGAGAGTGAAGACGCTTGATTCAAGCTGCTCAGAAGAAGTGAACAAAGCGATGGATATCCCCCGTTCCCGGTCAAGGCGCAGTGCGCACAAAATTCTCAGCTCCGACTCCAGTCGATCCCATCGACAGGGATCTGGCTTTCGATGGACCATCCATCGGCAGGAATGACCGTGCGGTGGAGGAGGCAGTGGATGCCCAGTTGTTCCGAGCTCTGTGCTGGAGGGCGGTGATTGGCTGCGTGTGAGAAAAGTTCCGCGTTGGCCATGTAGGGGTGCCCTCTCGTCAGGTACGCGTCCAATAGGAATGCGACCGTGCCTGAGGCGGTGCGGCTTGTTGAAGCCGGAAAAGAAGGACCGCCAGGTTCACGGTCAGACTTGCAAAGTCTATTATTCATCATCTTTGCTCCTTGTAGTACTTTCTAATACAGTGCGTCACAAAACTCGGGCCTTCTTTGTAATACGTACTGTAGAAATGGTGCGCGTATATAACGCTAGGAAGCGGAAGTGGCCTTTGGTTCTGGCTTGGTGAGTAAGTACTCAAGTCCTACGAAGGGCTAGAAGCGCTACGCAGCACGACCTGCCACACCGACCCCAAAGCCTCCTCACATGTGTGCATATATCTGATTGGGATGACCGAGGAAAGTGGCCGTGTTTGTGAACCGCATAATATTCTAGCTCGTTTTACGCCCAAAATTGTGCAAAGTGCCCTGTGGCGTATGTGATACATCCGCATTTCGGGGCCGCAGAGCGACTTCTTGCCCCAATTGACCATAGCGGAGAGGCACTTTTCGACATCCATTTGTCCTCGTCCGGGATAGGGGAGTAGACTCCAATTGCCATGTTTCCATATCAACTTGTCTCGTTTGCTTGACTGTTGAGCGGATGCGGCGCTGAGTTCTGGGAGCTCAGGTATGTTGGCAAGCTCACGTGTTACATGCTGAGGTTTTCACGTTCAAGCTGTTATCCTCTAGAGATGGGCATGTGCCAACCGACGTAGTGGTATCGCTTGACAACCATGTTGACGTGGCTTTCGTCCAATTTCTGTTCAGCCTGCCATCCGGAGTCGCTTCTCAAGCCTTTTTTGTAGCGGCTTTTGAGCTTACTCTGTGAGTCTTGTTTCTGAAAGAAAAGAGAAACAGCGATTGCCTCGAGAAGACGGGGCGATCCTCGTCGAATAGCTCATCGACGGCAAATGCTTTCTTAGCCACCTTGACAAATTGCATGTCGGCTCGTCTGCGCTTCTTGAAGCAGAAGTACACCACAGCTTCCGAATTGAGCTCCAAGAGGTCTTTGAGTGTTTGCAGCAGGAGTGGAAATGCAGGCTCAAAGTACACACACTCGGCAGCGATAATGACATTCGGTTTCTGGTCGAGCACCACCTGTGGCAGAGGGTCTCCCCTTTCATCCGAGCGTCAGACAAAGGGAGCTGTTAGGGTGAATGTCTGCACGCACCAGTTCAGCTCTAGAGACAACGCTCTGCTCTTCAAGCTGTTCAGCTGGATATTGTGCCGTATCAACTCGAGCATCGGTATTTGGTCGGAAATCAGCAGCTTGTCGTGGACCCCGCATTCTGCAGCCACACCGAGGCCAACCAAACCGCCTCCAGCGCCCAACTCTAGTCTGTGAAGAATTAACGTGTCGGCGCGGAGTTGCCCATTGAGCTTGTTTTTGCGGAAAGCATGATTATAGCAATAATTACATTCTGGCACCTTCAAGGTCTTGGCGATGGTATCTCAGCAGATGCTTTCCCAGGACCATTCCAGCAGGCCAAGTCTGACCACCACAGCCTGTTCGGACATCTTCGTGCAACTTGAGGGGACTCCTCAACTGCCCGTCGAAAGTAATATCCGTGTCGCCTTTAACCTTGGCTACAGGTAGAGGGGTAAGGTCTTCGCTGATGGCCGCCACTGGATCGAGGGCAGGCGAAGACGGGGGGCTGACACTGGAAGGCATCTGGTTCGCACAGCCGGATTTTTCTTTTACGGGATGAAGACTTTTGCAAAGAAGAACATTTTCGATCAAGTTGCGGTCAACAGTAGTGCCTATCACAAGGTAGCCGGCCCCCAGAGCCTAGAACACTCGATTTGTTTTTTTCCCAGATATCTTCCAGGGCCCAGGGGTTCTGCCCCTCTAATATGTGAAGCTACTGCGATAAGGGACTCCCCGCTATCGGTAGGCCGATTGTGGTGTAGTCGCGCCCCCGTCGCTGGGCCCAGACACTGCGGACTCCGCTTTAAAGTACTCGGTACTCCGTACTTCCCTTACTGAGATACCCGCCTTAGTCTGTGTAGTGATTACTCGTCATTAACCACCACTCCTTTAAGTTTGGACAGTCAGGTCATCATCGCCATCGAGTAGCATACGCGACTAACACGCGCTTCTTTGATCATTGAAAGCCATTGCACGCAGACGCGCTATCCAATGTCTCATTCTGGAGCAGTCACAGCCTCGACGTGCCTAGCAGGGGAATGTAGTCCTGACAGGCCCAGCCTCGCTTCTCCCTCGACACCTCTGGCTACGCCACACCTAGCTACCGAACAGGTCTCATCGCGTCCATGGCCCGAGACATTGCGCCTCAAGTCGTAATGGAGAAATGTCTGGCGGCCAGTATTGGCCCCTCGATAAACCGCTTTACGATTATCTCACTACTGACCTCGGGCCTGCCTGTGGAATGAAGGGATTGATATCGCTCCTTGGTAGTTGAGCTCGCCTCCAGCCATCGCAATGCTGTCAAACTCTACCAGGAGCGCATGCTCTTGCTCATACTACTCTCTTGCATGTACACTTGATGATCTCGAGTTGCTTCTTTGCAGCTTTATTTGTGAAGGCGCGTCAGTTATTTGGTCCTTCGCAACGTTGCGCCAAAGGCATCATGACCCGTCCTCTCTTGTGCCTGAGCGCACTCGTCAGCTTATACGCGCATGTCGTTGATGGCACTCCCACCATTGCTTTCCCATTCAACGCGCAACTTCCTCCCGTCGCACGGATAGGCAGCCTGTGGACGTATACTCTCTCACCGCATACGTTCCGCTCCGACTTCAACATCACATATACATTGGGCCAGCATCCGAGCTGGATGTCATTCGAGGGCCAAAGTCAAAGACTGTACGGAATTGCCGAAGATGATAGTGTACCACCGGGAGAAGTGGTGGGCCAGCCTTTCCAGATCATCGCTACGGATGATACAGGTTCCGCTACCATGGATGCCGAAATTGTGGTATCGCGAGACGAGGGGCCCAGCATCAGGATCCCCATCTCTGAGCAGATCCAGCAGTTTGGCGACTACTCGGCCCCATCTTCGCTTCTGACATATCCGTCGACCGATTTCAAGTACACTTTCGACCAGCAGACGTTTAAGCATGAGCCGAACATGATCAATTACTACGCTACTTCCGGGAACAGCAGCCCCCTGCCGGCTTGGATCGCATTCGACGCGCCGTCGCTCACCTTTACCGGCCAGACTCCAGGGGTGGACGCGCTATATCAACCGCCGCAGCAGTTCGATATTCGGCTTGTCGCGTCGGATATTGAAGGATTCTCGTCGACCTCAATCGAATTCTCCATCGTTGTTAGCAGTCACAAAATCACCGTCGATGAACCAGTGCTCGAGCTCAATGCCAGTCGCGGCAATTCATTCGAGTACGATGGTCTCGGGGGTAGTGTGAAACTCGACGGCAAGCCTGTCGCGCCTGGCGACTTGGACGTTGCCGTCACGAACCTACCTCAATGGTTGTCATTTGATCAAAAGTCATGGGTTCTCGAGGGGAAGCCCGGAAAGGAAGATCATTCTACCAACTTCACTCTCACATTCTCGGATTCGTTTTCCGACACTCTCGATGTTTGGGGCACGATAAATGTTGCGTCCGGGCTCTTTGAGACCACATTCCACAATATCGAAGCGACCCCTGGCGAAGAGTTCAAACTGGACCTATCAACCTACCTGAAGGATCCCAAAGATACTGAGATTGAGATCAGCACAAGGCCACAGCAGGCTTGGCTGAAGCTGGACGGCCAAGAGATCAAGGGCAAAGTGCCAAAATCCGAGTCGGGCAAGCTCGAAATCATGGTGCAAGCCCAATCCAAAAAGTCGGGTATTATGGAGACGGAGACCTTCGCGTTGACTTTCCTCGCGCCTGATGGCAGAAGCACGACAACGCCCACGACGGGGACAGCACAACCGTCACAGACAGGAACCAATGTCGACGATGATGGCGATGATCACGATGAGAAGGGCAATGGAGATGAGGAGGGAAAGGGTCAGAAGGACAATGCTGCGGACGAAGGAGGTCTTGGTACTGGCAAGATCCTCCTTGCCACCATCATCCCAATCCTTGCTATTGCGCTGCTCCTTATGCTCCTGATATGCTGTCTCAAGCGTCAACGCGCCCGCAGAACATACCTGTCCAAGACATTCCGTTCAAAGATTTCCCAACCCGTTGTCGGCAGTTTGCGTGTCAACGGCTCGAATCTGCACACTGACAAGATGGACCAACCCGTCGGTGTCGCGACTCAAATGTCCCGTGGGCTGAAAGGAGGCTATGGGCAACCAGACTCCCACCGTTCCTCGCACTCATCCGCCACTCTCGGCAGCCTATCATCGGGAGATATGAGCCAAGTGTACATGCTCAACGCCGGCCCGGGAAGGAGTCTTGGAAGTTCTGGGACTGAGGACGGCAGGGGTTCTTGGAGTACTGTCGGCCGGACAGTAAATGAAAATAATAGCCGGGGGTCTCTGGTCACCATCCCCTACTCGGCGCATCAATTGCTGCCCACACCACCTCTCCTAGCCCAGACGAGCGAGGGCTTCCGAAGTGGGCTGGACCTCACAATACCCTCTCTTGACGACCTGCCGAGCCTACAGCAGATGTATGCGCCTCCCCCGCGATCGACAGCAATGTACTCAACGATCACAACGAGCTCAGCAGCCCTGCCTCATTCGCGCCCTACTTCACCCAAGACGGGCCCTGCGACGGCTGCTAGCATCGGACAGAAGTCTAGCAGCTCCGACAAGGACTGGAGCACGATTCGAGAAGACGACTCTGTGCCTTCGTTGCCTCCGCCGCCGGCAAGACTCTCCGGCATCCGTGGGCTTGGGTCGGAGCGAGAGTCTATGGTATCGGAAGCCTCCTTCGGCTCCGGCGAGAACTGGAGAGTCCTGGGACGCAACAATGGCGGCAGTGTGCCCAATCTGTCCACCTACAGGGAGTATGTCGAGGGCTCACCATTCTATCCATCCGGTGTCAGGGACGAGATCGCGTCGAGTCGCTTGGTGCAGACTGCGCCCAGAGCGCAAAGCTCCCTCCGTAAGGTGTCTACGGACGAAAGCCCGGCTAGCAATGTTCAAGTATCGGGAAGCCGTATTTCTCGGCTCACCGAGGAAAGCAAGGGTGTGTCGAGCAATCGGACGCGAGAGGGCTCAGGGACCACCGCCGGGAGTTACAAGGCGTTCATTTGATCTGACATCTGGAGTTATTGATGCAATGTATTATGATACCAGCAGCATTTGGGAGCATGGGGCACGGATCGTTTTTGGTTACTTGCTCAGCGTTCAGATAGAGGAACACGGATACATTTGCATTCATTCATAGCAGAGTAATCTGAGAGGCCTGCAGATTCGGTTCTGGACCTCGAGCCCGCAGTGTCGATCCCATATCTCTTCGCCCGTGGTAAAGCAGGCTAAGAAGTCAGCCCCAGTATTCGATCAAAATGTTGATTAGTCCACATCGAGTCCAGTGGCTTTGATCGAATATTGCGTTTGTTGGCCCCTGTTTACCGCTGCTTTTACTATCACAGACGAAGCTAAATTAAAAAACATGAGGGGCCCGTATTAAAAAGGGACAACACCAAAAAAAGGGTGCGCAAGGGCCAAGGCAAAGCCCTCGGGGTTGCCGCGCACGATCTGTCACTGGACGGAGCTGGGCGCGAGGTGAGAAAAATGCACGCGACTGGACCCTGTGGCTGGCTCCATCGCGCCTATTACCCCTCCCCCTCCATCCACGAACCGAAAGAGATTAGGATGCTCAGTTCTCGATTGGGGCACAGAACTAGTGATAAGAAGAAGAAAGAAGAAAAACAAAGTGTACATGGCATCTCTCGAGCTCGACTCGTGACATGACGAGGCATACACAGTCCGAGCATCCTAATGCTTGTGGTGAGGAATAGGGCTTTCACCTCACCTGGTATCCTGGAGGATCGCAGGGCAGCTGGGATGAGAAAGCGCAATCGGCACGCTACCCCGCTTCTCATCGACTTTTCCCTGCTGAGGGGACGTACGCGGTAATACTCCGTACGTCGGTAGTAGTATTAGCATTCTTACCTCAGAATTCGAGTCGTCGCTGTAATCATGGACGGACTATGCAGATCGTGCGTGTAGTTTCTAACTAAGTAGTGAAGAATCTGCCCACTCGCCACGGCGAGACCCTTTGGAAATACCTCCCTTGTTAGTGATGCCGAGGGTGCGTGGTGTCTGATATATAAAAATACCTTAAAATGCTCTCGTTGCCCCTAACATAGCAAATTGAATTACGACCAAGCGGGTCAGGTACTTCCTCACGCACCACTTGTCCCTCTGCAATGCAGGTACCTAGTTGCAGGTCTAGCCGCCTATGGCGCTCATGACTGACTGGACCCGACCTGGAGGATGACGAGGTGAACACCGTCGCCAGGCCCTTCAGGTTCCAGTCCAGCCCATTTCCCCCAGCGAAACCAGCCAGTTGCCAGCGGCACTAAGCACAGCACTGGACTAGTGCAGTGCGTACCAGAGAGCCACCCATTCTCCGACTGCCTTGCCTGCCTGCCTGCCTGCCTCTCACGTCCGTCCCCACCAAACATCTGAAGGTGCTCGACAACGTTTTCTTCGGTCCATCTACCCTTAACCGCTCAACCCACCTTCTTCCTCGCAACCGTTCCCTCCCAAACGTATCCCACCGTCGTCGACTCGTCCTTACCGATAATATCAAGCTTCGCAACCGTCCGATTCACCAGCAGCTCACGCTGCCACACAACTCGCCGCTATGGGTCAGACCCTGTCGGAGCCCGTCGTCGAAAAGGTGCGTTAGATGGGCGCTCCCTGTCACACCGAGCGCCGCTGCTATCTTTCTCCTACAAACCGATCCAACGCATTTCCATATTCGTTCTCCGCGCATTTGATGCGTGTGTGCCCGCGCTGGCCCGAGGGGTGCACTCTCGAGCCCCTCCCTGATCCGACCATGTTGCCAGTCGTGCCATGCACGAGACATTGGGGCGTCGCAATGTTGTCGCGTGGGCTTGACAAGTCTTGACTTCTTGTCAGGCGACGCGCGACACTTTGCTCGTCACGAAGACCCAGCTCCCGTGTTTTCATATCCTGTGCATCGTGACCCCACTGAATGCACGTCATGGCGACCCCTCCATGTTGTTGTGAATCCAAGCTGACATGACTCTTTCGACTCAACCAGACTTCGGCAAAGGGCGAAGATGGCAAGCTCATTTGGGGCGTGTCAGCCATGCAGGGCTGGCGCATCAGCATGGAGGACGCTCATACCGCAGAGCTCGACATCGGGCCTGTCGTCCTCAAGGACGACCAAAAGGACAACAACAACGACCGACTCTCCTTCTTTGGCGTGTTCGACGGGCACGGCGGCGACAAAGTAGCCTTATTTACAGGCGAGAGCATGCACAAAATCATATCGAAGCAGGACACGTTTAAGAAGGGCGACTATGCTCAAGGCCTCAAGGACGGTTTCTTGGCAACCGACCGGGCCATCCTAAACGGTATGACACCACACGGTGCCTGCAGGCCATGTCTACAACAATGGAGCTGACTCTGAGGCGATGCAGACCCCAAATACGAAGAAGAAGTTTCTGGCTGCACCGCTTGTGTGGCCTTGGTGGCTGGCAAGAAGGTCTATGTTGCCAACGCTGGTGACTCTCGAGGTGTCCTCGGCATCAAGGGCCGCGCCAAGCCCTTGTCGCAAGACCACAAGCCTCAACTGGAGAGTTCGTCTGCCACTGCAAGGACCCGTCGGCGCTTTGACTAACACCGACTCAGCTGAGAAGAACCGCATCACCGCCGCGGGTGGCTTCGTCGACTTTGGTCGTGTGAATGGCAACCTCGCCCTGTCGCGCGCCATTGGTGATTTTGAGTTCAAGAAGAGCGCCGAGCTTTCTCCTGAGAACCAGATCGTCACCGCATACCCCGATATCGAGTCACACGACCTGACTGACGAGGATGAGTTCTTGGTCCTCGCGTGCGACGGTACGTATAACGCCTGGGCAGCCCCGCTGACAGAGATCTGACGCATAATGTGTAGGTATTTGGGATTGCCAGTCTTCCCAGGCTGTCGTCGAATTTGTCAGGAGAGGCATCGCCGCGAAGCAGGATCTCGAGAAGATCTGCGAGAACATGATGGACAATTGTCTCGCCTCCAACTCCGAGACTGGCGGCGTCGGGTGCGACAACATGACCATGATCATTATCGGCTTCTTGAACGGCAAGACAAGGGAAGAGTGGTACGACGAGATCGCCAAGAGGGTCGCCAACGGCGACGGACCCTGCGCACCGCCCGAATACGGTACGAGCATGCGCTAGTCCTCTACTGTTGGAAGCTTTCCTGGCTAACAATGTCTCTCGCAGCGGAGTTCCGTGGTCCTGGTGTTCACCACAACTACGAAGACAGCGACAGCGGTTACGAGGTGGATGCGGATAATAAGGGCAAGAGCTTTGGTGTCGGTGGGTACAAGGGTCGCATCATCTTCCTCGGAGACGGGACTGAGGTTCTTACCGATTCAGATGATACAGAAATGTTCGATAACGCCGACGAGGACAAGGACCTCGCCAGCCAAGTCGCCAAGAGCTCCTCCTCCAACAACACCAGCGAGACGACCGCCGTCACCGCCAAGGACACCGAGTCCACCGACGTCACCAAGACCGAGTCATCAGCGGACAGCACCGCCGCAGACGCGAAGAAGACCGACGCCACAACCACAGACGAGAGTAAGAAGGACTAGGTGGTTGTCACATCGTAGGTGGTGGGCACGTCTTGAGAAAGAGCAGAAGAGGAGGCCTGGACGAGCCAGCAACTGTACACACTGCAATGTCCACACTGGCGGACGGTTGGGGGAGGGATTCTGCATGGAAGCGCCCAAAGGGGCCGGTCTCTTGGGTGTATATGGGGAAAGGGGGTGGTGGTGGTGCTTCTTGTTGTCGTTGTCATTGTGATGGCCCCTCACATGTCAATTACAAACACACACATGTCATTGTTTCACCCGCACGCACGCACACACATACACGCTTACAACGAAACATACACACGCGCATGTTGTTCTTGGGGTTGGTTTGGGGTCTGAAAGGCTTTGCTATTACTGGTTTATAAGAGATTCCCCCGGTTTCTTCGCCCACAAACCCTGCCTCCCGAGATTGATGAGGCCTCTCCATACAGGAAGCCGACAGCATGAGTTCCAAGGATGCCAAGCCTGCTGTGGCATCTTCCCACTGACTTCGCATATAGTACACTCGACTATGGTACAGTATATACATTCATGGCGATCAAGCCGCCCATGTCAACCTGTTTCGCAACCCCAATTGGCGGCCTTGACGGCGGGGGACAACAGCGCCATTCACTCGTTGTTCTCGGCATCAGGTGCCGGGGTGATGATCTCGGGCTGTTTGCTAATCTCGGCATCGTGCTGCCCGCCTTGCTTGAAGTTTCCAGGCCTTCCAATCAAGCCTGTTGCCAAAGGGGGGATGTGACTCCCGTCCGCCGGCGCTGACAGTTGTGGTTTAATCTGCCCTTGCGCGAGGTGATCGTCTTCAAACCCATGAGTGAGAGACAAGTAGTCAAATTTACCGGTAGCCAAATTTTTGACCCTGATCTTCAGCGGTGGTGCCACAGTCGACTGTTGCTGCTGCTGCTGCTGCTTCTGTTGCCGCCGCAAGTCACGATCCCGGGACAGTCCGCACCTGACGTCCGTGACGAGCTGGGCACTGGGGCGGAAGCCGTCGCAGCGTCTGGTCAGAATCCCGATGATTCCGGTCAAGGCTTCCTTGACATTCTTGGCGGGGCTTCGCTTGAGCTGCTGGCTCGCAGACTTGTCCATGAGAAGGATGTTGGCATATTTCCAGTAGGGCGTGCTCGGCGACCCCCCCTGCAGCATATGCATTATGGCGGATAGCGCTCTTGATCGAGTGTGGCCTGTGAGAACCATGTGGTAGAAAACCATGCCCGCCGCGGAGGGGCATGCTGTCATTTCGCAGAGTTGCAGAAGCTTGTGGTAGATCTTGGAGGAGGGCTCATGGCCAACCTCGGCCATGCGGGTCAGCGCGTCGATTGCGAGCGGCCAGCTCCTCACAAGAAAGGCATTTTCAATCATGGTCTCAAATCCCTCTCTGCCCAAGGTGACCTTGCCGAGAAAACTGGCGTATTGGTGTTGTAGAAGCTTCGAATGGGCGGTGAGCCTGAAATGCTCCTCAAGTAGCGCGTGGACGGCGTCTGTGCTGTTCCAACGCTTGCCGTACTTCTCAGTCATATCCCGCATAAAGTCGGCAGGATAATTCTGGCTTTGGAATGCTTCGTGGAGATGCATGGGGCCCATGATGGCCGCCGTCTCGCGGCGCAGGTTGACGTCCTGGAAGAGGCCGAGCTTGTGCATGACAGTGACAATCTCTCTGCGAGCGTCGTCCTTCTTCACGAGTCTCAGCAGTAGGACCCATGTGCGGGCGTTGGCCCGAACGTAGCGTTGCTGCATCTTGCGCAGAAAACTGTAGAAGAAGCGGACGTCACGACTGAGGACGTAGCTCTCCAGCATGATGTTGTAGACTTCCGTGTCCATCGGCAGGCCGATGGCCTCCACCTTGTCAAAGAGCTCCTTGGCCAGGGCACGGTTGCCCCCGGCCTTGCTGATGAGGTTGAGCGCCATCTTGAAAGTCGGCGTCGTAATGAATGGCTTTGCCTTTTGATCCAGAAACGCACTCATGAGGAGTCGAGAGCGGATGGAGGAGAAATCGACACGTTCGTGGCGGCAGAGGCCTTCACTGTCGGCGCCGTAGAGTTGTTGGGCCATCTCGGGTACCAGCTGACCGCAGACGACGGCCTCAACATATTCGTCAAAACTGTCCTGCGTCCATTCCAATGGTATGGGGATGTCCTCGAGCCGCGTCGCGAGGTTGTACGGCTTAGGTGCTTCACGGTGGACCCAGAAGTCGCGGTCTTTTGCGTCCTTGTCCTTGTCCTGTTGCTCCGCCGCAGAGGAGCCGGTCGCCTCGTCCATATCCTCAATCTGCGGCCACAGCTGCTTGACCGCATAGTCTGTGGTTTCAATGTCGCCCAGTTCATATATCTGGATCTGCTTGCTCTTCTGGAGCAGACGACGCGACAGGGCAGACAGCGACAGCCTCTCCCCCCTGACGACAAACGAGGACGTGTCGGCCTTGCTCGTGCGTTTCTGGCGACGGGCGTGGTCTCGATATACTGTGAGCTTCTCTTCGACCGTGGCGGCGAGGTTGACGCGGAAGATCTTGCGCGTGTCCATGTCGACACCCCATTCCGAGGGCAGCACGATCCGCATGGCGGCCATCTTCCGGCCCCGCCACTTACCCGGCGAGATGTTCTGGACGAGGAGCATGATGTTTCTCCACGTGAAGCCGTCGACCATGTGGTGCTTCTCGGGCTGCTCAAAGTGAGATGCCCAGAGAGCGCGCAGACCGATCTGCGCCCTGGCGTCCTTGGCCAGTGCCGCTGCCTGCATCTTCATGGCCAGAGGTCTCGTGTATTGCCGTGCCGTGGGCACAAACGGGGAGCGCGCAATCTCGGCGGCCACATCTTCGTCTGGGATATTCCAAAACCGCGACTTTGTGAACACATGGTTGAAACTCCCGTCACGGTTTGTTCGCTTCCTCGACTCGGTAGTGTGCGGCTCGATGGAGGCTGGTTCTGTCGCAGTCTCTCCTAGATCTGGCCCTTTCTCTGCGAGCTGCTCTATCGCAGCGAACAGTCTGGAGGAGGGCGTTGCGCTGTACGGGGCCTGGTATACTGGGTTGACAGATCGAGAATTCGCGAGGCTCACGGCCGCCCGTCGCCTATATTGCGTGCCCAGCCGCGTGCAGGCAGGTTTTGCCGTCCATACTCTGGATAGCATCGCCCACGAAGGTCGCAGGTCATCGATCGTTCGGTTGTCACTTGCGTTGCTGGCTGCTGAATGTAGCAGGCGCAAAATTACAACACAGGCGCATAAATAATTACAGACCCTGGCGGTCGAGCGGGATTCAAGCTGCAAAGCGAGTGGGTCCACGTGTGCGCCAACCGGGTCATTGCCAACAGCTCTCTCCAAGATACGTATTTCACGAGGGACGAGATGTGTGAAAGAAACAAGATCCAAAGTAGTTTCTAGGTTCAATGTCGTTACCATTGATGCGTAAAAATAGCAAACATCCTCGCAGCGAGCCCAGGAAAAGCCACGAGCGGACGCCATGTAATAATGCCCCAGCACCAACCGAGTCCAACGTCCCAAAGACCCAAGGATAAACCGCCTAATAGCATACAGGCTTATACAGATGACATCAATAAAGAAAACATGAGCGTCGGGCTCTTCATGGTCATTCCGGTAGCTTTCCCCCGTTGGGCTCAGCAGGTCCGCTCTGGTCTATACCCTGCCACTCCTCCTGCCAGCCTTTGTGGCTGGCAACTGCTCCCCTGGATTCACCACTCTCGGCCATCTGCTTCACATCGCTCCAGTACGCCAGCTTCCGGACTTCTTCGTCTGCGTGCTCCATTGCCTGCTTGAGCGCATCTCTACGCTCGCGGTCGTGCTGGGTGTCCTCTTTCTCGAGTCGCGCAATTGTGTCGTCGTAGACACTCATCAGATGACTGAGAAGCAAGCGCCTAGACGCCTGAAATATGAAGATCGACATGACCTCATGCATCTCTTGGTGTAGGTTGGCCAAGTCCAGCGCGTTCTCCAGGTAGTTCTCCACGGCTTCGAGTTTTTCTCTGTCTATTCGTGCGAAACGCAGCCTCAGTAGGAGGGTCTCCAGGTCCTCGATATCTGGCTGGATTTGCTGCATCTCGGCATTCGATGCGTGACCAAGGGTGGAGTGGCTGGTAACTCGGCTCGCCCGGCTGCTTGCCAGGCTGGGCTGTGATCTCCGGCTGAGGCGGTCCGAGGCTGGTCGTACGGTGAAGTAGTCACCATTCAGCATATGTGGGTCCACGGATACGTCGTCCTCCTTCTTCTTGCCCCTCTTCCTCGTCCAGGCGCGCCTCCGGACAAACGAGTTGTACCATCGAGGGCCGTGCCATGAGAAGCTCTTGGAAAATGCAAAGGAGTACTCCCATCCTTCGTTGTCCATTCCCTCCTGGTGGTTCACGTGCCATTCTTGCCACAGCCATTCCCACATCGGGTCCGGAACTTGAGCTGTGTGGATATTCGTAGGTGAAGGTTTGTGGTAAGCGTTGGCTTTGCGAGGTCAGCTTCACCCGGCGGTCTTGGTCCAGATCACTTACTCCATGGCGTCGGATCTAAACCACCCAACGCGGCAGCTGAGAAGAGAGGTCGGCCACACAAAAAGCCGCCTCTTTGGTTCTCGTATAGTATATCTATCGCAGTCTCGCGTTCCGCATGCGGTTTTTGGGGCACTATATTGGGCGCATCGTATTGTGCATGGGGCGTTGGCTCTGCTTCAGTCAGCAGAGCAATCAGATAACTGATTTTCCATGGCAGTGCGTACCTTGGACCTCAATTGAGGGCCGCGAAGCTAGGTGAGTTAGGTCTTGCTGGTCTTGCCCTCGAGATGGTCGTTGCTCAGGCCTCGACTCTTGGTCGTCCGGTGGTGGCGACGTTGGTGTCGAAGGCGCTGCGCTCCCTTCTTCGCCTATCGCAGATAGCAGGCGCTGCTCGGTTGATATACGCTCCATGCCTGCTCCTGCTGAGGCGCCCTGACCTCGTTCCTCGTCGGGGCGGCCGAGAGCGCCATCGCGGTCGACAATGACGATTTCATGATCGTAGTCTCCTGGCTTCAGGCTCGCCACGCGGCGAGACGTCCGAACTCGTACCATTTGCGTCGACGGCCGCCTATATCTTCATCATGCTGGAAGGGACAGGTCGTAGCTCGATTGATCGAAAATGTGAAGGGGTGGGACTTGGGACGATCAAGCGATGCGCATGCTTGTTGTGGAGATTGGGTATGACGATCTCGACTCCAACGCTACAGCAGAGCGTCCAATTGCTTCGTTGTTCGACAAGGTGAAGTTCTGGGTTCGAGATCTAGCGACAGACGGGCAGGCTATGACGCTAGGCAGCTATAATCCTGTATCGTGGCTAAGGCATGGTGGCTTGGGACCCCTCCAGTCGTTGCAAACGAACATCTAGACTAGACTCTAGACTCTAATTAGGCTGTCGGATATGAGCGATCGGGCCACGCTACCGCAAGATGAAGAGGATCTGCGAGGTGCGCACAATGCCCCAGGTGCTGCACTAATGTGGATTTGATTAATTCACATCCACAGACAGCCTGGCAGCAGCGAGACCTCGAAAACGTGCAGCGAATAATGGGCCCTTGCTTCGAGCGGCCGAGCCTTGGTTCTTTAACTAGCGTGAATCCGGCTGGGAGACCAAAGACACTATTATCTCGGCGTGGAATCTAAATGACGTCACGTGTGTACTAGCCCGCCTTGGCTGCCTAATCATACCTTACCTTTGCAACCGACCTGTCGCGGAATTTTGTTCTTCCAAACCCGGTGCCGTCGTTTTCAATCACTGAGACAGCTGGATGCAACGCGAATCACAGGCATCGAGTCCTGTGCGGTTTCGTCTTCTAAATTATCCGTACTCCGTATCCGTTTGTATTTGTGTATCTCACGGTGCAGGGGCGTCTAAGTTGCCGAACAGACGTCTGGCCTGGGCCTGCCATGTCAACTCAGCATGGTCTTGTCTGTTCGAGTCGCACTCATTTTCAAGTTCCTTGGTACACTATCCACTGTGATATTTGAGTCAGCATATCTTATCTTGCATCGAGTAAAGATTCAAGATGCCATGCGGGCAGCGGAAGACTGAGATTTATTAAGCGCCGACGCGATCTCTCCACGCATTTGTTCACCAATCACGAAGAGGTCAAATTGGGGTCTTGCTAAGAATAGCCACCCGCCGCTAACACCCTGCAGTTAGCTGCTTGACCCAAGCAATATGAATCACAAGCCAACTTTGAGAACTACTGTCTTCTACGGCTCTGAAAACCACAGAGATATGAGTGCCGGTGTTCTTTCTCAGCCTGCTTGCTCACTTCACCTCGATCGCCACTGTGCAACAAGTGTGTCGGGTCTGTCATCGTCAGTGAGCATCGTTCCTTTTGAATTGCCGCCAGCGCAGCTGTTGCAGTGGACGCCAGGGGTCTAGCACGGCAACAGTGGCCAATGGCATGATACACCTGCCACCCTGGGCGCGCTCCAGTCACTCATCGCATCGCAACTCTCAAAGCTCGACATTTCCAGGTTCTCCTCCATCTATCCGTAGCCATCCATTCAACCCACCTCCTCCCATATCAGAACAGAAAAGGTCCAATCTTGCGGTGTGCTGTGTTGGGAGAACCAGTCCAGCTAGCTAGCTACTTACCACCTCTTCTGCCCTGGCTCACAGTGGCTGGTACTCTACCACTCCTCACTTGGCCTGCCTGTCGTGTCCGAGGTTCCGCCCTGCCTTGAATGTCACACACGTCCGAGGATTCTCTTCCCGCCGCCCAGCATTCCACGAATCGCTTCAGATAATTCATGGATCGTCAATGCGCTGCGCAAGCCTGCCAACTAGCGTGGTGACGGGAAGCACACTTTCTGGACGCAGCCGCTCTGCGCCCTCTGATTTGCTTAAGGACTGCTAACAACCAACAAACGACCTACCCTTCAAGCGACCACCCCATATTGACCGGATATCGTTGCCGGTGGCCCCAAGGCAGCCTTGTTCGCCATGTCTTCAGCCAGAGATAGGATGCGCCTGGGTCTCAACCCTCTCACGACGTCCTTGGGCTCGTACAACCCTCATCACCCCGGCGAGCCCATCTCGGCTATCTCCATGGCGTCCTCCCACTTACCGTCCGCGCAGACGCCTGGCAGTGCTCTCCAGCCATACAATCCTCAGGAATGGGTAGCCTCGCCGGCCCAGGTGGCGGACCGGCAGGGTCACTATGCTGGTGATGCTCAAGGTGAGTCGGGTACCTTCCTGTCCTCATACGAACGAGGCCAAGGGCTGATCAAACCAGGTGGCCTTCCGCCGCCGCCGCCACCTTACAGTCCGCCCAGGAGTCAACAACCGAGGCCAATGAGCAGCGTCATGGACCAGGCTCCTGTTCTGACTTCGACACCACCACCGCCGAGAATACCTGCGCAGAACGTGCATCGCCCGTCCTCCGATCCACCAGCGAACCAGTCCTTCCCACCGCCGCCTGGCGCTGGGGGCCGAGGTCCCTCGCGAGAACGCAGATTTGGACTGCCGGCCTTTGGAAGAAGGAGTCGCGACTCTGACCAACAGATGCCTGTAACGCCTGAGCCACCTAGCCTGATGCCCACTATAAGGCAGAGCATCGGGCCTGGTCCTTCGGTCTTCACGCCTGAAGCTATGAGGCCGCTTTCAACTGCGTCCAACTTCTCGCAAAGCGGCCCTCCTGCTGCAAGGAGGGCTGTCTCCGCAGGGGCGGTCGAGACACCAACGTCAGCGCGATCACGGTCTGGCTCGCATCATGGGCTTGACCCTGGCATAGCGATCCCTCCGCCGCCACCAGGACCGCCGCCCTCGAGCTCGCGGTCACAGAGTGTCCAGGGCCTGGACAGAGGGAATGTTCCGATCATCTCACCCCCAACCCGCCGACCACGGATTTCTGCTGTGCCTACATTAGGCCCAGTGCCACCCACACCGGCTGGCTGGGTGGACGAACCAGCACAAGCCGACCAGGCCTCCAGCGGCCAGGGTATACTGACTATAGATGTCGAGACCGCTCAGCACGCTGAAAATATCCCAGAACCGCTTGGGTCCTCGAACAGTGCCAGTGGCCTCAATCGAGCGAGGGCAGTCCGACATGACAAGACCATATTACAGAGGAGAGCCGAGAGTCGGACTCGGCAGGGCGGGCGAGGATCCATCGATGAGAGAATGCGGCCCGGCGGTATTGCTGATATATTTGTCCCCGCCTCTTCTCCAGCGGCTTCTACTCGACCCCCGAAGGCAACACCCAGGAGTGCTAGCGGCTCACGATGTGAGAATCCGCAGACGGGCGAGTCCAGCGCAATGGCAGACTCGCGCAACTCTACGCCCCGCGTTGTCGGCAACTCGAGGCATGTTCAGTCACTTGAGGCGGGAACGCCGCCCTTCTCTCCATTTCCAGCCAAGTTAGCACACAGGTCATCAGCTTTGGGACCCATCGCTCCCAAGTCGCTGCCGACACCACCCCCTCAGATCCGGTCGGCCTCCAGCCACAATCCGCGAGAAGGCTCACGACCGCCTCCATTCGTCCAGACACCCGTGTCGAAACACCTTGTGGTCACACAGAGCGCAGAGCAATTTGCAACAGGCACAATCGAGCGCTTCCAAACATTCGCCGCTGCCGAGGCCTGTGCTGCCACCGACATCGACAGGGTTCGCCTATTTGCTGCATTTATGGTCAGTGAATCGCGGATACGCAGAGAGCGATATGCCACTTCCATAGGTGCCATGGGCTCCGAAATATTCGACTTGACCAGAGATCTGTTTCGCCCCATGGTAACGACCCGGCGTTCCTCTGCGCCATCTCAAGAGGGATGGACCCCAGAAGCTTCAGAGCCAGAATATCAACAGAACGGATCCTGGAGCTCTACGCCTGCTGAGGCTGGACCAAGCTCAGCACCGGGCTCTGCACGGCTGCCACCGTCACCGAGCGGAGGTCAAAATGCGGCTGCCACCACATCCAACTTCATGCCATCGCTGTCGCCGATTCTGAGCATGAGTGTGAGTGACAGATATGGCGACGGAAGCTCCCGGGGTCGACCGTCCAGCCGATGGTGGGAGGTCGATTCACAAGGCGACCCGTCTAGACGTTTCGAGCGGTCCAAACGCGAGTCCAAGTACATGGGTGTGCCCAAGGATCAATGGGCAGAAGCTGATCCAGTCCACAATTTGCATGGAGCGCATAGCGAACAAGGCTCGTCCACCGAATACCCGCCCGAAAAGGTCGGCTGGCACGAACCTGAGGACGCAGCGAGTACGCCCCAGCCAGCTCGCTTCTTCCAAAACACCGCGGGCTCGACTCCTTCACCAGCGCCTGGCAATCGAAAATCCGTCGACGTCTCTCGACTGGTGACGCTGCCACCACCATACCCACGGCATCACCCTGCCGTGAACAACAATCATCCGGAGCTGGCATCCATCCGTGGCTCGGTCAGAACGCTGAGCGATTTAAATGAAATCGATGAAATCAAGCAGAGGTTTAAAAAGGCCAGCACCAAGAGACGGAATGATCTGGAAGGTCAACTGTCAGAACAACGCCAAGCTCTGCGAGCCAACCTGCAGCAAGAAATCAATGCCGGCAACCTGGGCTACACCGATGCAGGTGCTATAGAAGCTGACGCGCAGGCCCAAGAGAGCGTGAAGAAGAGGGACTTGGAGAAGCAGGAGTACGAGGCATTTCAGACAGAGGTAGTGGTGCCGGTCAACGAGCTTTTGACAGGTCGGATCGACACAGCGACAGCACTGCATAACGATCTTGCCCGCCGACTATTCGCTAATGGGCAAAACGACGTGGATATGCCGCAGGAAGAAGGCGACGATCAGCCAGAACTTCTTGAAAAGCTGACTCTCCTGAAGTGGATCTTTGAGGCGCGGGAGTCGCTTCATCGAGCAATCTATGACATCCTATCAGATCGCAATGCGAGGTTCCGCGATGTAATCACCAACCCGTATCGACTGTCGGGCAACACGGAGAAACTGAGGAATGCCGAGGCCTTCTTCAACGAGGACAACGCCAAGAGAGAATACGATTACGCGAATGAGGTGCTGGATCGAGCTCGAGAGTTTCGGTCCGTGGTGGACGATGCTGTGCAGCGTGGTGTGGCACTCCAGTCATCAGCCTTTTGGGATATCGCGCCTACTCTGTGCAATCTTCTGGACAGTATTCCGCCGACTTTGGAAGGGTTCAACATCCAAATTCCTCCAGCCGAGTATACGGAGAATCCCTCCTACAAGGACCACCCCATGCAGTACCTCTTGACCCTGATCCACCACACAGAGAAGAGCACATACCAGTTCATTGAGGCACACACCAATCTTCTGTGTCTACTGCACGAGGCTAGGGAGGCCGTCGTCAATGCCAAAGCAAGGGTCCTGGCCACGCAGACCGAGGACCATCAAGGCAAGCCTGTGGCTGCCGAAGAGCGCGAGACTCGAGCCCGGGTCATGAAGCATGGCGAGGATCTTCGCCTCACTGAAGACCTGAAAGAGAAGGTACGCGTGGTGGAAGATCAGTGGAAGAACGCCTTGGCCGAGAGCATCGGCAATGTGAAGGAACGGATCGGGGAATGGCTCCTCGAGACGGGCGGTTGGGACGAGACTCTGATCGAGGACGACAGTCTTAGTTTCGAGCGGGAAGGCACAAATGTTTGAAAAGAGCGTGAGCGAGCGAGCGTGCCATGTTTTCACAATCGTTTAAAGAAGACGAGATACCCGCCTCTAGAAGGCACTTTGAAGGTTGTCTTTTTGGATGCACATGTACCGATGAGATAGGATACAATGTCAGGCTCTGCAGCGCCTCGACATTACTGAATGATGATGAGAGACGAACCTGCTCAAGGTCATATTTACTTGCGCCTGATATCCCTGAAGTAAAGCACGCTGCGTCGTGTTATAATGTACATTTTGTCGCGTTTGTTGTTGTACATATTTCGTCTTTCCATAGCAGAACACCCTTGTATCCGAGACTTCAGGCCTTGTTCCTCCCCAGCCCGTACTCCAGTGGCAGGTCCATTCCCACCCTTCGGGCCGTCAACCTAATCCTCTCCTCCTCGTCCATCCCCATGCCCGGGTTGTAACGCTCCAGTAGCGTCACATACTTGCGTTGTGAGCGAAGGTAGTGCGCCAACTGGACGCCTCGCGCCGCCTCAGCCTCTGATGTGGCTGCCGAGGATGTGGTGGCTGATGAGGTGGAAATGGTTTCGCGCAGGCGGGTGTGCAGCGGTGCCCGAGGGGAGCGGAGTATCGGTCGAGGGGGCAGCTCGCGAAGGAGAGAGCGGTAGATTGAGCGCAGCTGTGCAGCGGACGGCACCATTTTGGGGGCTGTGTCTTTTCGTAGAGGTAGAGAGGGTGCTGGTGGATGTTCTCAAGAGGTCCGTTGTGCATATCTGTGATCAGGGTCGCGAAGATGGGAACTTCGATGATGACTAAGCAAAACCTAAGACGCCATACGAGCAGAACTACTCTGCTTGACTGACTGTCTTCTGATGATTATTGCATTATTTGGAATTTGGATCACATGGCTCATTCATACGGCGACAGGTCTTGAGTCAGAGGCTGCCATGTTCCCATGTTGCGATGTGAGTGGTCACGGTTTGCCTGTGACATCTCCGACCCCCGGCTGCGGTGAAGCAGCGCCAGGGGGTAGGCCTCAACAGTTCATCAAGGACATTGTCAATACTACATACGTACTTTTATGTCGAGTGATATGGGGAAAGAGATGTTCCGAGGGCTTTGTGAGAAGCGAGGAGAGAACAGTGCTGCACGATCATCGTAATTGAGGGCAACCAGAAGCAGACGCCGAGGCGCACAACGTGGACAACCAGGCCCTTGAAACCAACATGCTCTATTTCGGTCCCACAAACACAGTAGTAGTACAAATTCCGTGCAAAACCCACTCATATGATACAGATATCCAGTCAACCCAACTCCATCTAGCTGATCTTCTTTGACTTGAGCTTGATCGTTTCGTCGTTGATGAAGATCCCCTTGCCCTTGTACGGCTCCGGCTTCCTCCACTGCTTCACGCGTCCGGCGAAGGACATAATCTCCACCTTGTCCGTTCCCTCGATCAGGATACGTGTCGGCTGCGGTGTCGTGACCTTGAGGCCGGCCGGGATGGGCTCCTCGATGGTATGTGTGAAGCCGAGCTTGAGGATGAGGTGCTGCTGTCCATGGAAGGACTGCTTTCCCCGACGTTCCTGCACCGTGGCACGGTAACCGACACCGACGAGACGGAGAATGGCCGAGTGGCCTTCGGAGACTCCGGTGATGCAGTTGCTGAGGTATTTCCATGATGTACCTGCATCTGTTAGCAATTTTGTTCTCCTTCTCATCCTTCGGCCGAGTCAAGGGGCACATACCCCACATCTCTTTCTGTGTCTCGTTTTCCACGTCCTCAATGTTCATCTTGATGAGCTTGTTCTCCAGATCCTGCTCCAGAAGGATGTACTCTGGCGCATCGAACGACAATTGCCCTGATTCAGGTCAGCCTTCTCGTCGCCTGCCTCTGGGATATTCTTCCTCTCCCTACCTAGTGGTCCATTAACCGTCAACTTGGACATCAACGTCGCCTTCCAGTCTCTCGACCCTTGCTTTGCAACTAGGTCGCCCTTGGTGACTGTAACACCCTGTGGGATCGTTATAGGTGTTCGGCCGAGCTTCGATGGACATCTCGAGGTGGCAGAGAACAATCGAGACTGGTTGGCGGAGATCGTTCGCCACGCTGGTACCAGAAATTCGGGGAGACTTGAGGCTGATGAGGCCGCGAATATCCGGCCGAGCGCCTTGCTCCTCGAAGGAGCGAAAGATGCGGCCATTGGAGGTGTGTGGCGTGTGACAATGCGCTGCAGCCGTGGAAACCTTGCGTCGTCAAGATTGGTGGTATGGACTTTTTGAGCTGCTGAGTCAGAAATCACGTGTGGAGTCGGTCGACGCGACACCAACGCGCCGCCGTCCATTCACCTGGGAAGATCATATTTGTACTTGGAAAAAAGTAATTAGTTATTGAATTTTCAATCACAGTCATGGGCGATTCGACTTATTTGTTGGTCAACAACTGCTATTGCTTCTTACTACAAGGTGGATATCTAGAAACTCCTTTTCCATAATTACCACCGCAGCCCCGAATTGAAAATTGACATGGCTGGCTTGAGCATACTGCATGCGAAAATGGGATTGAGTGATGCCGGCATCTGTGCCGGCAAAGGTAGGCGCGTTTTAAAGCCACGTAATTTAGACCTCCTCCTCAAGGGGGAGCTCTTCCTCGTACTCCTCCTCCTCCTCGTCAATACCAGCATCCTGGTACTGCTGGTACTCCGAAACAAGATCGTTCATGTTGGACTCAGCCTCAGTAAACTCCATCTCGTCCATACCCTCACCAGTGTACCAATGCAAGAAAGCCTTGCGACGAAACATGGCAGTGAACTGCTCGCCGACACGCTTGAAGAGCTCCTGGATTGAGGTGGAGTTGCCAATGAAGGTCGAGGACATCTTGAGGCCACGGGGAGGAATGGCGCAGAGGGCAGTCTGGATGTTGTTGGGGATCCACTCGACGAAATAGGACGAGTTCTTGGACTGAACGTTGCGCATCTGGTCCTCGACCTCCTTCATGGAGACCTTACCGCGGAAGATGGAGCAGCAGGTCAGGTAGCGACCGTTGCGGAAGTCAGAGGCGGCCATCATGTTCTTGGGGTCGAACATCTGCTGGGTGAGCTCAGGCACGCTGATGGCGCGGAAGGAGTGGGCGCCACGGCTGGTCAGAGGAGCGAAGCCGACCATGAAGAAGTGGAGACGAGGGAAGGGAACCATGTTGACGGCGAGCTTGCGCAGGTCAGAGTTCAGCTGGCCGGGGAAACGCAAGCAGGTGGTGACACCGGACATGACGATAGAGACGAGGTGGTTCAGGTCACCGTACGAGGGGTTCGACAGCTTGAGGGTGCGCATGCAGATGTCGTACAGAGCTTCGTTGTCGATACAGAAGGTCTCGTCGGAGTTCTCGACCAGCTGGTGGACGGACAGGGTGGCGTTGTAAGGCTCGACAACGGTGTCGGAGACCTTGGGCGAGGGCACAACAGAGAAGGTAGCCATCATCCGGTCGGGGAATTCCTCGCGGATCTTGGAGATGAGCAGCGTACCCATACCGGCACCGGTACCACCACCAAGGGAGTGGGTGATCTGGAAACCCTGAAGGCAGTCGCAGCCCTCAGCCTCACGGCGGACGACGTCGAGGACCTGGTCGACCAGCTCAGCACCCTCAGTGTAGTGACCCTTGGCCCAGTTGTTGCCAGCACCAGACTGTCCGAAGACAAAGTTGTCGGGGCGGAAGAGCTGACCAAAGGGACCAGCACGGACGGCATCCATGGTACCAGGCTCGAGATCGACGAGGACGGCGCGGGGAACATACTTGTTGCCGGAAGCCTGCAATGGTGAGCGTGTGTTAGGGTGTCATTGCCCCCAACGTGCTCACCTCGTTGAAGTAGACGCTCATACGCTCGAGCTGGAGCTCAGAGGTGCCGTTGTAAACACCATTGCTGTCGAGGCCGTGCTCGCCAGAGATGGTCTGCCAGAAGGCAGCACCAATCTGGTTACCGCACTGACCGGTCTGGAGGTGAACCTAGAAGAGGATGAAGTGTCAGTGATTGCATCTCCTGACGTCTTAACGCGTTTCCACGATGTCGGGGTGGAATGTTGACAATCGAGCCGTGTATCGTTCCCGGCGGGGTAAAAATCAGGGGCATCTCTGGAACGCGTCGCGAGGGGCATCTTGGTACTCACAATCTCACGCATCTTGATGAATTGGTGTGAAGAAGGGAGGAGCAATGGACGTCGAGTCGACGAGATCGATAGCTACACACTGAGCTGGCGAGAGGCTGGTGGAGGAAGACCGGTGTGGTATGGTTGTAGGTTCAGAGAGGAAACAGAGAAGAAGGTGAGTGGATGTTGACTGGATTTTTGCTGGGGGAGGTGTGGTGGTTCTAGCCCCACTACGCCGTCGGCGGCGGGTGGGCTCACGAAATTGGTCCCTCACCGCCACTAGATAGATCCTGGCCAGCTGGTGATCTCCAGACGAGCCATCACTGGCTGCCTGACCACCGCTGTTGGCACTTGCCAAGGTACGTTCTGCAGTTCGGATGAGATGACTGGGAAAGCTTGTTCCTCTTGTTTTGAATTGCGTTCACCGCGTTAGTTGATAGTACATGTAGGCGCCAGAGCTTCACGCACCGCTTGTTGAAGCCTGGAGCTTACTGGCGCCTAGTGCGCTGGGGAAGCTTCAAACTATGGGTCCGGCTGTTACCCCTGGCTGCTGACTACCGGAATAGGCAAGGCGCGTACTCATGTCACAGGAACCATCACTTCACTTCATTGGAACTTGGAGCGCAGCGTGTGGCCATCTCAGGACATGCAGCACAATACACATATACGTGGCAGACTACGGTGATGAATCGCTAATGATACAATTCATGGAGTTATGTTCTCTACATCAGCGCCGGAGCGTCCTGATTGCAATGGGCGCGCTTGACATGACCAGTATCGCTGGCGATGCACGAATTTAGGGCATGTCTCGCTAATTGGGTCTACCGCTTCGATTGTACAGCCATTCTCATGGTACTACTGCCAAGGCTGTATATGTGATGTTCATTTGACGGTTCACATTCATATTCATATACTATAATAACATTTAGTGAGCTTTGACAACGCCCGCAGCGTCTGCTTGTGCCGCAATCCTCTTCTTGTACTGGTTCACGTCACCGTCAAACTTCTCGACAGTACCGCCATCGCAGACCCAGAGCGACTTGCACACTGCCTGCAGCATGGTGACATCGTGGGAAACCATCAGCACACCACCCTCAAACTCGTTCAACGCGTCGGCCAACGCGTCCATGGCTTCGATATCCAAATGATTGGAAGGCTCATCGAGAACGAGAATGTGGGGGTTGGTCAACGCCAAACAGGCAAACGCCACCCTGGATTTCTGACCACCAGACAGCAGACCCATCTTCTGCAGGCCAGTCGTGCCCGTAATGCCAAAGGCACCTAGTTGCCTTCGGTACTCCTCGTCCTTACGGCCGGGATAGTTCTTGGCCATGAAGCTGACAGCGCTAGTCGTCAGGTCCAAAGCATCCACGTGGTGTTGGGCGAAGAAACCTATGCGCAGTCGCGGGTGGGCAGAGATGATACCAGATGACGGAGACAGCTTGCCAATGAGCAGCTTGAGGATAGTCGTCTTACCAGCACCGTTGGGTCCAACAATGCCGATGCGCGAGTCCAGTTGCACGTCGAGGTCGACATTACGCAACAAGATCTTGTCCTTGCTGTAGCCAAACGTGACCTCCGACATTTGCACAATGGGTGGCGATAACTTTTCCACCGGGGGGAACTGGAACTTGACGCTATACTCTGCCTCAGGTGCCTCCAAGATCGGCATCTTCTCCAGCTTCTTGATACGAGACTGCGCTTCTGACGACTTGGCGGCGTTGTAGCGGAACTTGTCGATGAAAGCCTGTAGATGCGCACGCTGGACCATCTGGTTCTCGTACTCGCGCTTCGCCACCTTCTTACGCTCCTCACGTGTTGAGTAGAACGTGTCAAAATTGGCTCCTCTGTAGTAGTCGAGGCGCTCTGAGTGCTGGTGTACAATATCCGTAGCCACCTCGTTCAGGAACGCTCTGTCGTGAGAGACAACCAGCACTGTGCTTGGGTAGCCCTGCAGGTAGTTGGAAAGGAAGGTGATGGATGGCACGTCCAACATGTTGGACGGTTCGTCGAGAAGAAGGAGATCAGGCTCGCAGAAAAGCGCTCGGGCAAGCGCCAGACGCATCCTCCATCCACCTGAGAACGTCTTGGTCGCGTATTGCTGCCTCTCGGCAGAGAAACCGAGTCCAGCCAAGATACTGGCGGCGCGTGACTCAGCCTTGTCTGAGTCCATTTCGGCAAGTTTGCCTTGCACGTCTCCCAACTTGGTGTCGAGAGCCTCACGTTCCGTGTCGAGCTTGGCAGCATCAGCCGACGTGTCGGCGAGGGGCGCTCGCTGTGCCTCGATCTCGGCAAGCTTTGCCGTGAATTCCTATTTGTGTGAGTTGAGCTGCACTTTGCCCGCGCCCATGACACTTACATCTTGTTCCCGGAGTAGCACCTTCCGCCAGACGTCGGCATCGAGGACGGCCTGGATGGCTGGCGTATCATCACCCGTAATCTAGGAGAGGGTTAGCCTATTTTCCAAGGATGGTCTCGGGAGACTGACCTCTTGCTCAACATGCAGAATCGAAATATGTGTGGGGATCGGCACCTCACGTCGGGAAAGCGCCCTCAACAGTGTAGATTTACCGATACCGTTCTTACCCACCAGACCATATCGATGGCCATACGCGAGTGTGAGGGTTGTATCGGTCAAGATCCTCAAGCCACCAATTGAAACATCGATATTGTCCAAGGTGATGTCCTTGCTCTTGTTCGAGTTCGCCCCCAGCTGGAGCGGGTTGACAGCCATGTAGAACTCCTCGTAGTTTTCGGCGGACTCGGGCTGGTCCAGCAGTCTCGATGCCTCGTACTCGACTGTCTTGAACGTCTTCTTTTGCTGCTTGGCGGCAATCTTGCGTTCGGCTTTCTCGAGCTTTTTGCGGTCGACCTTGGACTCCACCTTGCGGCTGTTGGCTGATTCGAGATCGACACCGCCCGAAGCGACAGCTAGAGTCGATGACATGTTCCGTTGCGAGGACACTTGGATGGTCTGATCGAGCCGCTTCATTGTCGAGGGGCCGCGGCGCTCTCCGCCGTTGGCTTCGGTGTACTTGTCCACCCATTTCTTGACGAGTTCTGTAATCTTCTGCTCTAATTGAGGGTCGGGCTCCCCTGATGCCGACAGTAAGATCTCGCGGATGGCAATTCCCGCTTCATCCAGAGGTGAGGAGGCGCTTGTGTCCTCTTCATCGGTCCACAGCGTCGATGCATGGTTGAGGTAGCCAACTGAGTACTCCGAGACGACGGGGTCGATGTTGGGGATGACGGCTTTGATATCGGCATCCATACTTTCTTGCGTGCCGTCGAGTAGTTCCGAGGCCGACGATGTGTTGATGCTTTCTCGCTATGTCGAGGTCGCTGACTCTGATGCGGATGGTCTAGCAAACGGCGCCATCGTTCGGTTTTGCCCCGCGGTGGTCAAGTGAAGTTGGAATTTAAATGGGGCTCCCGGAAATCAGTCCGGGATTCGTCGCGTCGCCGACTTACCCTACAGTGCTGTGCTGGCGAACACCGTTTGCTTGTTGTGTCCATCAATGAAGCAGACAGCTCATAAAACATGAATGCTTGGATGCTCTGCTTGAATGATCGACATAAGGAATCAATTTTGTGTGCCGTGGCTGTAATTTCGTATTATCCTAGCAACGGACTATGACTAAATCACATTGTTTAGAGATTGTCACTCCACGAGAAACGTCTGCTCGCGCCTAAATTGTAAAAGATGAAGTATATCTCAGCATACAGCACAACTGTATAAGCCACTGCAGTACGAGTTCATGATACTGTTATTTGATTCGAAACATAACTGTCGAGAGTTGAGGGTTGTCCCTATTTACACGTAGTTAGCGTCTACATGCAGCCTGGGCGCTATCAAGCGTCCACTCACCAAGTCAAAAAAGAGTACCGGGTAGTTTTATTAGGTCCTGGAATCGTGGTAAAGCAGCGGCAACCGCCAGCTCTCATAATCGATCAAGTGTTAGTCAATACTTCTCGCCCATTTACGTCAAGGAAAAACACAAACGCACAAATGAAAATATTCTTATCAATTTTAATGCTCTGCCGTTGTTCATCACACCTGCAGTCGAGGGGATAAAGCGAACCATGTAGATCTCAGCTCGAGATGGACTGATTTGTGACCAATCGCATGGTACAACATCTCTAAATAATTGAACAGAGATCGCGTCTCGCGTCTGCGCATTGACAGCCCGCCGCTCATCACGGTGCGATTTTTTTCACAGCAAAGAAATGTCATCGGTCAGCCCGAGCCAATGATGCAACTCAATTCTGAATGAAGGTTGGCCCTTGGGTAACCGCACTCCGGAGATTGGGGGGGCAAACGGCCGCATGTGTACAACACGGCAGCTGAAAGCAGCTAAATCGGGGTTGAGTGGCCACTACTCAGCTCGGCCACAACATCTCAATCGACCACTAGGCCACCTAGTGATATCCAAAGAGCCCCCGGTGGAGATGGCACCACTTTCCTTTCCTCACCTTTGCAGACGGCGTAGAGGCCGTGGCATACACCATCAATGCTCATCAAACTCAGATTCGGGGACAGTTGACTTCGAGGGAGCCCCAGTCTTGGACGCTGCTTGTCTCGCAGCCGACGGGACCACGCGAGCAGTCCCAAGATAGTCTGAGTTGATAAGAGAGACACACAATATGAGATCATCTTGGACTCGACAAGATTCCGAAAGTGAGCTTTGTCAAGGGCCATTCTTCCCGCCCGGCGGCCGAACACGAAGTCGGAAGTACCCTGCCTAGCCTGCTGCCTGTCTTGGCCTGCCTCCCAACGTTACGAAATCCGGTTTCCCGACGGACTCGGCTTCTACTAGCCTTCTTGGAAGCATTAGAAAGTTCCCATTTATTATGTATAATAAAGTACCTGACGTAGGTACCTCAGTTGAGGGGTAGCTAAGCCATTGGACGTCCGGAGTGTAGGGCCCGACCATCATGAAGACTGCGAGTGGGCATGAACGCGGCTCGGCTGGTCTTAGTGTTTTATTTGTTGACATCCAGACATCAGAGCCCAGCATGAAGAGGGGTGGAGAAGTTGGCTTCCGTCCACCTGGTTCAGCCTTAACTAAAGAGAGATGCACTTATCTCACTCCGCAGCCCGCAGAGGCAGTAAGCAGGCGAGGTACATCAGCGGAGACCGCCATAGGAAGGCTGCTCCGTCGCAAGCATGCAACATGAGGCTGCTGATGACTATCGGTGAGGCGTGTCTTCCTCCAAGCTGGAATCATAACACTTGTGCAGGTGTAGCTTGATTGAGACGAGGAACATGATGAAACGTTGAAGCCTTCACGGCTCTGGTATTTTCCATGTTCCCTTTCAGGTATGGGCGGCGAACATCACAGAGCTGAGCACCTGCAGCTGAGCACAATGCGTCCCCACGCAAGGTGAGCATGGCTGCAGGTGTCATACGTCTGGTGAAGCACGGTGGCTATCCCGGACGTGCACAACATGCTACGAACAGGTGCCCGGGTGACGATTGGCAGGGTGCCTGCTCTGTAACACGTTGGCACTTGGACGTTTGTTTTTCCTGGATTCTCAATATTAGCAAGGCTCACCGCTGAACCCTGGTGTTTGCTGCGACGCGACCACAGGGCCTTGTGTTCTTGAGAGAAAGCCTTCTTCTCATGGATGGTAGCATCGCGCGTCACAGAGCAGATCTCGAGGCCCTCGGGTCGGACGAATCGTGCCACGGACCGTAATTACTGGCAGCAGGCAAGCGTTGTTAGAAGCGTTGTGTTATGCCTACCTAATGATGAGTGAATGCAAATAAACAGCCATTCTCCTCTTCACAAGGACTGGAGTCCCCTGTCGAGACTGAAGCTAGGCGAACTTTATGGCCAGGCCGGCCGCCGGCGTCACAAGTGAAGCAACAAGCGCTGGGTGGATGCACGGATAGGCCCAAGCGCACTGGATCGGTTGGCAAGCCATAATCAGGACTGCTGATCGTCGGAAGTTGGTGCGGCGCTGTGACTGCGGCTGCTGCAATGTCCGGATCGCGATGGATGGAAGTAACACCAGCAAGGTACCAATTATTATTAATTACTGTGGGAAGTCTTCAATGCAAGACATCAGTGAAGCACGGAACCATGATGAAGATGTCGCCGCTGGATTGGCAGTCCATGTCGCCTTGGCCTGCTTGCTGCATACGGCTACGTATGTGCCTTCCTTGATTGAGGCCAATCAAACAGGGCAGCTGCTCGATGGAACGGCGGGGGAACACCGCTAGGGCACCTGAGGGATCTGTAAATCGGAGCCCACAGGCGCTGGAGGATGCCCTTACAGCAGGCTGTGGCGCTAAGCTGAAGCAGACCCATCGCCATATGCGCCTATAGTGCACCCGTAATTTGACCTGCTTCCGGGCGTCATCCCTGCAGAGTCGGCTGGGGTCCATTGGATCTTGAAGTCGCCCAAAATCTCAGTTCGCAATCTCTCGCAACGTAACGACGCACGAGGTAACGCGGTACGTTCGTTCGTTCGTTCTGTTCTGTTTCCTCGAGCCGCGTGCTGCCTCCATCGCGCGCTGCTTTCCCTCCCCGAGCCCTTGATCTTGCATTTTCTTTGTCAATTCTGACCGAGCAAGCCCGACACTGATTGAGGAGCCGAGTGCCATCCAAGCGTTCACGTCCCTCCACAGTCCCCTCCAGTCAGTCGTCTTTCGTCGCTTGTCGCCCTACCGCGGTTTTCTACGAGGCCACCCACGTTGGTTGCGGAACATCCAAACACACTGGCTTCTCGAGGGTTGACAATGTATCCTCCGTCAGTCCCAAGCATCACCGTCGACTTTTCTTAGGATGCTTGCTTGTGGGGTATCTATCAGCTTGTAGAGACCCTCAGCAACGATGCAGACCATTCCCAGTGTAAGTTGAATCTAGCACAAGATCCCCAACTTCCACCGTCAACATACGCTGACATGATCAACTCTAGCTGGTGGGAACTGGTACTGCCATAGCTGCTGCGGCCTCCGGTTTGGTATTTGGCGAATCACTCGATCACGACGTCGGCGCCCACGCTCGAGACGCGACGTACTCTTCGCATGGCCCTGTTTACGTGACGGAAGAGCCTCGACAATACGCGCGACCCAGCATACTTCCCTCGTCCAGGCCTGGCACCAGCTCTTTCAGCCCACCTACCGTGCTTGCCTCAGATAAGAAAGAAGTCTCGAGACCACCTCTCTCCCGTTATCAGCGGCCGAGAACGTCCCAGTTGACCTCACCGCGATTGCCCGGCAGGCGCCCCTCGAGAACGAGCCCGGCGGAACCAAGACCCTTTGACACAGTCGCAGAAACACCAAGGAACTCTATCTCGTCCACCAACTCATGGCTAAAGAGGCTCTCCGGCCGACCCCTCTCTCAACACGGGAGTCTGCGCTCCAGTGTTGAGCCCGACTCAACGTCAATCGCCACTTTCTCCCAGGGGTCCAGCGCGCCTATTCTATCGCCCAGGACCGCGACAGCCCGCTCTTCGGCACCAAACAAGCTCGTCAAGCGAACGCCAGGTGCGCCTGGCGATGTCCAGCCTTCTCGTCCAAGGTCCAATTCCTACCTCCCGGTGCTCAGAAGACCGGCCACGTCACACCAGCGGACAGCTACGCTGCAGCTGCAGCATCAGTCGAGTCCGACTGTGCCAGCTGAGTCGTCTCGGGGCTCTGTAGATCAACCACAAGCCCATGAACTTCTTCCTTCGCCCTTTGAGCGACAGCCCTCTACCCGAACAAAGTCTGGGTGGACATCGTTCTTCCATTCTCGCTCCTCGAGCAACAGTGGGAAAAGCATTGGTCGAATTGCAGACATTAGCTCGCCATCACGCAACGACACTGTCAGGCGTCTAAGTGTCTATAGAGGCGATCATCACCAGAGGCCGCACCTAGTCAAACCGGACATGGTCTCTCCGACACCAGACACACCCACGGCGGCTTCGATGGCCGGCCACATTGCTGAACAGCCGGGACAGATTGAGACCGATGCTTCTGAGAGCGCAGACAAAACACCTTCGAGACCATCTACACGGCGTTCACTATCCCGAACCCTCAGCTCGGCCGGGAACTGGGTCACCAGGACACCAGGAAGCTTGCGAAGGCCTACACGTGAATCGACACCGAAAGAAGCTGGTCTCCGACATGTGTCAGACCCTAGCCCGTCACAAGGCCGTATTGCAGATCGACGAGGCAATCCCGCCGAGGGATCACCTGCGGCCCCCAGCTTCGATGCCACGCAACCGGGGCCGAAGCCAGGTTCGGCTGCCAAGTCGAATTCGCCGGCACTCAGAAGAAACGTTTCTTCACCATTGCCCCCGCTTTCAGGCGTCTCGAGTTTTCATGGCGATTTCTCGAGGACAGCATCGGGCGGGGCGTTTAGGGTACAAGGCTTGCGCCAAATTCAGCCTTCGGGAAGCTCTACTAGCTCGACTGCCTTGTCACAACATCGAGGTCAGCAGCATGAGCTCACTTCAACCATGTATGGTTCCGAGGGCGATACCCGCGATTTCAACTCGGTGGATGACGACGACACTGATTTCAAGAGCGACACCATGTACGACTCATTGCGAACTGGAGGGTCGGGCCGCTTGCACGCTGTTGAGACACCACTTGGGTCTATGTATGATGAGTCACCTCCTAGTACGGCCGGCAATGGCAAGGCCAAACGGCTATCCATACAAGAGATACTCGGGAAAGACTGGGAGGCCAGTAGTAAGATCTCCGAAGAAGATGAGAACACACAGACCCCAGTTCGTGACAGGAAGGCGGCAACGCACCTGGACGCTGAATATGGGTTTGCTGGCAAGGACCACGGCCGATTCTCCATTGACGAAGACTTCGACGAGGACTGGACCAGGGATATGGAAGACACGCCTTACAATGCTCTGTCACCGCCTTCAAAGGGGAGTTCGGTCAATCTGACGGCCGTCAACCCGCATGTGCGACTTGCTCTGGCCAACGTTTGCGGCAACAGTGTGCGCGAGGCCTTGGGGGGAGATCGCAAAGCTGAGAGGCCTTTGAGTAACATATTTGACTGGAGCGAGCCGCCTGCGCACGACAAGGTCGATGCCACAGGCCATGGCTTACGACCGCAAACCGCGTACGCCATTCAGGACGTGGACGCTAGAGGCGGGCGGTCAGCCATTCGGAAGGGACCGACACCAACACACGTCCGCAGCCAGAGCGTTCCTGTTGTGCAGGAAGCCGCTGATGAGACCAACGCCGCAGCTGGCTCCAAGTATGGAACCTGGGGTCTTGGTACGAAAACCATCAGCGAGGACTGGGACGATGATTTTGAGTTCGGCGGCGAAGACGAGACTAATGACACGGACATTGAGGATAGGTTCGCAGTACCCGAGTCGATACAAGCAGCCCAGCCAAGCGTCAAAGCGCACTCTGGACAGATTCGCGAGCTCTCTCTGCTCGTCAACGATCTGCAACGACTATGCCGCCACGGCAAGGAGATGGACCTCCTGGCCGGCCCGCAGAAGAGTTTGTGGAAGGAGGCAGAAGGCATCATTGCCCTTGCGTCGCCTGATGACGACGACATGGCTCCCGACTACGACACTTCATCATCGATTGAGCTGGATTTCGACGCCGAGGACCAATTCTCCGACGATGAATTCGAGCCCTCATCCTTGGAAAAGCTCGATGCTGCGCTGACGGGACGGGAACCAATCATGTCGAAGACAGCCGTTGTCCGAGACCGCCCGTCTCCTCGTCGGCGGTCTGTATTTTCCCCTGATGATGATATCTTCGGCGCTCAGTGGCCTTTGACCGAAGACAACCTGCAAGCCGCACGTGCGAACCGGCCGAGGACACCGGAATCACGCTTGATCAAGTCCACGGATGTCAACGGAGTAGTGAAGTCCGTGGTCGAAGTCATGCAGCAGCAGCAGCAGTCCGTTGCCAACCCACCTCAGGCCAACGGCATTGCTCACAGGAAGATGCATTTCGACACCAACAGCTTGAAGGTCCTGGTCAAACGGGCTGGCGACCTGAGAGATATTCTCTCTGACAGTATCCGCCAGGTAGACCAGATCACACACAGCCCGGCACGAACGCCTCGTCATCAGCGGCAGCTTGAGTCGAGCCCTGCCTTTGTCAAGGTTTTCGATGATCCTGCCTCGAGTCCGCCGAGGCGAACTGTCCGCAGCCGAACCAACACGGCGATGAGGGACGACACTTCACCAGACGCATCACCATCCACTGGCGTCACTCGTCGGCTGCAGCTGATGACTGTGCAATAAGCCAGCCAGGCCAACCTAGCCATTGTGGATTTGGCGTGAGGATCAGTGTATAACACTTTTGTGTGTTGTCAAAGTTTTTTCGTTTGTTTGCATAGCGACGGTTTCCTTTTTCTGTTTATTTCTACAGCAACAAAAAGACGGACGACGTTATGGCTCAGTCCGCTAGAGGCAAGGGTACGATCACGAGTGTTCTCGTCTAATCAGCTGAGGAGGACTTGGACGGGATTTTTTTAACGTTAGACTCAGTTTCGTCACGAGTGACAATGAAACACGACGACGGGTATCAGGGAATGGATGGTACATGGCACATGGAGGAAACGAACTCATGTAGCATCGGCGTATAGTGGATTTGTCTTTCCCCTTTCCTTGTCACGAATGCATGGATAGAATTTATGACCAAGAAGAAAAAACGGGTTTCTACGTCTATTAGAAGTGATGTGGTGTACATATACTGGGATAGTCGACTATAGACATTCCCTCTGTGCTTTTTCAACGAGACCAATACACAAACCCATTTTCAAAGAGGGTGGTGATACAATTGTCTGTCATCTTATGCTGCTCCTATATTAACCACCCACGTGTCATCTCCCCTGAGCACCCGATTGACGTCCACAATCCTTGATTGCTGAAGTGTGCCATGGGCGCCTTGGCCATTGCGGGCCGGCGGTGACTCGACTGCGGTTGCAGAACGTACTCCTCTTCAAGCGAGGGCAATGCCTGCGGCAGCCAAAGTCCATCTGACGAAGCCTTAGCTGCCTGTGGTTGAGAAAACCTGCGCCATAGCTTTGCACGCTGGGCGTGCGATGGCTGACTGTGGTTGGACTTGGTAATGTGACGGGCCATCCAGTCAGGTCTGGCGACCTGCTGTTGGGGACGCCAAAGTGTGCGGGTTGCCTGATCGTCGAAGTCTTCCATAGGCGCATGGGTCATTGCGGGCCGGCGACGATTTGACCGCGGCTGCAGAGTGTACACCTCTTCCTGCGAAGGCAATACGTGCGGTAGCCAGAGTCTATCCGATGGCAGCTTGGCTGGTTGATCAACCCTGCTCCACAGCTTTGACAAGAGGGCCTGTTCGGGCTGGCTGTAGTTGAATTTGGCAGTGTGACGGGCCATCCAGTCAGGTCTGGTGGTGGCCTTCTGCTGCTCGGGAAGCCAAAGCGTGCATGATGCCTGCTCGCTGAAGGTTTCCATAGGCGTATGGGTCCTTACGGGTCGGTGACTCGAGCGTGGCTGTAGAGTATACTTGTCTTCAAGCGGAGGCAATGCGTGTCGTAGCCACAGTTCATCTGACGACGGCGTGGCTGGTTGATTAATCTTCCTCCACAGCTTTGATACCGAGGCCGGTTCGGGCTGGGTATGGTTAGGTTTGGCAATGTGACGGACCATCCAGTCAGGTCTCCTTGTGACCTTCTGCTTCTCAGGAAGCCAAAGCGTACTGAATACCTGATCGCTGGAAAGTGCCAAGGACGCCTGGACCATTGCGGGCCGGCGACTCGAACGCGGTTGCAGAGTGTACTCCTCTTCATGCGAAGGCAATGCGTGCGCCAGCCACAGCCCATCTGACAACGACTTGGCTGGTCGATCAACTCTACTCCAGAGCTTTGACGACGGGGTCTTGGATTTGGCAGTGTGGCGGACGATCCAGTCAGGCCTGTTGACCTTCTCCTGCTCAGGACGCCAAAGCGTGCATGGTGCCTGATCGCTGAGAAGTTCTAAGGGCGCCCGCGTCACTGTGGGCCGACGATTCGACCGAGGCTGAAGTGTATACTCCTCTTCAGGCGGAGGAAAAGCGTGCGGTAGCCAGAGTCCGTCTGACGCGGACTTGAGCTTGGCTAATTGACCAACCCTTCTCCATAGCTTTGACGGTGGGGTGTTGGGTTTGGCAGTGTGGCGGACGATCCAGTCAGGACTGGAGACCCTGTCCTGCTCGAGAAGCCAGAGCGCGCACGTCGATATCTGAGGCAGGGTCGCGGGGGTTGTGCGCTTGTGTCGCCGGGTTGCGTGCGAGCTCGTTAGTGGCAGTGATACTGGCAACGTTGAGGACAGGGCCAGGATGCCTTGGGAAGGGAATGGGGGAAGAGACAGAGGAGAGACCCAGAGTGAGGCAATTTGAGCTACTGGTGTCTGCGGCTGTGTAGATAGCGGCAAAGACCATAAAGCCCTGGGTGTCTGGATGAGATGATCCGATGTGGGTTGTCCTTCAGTTTGAAAGGATGCCTCGGAAGCAGAGTCGATCCAGCAAGAGGGAGATGGCACCCGAGATCCGTCAGGAGAAGTCCATAGTGTAGGCTGGTCTGGAACCTGCTGCTCATTGTCATGTCGAGGCATCCATAGACAGCCATGAACATCATCAGACAGACTTTCTCTCTCCACTCTCCGGCGAGCCACTGTCTGAACGGTGGCAGAGTCAACATAAGACTGCCAAGCCCCTTGATCAGGCTGGTCAAGCCCAACCTGTTTCTTAACCACTTTAAAAAGATGGGAAGCAGGCTGCCACAGCTCGGCCTTGGCGGTTGGAGCGACCATCTGTTCCGAGATAGCTTCGTCTATCGCGCCCTGCACGTGAGCATTGCTTTCAAGGGCTTCTCGAGGCCACTGGCTTGGTAGCTGCACCCCGCTGGGGACCAAATGGAACTCCTCGCTCTTCAACATGCCAGCAATCTCCCAGAGCATCTCCTGGTCGACTTCATCATCGTCGCTGCCAAAGCCATCATAGTCATCCATGTCCTCAAAGTTGTCGCCGTAGTCTTCCTCATCGCACTCTTCAAAGAACGTCCTCTGTGCGTCGTCCTGAGGGGCAGCAGTGGGGAAATCAAACACACGCTCCAGGCCAGTGCTCATCGTACCGGGAATGGCGTTCTGATACAGGGCAGGGTAGGCGCTGTCAGATGTTTCGCCCCAGGGGAAGCTGAACAGACCGAGCGTGTGACGCACGGGGTGTAGTCTGGGTGACTCGACAATGTCCGGCAGAGCTGAGATGCGCTTTGACTTGCGAATAGGCTTGACAGCCAAGCTCGGCCGACTCGGCAGAGAGGCGGATCTTTTCAAAGGAGCCAAGGCTGGAATTGAGGTTGTGGCTGCTGCAGAAGGTGAAGTGGTGCTAGCAGCAGGCGAAGTTGGCTTCCACAGCCCACCGCGACGGATCGGTGTGTACTTTTTGCCCTTGGTCCAAAGCTGCTGACTATCGATTTCCAATGGTGGCTCCCTATACCTGCGGGTAGGCCTTTCTGTTGACACTGGGAGGGTTTTGGGCAGCACGAGGGATCGGTCTTGACTCGGCGACCACAAACAAGCAGTGTATTTGAACATGTGAGGCGACGCTGCTTCAGCTCTCCACAGAGAGACGGCCGGCCGACGCGCCAACTGCACAGCCTCTGCCAGCATTACGGGAATCTCATCGCCCATGTCCGAATCTGTATCCGGAGGTGTAGGACTGCCCAGCTGTAGAGGCGACAAGGCGAGATGGCTCATCCGGCTCCCCGGGACGGCGAGCCTGCGCAACGGTTCTGGCGAGGCCGACCTGGCGCTCAGACAAGTATCGACTGTCAGATGAGAGTTGCGATCCCGTCTTACCTTTGCCCATAGCGAGGCAACCTCCTTGGTTCGCTGAGGAGACACGCTCACTGTAGACAAGGAGTCACGGATAATGGTGTGGCGCATGGCCTGCCATTGCGTTTCCTGCCCATCGATTTCTTGCTCCAGTTCCGCCAGCAGTGTCATGCGCTGCATCTGGCCCACAGAAGATACCCGGCTCGATCTTTCTAGCTTTTGCAGTTGCGCCTCGATTTCGCGCAACGCGTGATCGGGCGATTCCAGCGGCGACGGCTCGGTCTCCACCACGACCCCATTGACGGACCTATACAGAGGCAAGGGTTCTGGTGGAGGTTGACGACGGGAGAAGGCGGGACGGTTAGAGAACGTCGGGCAGGGTGCGCCCAGACGACGCCACATGTCGTTGTCCAGCATGGTCTTCGAAGCTGTCATTTTGGCGGGCGACTCTGGAGGCGAGAAGTCGTGCTGCCTAGAGGTGATAGGCGGCGAAAACTGGCCGAGAAAAGGGGACTCGGCTACCCCCGTGTCGAATGAACTCGTTTCGCTGAGCTCTTCGTCTGGGGTCGCTGTTCCACGAAGGGACGGGACAGGAGACGTCTCGAGGGCCACAATTTCCAATGTATTGGTAGCCGGCGGTTCCTCGATTCGCGCGTCCTGCTCACTGGGCCCAGTCAAGTCGGTCTTGCCCAGGAGACTGTTCGTTTCCACAGTTGACATGCTTGACCTAGCTGACGGGACGGTGGTGGGCACGTTCGCTGTGAGACTTCGGGACCTTCTCCTACCCATTACCGCCCTACCGAGTCTTTCATCCACTGTCGCACTTTTGGCGTGACCCAAGAGGCCATTGAAAAGAGGACTCTTGCTGATGGGAATGGGCGGTAAAGGCGGTAACGAGCTTGGATCGCCGGCCGTCTTTTGGAAAAGGCTTGATTCGCGTGTCAGTACAGATCCACAGGATTGAGAGCGGCCATGAGCGTGCAAAAAGTGTGCCGCCTCGGGCGTGCGTGTCACTGGCCGTGGCCTGTCCAAGACGGACCCCCGGATGGGTGACGATTTGCGGGAAACTATCGAGGTCGTCATGATCGAATCGCGGTATTCAACATCGTCAAGCAGCATGACTGTCTGAGTTGTGAAAGTTCCATCAGTATGTGGCAGAGCTTCCAGACCTTTGTAGGTGACTGGCTTGCCAGGAGCCAAAGAGACGTCCATGGTAGTAGGCGAGTCTTGTCTCGGCGAAATGGCCCTTTTCGTAGGCGGTGGTGGGAAGAGCGAGAGCCTTGGTGAACTGCGAGTTTCGACAATGGCTGGCGGTGCTACAAAAGCCTCCAGTGCGGGTGTCTTTGGTGATCCATGAGCTTGGTAGTCGATCTGGTAGGGAGGCGGTGCTTCAGACCGCCCTTGTTGGGCGAAGGCATAGCTGTCTTTGTTGTTGTTGGACACGGGCGGGAGACGAGACGACGTATCGATTTTCAGGTCCTCGGATAGAGATGCTCTAGATTGTCTCGGCCGTGACCGCTGCCTTTCGCTGGGTGCCGTGGGCATGGCAATGGCTTTGGCAGCTGGACTCGTCCATGGCTGCTGCTGCTGCCGCAGAGGCGAGCGCGGCGGTACAACGGGCGTTTCGCCATTGGGAACGGCGAGCAGATCCCACACATCGGCTTTTCCAGCGCCTAGAGTCCCGCGTGTCTTAAGAGGCGCAATTCGGGTTTGTTGAAAGGCTATGTGCTGTGTCAGGCGTGGAGAACGTCGTCGAAGGTCGTCCAGGCCCGGTGATGGCTGCGCAGACGAAGTTACGGCCGATTCGACTACCTGGTCGAGATGTGTTCGGGTGGCGGATGGCACACCGGAGCCTCGAGTTCGTGAGGTCCATTGCTCGGCAGTCGCCGCTGAAGATGAAGCACCAGATGGCTGTGATCTGAGTGGTCGAGTGTGTACTGCCCGACGCTCCTGGTCCTGTCTCGCTGCGGTCATCAGATCAACCGTGGCGACCTTGTCCAGCGGATTCGGACTATCTTCCCGAAGAACAGGACCAGATATCAAATGACCCGACGTCTTCGCGTTTTTCGTCCTTTGGTGACCATCTCGAGACCTGGGCGAACCTTGAGGTTGGTTGTACCTCGAATCGACAGGATTACCGGATCTTGTGGGAGGAAACAGCTGCCCGGCGACAGGCAAGCCACCGATTCCTGTCTCGACCTGCCCTGGGACTGGGCCGTTGATGCCCGGCAACGCCTTGTTGCGATTGGGTGGCTTGTTGAGAGCAGTGACTCTGACGGACTGTGTTTCGCGCTTGGAGACTTTGCTGTCTCGCGGGGCGACCGACATCTGCAGGCTGGGCCGGTTTGCCATGTCGCGGACGAGAGCGGACATGCGATACTGGCGCGTGTCGTTGAGATTCGGATAGAGCTTTCCCTCCTCATCGGAATTGGCGAGAAGCTGGGACCTGGCCAACATCGTCATAGCTTTCTTGGTCAGTCGGCAAATCCCAACGAATCGAAGACACTCACAGATTAGAACGATAAGTCCGATACAAGGCAGCACCGTGCGTAGGAGCAGATCGAGAGATCTTATCCCCAGCAGCATCGGCCCGCTCAGAACTGTCCAAAAGGCAGCAGCCGCCACGCCGAGCACGAGCACTTTGGCGCGATCTGCATTCACCTGCAGACACCCATTGCCATTGGAGCTTCCCGTGCGGAATGTGATAAGAAGTATCGAGAGAACGATGGCGTCGACGCCCAGGATCGATGCGCCCAAAGGTAGCACGCGTGTCGAAGAGAAGCACACGGGTGCAAACTGGGGCCTCTGGAAGCCAACGTACACGCTCCCCAGCACGAAGCGCAACACAACAAGAGCCTGCGGTATGAACTTCGTCCAAGATCGTTTGGAGCCTCCTGTCATCGCCCAGAGAAGAAACTGCACAAAGGCGGTGCGGGCGATTTGATCAAAGGCTGTGGTGAAAACAATGGCGACTTGGCAGCCGGACGGAGTGTCGATGGCGAGGCCAATGAAGGCAATTAGAGCCCAGAGGGCGGCAGAGATAAGAAAAGTTGTGAGGACCAGCCTCTGGCTATCGTGAAAGAGCGAAGAAGCGGAAGTACGAAGGAAGACGACGGCAGCAGCCGCTGCGCCGTTTGTGATAATGCCACTATTTAAACTGTTAGCTCACGGCCTCTTGCGCTAGGCAATACCTATTCATTACAAGGAAAATGCCGAGATGATAGGCTGGACGGCGTGGCTGACAGTCATGGCCGCAGCGCGCCTCTGCTCGGGCGCAAAAAAAGGGACCAAGTGAGAGAACGAAAGTAAACAAGCCCAGTCAATGGGACACGGCATGAAGAGAAAGGCACCGAGAGAGCGAAGACATGGCGCGTCAAATGACGACGATACCAGATGCTGGGCTGCGCAAAAAGAAGGACATGTCAAAGGGAGAATGAAGCCATCGTGGACAAGTCCCCAGCGTCGACTATCCACCCAGCGTTACGGAGTAGGCGTGACAGGAAGTCGTCCAGAATCTGGCTTGGCGACCAGGGGCGAGTATCCGACTAAGGACTTTGCGCTGAGGATGAAACTTGGTGCGTCGGAGGCAGGGTTAAGGGGTTCACCACGCTCGATGTGCTGCGGTCAAGCGCATCCTGAGACGTCATGGCCGGTTTGAGGCTCCGCATAAAGCTGGTAGTGTAGCAGCAAATGGCTCACTGGGACGGTCCGCTTGCTTGTTAGGTTTGGATGCTTCGAGACAAGGTATGTTGACGTTGAAGATGCATCTTCAAGGCGAAGCAGACTCTGCGGGCTGCGCGTTGCATACTGCGCGATTGAGCGGGTAAGCCAAAGAGCGACGTAACGCATCGACCCTGACTGCATTTGACTCGCTCTCAGTTGCAGCGATAAAGTGAACAATGCCAGTTTGAACGCTGGATCAAATGGTTGAGTCACGCAGACCGGAGGATGACGGGAGTGCAGAGTGAAGATGTGGTGATCTGCGTCATCAATTGCGACTGTAACGAACTTAACTAACTTATGGCAAAGTCCGGTCCGGTTACCCTGTACTACCTACGTTGCCAGAGACCGGCAGACTCACCGGTCTTGAGCATCCTCCTTGCATCAATGTGAGTCAACAATGGTTTACCTCCGGTGACTTGGAAGCACTAAAGCACATTGCTTGTCAATCAAAACTTACTTGTATCATCATGCTGCATGCATGACCGGCAGCTCGGCTGCGGACCGCATCCGAAATATTCAATGCTACCATCTTTCGTGCTGTGTCACCAAATGATCACCGAACCAAGCACCACAAACTTTTTTCCCATGTTCTTGTTGTGGAAACTCCGTCCGTCTGACTCTTATCATACATGCCGCTACCCCGCTGACCGATGAACATGAAGGTTGGTCCAATGACCTGGTTGGGGATTGTCAGACGGCCAGTAGCTTCGTGTAAATCCTACAGCCGCTTCTCGGAAGATGGAACGTCAGAATACATACATAAAGCACCTTTCTGCCCAGGGGGTCGCCTAAAAACAAGCTCCAAAAGACAACGAGATAGTAGAAACAGTCACAATGGGTCGCCACGAGCTCGAGTATCCCAAGGATGCAACCAACACGGTCAAACGCCATGATGAGCGAGGTATGACTAGACTCCCGCCCTCTCTCCCCCGAACATCTCCAATGGTGGAAGGAAACACTAACAAAAATCTAGGCATCTATGCCCTACGCACTATCCATGAACTTATCAATGCCTCTCTCATCTTGCACATCTCCTTCAACACGGAGGGCTCGCCCTTCCCCACGACCCTCCCCATGCTAGGACAGATGGGTTCTTTCGCCCGTCCATCCTCCTCGACGGGAGATCCACTCGATCTCTATGTGCACGGCTATGTCTCCTCCCGGCTCATGAGCTTGGGCAGGAAGCACAGCGACCAAGACGGACAGAAGACCGAGACAGGACTGCCCGTCTGTGTCGCAGCCAGCCACGTCGACGGCCTCGTTCTCGCCCTGTCCTCATTCTCCCACTCATACAACTACCGCTCCGCCATTCTCTTTGGCTACGCAACTCTCGTCACCGACGTGGAGGAGAAGAACTACGCCCTGGAGCAGATCACCAATGGCATCGTGCACGACCGCTGGAGCCACACCCGTCTTCCCCTCACTAACGCCGAGTTGCAGTCGACCTCTGTGCTGCGGATCCGCATTGTCAGCGGGAGTGCCAAGATCAGGACAGGCAATGCAAAAGACGACAGAGATGACTTGCAGAACGACGAGCTGAGAGATGGCAATTGGACGGGGGTCCTGCCCGTCTACTCGAGCATTGGAACACCCGTGGACAGTGATTATAACAAGGTCGAGGTGCCCGCGCACGTGTCCGAATTTATCGAGGAATTTAATAGGGAAAGTAGGGAGTATTGCGTGGAGGCAATCAAAAAGAAGTAGCTTGAGCTGTTGTGGCATACCTGGGGTGAACCATGACAGGAGCCTCGACTCGAGCGGGCGGAGAGAAGAGGCCTTTTATACCTGAGTATTGCTATGTATTATTCTTGAATCTACGGACGTAAGGTTAAAAAGAGGCTACCTGTAGATTGAGCCTGGTGCGATGTCGGGATCTTTTGTAAACTGCACATCGTACGCGAGCGATCACCCTCGAGGAAAGCACAGCGCCCCTGGAGGGTGTCTCAATCTCACGTAACATGCATACTTTTTGTGAGTATCAATATTTTGAAGAGAATGCATGTATTTGAAAGACGTATTGTTCCGTACGGGGAATCCTTCCGAACGTAGGAGGACAATTACTCTATCCCTTGCCCTCGAGCCATCTGAGCCCGGGTGTACGTTCGAAAAATCGGCTATTGGATGCCTAGTTCTTGCTGCAGTCTGCTCACTCATTTGTATTGAAGTCTCGACCCTCTCATTCACTATTGCTATCCGTCAGTCTTTGCTTGTGTTTGTTCTAGTCACGGCTTCAGCACCAGACTGCCATTATGTGCAGCCAACCTCCTTGGAGGCCAAGCGCACAATATCACCTATCCTGCTATCGATCATCGACGTGTGAGAGAGGGGAAGCCGCTTTTCGACCTTGACAAAGCGTTTCTCTTTTGACAAAGCTCACAACTGAACCCGAGCACCCCCTTCTTCCAAGATTGAGGGGGTCGGGTTGAGAGTTGTGGAACCAGCTTCACAGTCACTGCAGTGGACCTCAGCGTTGTCGATCTTCGGGTCCTGGGATCGCTACAACAAGGAGACAAACGTATGTTATAGACCATGTGGTGAGCTCAGGAAGACAAGCTTGAACAAGACCATGTCATCACACAGTACCGTCCTTCTTCATGCCGTGCCACTTTGAGCAACAGTTTGGAAAACATGCTCCTCTGCATGACGTTCTCCGCAATGTCTTTATCTTGACCCGTTTCTTTCCATCGATTGCGGGTGAGCAAAGCAGTGTTGGTCTGCCTTCAAGCTTGCAGTCGCAATCAATGAATGACCTGGGCCACGGACATCCAGGCATCCTGATTCCTGGCAGCCTCGCTAGCCTCCCCGTCTTGGACTACTTGTAGGCGTCTGCCAGATATGAGGGTCAATTGGCAGTGTTTCGATGGCGACAGCGGCTGCTCAGTTCCTTTCTGAATTCTTTTGGCCAAGGATTCATAAAAAAGGTTCATGTTAAGGACATGGAGAAACCAGGAGCACCGAAACCTGAAACCGCAGGTAATTTGCCAAGCCTCGCTTCAGCCACAAACAACCAACCTTGAAGCACATCCACCGAGCTCAGCCACATCTTGCTGATGCCAGCGCGGTCTCATCAGCTCCGTGTTTCCCCTTTCATCCTTATCACTCCCCATATGCCCAATGCTGGTCATTGAGGACGGCGCGCTCTTCTCTCTGAAATCTTGACGGTCAGGTCTCACTCATCATGGCAAAAAAAGCATCGTCCACGGCTACGCCAGCGCCTGGCGCGCCGCAGGCTGCGGAGGAGTCTGTCACGCTCGCCCAAAAGTACACGACAGAACTCGAAGATCTGGCCGCGCAGGCACGCACAGACGGAGCCATGACGACCAGGCTCGCGCCCTATGTCAAGTGCTTTGCCGTTCTTTCGTTGCTGGGCGTCCTCTCCAATGCCTCGGTCCTCAGCTTGTCACCCGTGTACGGTGGCATCCCGTCCGGGATCTATCACACCAGGATCCTCATGGCCGGCTGCTTCGTTGGTTGGTCTGGCAACGTTGCGTTTCGGGACATCCTTCCGCGGAGCTTGAAGGCAGATCAGCTGTTGCCTGTGCTGGTGGCCTACGTGCCCCTGGTCCAGTTCATGCTGTTCAGGTTCAGTGACAAGCTGGGTGCTCTGTACGGGCCACTGCTCACCGAATGCCTGACGTTGTTTCCAGCGGCCGTCATGTCCGCAGCCTTCGTGGCCGATGAGCTAGAGGGGGCTGGTATTCCCTACCTCCCCTCGTTCATCGGGGATGCCGTGCCCGGTATCGGATCGTGGGGTGTGCTCAAGGGTGCCGAGGTGTTGAGCGGACAGGTCCTCAGTCGGAATGTGGGCAAGACGTTTGCGCTCACACGCATGGGACTAGAGGTCCTGCTCAGCGGTCTATACGCCGTGCTCTCCCCGTCCAAACTACTCCTTCTCACAGCCCCTGCGTTTTTGCACACGGCAGTCCTGAACACGCATGTCATGGCACCGAGCGCTACCCTCGCGCTCAACACGACGCTGCTGGATCAGCAATGGATGCTCCTAGACAGAAGGGAGTCAATCACTGGATACGTCTCTGTCATCGAGAGTCTGCAACGGGGGTTCAGGGTCATGCGCTGCGACCACAGCCTGCTGGGTGGACAATGGACTGTCGTGCAAGGCATTCAGGTCGCCGAGCCCATCTATGGCGTGTTCGCCATGCTCGAGGCCGTGAGACTGGTCGATATTGTGACGGTCAAGGATGAAGACGCCAGCGCACTCGTCGTGGGCTTGGGCATCGGGACGACCCCATCTGCTTTGGTGACACACGGTATCGACACGACGGTCGTGGAGATTGACCCCGTGGTCCATGAGTTTGCGGCCAAGTATTTCGATCTCAAGGAAAACAACCCGCCCGTCCTGGTCGACGCCGTAAGCCACACAGCTGGGCTGGTGGAGCAGGGCAAGACCTACGACTATATCATTCACGACGTGTTCACCGGCGGTGCGGAGCCCGTGGATCTCTTCACGTTGGAATTCCTCCAGGGCCTGAGTGACCTGCTGACACCAGACGGCGTCGTCGCCATTGTAAGTATTGCCCCCTTGTTGACAGCGTCGAGCATCGAGACTGACCCTAGAAGAACTACGCGGGTGACTTTAGCCTGCCTGCACCAAAGATCATAGTCAAGACCATCACCACCGTGTTCCCTACGTGTCGGATCTTCCGCGAGTCGCCAGCACCCATGGACCTCCCGCCTGGCCAGCCAGACTTCACCAACATGGTCATCTTCTGCCTGAAAGCACCGCATGACAAGCTCTCCTTCCGACCTGCCCGGATGGAAGACTTTCTGCAGAGCAGGTCCAGGCAGGCATTCCTCCAGCCGCAGCATGAGATCTTCCAATCGGACTTCCTCGGACCCGAGGACAAGGAAATCTTGAGGAAGAACGACACGGGCCGGATGGACGAGTGGCACAAGACCACCGCAGCAGGTCACTGGGATATTATGCGAACTGTCATGCCAGCGCACATCTGGGAGCTGTGGTAAGGTGGTAGTAATCTGAAAAAACCGTTCGGTCATATATACTATGATAGCTTCGATGACATTGAAGAAACAAAAGTATTGCACCGTTGCCAGCGACTAGACTGCTTGCTACCCCTCCCTCGCGCCGCGCCGCCCATGATATATCATCCGTACGTACCAGGAATTCGTGGCAATCATAAATAGGACCAGTCTATAATAACCCAGACAAAATTCAGGTCGCCTGCCAAGAACACGAAAACCAACATAATCCAAATGCGTGTCATGATTGCGCATGCAGTCCAGATCCGCATTCAACGTGCTGAAAAGAAAGTTGCTCGAAACGCCGGTCACCTCATGCGAGGGTAATCTTCCATCTCATCATCCTCGTCCTCCTCCTCGTCGCTGCTGTACCGGGTGCTCCTGGGACTCTGCACGCCGCTGACATCAGCGCTCGCCACGTTGCTGCCGTAGTTGTCGAGTATGCTCCCTGGGCCCGAGAACGAGGCCGGTCCCGAGGGGCCGCCAAAGTCGACCGCGCTGCCATTCCGGCTCATGGATGGCTTCTCGGGCAGCTGCTTGAGCAAGCCGGCCGAAATGTCCAGCATGCCCATGGCAAAGTCGGTCAGGCCCCTGCCCTCCCCGGGTTTCGAGCTCACGGACAGTGTCCACCTATACTCTGACAGACGCCGACGGTACCACTCCGCCTCCTCGCGCCCTGGTGACGTCGCCCAGAGTAGGGAGCCAAATGTGCCAATGAGCGCAAAGTTGGTCTTGGAGGCAAAGTACCAGAACGACCGCAGGTGCATGGGCCCCAGCCTGTTGACAAAGTCCATGGCGGAGATGAGGCGTGCCTTGGCTGCGCTGCGACAGATGTTCTGTACGTACGGGTCCGTCGTCGAGGCCGTTGCCGCCAGCGACCTGATGATGCGTCTGTGGAGTGTGATCTCGGTAGCAAAATACGCCAGGTGGAGGTATCCCACGCTGGTGAAGCGATGCGCCGTGGCGGCGAGCGACGAGTATCCAGACGACGAATCGATGCGGATGTTGTTGGGCAGGTTGCCGTACCATTCCTTTAGCTTGAGCTGGATGGGCTTCGCAAGAGACAGCACCAGAGGCGTACCCTGCGCACCGGCATCCGACACCGTCTGCATCGCGTTGAGCGTGTAGAAGGTGTCGAGGATTTCGGACAAAATATCCGACAGCTGAACAGCGCGTGTGAAGACGAGCCGCCCTCGCTCAATGTCTTGCTTCTCCTCCAAGTCGTTCTCGTCCCACTCCACATCCGGGAAGTCGTTGGACGTCAAGCTCTGCACGGCCCAGTTGGAGCTGAAGATGTGAGACGGTCGGCCATGGACCAATGCCCCCCATTTGTCCTGCATGTACAGCGCCCACGCAAGTCTCTTCCGCAGGCCCTTTTCCCACGGTGGTATCTTCCATCCTGAGCAGTCCAGATGTAGCCCGAGCTCGTGCGCAATCGCGACGAGCTGTGCGGTGGGTGCCCATTGGTCCCCCTCGGGTCGTTGCGACAGCAAAAGTCCCGCTTGCACTGTCGATAGCTTTGGTCTGTACACGGCATCCGCCAAGGTTGTGCGGATCAGCCTCTCCAGCTCCCTCACGTTGGGGCGCGGTATGTGGGCAAGGACATCATCGTGCTCCCACCAGTTGATGGCCAAGATGTAGACGGCGGCCAATATGGGTGGCGAGAACTCGCGGTACGAGCGCTCGTATTTCTCGAGAAAGACATGCTTCTGGATGATGGGGAATCCGGGGTGGACGATTCGGAAGTACAGATCGATCAGCCTGCGCCCGTGGGGCGCCACCAGGGTCTCAATATCGTCCAGGTCCTGGGTGAGATGCTCGTGCCCAGGTGTGCTATGGTCGGGCAGCATCAGAAAGGTGTCGTCGTCACTGACCTTGCGGAGCGTGCCGCGCGATAAGAGACTCTCGTCCTGGGGGTCGAATGACGAGAGATTGATGAGCGACGGTTCAAAGTCTGTGGTGGGGCCAATGTACTGGCTATACCGATCCGCCTGGAGACCCAGCGTCCTCTTGAGCATGGTCGGGCCACCGACATTGGCCATGTCCTCCAGAAAGGAGCTGCTGGCCGCAGTGCTGGACAGACTGGCGGCGTGGTTCCTTCGCCGGGTGGGCGTGCCTGGGGAACTGAAAGCCAATCATGTGTTAGTCAAGGGCCGTGTCTCACTGGGATGCAGATCAAGGAGATGGAGTAGTAATCAGACAGGCACGTGGATGATACACATGAACAAGGTGCGGCACGGGCCAGGCACGAGTAGAAGAGTTAGGCAGGAGTGAGACGAACCTTCTCTTGATGCTAATCTCTGACCTATGGCCGTTGAGCTTCCTCTTTCGGGTTTGCGGGCTGGACTGCGCGGACGACAGCAGCGAGCACTCGGCTGCATTCACCTGGCAGGAGATGCAGCCCTCGTCGTCCTCGCTGGGGATACACCGTGAGCTCGTCGACGCGCAGGCCCGGCAGGGCGGTAGCGACGCGGCGCCGCCGTGGCTGGGGTTGGCAGGCGCAGACACGGAGACAGCGTCCCTACCCTGGAGGCTCGGTGGCCCTATCTCAAAGCGACGGAAGCTGTTGGGGTGCCTGTGCGCGGCTGGTTCAGGCCTGGGAGGCTTGGGAGCGATGGGTATCGGCGCTGTCCTCTGAACCGAGGGATTGTTGTTATGGGTCATGATGGGCAAAGGAACCTGGGCACTATGTAGGTACGTAGATATCGACTGATATCAGGACTGCACTGCGCCCGCTCGGGGGGCAGCAGGCCGCCGGCGGGGTGACGCCTAGCAGGAATCCCCTGAAGCCTGGGTCGGTCCCTGACAACGGAGACTGGAGACAGGCGCGCACGCGACAGTGACGTTTCTCTGCCGGTGACTCTGTGCGGAAGGATAGCAGATGGGGAATACTCCGTAGGTAGGCTTTGTTGATGCTGATAAGGTCAAGTACCGGAGATAACGCCACGCGAGTGGCAGAGCGTGGTGCACCGTGGTCCGTGGGTGGTGGTTGGTGGTGGACTCGCGCTGTCAGTGGCCAGGACAATGTGGGATATGTCGCAGAGCGGGTGTAGATCGGGAATCCTAGGAAATAGATCCTGGAGAGAGGCCAGCCAGTGTCGGGGGTGGGCGTGATAAGCTCAACTGTCTGTCGCCTGTGCGTTTTGTTGGTGGAGGGCGAGCGGGCGAGATGGCAAGCCGATAAGGCTGCGGTGTTGTAATACGTACTACGCACGGCGGCAGCGTCCGATAGGCTGTGATACTGTACCACCACCTGCGTTGCGGGCGGTGCTGAGTGTCCAAAGGGACTCGGCTCAGTCAGGTCCAGTCAGGTCCCTGTGATAGCAAGTTGGATAGTACTCTGGGCTCCGTGCTGAGCGCACACGTACTTGGCGTACGTGCGTGGATTCAAGTGACAACGGCGGCAAGGACGAGATAAGAGTGCGTTATCGGCGTCATACCTGGCTTGGTACCATTTGGTGGAAGGCTGTGGCGGTTGGAACTTGCAATTGGTGGTCCAGCTCGGTTCGGTTCATTGTTGTCGGGCGCTGAGTTGCTGTTGCAGGAATAGATCGCGTACTCGATTGATTGGACCGCTCAATGGCGCTGATAGGAGCAGGACAATCAAGAAAGGCGACTAGCAGTGTCCATAAGAACGATGGAGCAAGATCCCCGATTTGTTCCTCTTGCAGTGCAGTGCCCGCTGCACATGTGGGTTTGATGGGCGCCCTTGACTCTGACACTCTCGCAGTTTGTGTGTGTGCTCGCACAAGTACGCTTGGCTCGGAGACTGGAGGCTGACCAGTTGAGAACAAGAGGAATGGATGGACGATGGGCAAAGATAAAGGCACGGGTGCCAAGACGCAGTTTAGGTTACGTGTAAGAGTCGGGCGACGGAGGCTACATGTACCTACATGTAGGCTAGGCAGACGAGAGCGGCAGGGTCTTGTCTTGACACTCGACGAGACCAGAGACGGATTGGGAAATCAACGCAAGAAGCATGTGCCCGCCTGCTTTCTTTGCCCTTCTGTGCTCTGCGCCGCACTGGTCGGGTGCAATTCACAAGACTCGACCTATCAAATTGCTGACCAACAGACTCAATTACAAAGGGTGCGTCCAGAAGGGGGAACTAGCTATCCGTCCCATCGGCTTGTGAAATACCTATTCCAGTAGTCCTATTCGCCCAGCCGAGCCCTCGGGTGCGTGCCCCAGCCACCTGGCCTGCTCGCGCTCTCGTCATGGGGAATACGTATGAGAGACCTTGGCTGTCAAGTCGCCTGGCGGCGGCGCGTGTCCAGACCGACCACATGCCAAAGACCGTCAGGCCATTTCGCAACATGCCAGCCGAAAGGAACGTTAATTTATGGTAAGCGCTTCAAACGTCGTGAAAATAAACAGGCAGCGGGAAAGTGTCCTTGACAGACTGCAAAGGCGGTCCGCCTACCGGAGCAGCGTCATCGGATTGCAGCGACTTTCAGGGTCCTTTGCTGTGAGACGGGGATTCGCATGCCCGATCAGGCTTCTACAGACGCAGCCTTATCTACGCAATTACCTATCTCGTACAAAATTTCGCACAATGAAGAGATAGAAATACATAATGGATTGGGCGACGCGAGCGAGACGAGGACGAGGTACCTCGCGCGCCGCAGGCGACCGGGTGGCGGGCGCTGTACCACCGCCGTCCGCGCCGCTGGCTACCGGCCCTTCAATATTACGGCATCGAAAAGCATGTGTGCATGGGGTCGCAGTTGCTCTAACGTAATGGCGCTCTCTGGCTTGTTCGCGGTCGAGTCATTTTCGACTTTGCGTTGCGGCTAAACTCGACTCGCTGGCTGCCGTTGCGCTTGGCATGTTGCAAAGTGTCGTCATTAGGCCCGAGTCCAATTCCAGCCTGTGCATTTCGAAGCATCTCGGTCGCTTTGATTATTGATATCGGATCCCTCACCAGACCTGGCTAGAGATCGCCTTGGGGGGCTGATGCGGCATGTGCAGTGGATTGGCGGGCTGCATCACTGATTTGTGGGGTTTGGGGAGACCGCCGACTCATCCTGACAACTGAAGCGGTCGCGTCACGTGAGTCAATGCATGGACTCAGCTCAGTGAGTGAGCTCTGAGCCTCTGACTCCACCGAGTGAGCTCGATATCAACATGAACATGATGACATGATCGTTCACATTGCAATTGACATCGCCTCAGGATAAAGTTGCTTACGCTTTCGGAGCACGCCGCAGTCTCCCACTGCCGATGCAGAATCGCCTGCAACGCCCGTGCCTGCGCCCGCACCAGTCTGGTACCATCTGGAGTGCCACCACACCTCATGCAAGCCCAAGCGAATGCTACTACCAATATCCATTGCACGACGACGTGCGCGTGTTACTGTCCCAGGTGACATTTCCGGTGCACATTCCACCACTTCCATTGTCTCAATAACCCCCAGACCTCAGGCCGACGCCATTAGTTTGGCCGGTTCCATTGGATAACAGTCACAAGACGGAGCAGTCGGGGGGCGCGAACCGAAATCTTATGGTAAGTCCGCGTACCAAGGACCTTCGTCGGCGGACGGTACGAGTCCAAGTGCTGCCAGCTGAGATGCAAGCGACTTCCCGAGCGTGACAAGATCCATGGCGGACATGTGAGCGCGTACAGACGAATCGAAAGGAGAAATCTTATCAGCCCGCACCCCTCGCTCTTTGATTCTCAGCCTTTCCCATCCGATCTCCAAACCATGGATCTCTCCTCATACAGCTCTGTCCACTCACGAGCCCCTGGTGGCGGCAAAAGAATATCAAACTCCAACGCCACTCGAAAACCGAGCTTCTCGTAAAACGATACAGCATCCATGGTGCTTTCGAGGATCACAGCCATGCCATCCTTTGAAGCTCTCTCCTGAACCAATTTCAAGAGGCCAGATGCTGCGCCCTGCCCTGTACGCCCAGGTTTGGTGCAGAGATACGACACATCTACATGTTGAATCAGCTTTCGACGACACCAGTCTGTCCAGCATGAGAGGGTAACGCACGGTAGTAGGCCGTCTGTCCGAGGACGTCCTCTCGCACCTTGGCCGTTAGGGCCGTGTACGCCTCCAGGACCTTGACGTTGCTCGTCTCCGGCCAGGTATCCTGCTCTCCCGGCGTCGTAGCCTCCTGGGGCGCTCGGGGCGCGTGTACCCGCCACTTGACAAAACTGATAATCTCGCCATCCCTTGACCGGGTAACCAGGAGACCCTTGTTGGCATCTTGCACATGCCGCACGACATCCTGGGCGAACCAGTCCCGCACGAACCGCTCACCTGCGGAATCGGGGAATTGCGTGCGCTGCAACGCGTTGGGCGCCATCGCCTCGAGGAACACGTCCGCAACGCTTGTCGCATCGCTGGCCGCGCCGGCCACGATTGTTGGCTCCATGGGTGTTTGTGAAAGAATTTTTCTTCCAGCCATGTCGAGAAGCCCGAGAAAATCTTCATACCCACACTATGAATGCTTCAGCAGCACGGCACGGCGGGTCATGTGACTAGGACATCACCGATTTTGGCATCGGTTCGTCAGACCTCACGGCAATGATGTCCAGCACCGATGGCTGGCGAGGGCTGCGGAGCACAGTTTTGGACCGAAATTCGCACGAATCGACCTCCAGATACTAGACCTTTGCCAATATTTCCCGCCTCCGCCCTCGGGCCTCAACGCTGAGCAGCTGCAGCCCGAATCATCTGAATAATGGGGGTGGTAGAGGATTTATCTGCATCCGTTGGGCTGGAGCATTATTGAAAGTGAAGGGGCATTTGTGTGATGTCAAGACCCGACGCAAGGCAATCTGGACAAAAACCAAAAGACCTCGGACATACAAGAACTCCTGCCACTTTCCACCGCATACTCTTATTGCTCCGATTCTCCAGGTAAGAGTATATGTGCCCCGAGTTTCTGGTGCTTTTCATACTCCATTTGGGCTGGACTACCGCGCAACCCCCAACGTCGGGTACATGAGACAGGGCTATGATTTGGCCACATTGACCCGCCACTGACACCTCAAGCGATGCACTTGAACATGTTGAAGCATTCCAACAAGATCACATGTTTTCAAACAGCCGCGATCACTCACATTGATAGATCGTATGTACCAGATCCAGACGACAGTAGCGAGCATACCGAGCACGCTGCTACTGCTGAGCGGTGACCCAAACCCCAGCGCCTACAAGGACGTGCGGCAAGCTGACCCACCAACTGGTAGTACGAGAGGACGGCAGAGGCTACTCGTCTCCGATGCCAGGCAATACGCAGATGTGAAGATTTGTGTAGATTCCTGTTGTTCCAGCAGACGCACAGCAACATGGAGTTCATTGGCTGTCACACGGGAAGTGCAGGAGAAAGGGGGGGATGGTACCCAGGAGAAAGGCATTCGGGCACAGCCCGCTCAGTTGAGACGCTGAGTACGCTGCCTATCTCGTGGTAGCAGTTGACCATCTTCTCATGCTCGTCTTATGCCTTACACCGAGTTCGTCGTGCGCCCGTTGCACACGTATCAACGTGGTCGCTCGCTCCGCGGATACCATCCCAAGGCCGCAGGGACCCCTGATCATCGGTAAAGCATGGGTTGACTTGACAAGGATCAACGATCTTGATGCAGAGGCTTGTAGCGTGGGGGTTCAGTACACTTATCAAGGAAGTGGACTTCGTCAAGACCGAGTGGCATTTGCTATGCTGGAGGCCATTTGATACCACCTGAAATGGTGACTGATTACACATTGCCTCGCATAGACATTTGCTGACCGCTTGTTTCAAAGCAAGAACGCCAGAAATGACAATTTCCCCATTTTCCGATGGCCCCCAAAGCCGTGTGAAAAGAGAAAAACAAACACAGCGCAGCAAGCTGATGCTGTGCACCAAATCTTCACAGACCTGCTCCTCGACATTGCTCCCTTCCATTTCCCGTCTTGAAGAGCTCGAGTAATTCGTACAATGAAAACTTTTGAACGCCCACTTTCAATCGAGAGACTTTTCTAATTCCATTAATGACTTGAATCCATCTTTCCACTTTTGCGCCTGCTCTTCCGTCGGTTTGGGGAGGGGGCTTCTTGCGTACCCGGCGTACCCAAGCCACGCCTGCAGGCCAGCCTTTGTCCCGACGACGCCGCCCTGAATAGCGGTCCAGTCCCCATCCGACAAGGTGTCCTGCAGATGCTGAGCTTCCTCCATCGACCCTTCCAGGTAAAGGCGCATTGTCGACAGACAGGCCTTGGGGGCAAGGTTGGCCAGTCCTGCTAGGATCCCGTGGCCGCCAACGGCGAGTGTCTGGACGAGAAAGTCGGCCGATCCACCGAGAACCACGAACTCGGGGTGGTCGTAGTCGTAGAGCTTGGTCAAGCGCCGTGTCGCAGAGACAACGCGGTTCAGCTTTCCAGTGTTGCCACAAGTAAGCTTGACACCGACAATGTTGGGATGGCGAGATAGTTTGATGATGATATCGGACGACAGGTCGAGGCCACCAACAGCGCCGGGGAAGTTGTAGATCAACAAGGGGATGGGCGAGCTGTCCGCGACCGTGTGGAAGTACTCGATAATTGTCTCGCAAGCAGGTGCGAAAAGGCCAGCATAGTACGAAGGCGGCAGAACCAGGGCGTAGTCGCCGCCGGCCTCGTAAGCCTCACGGCAGTACTCAATGGTCTCTCTCGTGCTCTGGCTGCCACAGCCCACAATGATGGGCAAGTGTGAGAACCCGTTCTCATTCAGAGCGCGTCGTGTGGTTTCTGTGACAGTGTATCGCTCCGCATGCGTGAGATGAACCGCTTCTCCGTTGGAACCCTGGGTAGCTAGCCCGGTGACGCCCGCGCGCGCCAGACGCACCGCGTGCTGCGCTATGGTTGTGGTATCGACATCCTCGGTTTTGGCTTCGAAGAAGCACATGGTAGGCACATAGACGCCCGGTATCAGTGGCCTGTATGTGTGGACGTCGGCGATAGTTGATGCACCATCGGTGAGACTCTCTGACGACGAACGATACCCATCGATGAGGGCACGCTGGCGGGGCGCCAAACTGAGGCCGGTGTAGCGTGGTCCATCGAGACTACTTCTCAAGCTACCACTGGGTGAAGGTGCGTCCATATGAGGTGCCATGCTGTGGCGATTGTATGAAGATGCGGAGGACAATGAGCTCGGCGGTGAGTCTCGGTCAAGCTCGTTTTGTATAAGGCAGTGGAGGTTGGAAAGGCCGCAGGTCACTGAGCTGGCTGGAGGCCTTGCTTTTCTGTGACAGCTAGTGATATGCTCATCTCTGACACGGGAGAAGGTCAGCTATTTATCGTGGCCGTCAATGGTCACTCTCGAAGCAAATGGTCCGTCTTCTCCATAGCCTAGGGGTGTGCACATCGGTTCCGTGGATCCAGGCTTGGGATGCCCGACTACGGACACGACAAGGGTGCCACTTAATATAAAGCAGTAGTTGGATATGTCCGCATGGTACCGTGTGTTGGGGATGCTAGGGCAGAGCGACGGGGCGCGCCCAAGGAGGCGATGCACAGCGATGATTGCCTAGGCGTCGTCCGGAGCAGATCCTGTCGAATCGACCGCATATTGCTAGCCGGATCATTCGATAATTGGGGAGTGCAATCGGGAAAGATATCCAACTGACAGGGGTGGTTGAGCTCGAAGAGGCTTCGATTTGGAGAGAGTGTGGGGGTTAGCGTCCAACAAAGTTCTTGCACCTGTTACAAGTACCGGCGGTACCGCCTTGTTGGCAACAAGCTGACCCTGCCGGCCGCGCGAGGGGCTGTGCTTTGATGAGGCCCGCCTCACGATGAATTGGTCGGTACGCGCGGTGTCCCATCATATGACAATGCCACCTGACCTTGAAGTGGATAGCAAAAGTCGGGCTGCAACAAATGCAAGGTGTTGTTGGCGTTTCAGCGTCCTCATTCGTGCGTAGGGAGGCATGTACGTGGTACAGGCAAGCCTCTCGATCCTTTCCAGAGCACTAGAAACGGCGAATCTTCGTCTTCGTCTGCAGTCGATGGAGGTCTGTAGTCTGTATTGGGAATTGAGCAGCCATGTGACAGACGAGGCGCATGCGCCATGGGCTGACGGGTATCCATGCAGCTCGGGCTTCAAAAAGCGCGGCAACCATGCTCACCCTCGTGACAAGTTGCCAAACCAATCGCCGAGCGTATTCAGTCTGCGTCTGGCGGTGGGCTGCAGGGTGTCAGAGGTCGCAAATGGAATATTCTCCTGCGCATCCACAACGTAACTTTTAGGTAAAGTCAGGCAGGAGATGTACTGAACGGAAGCATTGCGACTGCCATTGTCAGAGGATTCGTTCAGAACCAGCCGGCTGCCTGCCAGTGTGGGCCCTTCCTTCCTCCCTGGATGGGAATCTCTGGGTGGGATGGGATAGTAACTGAGTTGCTCCTGCTCCGTGTCAGAAATGTCATTTCTTTTGCACAGCTGACGTCGGCGTATCCGATTGACTGTCGAGCGCATGTCGAGTCAGTCAATGCGATTTATCGACCCTGTTGTAGGGATAGTTGCCTGTTGCCTTGTCCCTGTCACCGACTCACCCAGGCTGCCCAGCATTGATCAGCCCCAGATCTTCGCGCGATCGTACTTCGGAACGTGGGGGTCACCTCGTACTGCAACCTTTTCGGGTCCACCTGGCATTGACGACGATCCGCCGGAGTTGAGGATCCTCATTCAAGTTGAGACTGGAGCTCACCACGCCGATAGCTGCGCAGATAATTCTGTGGATTGGCTCTGCCAATCTGACAAGGCGATGAAGCGTATCTGGCGGCCTGCTCGGAACATGGACTGTGAGCGGTACCCCCACCACACGAGGACCGTCACCAGCAAACACAAAGAATCAAAAGCAAAGTGAGTGATAGATCCGTAGCCGCATCATCATCCGCAGGACATGCCCCAAGTTCACGTTCAGTCGCAATTGCCTTACGTCGAAGCCTCGCCGGAAACGACGACATTCGGTTGTTCCACACCTCACTCATGCACCATGAGCACGTTATTATCCCGAATGGGTAGCCACACCACCACCAACAACAATGCAACCCTTTTGTAAGTCGTGCGAGCATCGGTCTGGTATCACCCCATTGATGGAAGAACAAGGACGCCAAGTCGCCGGTTCTTCCGCTCAGCATACATCTATCGACCCCCCACCTCCGGTGTGTGGACCATCCGCCATGTCAAGGACTCAGGCTGTCAACAGCCACGGTAACACGACACCGGCGTCAGCTTTGCTAGTAGAATCACTTCGATCCAGAGCACGGTGTTGTGCGTCGCTTTGGCAAGCAAGGCCTGTAATAGCCACATCGGAGCCTTTCTTCATCAAAGCGTATCGCTCAACCAGCGCGGTGCCGTTCGTTTGAGGGCGAATGAAGGCAGCATACCAAGTCTTAAGAGACCGACCTGCTCTCTACCCCAGATTACCCCATGATTAACGCACATGCATGGCGCAAGGCATCATGTATCCGTGACGCACATTGCCCTACTGCATGTCCGTCCGCGCGGGGCTCAACTGGGCGTGCCCTTCAGCTGTACGTAGCAATGAACGAAAGGCCTGGCGCGTTGGAGCCGCGTCCGACCTCGGCTAGGGTCATTCATCGATGGTCGGGAGGTACGGAGGAGAGGTCGCGACGAGGGGGGCGCGTGCAGGAGAAGAACTAATAGATGTGGGGCAGACAGCAGCGAGTTACCAACGCGCACTGCTTCTTTTCGCGCACTGACGTCAAATCAACTTTGGCCTCGACATCTTCCTGGCCTCGAACAACATGAGTCGACATTACACATGTCTCATCCGGACGCACCACATCACCTCCCGCAAGAAACTCCATCGCGTTCGTCACTTGGCCAAGCAACAGGCGCTCTCATCTCTCCTCGTGCGATACGGTGGTCCGCCCGGGATCATGTACGCCGAGTCAGACCAGCTCTCGCCCCTCGAGCAATGGGTCTCCAGCGTGCAGGCGCTGCGCTACAAGGACTTCAACCTAGCCATCAAACCTGCAGAAATGGCTAGGGAAGGACACGCCGTCCCGGGCATGGGCTTCTGGGAGACCGAAACGACAGAAGGGTTTCGGGCCGAGATGAAGAGGCGAGGGCTTGAGGAATGGTGGAAAAAAGGCATGGGCTACAACTCACGTTGAACGAAATCGCTTGCTTTTCGAAAAGATTCAGTCTGCATACTCCTACAAAGTTTCCTGAAAGAACACCCAAAAGATTCGCCTGGTGCGCTTAGATGTGCGTTCATCACCAAGGGAGGTATGGACAACCTACTGCCTGGATACCGTCTATCTGTTCATGCTTAAGCAGTCGCATCGGCGGCTGTGGGCGAGGGGACCGCTGCAGCGGCGCCTGCAGGCGCTCTTTCCCTCTGCACCAGCTCCGTGTCGGGATCGCTCTCCTTGCGGCTCGGAGTCTCGTCTCCGAGGGTCTTCTCGTCAAAGGTCCACTTGCTCGAGCGGATCGGGTTCACCTTGCGCACGTACATGGCGTCAATTTCCTCGAGCGTGCGGTCCTTGGACTCAATAACAAAGAAGAACACGATCAACACGAGAGCAGCGCAGCAGCCCGCGAAGACGAGACCGTACAGGTAGTCAATCTCATCGGTGATGAAGCGCGTGAAGAAGGAGATGAGGCTGGCCAAGAAAATTAGCGTGATTTTTGTCGCGTCTCGGATCAGCAACACTCACAAATTCCAGAACCAGTTGGACGCAGTGGACAATCCGAGGCAGACACTGCGGTAACGCAGAGGGTACAGCTCAGCGTTGACGACCCAAACAAGTGGCGCCCAGCTGACAGCGAAGGCGGCAATCGCCAAACACGAAAAGGCCACCAGGGCGGTGCCGGCTTTGGGAGTGCGCATGGGGTCCTCCTGATCCAAAGCAAAGTGGCCAACAAAGGCGTACACGCTGCAGTTCTCATTAGTTTGATTCACGGAGAGCGGGGGCGGTTGGTCAGCCATTCTTACAAGAAACACATCATCATCCAGGAGGCACCAGCCATGAGCACGACTCGGCGACCAAAGCGGTTGACGACCCACATGCCAACGACGGTGCACGCGGCATTGACGGATCCCAGGATCAGCTGGGTGGTATAGCTGTTCTGGATACCGGTCGCGGCGAAGACGGTGGTGCCAAAGTAGAAGAAGAAGTTGGCGCCCGTGAGCTGCTGGCCGGCCTGCAGGATGACACCCAGCGTGGTGCGGTACAGCATGCGTGGGGCGGTGAAGATCTCCTTGTAGCTCAGGGCGGCCGTACTCTTGTTCTCCTCGTCGATCTTGGCCTGGAGGTCGTTGATCTGACGGCTCACAATCGTCGAGTCGACGGACACACCGCACAGCTTGGCAATGTTCCTGCGCGCCTCGTCGACCCGGCCATGCTTGTACGCATAGCGCGGGCTCTCGGGCATGAAGAGGATGCCTCCGCCGAGGACCAGGGCCCACGCAAAGGATAAGCCGTTGGGGATCCTCCACGCCGTGCTGTCCGTGTAGTGCTCGGTGCCCCAGTTCACCATCTCGGCGGTCCAGATGCCCAGGGTGATGAGGAGCTGGTACGACGAGACGACGACACCGCGGATGACGGCCGGTACACTCTCGCTCTGGTACATGGGGACGGCCACACTCAGGGCGCCGATGCTGAGACCGCTGACCATCCTGCCGATGGCGAACTGGGCCCACGATGACTGGGAGGATATTTCAATAGCCGTGCCTGCACAGGTGAAGAAGGCCGAGGCGGAGATGCAGAGACGACGGCCGATCACGTCTGCGACTTTACCGGCGATCAAGGAACCGAACAGGGCGCCGATGCTCATGAGACCGACAATGGTGCCCTGGCGGGCGGCTGAGAAGGTGTATGATCCATCTGGTTGTAGCTCGCCAAAACGGGAGGCATAGTCGTCCATGAGAAAGAAGCCGGAGATTTGTCCACTGTTCCGGCTGTGAGCTATCGTCCTGCATTGATACGGTCAGAGCACACACCTGATATAACCAAAGATGAAGCCGCCAATGCTGGCGATGGCTCCCAGGGAGCACGCCAACAGCGTGACCGTTTCCTTCTCTGCGATATTCGACATACTCCTTGTGTCTTGGGGTAAAGTGTCGGGTAGGACAGGTTCGGGAAGAGGGAGAGGAGGCTCAGTCAATGATGGCCTGGGTTGTTTTGCTCGGGTGAAATGCAGCAGGGGCGCCAGTCAACCTTGTTGTCTCTATTCGACTCGACTCTGGCGTGTTCAACGACAAGGAGAGTTCAGGACGGACGATTCGCTATCCGAGCTGTGAGAGGAGCTTTACCTTCGCCCATCTCCATCTCCATCCGCTGCGTCCGCCCGACATTTTTTCACCCAACAGATGGGATGGCCTGGCCTGCCCGGCACGTGCGACGGCATTTGCTCCACGCACGACGCTTCACGATGTCCGAGATTCCCACAATAGTCTGTGTCTTCCGCATTGCGGCCGAGAAACACAGTGATGCAGGGCGCCGTTGTGGTGATACCAGTCAAGACCCGCAAGATTGTAGTGGGACGATATCAGCACTTGGACGTCTCGGGCCGATTCGCAAGTCATTCGACCGGGAAAGCCGTCGAGCGGTCAATCGGTTCTGGCGGTCTTCTAGAATGCAGCAATTGTTTTCCGCACACGTATGTCATCAAGGGGGTTGAAGAGCAGCGAGGCGGGCGTTGTTGAACGAGATGATGCGGTGCGCCGGAGAGGCTGCATGCTTCAGCTCAGGGACGGGCGGGCATGAAGATCGGTGTCCACTCCAAAGGGTTCAGTTACGTCAAATCCAGGCGCTCCGTTCCCTCTTATCAGATCGGAGAATTTGCTACTTACCTGCTGACGTCGAGCGCTTTTTTTCTCCTTTTTTCTCTTCGTTTTTTCGTTGTCTGTCTTTTGCAACATCATGATCATCCGGTTGCGTGACGTTGCTGCTTAATAAAAAGACACGTCCGCGTGACCCTGCAAGAACTTTTCAACGGAGACAATGTCATCACGTCCGTGTGAATCTCCACGACCTTTGTGGACGAGTAAACCACCTGATCTCGTGACCTCTTATTTCCAGCCTTTCAAAAGTCAGCGTGCAGCCGTCGACGAGAGTTAGTTGTGGCGGGTTTGTTCGGGAATATTGGGGGATTCATGGTCGATTCCGCGAACCCCTTCTGAATCTTCACGGCAGTCGAGGAGCTTAGTATCGTGGCGCCGTCGCGCGCGCCGGCGGATATTGTATAATTAGCTGCACACCATCCGGACCCGTTCCTGGCGAATCGGCGGTCCGGAAGCACTCGCCGGTGCGGGAGCATCCGGTCCTACTCGCCAAGTCACGCCTACCCGGGAATCACGTGGCAGTCCTCGACGATGACACTTGTGATTATAATACGTATGTCCACATCGTGGCCCATTCACATGGAGCCTCACTTTAGTTCATCAACACCAATAGAACCCCTGAGTGTGACCTCTGGCTCCAGCCCAAACTCATCATCACACTCGTTCGGGCCATTCACAGGATTGCACCTCGCTGCCTTGCTGTCATCGAGACGACAGGCGTAGTCGCACCCCCATCGGGAACTCATGCCATATACTGGGAAATCTGTCGAGACGATGTGAGCGCCCGACCGGAGCGCATTGTCGCGTTGGGTAGTGGAGCAGTTCCGGCTCACGACAGTGTCCATGGGTACGTCGGCGCGGGTACGTACCCAGTAACCGGCGGCGACTTGTTCTTGGATGTTGGCAATCTGACGCTCCGTGTTGGGCTCGTTGAGCTGGGTAATGTCAGCCGCATACTCTTACAAAATGGTGCGAGTTTTGAAGACTAACCTTTTGGAAAGCACAGCTCGGCTCGCCGGGCTCAGAGTTGGTAAAGAGAACGCGGCCCTCGAGGTTAGGTCTGCCCTCAATGTAGGCAGATCGAACGTCACTCTCCCCATTGTCCATCAAGAAGAAGATCTTACCCCTCGCGCTGTCCAAGTCAGGCCATCCCCTGCCCAGCACCGACTCCTCAAGCGTGAGGTTGCCCTCCCTCAGATCATCCGGCACAATCAACCTCTGCCTACCGAGAATCTCTACAATCTCCTCGTCAAGGCCATCCAACAGACCTTCGCCGTCCCAGGGGATGACTTTGGCGCCGAGATCGCGGTCCGCGGTCTTGAACTCCATCATGATGGGGATGGGCACGGCGTGCGGGTGGGCGTCCATCCAATCGCGGATGATGGCGAGGCAGGATTTGAGGGTCTTGCAAACGGTGTGGACGTCCGCGTCGGGGATGTGCAGTACTTTGACGCCGGGCTCGTTCCAGACAGGGTCCGAGTCGTAGGGCAGACCAGCCTCCCTGCGGATGGCAGGTTTGGCGTAGTTGCCGCCCTCTGGGTCGGCGAGGACGTCTATCCTAGGTTGGAGTCATCAGTGCTGGGTCAATGCCATGGTGTCATTCGGATAGAGCTTACTCGAGGTTCCTCATCTGCTGATCACCGAGCTGGATGTCTAGCTGTGGGTGCGAGTACCAGTAGTTGATGGCATTTTCCAAGAGCTCGGCCTGGACCTCTTTCTCCTCATTGGGAGCCTCAATATGGTAGCTGTTGTGCGTCCCGACCACTTGCATGTGATTCATGCGAAGGGCGCCGTCAGTCCAGGTCAGGTTGTTCTTGGAGCAGCTCTTGGCGAGGGCTGCGGGCAGGACTTGATCTTGTTAGAGGTGTCTGCATTTGCATGTATGGCGATGACTTACGTGCCAAGGTAAGAATTGATTTGAGAGCCTACAGTTTGTGTTGTCAGTAACGTGTCGATGACGTGACTTGGTCAAGAGTCAAGACTCACCATGGCCACGGATCTGCAACGAACAGAGTGGTTGACAAGCGAAGCTTCAAGGGCGAGACAAGTCAGGGCTCCGTGCGATTGTATTTAAGAAACTTCTCCCCTTCTGCCTGTTGATTGACGTAGGAGCACTAGCGTGGCATCGCGAATTGAAACTTGGTCTGCATGCTCCAATCCGCGGGCTTGAATGCCAACACGTGCTGTTCTGCGATACTCGAGGCACCGTCCACCAAGGGTGATCAATCATATTCCCAACTCCAGGTAGGTAATCAGCAAGTGCGTGCGGCACTTCTGATGGATGCCCCGGTATTCGCGCGGTCGGTCGGCAGTCCTGTGAGCCGTGACTGCTGTCACACTCGTCCGCCGATTGCCAACCAGACAGATCGCAATCTGGAGGGACTCATGACACTCCTCAAACCACCCAATGCTCGAGCACGCGACTGTAACAGCATGACAATTGGCAATTGTCGCTATCGTTTGAGCGATGCATCGACTGGAGGCAGAGTGAGAGCGACGATCGGTGTCCCCGCGCGTCGTCATTGCCCCTCCAACTCAGAAGCAGCCCCTCCATAATTGACTGGAGCTCAGCTCCGATGCAGCTTCTGCCACTCAAAGACTGATGAACATCAAATCCTGTCCATGCTCCATCAACTACGAATCCCAACTGCCATTCTCATCCTGGCGACTCTACCACTCTTCTTTATTCCCCGTCTATCCTTCCGAGCCTCGACGTTTTCCAAACCGTACTCGACCCTTCCACCTTCCTTTCGAGTTGGCATCACCACTACGACCACCACTACCAAGATGAGCTACGCGAACGAACTGAGGATCGCCCTCCTCGCCGTCCAGCGCGCCTCCCTCCTCACAAAGTCCGTCTTCCACTCCAAAGCCAAGGGCACGGTCGACAAGAACGACAAGTCCCCCGTCACCATCGGCGACTTTGGCGCCCAGGCCCTCATCATCGCCGCCCTGCATAAGCACTTTCCCGACGACGAGATTGTCGCAGAGGAGGAGGCCGCTGCCCTCCGCGAACAGCCCGAGCTCGGCGACACAATCTGGGACATTGTCAGGCAGACGGCCCTCGGCGATGACCACGCCGAGAAGGAGCTGGGCGGTGCCATTGCGAGCAAGGAGAGCATGCTGGACCTGCTGGACAAGGGCAACAGCGCAGGCGGCAGCAAGGGCCGCATCTGGACCATTGACCCCATTGACGGTACAAAGGGCTTCCTTCGCGGCGGACAGTACGCCGTGTGCCTCGGCCTCATGGTCGACGGCGACGTCAAGGTTGGCGTCCTAGGCTGCCCCAACCTGCCCGTCGACGACCAAGCCCCTCTGGCGGCCGACATTGGCTCCAACCAGACGTCCGACGGCCACGGCGTGCTCTTCTCCGCCGTGCAGGGACAGGGCGCCACCTCGCGGCCCCTCACAGACGGATCCCTGGCGCAGGAGAAGAGTATCACCATGCGGGCCGTGCCCTCGCTCGCCGAGGCCACCTTTTGCGAATCCGTCGAGGCCGGCCACTCGGCCCACGGCGACCAGGCCCAGATCGCCCAGAAGCTCGGCATCACCAAGCCCAGCGTCCGCATGGACTCGCAGGCCAAGTACGGCTCCATCGCCCGCGGCGCCGGCGACATTTACCTGCGCCTGCCCGTCAAAGCGACCTACCAGGAGAAGATCTGGGACCACGCGGCGGGCGACCTGATCGTGCGCGAGGCCGGCGGCGAGGTGACGGACATTCACGGCAAGAGGCTAGACTTTAGCGTGGGCAGGACACTGGCCAACAACAAGGGCGTCGTGGCCGCGCCCAAGGCGAGCCACGGCGAGGTCCTGAGCGCGGTCCAGGAGGTCTTGAATGCCAAGCTATAGAGTGGGAGTGGGAACCGCAAAATAAAACTGTTTATGCCGTCTCTCTCAAGGCCATGAATTCAAAATGATATATCCTGACGCCACACGTTCCTATCCCACAATCACTAATTCGTCGCCATCGTCATCATCAAAAGCTACTTCCCGTCCTTGGAACCCCGACCCGCCCAGGCTCTCGCGGCCTGCCTCCCGTATCCCCTTCTCCGTGACGAACCTCGTCTTCTTGCGCACGGGCGGCTGCTGGTCACTGTCGGGATGGAGCTTCTCCCCATCCCGCATCTTGGACAGCTTGCCCTTGAGTTCATTCCCCCATCCCAGCGTGCTGCTGCTCACGCTGCCCGCGTTCGTGCTGTCTGGGCGCTTTCTCTTAGTGGTCCCGAGATTAATCTTTCGTTCTGGAAGGCCGGGCGGCCTTGGGAGTATGTTGCTCGGAGCACTTGGCTTCGCGCTTTCCTGAGACGCCTTGGTCTTGGACCGCGCGGCGACTGCGCGCTCCATGTAGTCTCTGCCAGCGCCCGTTCCAGTCCTGGCCAGTTTCGCCTGTATCTCCCGCTCCTTCTCCCTGGCAAGTAGATTCCGTTGCAAGTGGGCTTCCTTCTCCTTCCGGTCCGTGTTGGTCAGATCCTTGCCATCCAGCAGGTCGGCGGCAGTCATGCTTTGTCGGGTGTAAAATCTCGTCTTGGTCTCCCAGTCGTAGTTCTTGGGTGCCTTGCTGGCAAAGTACTCTTCCTTGCTCACCCAGCCAACCTTCTTCTGCCACTTCTCCATCTTGTCCATCGAACTCGTCCCCTTTTTCTTGGGTCCAGATCCGAAGCCGGACCCGGTATTCATCTCAAAGCGTTTGAGTTTGGTCTTGTCCACCACCGCATTTACGTGGTATTCGCAAAACTTGGTACGACGCTTGTTGACCCACGCGCCGCAGGGGTCGCCATCTTTCCGCAGGGCTTCGCAGTAGTGCATGTCGCGAGCCCGGCCGATCTCCAGGATTGTGTCTTCGTCAGAGTTAATGACCAGGCTGAAGCGACCTGTGTCTTGTTTGCCTCGCATGGGCGGCATCACATTCGGGTTGAGGATCGCCACGAGCGTCCCCTCTGTGAGCTTCCAGAAGCGATCAAATCCAGTGTTGAAGAGAAACAGGTCGAGCTCCCACTCCAGATCGCACAGTGTCATGACCATGTACTTGCCCCTGTCTTGGCTCTTGTCTGGCCCTGGCTTGTGATCACGGGGCGCAGACTTCCTCGCCACGATACCAAAGCATACAATGTCCTGTTCGACGTCGGGGAGCGCAAAGTCTGGGGCTTTGACGTCGCGCAAGAGGTCCTTGACGTTCATAATCTTCTTGCCCGACACATGCCGCGCCAGAACAGTATGGGGCAAGATCCGTTGGGCCAAGTGCAGGCTTGAGTACGTCTCAAAGGAGCCGCCATCCTCGTTTTCCGCTTTCCCTGTCCCATCAGCACTACTCGATGCCAAGTTTGGCGCCGTCTTGCTCTTCCGCATGCCTGATTCCTTCCATTCCGCAGCCATGACTTCCTCCCTGCTGAAGACTGTCGGCTTGGGCGCCTCCTCGGGTATTTCGACCGCTTTGCTCTTGAACTGCTCCATCTCCTCTTTGCCAATGCCAAAGGACTTGTTCCTGGACAGCTGGATCTTCTTGGCACGCTCGTCCTGCTCGATCTCTTTTGTTCTCGCTGCCGCTAGTCTTTCGCTGAACGTCAGACCGCGAGAGGGCGACGCGAAATGTTGCGGTGCACTGGCAGCCTGGGCCGGTTGGGGATGAGCTGAGGCGAGACGTGCAGGCGCTGCCGCGCGGCTGTGAGTGCGTTCAATGGGCTGGAAACCCTTATCCAGGCTGACTTTCTTTCTCCCAGCGGCTTCGATGGGTGGCTGAAGTTTCCTCGTCGGCGACGCAGGGACCTGGACGGCGCTCTGTTGCTCTGGTCGTAGATTCTCGTCGCCCCCGGCCGCCATTCGCTGCATGGTATGTGATCTCTCCAAGACTGAACTCCGCCCGCCGGTCACAGGTTGCTGTTCCTCCACCGCTTTGGCAGCCCGTAGCTTCTTCAGTTTTAACCGCGCTTGTAGCTCTTGAAGCTTGAGCTGGAGAGTCTCCTCGTCATCGTCCTCGTCGATCTCGACGTCGAGTGTGGCAGGAGCGCTGATTCGCATGCGGGACGGCGACGAGGTGGGAGAGTTCTGCATCTCGCGATAACGTTGACGACCTTTAGGCGTGCTAAGAAGCGCTTCGTGCGGCGACCGCGGCGGCCATTGTGCGCTTGGGGAGCCTGCTTTTTGGTAAGCATGTAGAGATCGAAGTTGTTCTTGGCGAAGTACTTGGAGGCGCCATGTTGTTCGAGCCTGACAACGTTGATGCCGCAGGGCCGTTCCCAGAGGGGAGCAGCCTGGGCTGGCGTTGGAGGGTGCCTGCTGCCTTGAAATGGACCCAAGGCCTTCAGCACTACGCGGACGATCGATTGTAAGGTCGGCAAAATGGTGATAATGCTGAAAGATGGGGGCCGGTAGTGTATGCAGGTCACTAGGCAGGTGTGGCGTTGATCTGAGATCTGGGGTTCGTTTCTTGGCTGAGGCTGAGACGCGCTTTACGCGCCCAGTCTTCCAGACGCGTCCTCCGACTCTCTGACATCTCCGTCACATCTTGCACTGCGCGTTGTTCAGCTTATCCTGGAGTATTTCGATCCTCAGCAATCAGGCCACCTAGTTTGTATTAACCTGCCACACAAATCTGAGTGGCAATGCCTCGTACAAGGACAGCAAAGGCCGCCGCGCCTTCGTCTCCAGCCGCGGAAACTCCCAAAGCATCCAGCAGCAAGTACAGTCTCGAGGCCACAAAGACAGCATCGCCGAAGCTCTTCGTCCTTCCCAAGGCTGCGTCAAAAGAAGCCAAAATCGTCACACTCCCAAACCCTCGAACCGCGAAACCATCCCGCTACCTCGTGTGTCCTCAGACGGGCTTCTACGAATTCACCAAGATCGCAGCACCAAACAGCGTCCCCCGAAGCTGGCTCATAGAGACAACGCATGTTTCACAAAGAAGCGGACATACCATTTCGGATGCTGAGTGCTTCATCGCTTCACCCCTGGATCCGGTATTCCTATTGCTGCCGTCGCTCGCCGAGTCTTCGATAGCAAAGGGTTCAGACGACAAGAAGAAGCTGTTCCTTTCCGGCGACGATTACTTTGATCAGCTCCCAACAGAATATTCGCACCTCGAAGAGATTCTGCAATGGACAGAGTCGAAGAGTGTACTTGAAAGCCGGATGGCAGCCATATGCGACACGGTAGACGCAGGGGATGAAAAGATGTTCCGAATCAACAGGGAGAAGCTTGTAATGCTCTGTCTCAGCAAAGCTAGAACACTATCCGGTTCGCTGCCCGTCAGCGTGGAGAAGCAATTCGTGGCAAAGGCTCTACAGGCTCCCGTTGTAAACCAGAGGCGGGCTCCTGTGCAAAAGAGCGCGTCGACGCTCAGCGAAGCCCCGGACTCGGGTACCTCGACCCTTCTCACTGAGTCGCTGGAATCTCAATCCTCAGCTGCCACAATCGAGACGGCAGCCACCTCGGTGGATCAGGACACGGTCGAGGTGGAAGAAGGCATCAAACCGACCGAGGAGGTGGTTGAACTACAAAGACTTCGTGTCGCCTTGGATTTTATTTGCGATCGGTACATCTCGCCAGCCGTGACGCAATGGCTTAAAGAGGGCTTGGCCTCCAGCAATGTCCAATTCTCAGCCCTAGACGAATATCTGGCTAGGGTTACCGAACTGCGAGCCGAGGCCTTGGCGTTAAGATCCTTGGGCGACTACTCTCGGAAACACATGCGAGACGAGGACGATGATGATGCGCGCGAACAGAAGAAGCGCAAGATGGAGGACGAGAAGAGACGGAAGCAGAACCAGAGCAGAGGAGTCAGGGATCTAAAGAAGGTGAATACCACCGGGATGATGAAGCTCAGCAGCTTCTTCCAGAAGAAATAACAGTACAGCATCCGTTTGCATACTACATCAATGCGTCTCCTAATGGGTATCATGGTTCTCATTACACGTACAGCGGGACGTTCATCTAGCACCTCTGCCACGTCCTCGTGTCGACCCAATGCCGCGGCCGATACCCGAAGTTCCTCGACTGCTTGTGGTGGACGGTCCATCGGACAGATAGCTTGTGCCTGCTCTTGCAGCTGCGGAGCTGGCAGCTCGAGCTCGGCTGGCCCGCGTGCCACGGACACCTGGGGCTGCCCGCGTGCTTCTTGTCCTCGTCGGCGGGGCCCGCTGCTTCTCCTCCTGCTCCTCTCTTTGTCGCCGTCTAAGTTCTTCGCGTCTCTCTGCCTCAGCGGCCCGTCTTTCGGCAGCCTGTCGTTTCCTCAGAGCTTCGGCCTCCTGCTCGGCCTGATCTTCGGTTGTGCCCTTCCACGCAGGGTTCAGCAAAAGGCGTTGATTGTGTTCAGTCTGGGAGAGAATGCGAGTCCAAGAGCTCAGCAGCGTTGACGCATGGCCCACAGTGGCAGCTACAACCTAGTAGAGGGCAGTATCAGCAAATTATTCCTGTCACTCAAAGGATCAGACTAACATTCATGTTGCCTCCTGCTCGCTCGAGTGTAGCGAGAACACCCTCGAGCGATTCATTGATGCCCCTCACCCCTTCTAACTCCCTTTTCAATGCGGCGTCGGGGTCATCATCATCCTCGTCTCGCTGCTCGGTGGTGGTAGGCGTTTTGGGCGTCTTTGGTGTTCGGGGAGTTTTTGGCCGGATCGTGTGGGGAGTGCCATGTGGCGGTGACGACCACAACTCGGACTGTTCTGTACCTTCGTCGTTTGCCATTTTGCTGCTCCGCCAACAAACGGTGTGGTGTTGAATCAAGCCAGTGACGCCATGTGTTGTTGCTCGAAACGGTCACTTGGCGGGCCACGAGGAGCCCTGCGTGCACTCCACCATCAATGAGGGACTAGAAGAGGACGATTGGTGAATGCGGACGCGAAATCGACGCGTCAAGCTGTTGGCCACGCGACGCGCCAGCTTTCAATTAAAAGGTCGTCGTCTGATTGGCTGCCGTTGTCCCAGCCACCTCCCGCAGCCACTGACAGCTAATCCTGGCGCGAAAGCGGAGCCCACCTCCAGAGGCTCAAGCCTCAATGGGTCCACAGATACTAGCCGAGCTCATTCCCAGCCACCCTACAGCAACTAGACCAGCCATCTATCCATCCCGTCCAAGCCCAACGTCAAGCGTCTCCGTTTTCCCATCTCATCAACATCACCCACATCATCCTCAAGTCAACAACAACAACGCGCGCACCCCTTTATCAATCGGTGCAAGATACCTACTACTTGGACGCAATTGTATGATACCTGCGACATCGTTTACTGCCGAGATTCCCGACATTTGCGACCACAAGTCGACCAAGAGCCGAACCCCGATCTAGCTTGAATATTGGGTGACTCAAGACTCGTCAGTCAGGATCAGACGACACTCGGACACTTCACCACTCGATCACATCTGGCGCACGACAAATTCGAGTTAATCGAAAATCACATTTCAATTTTTGGGCGCTACCCCTCATCGCATTCACGCGCCATCAACATGGCCTTCACACCATCACCCCCTTTCGAGCGACCCTCGACTCCTCCTGCACCCAGATTTGGCGCCTATCACGATCATTGGGAACCTTTTCAAAGACGCAAGTCCTCTCGCATTTCATCCCAACAATCCACATCGGCTGTTCGCACGCCTTCACCGCCCTGTGCATCTACCATGAAGACGGAAAAGCGAACGAACAAAGGGTCAGCACGCAAACCCGACCAAACTCTCCTCACACCAACCAAAACGCCACGCAGGACCAAGACCATGAAGGAGCTCAGCGGTCGAATCCTTCCCTCCGTCGACGAGAGCGTCCTCAGTCGCACAGGCCGGACTTCTAAGAAGATTTCTGGCTCGACACTGGAGAGCTTTATTGCAGAGGAGCAGGAGCAAGACTTTGCTATCTTTAGTGATACCCGCAACGGTATCCCGCAGAAGGACGAGGGCAGTCCCTTTTACAACCCGCCCCCCGCAACCAAGAGATCTGGACATCTCAAGCGCAAAACAGTCAGAATTCCCGGGGAAGGTTCCAAGTTGATTGATGAAGCTGTGCATCGCGAAGATGGCATGGTTATGAACTTGTAAGTGTAACACATAGACATAGTGCTGTACAGCGTTCGCTAACCATTACACAGCCGTGGGAAGACGTACTTTCAGCCAATCACTAGAGCCGCCGCCGACGATTCCAATGAGATCGATGAGCTCTCTCAAGGGGACGGGTCGCTATCCCATCTCAAGAAGGCCCAGCCCTTCAAGCCGAGGCTGCTGTGGCCGAGTAAGAAGACTGAAGACAAGGACGTGACAGACGAGGAAGAGGCAGCGACAGATATTGAGGATGCGAACTTGCCAGAGTCTGACGACTTGCCTGCTAGCCCCGTCACGCCAGTTCGCAACAAGTCCACAAAGTCGACACCAAATGCACCCAAATTCCCTGTGTCACCGCCTGCAACGCAACGGACAACCCGCTCCGCCGAGAAGCTCGCTCACCCAACACCGTCCCGGAGCAAAAGTGGGCGTTCTCAGCAGCCTGTACTCAACTACAACAAGTGGGGATCCGTCGCCAAGACGCGCAAGACGGCGACGACGACGGGCAAGCGCGCAGCAGATGAACCCCTCGGTCAGGATCGCCCCAAACGAGCGCGATCATCGGAGGCGCAAACATGAGAAGTCGAACGCTTTGGAATAAGACTGGCACGGATATCAATGGACAATGGCGCTGGTACGGATCTTTCGGCGTTTGCGAGCAATTATCGACAATTCGTTTGGTGGGGGATGATCACCTCCCCTTTTGCTTAATACTCTTGCGTCTTCGTTTCCTTGGTATAGGTGCCTTGGATCTTCTTGTTCATTCTTCTCTCACAACGTAACTTGATTGGATGGACACAGAAATGGCACATGCTGGACGGAAGAGGCTTTGTTGCATTGCGTCACAGCTTAGGATGGATATTGAGGGGAACTAGATAGATACCTTCGTGAGAAATGTCAAAACATTTTCACATTTCATTGTTTGCCAATTGTCCCAGTGACCTCGAGACAACCACCGTCGCTCACGCCGAGCCCACACGTTGGCGCCCGACGAGCAGTTGGGGCCGCCATCGGGATTCAGCAAATAGCCCCACGCTGCCCCTCGTTGGTGATGATGTCCTCTACTTCCACGCTTCACGTTGCCTTCAAGTTCTCCAATCCTCACGCGAATCTTGGATTGTTCCAAAGCTGTTCAATCTTCCAATTCCACAATGCATATCCTCGTCACCAACGACGACGGCCCCCCCTCGGCACAGTCGTCGCCGTACGTCCACTCCCTCATCCATCATCTGCAAGCCGCGGGCCACGTCGTCTCGGTCTGTCTTCCGCACACGCAAAGATCATGGATCGGAAAAGCGCATATGATCGGCCAGACACTGAAGCCTGTGTACTACCGCCCCTCAAATAACCCACATGACGCGGACGAGGGCTCGACGCACACGAGACCGCACGCTGGGGACGACCAAGAGGAATGGGTGCTCATCGACGGGACACCTGCGAGCTGCGTACAAATTGGGCTCCACCACTTCTTCCAAGAGCGAGGACCGATCGATCTTGTCGTGAGCGGGCCAAACTATGGACGAAATACAACGGCAGTGTTTGCCTTGAGCTCAGGGACGCTGGGTGCAGCACTCGAGGCAGCGGTGTGCTGCCGCAAGTCCATTGCGCTGTCGTTTGCCTTCTTTACGCGGAATCATGACCCGCAGATTATCGACGAAGCGTGTCGGCACAGTGTCAAGGTGATCCACGCTTTGTACAAGCAGTGGCCTGAGGACAGGAGCGTCGATTTGTACAGCGTGAACGTGCCGTTGGTTGAAGGCGTCGAAGGTCACAAGACGGTATTCACCGAAGTCCTACAGAACTACTGGCGAGATGGCAGCTGCTTCCAGGAGGCAGAAGCTGAAGATGAAGACGAACAAGAGGAGGAGATCCGCAAGGGTGAGGTGGAAGGGAACAGACGCGAGGAAAATGGCAAGGGCCACAAGCACAAGCACTTCAAGTGGGCCCCCCGGTTCACTGACGTTTACAAGAGCGTCGAGGAGTCAGGCCCAGGCAATGACGGCTGGGTTGTCAAGGAGGGCCAGACCAGGTACGTTTTCCGCGCGACCAAGGGATAACACTTGACTGACGGATTTAGCATCACTCCACTCAAGGCCAATTTTGCCAGTGCTCTTGGGGATAAGTCTCGAGAGTTGGTACTGTAAGTGGTTCCCTTTGTGTTATTAGACGGGGATAGATCATGATGGAACGATGATATGAGCGCATCACCTTGTAACGTATGCATGCACTCAATAGAGCACATTCTTACCACGTATAGTAGGCCGTCCTCACAGCAAATGACTGAAGCCTTGTCTTCCAGGAGCAAGGTTCAAGAGCCATCTGTTGAGGCAATCGTGGCGTATGACGACCCATATGTCCAACCACTAATTGTGTCGGCGCTCAAAAAGACATTTCCACGGGATACCGTCCGCATAAGCGAGGCCCTTCCGTCGTCTTTCCGCTCTGCGACGAAGATTGTCGCTATCACTGCCTACGAAACTATCGACTTTGAACACGCCGCAGCCAACCCGCGCGACTTTCTCATCAACAGCTACATGATTCGCAAAGCGCTGATACGAAAGCATTTTTTGTCCACGACGATTGACCATTGGACTGCCAAGAACCCAGACTCGATCCTCAAACGCTCTTTCAAGCGGAGTGAGCATTTCGAGGTGGACTATGCCGAGTTCCTCGACGATGCCCTCATTGAAGCGTTCGATCTGAGAGAGAGTATGGAGAGCAACGAAGAAAAGGACATTAAGGACAGAGAATGGTGGATACTGAAACCTGGCATGAGTGACAGAGGGCAGGGAATCAAGCTCTTTAGCTCCATGGATGAACTGCAGGGTATCTTCGACAAGTGGGAGGAGGACCGACCAGATTCTGACGATGAGGAAGACAAAGACGAGGAGCAAGAAGGGAAAGGTGACTATATCACCACCTCCCACTTGCGGCACTTTGTTGCCCAACCGTATATCCACCCGCCTCTTCTGCTCCCAGGCGACGATCGGAAGTTTCATATCAGAACCTACGTTTGCTGCGTGGGGGCGCTTCAAGTCTACGTCTACCAGGACATGCTGGCACTATTCGCAGCAAAGTCATACAAGGCCCCCTACGAGGAGTCCGACGACATTGAGACCTTCCTCACGAATACCTGTCTCCAGTCGTCGCCAAAAGCGAACACCGTCCAGCTCCTGTCCTCCTTGCCACTAGACAAGTCAACACTGGAATCGATCACAAAGCAAATTGGCGAGATCACTGGCGAGCTGTTTGAAGCAGCGGCCCGGGCTATGCCAATCCACTTTCAGCCCATGCCTAATGCTTTTGAAGTTTTTGGGCTGGACTATTTGGTCGACAGCAACGGCTGTGTCTGGGGATTGGAGGTGAATGCCTTCCCTGACTTTCGGCAGACGGGAGGCGAGCTCAAAGGGGTTGTGGAGGGTTTCTGGGAAGGGGTGGTGAACAAGGCGGTGAAGCCTTTCTTTGGAATAGACCGGGGACCGGCTGATAAGCTAACGTTGGTGAGAGACGTCGATCTTGGGAGACGATGATGCTATTGTACCTCGAGGCTAGGTGGAACGCTCACATATGCACCACATCCTGTTCCAGCCAGGTACGAATGAATGGTTCAACGCGATGCTTGTTGACTGGACCTTTACTCGCGAAATAGAATAAGCTGCTTCCACATGTGTTAGGCAGGCTGGACTAGTTACTAACCTTATTCAGATAGTTTCGAGGGCGCAGCCCCACTGCGGGTCTCACCGGCAAGCTAAGCTCTAATCAGCCACGGGAACCTGACTCGTTCGACATGATGTAATTCCTCAATGCTCAGCCTCAGCCATCTCAAGCTCTCGTGAATCCTGAAGCTCTTTCCCATTTCGAAAAGTTCATGCCCTTTCACCTTCCATGGCCGAACTGAACCCTCCAAGGTGACGGATGGGACGCGACACTACTGGGATCCTCAATCCTGCCATCACATTAGTACCTCTTTTGCGATGCATGATCGCACCAACGATCCTCTCTATCGCCTACCTTTCGGGCGTGACAGCCTCATCGAATTACCAAAGAGCTGCCATTGCTTTTGAACCTGCGCTCTCTCAGCATACTATCCACCTTGAGTGCTCGTTGAATACGCACTTGGCAGCACAGCATCTCAGCTTGGACCCCACGTCAACGCGTCTCGACTCTCAACCATACCCTCTGCCTCAGGACTGATACAGTTCTAGCAGCTGCCGTCCAACATGTCTCAAACTCCTCCACGTAGCGGCAGTGGGTCTACGAAACGTGCGACTTTACCCAGCGGTCAACCTTCACAACAGAGCAACAAGACGACGCCCGAGCTCCACATCCGGACAGACCTCAGTCGAGACAGCGAGGCGGACGCTGGTGCGTCGACCGCCGCAGGAGCTGAAGACAACGGCCGAGCAAACAGGCATCTGGAGGTCCCTTCAGCCCATGGAAGCTCTCGCCGAGATAACAGGTCCAGCGGCCAGGGTTCCGCCAGCCCTAGGTCAGATGGACAATCAAGTACGTCGCCTCGCCATCCGCAGCAGCCGAGCGAGACGAGTGGATGCTCTTCGAGGGATGGACTCGCCGCCATTGAGGCTGATAGAATAATGTCTGATCACGACGCACTACGACCCGATCGTGGTGCCGAGAACGCCTTCTTCGTTCAAAACAACCCCTTTGCCTTCTCACCAGGTCAACTTGCCAAGATGTACGACCCAAAGAGTCTTGCGGCATTCTATGCACTCGGAGGCTTGACAGGTCTGGAGAAGGGACTGCGCACCAACCGCAAGCTTGGCCTCGATCCAGGCGAGACGCTCCTCCGCGGCAACGTGACATTCGAGGAAGCGACAAAAGCGGGCAGTAAGACGTCCTACAACGCTAATAGCGCGAAGGCTCCCGTCGGCGGTGATGCGCAGCCTTTCGAGGACCGACTACGCGTGTACAGTGACAATCGGGTCCCTGCACGTCAAGGCCAGAGCTTCCTCAGTCTGGTGGCAGACGCGTTCAAGGACAAAATGATCATCATGCTCTGTATTGCTGCTACCATCAGCTTGGGCATTGGAGTCTACATGACCATCATGGAGAAGAAAGAAGGTGGTGACAAGGCCCCAAGCAGAGGCGATGACAGAGAGGAGAAGGTCGAATGGATCGAGGGCGTGGCGATCCTCGTTGTTGTGGCTCTCTGCGTGCTTGTCCAGGCAGTCGTAGACTGGAGGAAGGAGAAGCGTTTTGCTGAACTCAACCAGAAAGAGCAGGACAGGACTGTCAAAGTTGTGCGCGACGGAGAGACGGTCGAGATCTCCATCCATACGCTCATGGCTGGTGACGTGGTGCAACTTGAGCCAGGAGATGTCATTCCCGCCGACGGTGTACTCATCCAGGGGTTCAACATCAAGTGCGACGAATCGCAAGCGACGGGCGAGTCGGACCTCATTCGCAAGCAATCCGCTGATGAAGTCTTCTCCGCCATCGAACGTCGGAGCCGCCTTCAGAAGATGGACCCCTTTATCCTGTCAGGCGCCATCATCAACGAAGGTGTGGGTACGTATCTCGTCACTTCGACCGGTGTGCATTCCTCTTACGGCAAGATCATCATGAGTCTCAATGTCGAGCAGGAAATGACGCCGTTACAACATAAGTTGGGATACATTGCTCAATGGATCGCCAAGCTCGGTGCTTTTGTTGCCGTGGCGTTGTTCATTATCTTGATGACGCGGTTCTTCTTGAACCTCAGAAGCACAAACACAGATATCAAAGCCGACGAGGCCTTCAAAAAAGCGATTGACATACTTCTCGTCGTCGTCGTCATTGTCGTCGTGGCGATCCCTGAAGGCTTGCCTCTTTCGGTAACTTTGGCGCTCGCGTACGCAATGATGCAAATGCTCAAGGACAACAATCTCTGCCGGCATCTCAAATCGTGCGAGGTGATGGGAAGTGCCACCACCATTTGTTCCGACAAGACTGGCACCTTGACGCAGAATAAAATGACCGTCGTTGCTGGCACTGTGGGCATCAGTCATGACTTCGAGGAGCATGGTGACTCTGAAGGACCAACGGAAAGACCCGAATCGGCAAAGGACTGTCTGAGCGAGATCAGTCAGTCTATCCGGGACCTTTTGAAGGACTCCATTGCTCGAAATTCAACAGCTCGGGAAACCTTGGACGACGATGGAAATGTCCAATTTGTAGGGTCCAAGACGGAAACGGCGCTGCTCATGTTCGCCCAGGAACACCTCAGCATGCAACGTGTGAACAAGGAGCGGGAGGCAGCCAAAGTGCTGCATCTCATACCCTTTGACTCTGGACGCAAGTTGATGGGAACTGTTGTGGAGCTCCCACATGGCGAGGGGAGCCGTCTCTACGTCAAAGGTGCTTCTGAGATCATCCTCGATCACTGTGGCCAGATTCTGCGCGAGCCGCGCGAGAACGTGGATACATCTCTAGGTCCACTGTCTGACGACGACGTGGCCGAAGTCCATGATCACATCAATGACTATGCCAGTCGCTCACTACGAACCATCGGGATTGCGTATCGCGATTTCGAGAGCTGGCCCCCGAGCGGCGCCAAAACTACGTCAGATGGCGATCTCGACGTCGATGACCTTTTGCAGGACCTGTGTTTCGTGTCGCTGGTGGGTATCCAGGATCCCCTCAGGCCAGGTGTGCCCGAGGCTATTGCCAAGTGCCAGAAAGCTGGCGTTTCTGTACGCATGGTGACTGGTGACAATAAGCTCACGGCGCGTGCTATTGCTTCTGAGTGCGGCCTCCTCCAAAAGGATGGCATTGTGATGGAGGGGCCCGAGTTCCGAAACCTGACAGCCGATGAGCAGAAGGACGTCCTACCGCGCCTGCAGGTGCTTTCCCGTTCCAGTCCGGAGGATAAACGCGTCTTGGTGATTAGGCTCAAAGAGATAGGCGAGGTCGTTGCTGTGACTGGAGACGGAACCAACGATGCACCTGCTCTCATCAACGCCGATGTTGGTTTCTCCATGGGCAAGTCTGGGACTGACGTGGCCAAGCAAGCTTCTGCCATTGTGCTCCTCGATGACAACTTTGTGAGCATCGTGCAGGCTCTGAAATGGGGGCGGTCTGTCAACGACGCAGTCAAGAAGTTCCTCCAATTCCAGCTCACGGTCAACTTGACGGCACTGGCGGTGGCCTTTATCACGGCGGTGGCCAGCGAGAGACAGAAGTCGGTCTTGACCACCTTGCAGCTTCTTTGGGTGAACATGATCATGGACACATTTGCCGCGCTGGCTCTTGCGACAGACAAGCCCGAGGATGATATCTTGGACAGACAACCCGAGTCGCGAAAGGCGTTTGTTGTTACGCCGACAATGGGCAAGATGATCCTCTTCCAAGGAATATACCAGCTATGTGTCGCTCTTCCAGCGTACTTTTGCGACAACTTTATGGACCTCCAGTTTGGGGAAGGGCAAAAGGCAGCCTTTGTCTTCAACACGTTTGTATGGTTGCAAATCTTCAACCAGTGGAACAACCGCCGCCTCGACAACAAGTTCAACATCTTTGCAGGCGCCCACAGAAACTTTTATCTTCTCGGAATCAATGGAGTCATGATCATTGGACAAGTCGCCATCATGCTGTTGGGCAAGGGTATACTGTACCAAGGCGAGCCGCAGACGCTGGAGATGTGGGCGGTGACTCTAACGTTTGGTGCCTTGTCGCTGCCGGTTGGCATGGTCATCCGACTGATTCCCGATAGGTGGTTCATGTCCCTGGTCGGTGGCCTCGGCTGGTTGTTGCCGACGACGGTGAAGGAGCGTGCGAAGAAGTCTGCGGGCGCGCAAACCACGGATGAAGAGATTGGCATGTACCCTCACGCGTTGGTCGAGATACACGACGAGCTCAAGTTTTTGAAGCGCTGGCGGGGTGGTCGCCTCCGCAGTCTGAATGCTGCCATCCACCATCCGCGCGAAGCATTGCGAGTGGCCTGGAGTCCAGCGACGCCACCGAGCCCCGTGCTCTCAGGCGAGGAGGACGAGACAAACAGGCGACGATCCAGGTCGAGAACGAATACCACGCTAGGAGCGCCCACGGCGATGGCGGGCATCGTGGCTGCTGGCATCGGTATGGGGTGGTCGCCCGTCGAAGGGTCTCCGCGCCCCTTGGAGAGGAAGAAGTCGGGCGGAAGTCAGCTAGCGAGTCCGAGTGATAATAGCCCAGGTGTCAGTGATCGCGTTGGCTCGTGAAGAAGAGGTGACGGAGTTGTCGGGCGGCATGAGTGGCACCTTTGGTCTATGAAGCAGTATTAATTCTCGTTCCTTGCCATGTACGATTTTGTAGGAGTTGACGGAGGACGAAATCCTGGCCCAGCCTCTTCGAAGGCAGCGTCTCCTACACGATATCCCCAGACAATCAATAGACCGCGATTGCGTTGCAGACGGTGACTCGACGTTCGGTGTCGCGCTTCCAGTTTAAATGCGTGCTTTTCAGAAGAACTACGATGGCCGGCGCAAATACAGGGCCCATATATTATATATATGTCTGTCTGTGTTGCTGCCTTGCTGTCGCTGATGGTTACCTAAGTAGTTGGCCGTCCCTTGCCTCAGTCCCATGACTCGCTGTCTGTGCATGCAGGCAACTTTAGTCTACCTATCTATCTATCGATCGATCTATCTATTTTCTATTCGTCTTGGCCTGCCCTCTTTCTTCTCTCTCGTTTTTCAAGCAACCACACCACCACCAGAAGCCCAGCCTGTCCCACGTCCCACAGTCTTCAGTTGCGAAGAGCTGTTTCACCTGCATCTCACAGACAAAGCTGGGTCGAGCGCTCGCATAGATCGCATAGAGCTCGGTCAACCCCCCTCGAGACTTCACACGACGTTTACACTTGACAACCGAATCAGATTGTCTCACCAGGAATTTTGGCTTTCAACGCGGCGTCATCAAATCTCTACTACCACATCTTCATGCTTGGCTGACCTTCTGCGACCCACCCTTCCACCAACTGAAAGCCATTCCATCCGTCTCGTCCACGCGCATCATCAATCTTCCTTCAACTACGCCATGCCACCCGCCGCCGCAGAGGGACCGAGCGCGCCCCAAGGGCCCGTCGCGGCGCCACCGTTGACCACGCCTGAGACGGCCACGCCCGAGGAGCTCGAGCGCGCCGCCGTCACGATTTCTGTCGCTGACCTCGAGGAGCGCGTGGCGGATACTCGTGATTCGTGGGAGACGGATTCAATGTATGAAGATATCCTGGAGACCCTAGAGCAGGAATCAGGCGGTGAGTCATGAGCAGGCCAAGACAGAGACAGAGAGGCAGAGACAGAGAGAAGTAGGAACTGAGCTTGACGACAGACACACCGGGGAGCTGCACGCCGGAAGAGGCCAGTCGCCTGCGTCGCGAACTACGTGAATACGGACCCGTGGTGTTCGCCCAACGCACCCTCGACTCGGGTCGGTACACAGCGCGCAAGCTCCTCACGGCCTTCAACCTCAAAGCTCCCGCCTTCTTGGACGACTGTCCAGACGAGGACTTTCATCCTCTCCTCACGGTGGCCATTACGCGGGAGCTTGCCAAGCGGGCCAAGCTCACGCGCTACAACACCGTCAACGACGCCGTGCACTTGCTGCAGCGGTCCTCCAACGTGATTGTGCTCACGGGGGCGGGCATCAGCACCAGCCTCGGCATCCCCGACTTCCGCTCCAAAGGCACGGGTCTGTACTCCAAGCTCGAGCACCTGGGCCTCAACGACCCGCAAGAGGTCTTTGACATCCACACGTTCAAGGACGACCCGACCATCTTCTACTCGGTGGCCAAGGACATCATCCCCTCCACGGACCGCTACACACCCACACACAAGTTCATCGCCATGCTGCACGAGCGCGGCAAGCTCCTAACCAACTACTCACAGAACATTGACAACCTAGAGATTGTCGCCGGCGTGCCCAAGGACAGGCTGATCCAGTGCCACGGCTCGTTTGGTGGCGCGACCTGCGTCGAGTGTGGCTACAAGACGGCCGGCGAGGACATCTTCCCCGACATCAGGGCGGGCGTCATCCCCAAGTGCCCCAGGTGCATCCAGCGTCTCCGTCCCGCGGCGCCAAAACGGAAGCGATCCAGCGAGGGGCCGAATGGGCGCCGACGGAGACGCAAGAATGGGCATAACGACGATGACGACGACGACGACGACGACCCGGCCTACGACATCCCGCAGGCCGGCGTCATGAAGCCGGACATTACCTTCTTCGGCGAGGACCTACCCGACGAGTTTTCAAAACGGCTGACGGAGCATGACCGCGAAAAGGTAGACCTGGTCGTCGTCATCGGGACGAGTCTCAAGGTGACGCCCGTGAGCGAGATTGTCGGCTGGCTGCCGTCGCACATTCCGCAGCTGTACATCTCGCGGCAGGCCGTGACGCACATCAACTTTGACATTGACCTGCTGGGCGACTGCGACGTCGTCGTCGAGGAGCTGTGCCGGCGGCTGGGCTGGGAGCTGAAGCACGAGATGGTGGCGCCCGGGCGTGTCACTGTCAAGACGGAGGAGGGCTACAAGAGTCGACATGTCTTTACAAAGGAGACGTCGGAGTAGGGGCATTCATTCATAGAGAGAAGGAAGGGTCAATGATAATGAATTAAGTCGCTGGATATGCTATAGATATGTCTATATACGGTGGGGTCATACTATATCAACGACTCATACTTGTCCAGCCCAGACTTGGACGCCTGCGGCTGCTGCTGCGGCTGCTGCTGGGGTCGAGATGGTTGCGTGTTCGCCGTGCTGCTCATACTCATAGGCTGCTGGCCCCATTGGCTCTGAGGCGCTGCCGTGCCGAATCCAGTGCTCCCTTGTGCAGGCGGCGGCGGTAATGAGAATGAACCTGACGAGGCACCCATGGTAGGTCTCTGCTGGCTATTCAGTGACATGACAGCCATTGAGGATGCCAGGCCTGCTGCACCGGACGAGTAGTTGGGTGCTGTGCTCGACGGCGTCGAGGATGCCCATGGGTTCGACGCTGCTGCACCGCTGCTGCCACTACCCCAGTTGATGCTCGACGACTGCGGCGGCTGCTGCTGAGGCGCCGGTGGTGGGGAGAATGCCGCCGTTTTCTGCTGCGACACAGGTTGCAGAGGCTGACTGAACTGCGTCGACGTCGGCGTCAGGCTCGCAAACGAGTTCATGTCGGGCGTCACGGTCCTGAAACTAGGCTGCTGCGCTGTGAACGCGCACGTGACCGAGGGGGCGCTCGTCGGCTGCGCGGGCGTCGTTGTGGACCAGGAGAACGCTGGTGCTGAAGGTGTGCTTCGCCCTGACGACCGACCAGGTCCGTTGGAAGACGACATGTTCGTCGTCGTCGTCGTCGTGTTGGGTGTGTCGTCCCAGCGGGGGAAGCTCCCGTTTCCCGGGGCTGCTGCTGCGGACGTGCTGCTTCTCCCCTTGACAAGAGACTCAAAGTCATCCTCGTTCCCGGCAGGGCCTGTGGCATCAAAGGCAGTGCCCGTGAGTCCACCAAAGGAGAGCATGTCTTCTCCTTTGCTGACCGTGGCGGAACCATTGGTGCCACCCAGTTCTTGTAGTTTGCGCGTTTGTTCCTCCTCAACGCGAGATGAGAGAAGTTTGATGAGCTCCATGAATGTCTGGAACTGCTTCAGCTCGAGCAAGGGTCCCAAGCTCATGCTCCACAGGATGGGGAGGATGTCCATGGCGACAAAGTCGGCATCGGCCGTCTGCCCGACAATGCGAAGCACGTTCAGCGCAGCCATCATGACGGCCGGCTCTTTTGTCTTGATGCCCCTCACCAGCGGCACAATCTTCTCCTGCATCGTGTACTTGTCCAATGCTGACGAGGAAGACGTCTTCTTTTGAGGCGCAAGACCGTTCAGACCATCATCAGCTGCGGCGTCAGCCGACCCACCGCAGAGGATGACAAAGGACTGCAAGCCTCGTACTTTGATGGCGAGGCTGTTGGTACGCGTGAAGACCGCGGCAATAACCGGGAAGAGCTCGCCTTTGATGGTGCTGAAGTCAAGGACAGGTAGGACGACAGGGAGACTGCGCATGGCAGCGTCAATGATGTTATGTGTAGGGCACTCGATGGCGGCCAGCAGTACAGGAAAGATATCTACATCGTTAGCGAGATGTCTGGAAGAATTTTGTCATGCTACTTACCATCCTTGAATTCCTTTCCTGAGCAGTTTTCTGCGCAAATGGACAAGTTCTCGAGGAAGACCATGAGCCCGGCATCCCTTGCCGGATCCTTGTCCTGCTGCGCTTGCTTCGCGTTGACCACAAAGATGTCTTTGAGGGCAGGGCGCACTTTGTCAACGAATGCTCGTCTTGACGATGGCAGAAGGCTGAGAATCTTGAAAACATTCTGCAGGATCAGAGACAGCAGGTCTCGATCCTTGAGCTCCTCCAACAGGGCAGGCAGAAGCTTCTTCTCGATCACTGACTTGGGGAATGAGGGGAGAACCTTGTTCAAGCCGCGCATGAACTGGTTCTTCTCGTTCGGTGTCTTGGCCGGAAACGCATCCAGGAAGCGAATCGTCGATATGAGCACATTGTCAAAGAACTCGCTCTCTTGAAACTCCTTGGCCGTCATGCGCTGCGCTGGTCGTCGAGTGATCAGGCGAGGTAGGACATGGTTCGTCAGGTCCTTGGGCAGCGGCCGTTTGGAGAGGAACTTGTTCGATGCCGATGGTATCGTCGAGGACGAGGAGAAGAGCTTTCGATACGCGGACAAGCTGCCGTGGCTCTCCAAAGGCGATCGGTGAGGCGAATTGTACAAGGCTACGGACAGCAAGCCCAACGAGAACATGTCTGCGGATGCTGTCATGTTGTTGTCCATGACGAAGTCTGGGGAAGTATAGTCCAAGTTGAGCTGGACGAACCTGGGCAGCCTTGGGTCGGGGTTCAGCACCTCATACAGGTTGACGCCCTGTATCGACGTCGGTTTCGTCGACCCCTCTACCGGGCTACAGAACGCCAGCCCGCTGATCTTCCAGTCCGATTTGGCGTTGATCAGGATCGCATCCGGCGTCAGGTTGCCATGCAACAGGCCAGCATTGTCGTGCAAGAACTCGAGCGCCTTGCTGACCTGCAGCAAGCCCTTTTGGACCTCCAGCTCATCAAGTTCCAGCTCGCGGCGGCGCCGCACGCCGTCCGCATCTTCCGTCACGTAGCGACTTCCTCGACCACCCGGTCCACCAGATCTCTCCTGATCATCCTTCTCGTGCAATGCGCTCGCCAGCGAGGCTGTCACGGCCTCTGTCACAAATTGTAACCCGCCACCCCTCGTCTCCTCCACCGGCTCGACCAATTCCAGGATGCTGGGGTGTCGTAGTTTCGCTAGGCTTGACGCTTCCTTCCTCAGCCGCTCCACGACCTCCTCCACCGCGCGCTTCACCGACGTGCCACCACTCCGGCCGCCGAGCGAGCTGCCACCGGCATCAAGAGTTTTCTTGTCGAATACAAAGACGCTGTATGCCTTGCCTGTGGACTTCTTCTTGGCGTCGTATATCCGCCACGGTCCCGCCTGGGATGTGGCTGTCGAGGCGATGGAGTAGTTGGCGGTAATGTTCGTTGCCGAAATGGACTTGAGCGCTGAGGAAAACATGTCGTCGAATTCGTTACGGAGGAAGTTCGGCGCGTATAAATGGTATCATGACGGGAGCTGGATGAAAAGATCGCAGTTGCGCCGATGCGCCAGCGCGCTCAATGGGTTGTCTAGCCCTGTCGCGTAGCTCTTTGGAACGTAGTGAATGCTGCAATCTTAACACGACGGGCAGATATTGTGAATATATGGCCTGGAAGAGGTTGCGCGAATGATGGGTATCAATGTATGCGCCGAGTCGCAGACAGCATTCAGGTTGGCCTTTACAATGTCGAGTCCTGCGGCGTAATCAGGTACAGCAGGCATTATGACAGGTGTCGGCCCAATGGCTGTGACACCTGTGGCTCAAGCTTAGATTTGCCTACCCTGTGGAGCATGTTTCTGTACAATTGAATTCGTTAGACAGGCAGCAATATTGTATTGTACAAGCCTGATCATCTCCGTGTCTATCTTTTTCACCATGGCTGCTGCTGGGTGATTATATTTCTCCTGAAGTACCATAATTGATAAGTCAAGGTAAAGTAATCAGCTTCTCTACCCCGACACCGGCGGACATTACTGGTATAAGACGACCACAGCCTATAGAGCATGCAGAATTGAAGGTTACTGACGGGTCTCATCTCGACTTGATCAAGGAGTCATGGCGGCTACCTACATACCTGGTATGGTCAGAGCCAATGCTTGCGCAGTTTGGTAGACACTCGCTGGGAGTAGCGCTTATCCTCGGCGGAGGCAGGTCGGCTTACCAGCAGATACAGCGCTAAAAGGGCGTGTCTGACGCGAAGGGCTCCGATAGAGCGCCGATGGGATGCGACGTGCGGGTATTTCTATTTCTCAGTTACCTTTCCTCAGAATCGAGAATTGCAGCTCTATCCGTACTCAATACGACGTCGACTAGATCAATTGGGAGTTTGGATTTGATTGCACTGTTGCTACTCATCGTTTCGAATTGGACAAGGGCGGGAGACAACTACGTCCACGTCGGGCGCATTTTCACCCCAACCACCACCACACAATATGCGGTCCATTCTACGCTCGACCGCTCTGCGGAGCGCCACGAGGGCGTCAAGAGCTCTTCCGACATGCTACGCCGCGCGCCACTACAGCATCAGGACCCAGGCGGCATCTGCGTCGGCGCAGGCTCCCCTCGATGCCTCCAAACTGCAGGTCACCCAGACCACCAAGCCCAAGACCTTCAGCAAGCCTGAGGACCTCGTTTTTGGCAGGGAGTTCACAGGTCAGCTCGGCCGCTCTCCATGGAGATTTCAGTACTGACGGCTGCAGATCACATGCTCACCATCGAGTGGACCGAGAGCGAAGGCTGGCTGGAGCCCAAGATCGTCCCGTACCAGAACCTCTCCCTCGACCCGGCGACATGCGTTTTCCACTACGCCTTTGAGTGCTTCGAGGGCATGAAGGCCTACAAAGATAAAGAGGGCAGCGTGCGCCTGTTCCGTCCGGACAAGAACATGGCCCGCCTCAACAAGTCGAGCGCCCGCATTGCGCTGCCCACCTTTGAGCCCTCCGCCTTCACAGAGCTCATCTCCAAGTTTGCCAACCTGGAGAAGGACTCCATCCCCAACCAGCGCGGCTACTCGCTGTACCTGCGCCCCACCATGATCGGCACGCAAAAGACCCTCGGCGTTGGCCCTCCGGGCTCGGCGCTGCTCTATGTCATCGCCTCGCCCGTCGGGCCCTACTACCCCACGGGCTTCAAGGCCGTGTCGCTCGAGGCGACCGACTATGCCGTGCGCGCGTGGCCCGGCGGTGTCGGCGACAAGAAGCTCGGCGCCAACTACGCGCCCTGCATTGTCCCCCAGCTCGAGGCTGCCAGCCGCGGCTTCCAGCAGAACCTGTGGCTGTTTGGCGAGGAGCAGTACGTCACTGAGGTCGGCACCATGAACATGTTTGCGGTCATCAAGGACAAGGCCACCGGTCAGAAGGAGCTCGTCACCGCGCCCCTGGACGGCACCATTCTCGAGGGCGTCACACGCGACTCCGTCCTCGCCCTGGCGCGCGAGCGTCTTGTGCCCGAGGGCTGGAAGGTCAGCGAGCGCAAGTACACCATCAAGGAGCTTGCCGATGCTGATAAGGAGGGCCGCCTTGTTGAGGCCTTTGGCGCTGGTACGGCCGCCATTGTCAGCCCCATCCGCAAGATCTCATGGAAGGGCGAGATGATCAACTGCGGACTGAAGGAGACGGAGGAGTCTGGCGAGATTGCGTTGAGGATGAAGACCTGGATGGAGAACATTCAGTATGGTGATGAGGAGCACGAGTGGAGCTACAGGACCCAGGCGTAAATTAGACGTATGTAGATTTGCGGGAGTTACAGAGACAGCAGGCAGCATGCATCGATCTATTCAATGGGCGCGCTTTCCAATCAATGCACTATCAGAGTGCCATGATAATCAAGATTTCCGTGGGAGAAAATAAAGATGTGTCAATTGACGACAAAGGGAATCATCCTCTAACCATGGCGTGAACCAAGAATTTCTTCAGTGAGTGCATGCACCGAAGCCGATATGCACATGTCGTTGGTAGTCCAGCCGGGACCGTGCGAAATCCTCCCATCACAACAGCATCTAGGCTTGTCCTTCTCGCCCTCGGGTTCAGTTCTTGTTGTCGCCAGATGAGCTTGGGTCGGGCAGAATGCCCTCGGCTTCTAACCGCCTCCTCGCCTCCTCGAGGGCCCAGGTAGAAACACTACAAGAATGGTCAGTTTCCTGCGGAGAATTCAAAGGGAGAGAAGCGCATGTAGCATGGTGCTGCCTTTACAGGCCATCCCAACGCTTCTCCCCTTGCCCACGTTGACTCACGTTGTGTCGGGCTTGTACGCCATTGCAATGGCAGTAACCACAATGCTACCGCAGAAGATGTACATGGGCCATTCCCAGCCCTCGGGCTCGGGCTTCTCGCCAGGCTTCACGCCCCAGAGCCAGCCGGTCGGAGGGTCGAACTGCTGGCCGCCACCGCCACCTTGTCGTCGGGTCGTGAGGGAGAAAGATCTGGCGGTCGTGGGTGTGGTGCGGAGGCAGCGCACGGAGCGCAGGGGCGCAGCAGCGTGACGAAGGAGCGCCATTGTGTGTCGGATGATTTGTGTGCTTTGCGAAGTCGGAATGGGCCGCAATGGGGGGTCCAGCGGCGTCGTCGTTGTTGGTGGTTCTCGAGGTTGACGGACTCCGAGGCGCGAGAATGGCCGGGCCGGTGAGTCACGTGATAATCCGGCAGATGACCTGGATGTCTAGAGGACCCACTTCTTCTTGCTTAGGTTGCATTGTAGATCAGCAGATCTTAGCGACAACGGGAGGGAGTCTGAGGGGGGGGGGGGGGTTGAGCTTGAGATTATTAGCAGTCGCAATGCCTTCATTCCTGGCAAAGCAACGCTTATATATGTGACCAGCGAGGGTGCCATAGGCTTCTCAGACGCTCGAGTTCGTGAGCTTTGATGCACAACTACCTGATCCCACATCCACATCCACGCTCCTCACGAGTCACCAGCCGACTGGCCCATATCTCGATCGCTCAAAGCCACTGTTGCTCCATTGCCGCCTTACATGTGCCACCTGATACCCGCATCGACAACTGACAACTGTCGTTTCTTCGGTGCGCTATACGCGGCTTTGACGCGGCAGGTCTGAATGAGCTCTGAGATGAGATTGTGAGGTCAACAATAGCCAGAGCTGCATGGTAATTAGCAAGATGGGTTGTTCCCATACACAGTCTTCATTTCAAGACGACACCTAATAGACGCAATGGTTGCGCACAGTGGCATAGCCACCGCAGACTCCAGTCGTGGCGATGGCGCGCACGACTCGGAACACGATGAGAAAAGCAGAGGAATGATGGACGACGATCCGCCCGTCAGACCCAACCTCGGTAGGCGACACAGCTCCTGGGCCAGCATGGCTCAGATTGAGCAGATGGTTTCCAACGACATGCTCGACACGAAGACGTACGGCGTGTCAGAACTGCGAGAAGGCTTCTTCGACGCGTTCTTCCTGAAGCCAACTGATGCTCCCACTGCAGAAGACCAAGAATATGCCAGGACCACCTTGCCACAAGCTTTCGACAAGGGCTCGCCCCTCTCACCGAAGCACTTTTGCTGGAAGCAGGCCCACGAACTACGTTCTCTGACGGCCAGGGTCACAACGACGAGGGCAGGCATCCGGCTGCTCAAATCTTGCACGGCGTTCTTGATTGCATATATTCTCTGCCTGATACCTGCCGTGCGCGAATGGCTTGGCCGCTACAGCTATATCATGGCCGTGTCCGTCATCTTGAACCATCCAGCCAGGACAGTCGGCTCGCAAATCGATGGCGCATTCTTCACAATCATCGGGACTGTTGCAGGGCTGGGCTGGGGCACAATCGCCCTGCTCCTGTCCAATTCAACCATGGCCGCTCGTGCTGGCTTTGGAGGCGTCCTAGCCACCTTCATGGTCGTGTTCATGGGCATCCTTGCCTGGATCCGATCTACCCTGGTGCGATTTCATCAAGCCAACCTGTGCGCAGGTATAGCCATCACAATCACCACACTGGCAGAAACACAAAGCCGGCGTATCGTATGGCACAAGCTCTTCGGCTATGGCGTGTCGTGGCTGTGTGGGCAAGCGATTTCGCTCGTTGTGTGCTGCATCATGTTTCCAGACGCAGGCGCCCGCCCGCTCTCCACCACTTTACACAAGTTCTTTGCCGTTACCCGGGATGCCCTAGTCATCCCGAAGCCCAGGGACGTTCGACTCCGAAGGACCCTCGCCAGGATGTACGTTGAGTTGTCTGTTGCCTACCGTGACTTGCGCATAGACATGTCCATTACGAGATTTCGACCCGACGACATTGGAGAGCTAAGAAACCTCATGCAGACTGTAATTCGAACGATTCTGTCCGTGGAAACTGAAACTCTCATGTTCGATAACTTTGATGAGGGTCACGACGTCACAATCACCGTTCATTCGCCGTCCACGAACGACCCAATCACCCCGGACAATGCTGCCAGCAAGGTTGCCCGTCTCTTTGCGAGGCCCACAAGGGAGATTCTGGATTGTATGCTCGAGGGTCTCGGTCGATGTGACGCCGCTATCATGGACCTGTCTGGCTATCGCAATCACCTAGGTCCTCCCCCCGAGACGTCCTCCGACCTCGCTTCCATCCAGACCCGACTCGAAAACGCACTGGCATCGTTCGATGCTGTCGAGCACGACCTTCTCAATTCAGGAGAACTGCCAGCCTCCTCCATAGACTATGCGGACGTCATCCCGCTATTTCTCTTCTCCCGACACGTGCGTGAGACAGCTGCGGCCGTCCAAGCGCTCGTCACCAAGATAGAGGCCATGCAAGGCGCACCCAAGTGGCCGCGCGTGTACCTGCCCTCTTATCCCTTCCGTCAGGCCATACACCGGACCAACAGGCAAGTCCGGCACGACAGAGGTGGTATCACCGCGGCCTCGTACCACACCACCTTCTCCGAGATTGCCAAGCTCCTGGAGAAGATCAAGTCCCGAGACTACCGGCCTCCGGCCCGAACACGTCCAAGCACCCCTGAGCCGGACGCGGGGCTCACGGGCGGATCTGGGGTAGAGGCGACACACCCAACGATGGATGCTGGGACCGTTGATGACGGGACCGAGACGAGCAAGACGAGCAAGCGCTACGAGGTCTGGAAGGTGCTGCATCGTCTACAAGGGTTCGAGAGTCGATATGCCTTCAAGGTGTGCCTCGTCACCTCTTTGCTCTCTGTGCCCTCCTACCTGCAAGGCACGGAATGGTGGGACGAATACGAGGCGTGGTGGGTCGTCGCCGTGAGCTGGATCATGATCCATCCTAGGGTTGGTGGTAATCTGCAGGATCTGGTGACGCGCGCCTTCTTTGCGTTGCTGGGCGCCGTGTGGGCCGGAGCAGGCTATGCTGCTGGGGGTGGAAGTCCATATGTGCTCGCTGTGTTTGCCATGATTTACATGGTGCCGATGCTCTACCGCTTCACGCAGAGCTCACATCCGGTAGGCACCTCTTCTTTCCGTTCACCCTTTCGAATACTAACTCTGACGCAGCGGTCGGGTCTGGTTGGCTGCCTGTCCTTCACAGTCGTGTCTCTGAGTCTGCAATTCCATAGCAACGGCGGCTCAGTGATGCGTACCGCGACTCTCAGAGGCCTCTCTTTTCTCGTGGGCACCGTAGTACCTATCGTCGTCAACTGGGTTCTTTGGCCCTTTGTTGCCCGTCACGAGCTACGAAATGCCTTGTCTTCGATGCTCTTCTTCATGAGCATTATTTACAGGAGTGAGAAAACTCCGGTCCAACAGTCGCAGCATAGACTAACAACCCACAGGTGTCGTTGCCAAGTACGTCTACTTTGACGAAGGACACGAGCCCACGCCCGACGACATTGCGCGCTCCGAGATGCTCGAGGGCCGGTTGCGGGAAGGCTTCGTCCGCATTCGCCAGCTGCTGGTATGTAGTTCCATCCAGTCCCGCCCTTTACTTTACAAAGACAGCTCCGCTTATAACTTTTAGGTCCTGACACGTCACGAGATCCGTCTCCGCGGTCCATTTGACCCTCTCCCTTACTCCGCCCTCACAGATTCCCTCGAGCGTTTCTTCGAATATCTCATTGCCGTACGCCAGAGTGCACTGTTCTACAACCCGGAATACATTAGAGATGACTCTGCGGCAGCGGGGAAGTTGCTCGGCTTCCGACGTGATGCAGTGGCGGCTATTCTAGGAAATCTGTACATCCTCGCCGGCGCATTGCGATCACAGAGAAAGGTTCCGCGGTACATGCCCAGTGCAGCCGCCGCAAGGAAAAAGCTTATGCTCCGCACCATGGAGTTCGATGACGAGATGGCCAAGTCCATGCACGACAGCGAGCGGCGACGGCATAAGCAGTGGAGCGAAATCTACAGCTACTCGTACAAGGAAAGCCTTACTGGCTGTGTTGCGCAACTTGAGGAGCTGGAACGATACACGAAGCTCATTTGCGGCGTTCAGGGGTATGTACACATGAATCCACCACCCCCTTTCCTTTCTCGCCACCTCCCGCTGACCAGCCAGCTTTGACGACAACATTGAAGACGAGAGTGCAGATGACAGTTGAATATTGTGACTATTCCAGGACGCTATGACCAAAACAAACCCTGCCTACCAATGTAGCATAGCCAGTGACACCGCCCCTTATCCAATGTGAACGCCTAATATGCCCCATTCGTTGTCTCATGCATGATGTATCTTGTAATCGGCTTGTCCTTGAACAATACATCGGCCGGCATGGTGCCTTTCCTGGGCGTCGGACGCTTGTTCTCCTTTCCGCCTGCTCCCTGCGCTTTTCTCGGCGGTGTTCGTCCCTTGCCGGGTGTTTTTGGTATCCTCTGCGTTGGTCCGGTGGCGGTGATCTGGGTCGCAAAGTCTGGAAAGTAATGACTTTCCATCGCATCTTTGGGGAGATCGTAGATCCAGTTGCTCTCCTCCATGAGCCTGATGAATCGGCTCAGCATCGTCTCGTCGCCACTGTTCTTCAAGGTTTTCTTACTCCCCACCACAATCAGCTTCGTCTTTGCGCGTGTGAAGGCAACGTTGATCCTTCGCCAATCTTTGAGAAGATCGCCGATGGAGCATGAATCGTTGCTCCGCACCAGACTAAGCACAATGACCTCCTTGTCACGACCTTGGAAGCGGTCGGTTGTATGCATTTCCACTCCTCCGTAATGACGGAGCTGCTCCTTTAACAAAAAGAGCTGAGCACGGTAATGCGTCATAACACCCACCTCGTCCGGTGCTATGCCAACTGCGAGAAAACTGTCCACGAGTTGCTGTACGATGCGAGCCTCGCCAGGATTCACAATGCGCTTTCCTTGGGCTTCTTCGTGTACCGCAGGTTCCAGGGTATCAGTGTTGACAAACACAACCCGGTTCTCAGGCTCCAAAAGGTCACGCAGCCAACATTGGTAGCGCGACGGAACAGTGCAAAAAGATCGCACCGAAGCCGTCGCCAACGTCGATACGTCGTGATGCCTCTGGCTCAGAGCAGCCATATCTGGCACTTCTAGCTTACGCTTCTTCAGAGCTTCGGTGCCGCAGCGCAGTCGTCCGTCATAGATCAAGGTGTTGCTGAGTGTCATAATGTCCTCGCACATCCGATACTGGTGCTCGAGGTTGACGACCGATTGAGGGTGGGCATCAGACAGGAGCTTGAACAGACTCACATCGAGGCCGCCTTCACGAGCTTCCTCGTTCCTGACGACCGGGGGGAGCTGGTTGTGGTCGCCCACCAGAATAAATGTCCTTGCCATCCGAATGGGCCCAGCGCAGATTGGCAAAGTGATCTGTGACGCCTCATCTACAATGCAATAGTCGAATGCACGTTTCTGGAAAATGTGGTGGTTGATGCCGAGACAAGTGGTAGCCACAACGGGTGGTCTCATCCACGCTTCATCAATCTCGTCGAACGACTTCTTCGGGACCCCGGCCAAATGGGCGAACTCTTGAACACCTGGGTGAACTTTGGCGGGTGCACCCAGTCGGAGAACGGGAATGTTGTCCATCTTGAGCTTCAACAGTATATTGTCAACGGCAGTGTGGGTGTGGGATGTCAATAGCACCTGCTTCCCCTGGGATACGAGTGCTCGGATAATGTGGGCAATCGTGGTTGTCTTGCCTGTGCCGGGCATACCTAGAACCAGAGCGTAGTCTTGCGCGCTCATGACCTTCTCGATCGCCCTCTTCTGGTCAGTGTTGAGGCTCTCGCCGTCCGTAACGGCATATTGCGTTGGCGCTGACTTGAAACTGGGCGTCTTCAGGTCGACGATCAGTGACCGGATCTTGCTGGCTTCGGGAATGTCATTCGCCATCATTTGAACCAGGTTGTTTCTGATCGTGGCCATGCCGTTGCTGAACTCGTCCTTGTCGAGGCGATATCGAATAGGGTCCTGCTTGATCTTGCCTTGGGTATCTTGCGGCGCCGAGCCCTCCGGTGCGACCTCCATGATGCTAGCAAAGACCTGATTGTTCGCCTCATCGAAGCCCGGCTGGCGAATGCGGGCATTATGTAGACGCCGGTCTACTGCAACCTTGATGCTCTGCTTCTTGACCGCCGTGACATATCCAATGGCGAGTGCGAAATGGCCCTCTTCATCAGACACCACAATGGGTTCGCCAACATTGAGCTCCGATTCCGTGAAGGAAAACCCAGCCGGTTGTTGTAGGCGCTTGATAAAGGTGTAATGGAAGCGATTGATTCGGGGGTTATCAGTGTCAACGCTGCCAGACCCTTCCTTTATAATGACATCGGCAAAGCAACGAGACTTTTTCTCTCGCTCGGCACTCGTCATCGTCCACAACTCTCGCTTCGTTTTTTGGCCATCCTTCTCTTCTATCGTCAGCAAGTTCTCCCACTTGATGAAGAATGCTTGATGCTGAGGTGTCAAGTGCTTGACCAACTCATCGAATTTCTCTCCCATCCCACTGGTCTCGCCGTCGCCGTCATCGGCGAGACGATGGTAGGTAAAGCACGACGTCTTTGCGTAACATTTCCCGCACATGTGCTTGTGCTTCAGCATTGGCGGCAGCCGAACATTTCGTTCTCTAACGTAACAAGCGAGCTGGTTGCGCTGCATGACCATATGTCGTAGTTCGTGTCGAACCGCGGGAATGCGCATGGTCTTTGACGTTTCCATGTAGTAAAGAATACCGTAAGCTATGTCGATGTCGTATCGATCAGAGAGCAGAAGTGTGTATAGCGCTGTCTGAGCCATGTGGTTTGGGTTGGGATGCTTGCCAGTCTTCACCTCGAAGGGAACCGTCAACATGCGCTTGTCTTTGCCGTCGAGCATCGCAACCTCGACCGTTGCATCGATATTGCCTTTCAGGCCATACATTGGCGACCAGACATGTTCCTCTACGTCAAGCAGCTTAGTGACCGCCATGTTTGCCGTCCTCCCGCCACGGTCCTCGACAATTGCGTCGGGTACTGGGTTAGAAGTGACAAACGCAGACGCCCATTGCGTGACCTCATCCATCTTTGAGTTGAGATGTTCCCGAGCCACCTCAATACTCACGTTAATGGTATAGAGATCCTCTACGTGCTTCTCGCACGTTTGCTGGATAACTTTGTATAGAAAGAGACGATCCCACTGGTTTGCGAGAAGGGCATCCTGGAAAATCTCGTGGAGCATGGTGCCGTACACGAGCGGGGGTGAGGCCTCGCTGGTGGCTTTGACGCGATCTTGAAGCACGGCGCGTCTCATGCAGCCAAAGGAGTCCGCGACAACAGTCGATGAGATGAGCTGATCAGGGTGTAAGATCAGGAGATTTTCGGCATCATCCACAATGCACTGGCCTTTGTACGAGAAGTCGCCGATGACGTGGACGTACGAGTCGGCATGGGCTGGAGTATCATACCAGCAGCCGCGAAGATGCACTGTTCGATCGACTTTGCCTCCGTCAGCCCGGATGACCAGTATCTGGAGAAGTTAGCGGCTGACGCCAATCGAGGCCGGGAAGATGTACCTTTTCAAGCCGCGTTACTTGATACTTGTCGATATACTCGCTCTCTGAAACCAAGGTTATTAAGTATCGCTGTATGGTCCTGGGCTTCCGTGTGGACTACCTTTACTTAGCAAAGGCCGTCATGTGTTTTCGTGCCAACATACATGTGAGTTGGGGCTCTGTGCCTTTTCGACAGATTGAGTCGCTGCTTCCATAACGGCATCAAAGTCTGGATCATCGTCTAGATCGCCGAAGTCCTCGTCAAGTATGTGCGGGCCAGCCATACTCAGACTGTTTGCTTGCGGTTTTGCCTTCTTTGGTGAGGGGGTCTCTTCCTTCATTGCCTGCGTCGCTAGCAACAGGGTCGCATCGTCTAGGTCATCATCTTCGAGGTCGCCAAACTCATCTAACGTCGCATTATCCTTCACTACCGGCGCGTCAACCCGGGGAGCCTGCGTCAAGCTTGCTTCCAACTCCATGAAAGTCTCATCGTCGAAATCATCATCGCCATAGTCCGAAAAGACATCGAGAGCTATTTGAGCCTGACTCGGCACAGTCTTCGTCGGTGATCTTCGCGTCTTCCTTGCCGTTGGTGATTGCGGCAGATGCTGGGCTGCCTTGGGAGTGGCATCTGCAGGATTGACTTTGGAGCTGCTTCCGGCTGGACTTGGGGTTTGCATGCTGCTGTTCATTGTGTCAAGTAATGAGTTCACCAGCATTGACTTTGATGCTGCTTCCATCTCCTCTTGTGATGTTGTCGTCCCACCGCACGAATTTTTCTTCTCGATTTTCCTTCTCTTCGATCCGTGCAAGCCGTAGCTCATCGCTCGCCGCAGGTTGGGCTGGGCCTTTCCAGACTCTCGCGAGGTTCGCGGTGAAGACGATACCATCAACTGAGCCAGAGCCGGGTTCGCGAGCCCTAGAGGGGTCGTATGCGACTCATTCTTGTTCAGGGCGTATCGGTCCCATAGCTCCAGTGTGGGATCGGCGTGCGGCGATTTGAGTGCTTGTGCGAGCTCTTTGACATTTACCGCTGGGGTCGTTGGTTTCTCGTGGCCTGGCGACGAAATTGGTGAAGAACTCCGTGCTCGCTTTCCCTTACGTCGCGCCAGCAGTGGCGACAATGCATTGGCGTACAGAGTGTCAGGTTTACTGTCCCATCCTATTCTCTCATTTGGTGATGTATGCTCGTCTGTCTCGACCGTGGTGTCACTCGGTTCCATAAAGTCCCTCCACGTTAATCGGTTCGCGGGTGTTGTGGCAGTCTCCTTTGAAGGAAGCACCGTGTCATCCATGGGGCTTGCAGGCGTCTCATCTTCCAACGCTTGACATTGGAACTTGCTGAGTTTCTGTTTGGTGACTTCTGCGACAGGCGGTAGTTTGTAATTTTGGTTGACGGGGTTGCTTCGAGACCGCTGCCACGGGGATCGCTGTTGTTGTCAGTCAAACAGAAGACCACTGGGAGCAATGGTAAGGGCCAAAAATACCTTTGACAGGCCGATTCGCTCCGAGTATGACTTTTGCAAAGGCATTGTCAGTCAAATTGCTACCGAGCCTATACCAAAAATGTCCAAGAAACACGATCCTATACACATGGGGAAGCCGAGTGCGATGTAAGTACGAGACGCGTCGAGAAGCACAGCGGCGCGTCGCTGTGATCCCCACCATGGCCAGACGCGTGCTTCGCCTGTATCCCATTAAACGCGTACACGTGACCTGGCGTTGAGTACGTTCTTGAGATACCCCGGTAAGCTCCACAGTGAACCGTCGATGACCTCAACACCCGTCCGGCGGCTCGTCGGTAGGCCAACACCGTACACTCCATGTCCTTGCCTTGATCAAAGGACTTCTGGCAATCATGGATGGCTCTGACAGATCACCCGGCAATAGCAATGGCATCTCGCCCTCCCAGCAGCAGCCACAGCAGAAGTCCGATCTCATCTATGCTGACAGGATGCGTGAGCGCCTGGCCGAGATCAACAAACGCATAACAGACCTCAAAGAACGCAGCAGACCCTACGTTACCAGACTTGAACCGCGCATAAACACTGCCCTGGGAACCTATCACAGCTCCTCCATATGGACTCTGATTGGCACTGGCAATGCTCAGCTTCAGAAACAAGGCGTCTTCCTCGGTGCGATGCTCTCCGCAATCAACGAGCGGGAGCTGGAGCAACCGCAGGCCGATGCGCTGGTGGAACAGATGAAGGGCAACGCGCGAGCCTCGGCAGCGATTGGATTCGGCTCGCTTGCCGTGGCTGGCGTCCTAACGGCGAGGAGATACAAGATCGTCCCTCCCTGGGCCTTGCGGAGCAAGCTGACGCACACCGTGTGGCCTGCGATGCTGTTTCTGGGCTATTTGGTGCCGGTTTCCCTCTTCCTCTCGCCGCTCTTCAGGGTCTACGCCAACAAGTACTATTCTCGCCAGTTTTTGGAGGATGAGCGTCTGAAAGGGTGGAACTTGGATGTGAAGAAAGCGACGCGAGGTTTCAATGACCAACACCACGCGCAACTTGCACACGCAGTCTGGCCGACTTCGACTGAGCAGCAGCAGTCGATTGGCGGGCAGGCAGCCCCAGGATGGGAGAGTGCAGGCGCTTATGACAACACATCATCGTCACCCCAATCGCAATCACAACAGAGCTCCTGGGACGGCCAACCGAGCGCCTTTGACGACGCTTCCCCAGTGGCACCTTCTGCCGTCCAGCAGCAGACGGGCTCATCATGGGCTCGCCTCCGTGGGCAAGCAGCTCAAGGACAGCAGGCGAGATCTCCTCAGCCCCCGCGGGCTGCACAGGGCGGTTGGGGCGAGCCCGAAGATACAAGCGATCAGTTTCTGGGTTCCTCTACGGGGACAAGAGACAGGGGTGCATCCTCGTCTACCGATTTCAGTGAGGCTTCGGAGAAGGAGAAGGCACAGAGAGAATTTGATCGCCTGCTGGAGCAAGAAAGGAGAGGAAAGGACCAGTCTGGAGCATGGGGTGGGAGATGAGGACATGCGACAATTAGCTCAAGCATGTAACAATTAAATAGGCGCTCGGTATGTTTTTGTTCAAACCGCCATGTGTGGTTATATATTCACTCAGTAAATATAACTCTTATCGGGTACAGCCGGAGAAATTTGAATAACTTCCTACGCTAAATATACTCCCGCAATCGTCTAATTACGGCTTTACCTCGTCCTTCACCGCTACTGGCTCCACGTCGTTGCCATCCGCTGTCTTAGCCACATCGGCTTCTAACACGCTCTCGCCAGCCATGTTGGCGACCAAAGTCTTTTGTTCCAATTTCGGCTCCTGCTCGGACGCGTCTTCGTGAACAACCTCTCCCGCGGAGAATTCAGGTTCCGGCTTCGGCTTCGGTTCCTGCTCCGTATGCTTAGTTTGCTCCAGCGTCTCGGCGACCTCGTCCTGGACCCTGGATGTGTCCAGTTCGGGATCATTAGCCTCGACAGTAGGCGCATCCTCCGCGGGTGCCTCTGTTTGCTCCGCCGGTTCTGTTGACTCGCCCTCGGCTTCCCCCATAACGGTCAGGATGCCATCGCCGTCCAATGACCAAGTCGCGACAGGCGCGGAAACGTCCAGTGTTAACACACTCGAGCTAGTCTGCGCTGCTGGTGCCGCTTCCTTCGCCGGCGCCCTCCTCTGAGGACCCCTGGCTCTGCTCTTGCGAGCGTCTGACAAGGGAGCCTTCTCCTTCTCGGCCTCGGCCTCCTTCTCAGGGGAATCATCCCGCTTATGAACCTGAGGACCAATCTTGAGACGCTGATTCAAGTCGTTCATGAATCCAGCCTGCAAAGCGGCAATCTTACTCCCTGCCGGGCGCGTGGGCACCGGTGGCTTCTCCCTCGTCTCGCCTGCCGAGCTCTTAGCTGGACGAGCAGGAATTTGAGGCTTCGGTTTGTCGGATACGGCTGGCTTAGGTCGGCTAGGGACGGCTGGACGTTCCGGCGATCTTCTCACAGGCCTTGTCTCTGGCTCTTCCTCTTCTTCCTCCTCCTCCTCCTCCTGTTGGGGGGTGGAAACGGTCGTCGACTGCAGGTGGCTCTCTGGGGTATCCTCCCAAACATCACGACTGGGGAAGCGAGGGCTGCCGGTAGCAGGGCGGTCAACCTTAAGATGAGCCTGGTGGGCGGCCCAGTTCGGCTTCCTCTCCTCGGAAAGAGGCAGGAACTTGCTGACAGAGCGGCGCTTGGCCTCCCTCTCGGCAAGCTCCTCTTGCTGCTTGGCGAAAGCGTGAGCCGGGGTAAGCGGTCGCTCAGCCTGGCCAGCCGAGCGCGCACGATGGTGCTCACTCTCGGGCAGGTCGGGAGTCGACACTGTCGCGGTGTAGTGAATACTGCTGGGCGCATCCTCCCAAATATCCTTGCTAGGGAAGTGGTGGTGGTGCTTGTTCTCGTCGGCTTGCTCCTTGAGGTGCTTTTCTTTCTTCACCTCTTCGGGGAACAGGGGTTCGTACTCCTCGACGTCCTCGAGGGGAGTGTAACGAATCTCTGGTTGAGAGCTTTCCTTTTGAAGGCTGACGGGTCGACTGATGGAGCGACTAGGGGCTTCTTCCGCCTCGTAGTTACTGCCACGACGATCGGCAGGAGGATGCACAGCCGGGCGCTGACGGTACGCATTCTTGTTCTTCTGCACTTCGTCTGAGGCAAGAATAGGGGCGGTATAGTCCTCGTCCTCGGCTTCCGGCTCCTCATCGCCGTAGGAGCGGTACTCGGGGTGCTTTGGGTCATCGACGTGGATTGCATCCTCGTCCGCCCCAGCGTCTTCCTCGTTGAAAGCCGTAACGGAATGCGCCAGCGATGAGGTACGGCGGTGATGGCCAGTCGCCGGAGCCGCCGACTTGGGGCGAGGAGAGGTATGACGGACGTACTCCTCGCTGGCTTGGAAGGCAACTTCATCTGTGGGGGTGCCACGGAACTCCTTGGCGGTGCCGAAGCCACGACCACGGCTGGCGGTGTCGCGCACCAATTTGTTGAGGTCTTCGCGGCTCATGGCGTAGTCGTTCTGGCGATCGTGGATGGGGGTGTGCTCCTCGCGAGCCTGGATGTCGGGGTGTTTCTTGTAGTACTCCTTCTCCAGCTTGTCCTGGGGGGCCACGCCGTGTCCGTGAAGTCCATAGCTACCAGGGGGCAGGGCACGCGCACTGTGCCTGCGGCTGTGGTGTTTCTGCTGGCCCTCATTGGGGCCAGGCGAAGGAGCCTGGACATCACCGAGATGGGGGTTCATGGGCACTCGCTGGCCAATCTCTGGGATTCCGTGTTCGTCATCGTGTTGGTCGTGATCGCTGCTCTGGGACAGACTGGTACTGGGTCTCTTCCTGTGGCTATCGCGGGACGTAGCACGGGTTTCGTCACGGCTCCCAGGACGGCCGATTCCAAAGGACGCCGCACGATCGGAGTCGGTGCGGGTGACTGCCTGGACCTGAGCTTTGGCCCGGTTGGCAGACAGAGAAGGCTTGGGCGCATGCAGTTCGAGGCCCGCAGAGATCGTGCGAGTCTGCTCAGGGGAAGCGTTCCTTGAGCCTCTCTCGTCTTCCGCCTCGCTTGCGAGTGCGCCGTATTCCGCGCCCTCCTCGCCAACGGAGGGCAGGTCGACGCTGCTGGACCTCTCGATGGGGTCGCGGGTCCGGTCACCGAAGCTTGAACGGTGGGGGCTAAGCATTGAAGGCGGTGGCCGAGCCTTGGCCAGAAGGCCCTCATTCAGAGGCGAGGGGGCGAAGCGGTCGGCACTCGGGGACATGGAGCGCTCAGGGCGAGTCTTGTTGGGACGGGGAGGGATCTTGGGGCCAGAAGCAGGACCGTCCTTATCGGCGCCTCTGGTCGGGCGAGGAGGAATCGAGGGCGTTGACGTTGTGGCTGTCATGGCTGCTGTGTACAACGGCTGCAGAATGAGATGGTTAGCGAAAATGTGGAAGACGCAAATCGATGGACAAAGGGCCCAGGGCTAAATGAAGAGTGGCTACCAAGGGCAAAGCTGGCGGCCCGTTATCTGGGCTAGATAACGCGCAAACGCTATGACATGTCCGGCACGGATAACGACACCAGGAACAGAGTTCAAGCAATAATGCCTGAGCTCGCGGCTGCAGTCTCACCGACCATCTGTCGGACCCAATGGTTACAAGTGGCATTGAGGCTGCCTGGACCGCCGCCACAGCTAGCCAAGCTGCGAGTCGACTGCGTGTGGACTGGATCATCCATACTCGTGGGAGGCCGTATGAGGTTCTGAGCAGGTAAGGCAAAGCACTTACATGGCGTGTGGGAAAGAGTTTCGAAAAGTAGATCTAGACACCTGGTTGCCGTCGTTGCTATAACATGGAGCACTCAAGGTGTGGTGGTGGGATCTGGTCTTGTTCCTGGTGATCACGATAGCTTCAAGGGGGGGAAGAGGGAGATCAGGTACAGATTGAGCAAAGGGCTATAGATAGGGATATTGCACCGCCAATGGCACGGGCGAGGCGTTGCTGGCGCGATGCTTTATACGAATGCGTCGATGGCAGCCAAAAACCTCTGCGGCAGGTGACCGATGGATCGTGACGGTCTCGAGGCGTCACTGTGAAGGTGCTGCGCGGCAGTGGATCTGGGAAACAGGGTTCTAGATGAGCAGAAAGAAGCCACGCACACTGTAGGCTGTGTCAATGCGACGGCGCATGCATTATTCTGTCTGCCATTGCTTGCACCTTTCTCACAGTGTGTGTGTTAGCTTCCAGAACGTTCAGGCACTGGCACTACCAGCCCCACGAGGTGCCGGTCAGAAACTCTGTTCCCGGTTGCGAGACGGGTTCGTATCACCGATTGTTCGAGATAAGCATCAGTAACAATTTGATCCCAATGGAGATTGAGCTTGATTTTCGGCAAAGCACAAACTCACGCGGTCGTCCGCTGCCTTTTAAGCATGACCCTACGCGTAGCTGACCTTCGGCCTCGCTCGCATTGGCTTGTCTGACCGCTGCGCACCGACAACACAGTGCGCACTAGTGTAGCACCCCCCGCATGCCCCACCCGACCAGCTGAATTGGAAGCGCTGGATTTGCGCCCCGGTTCTTGGCCATTGTTGGCCCTTTCGAGACTGTCCATTTATTTAGACGCATCAGTGGTCGCACCGCGGCTGCACAGCGGTCAGGCTCATGAAGTCTGGTGGTGCAGGGCGCTCAGGTGTTCGGATGGATTGGTTGATGATGAAGAGGGTTTGTGACTGAAAGGCAGCTCTTGCGCAACACCGTCTGACAGAAATCAAGTGACAAGACCCCGCCAAACCGTCATAATTCTGGGTCGAGCAGACCCTCCGTCAACAACAGACATCTGCTGGCGCGTGCTGGCGCCGTCCGGTGGCTATTGCAATTATATGCGAGTCCGATACTTCCTGGACCCCACCAGCACAATACATCACCATGCGTTAGAACAACGTCGCTCGTGGACAAATCGAGATGAGAGGTAGACGAGAAGTATGCCGGGCGCCTCATCTGATCTACATATCCAGGACTTGAAGATTGCCCTGCTTGGCGATTTTCGAGATACAGATTCGTGGGGTAGATGACGTGACTTTTAGTGTTTCCACCATGACGATCATAGAGAATCTACAATACATGCCAAGCGCGAGGAGCAAACTCTCCATGAGGTGGAGCGTCATAGTTTGGCTGGGTGTAGTCGAGCACGAATTGGAATGAGTAATAATATTTATTGTAATAGCACATGTGCCTAGTCGTTCAGAATGATCAAAGATCTAAAAATGGGCGTTAGTTGTACGTAGTACGATACAACAAGGATCTGTCGCCATAATCCTACAGCCCGGTGTACTAGACTACTAAAAATACCGTGAACTTTCTGTTTGTAGATTTGATCGTACAAGCTGAAAGAGTAGAATCATCTAGAACTCGAGCTTTTATTGTCTTCCATGTGAATACTTGTTGGGCTTGCGCGTGCCTGGCTACAAGTGCATGTCCAGGGTAACTTGTTGGCGGACGGGTAGTTAGCCTGCGCTGATGGCGTGGCTGGTGACGGAAGCCGCGTAATAAACTGGATAACGTACAGGTAAGAGCGGACGACTGCGCCTTACCAAAGTCATCATCGTGCCTTGCCTCAAGATATGCCCAGAACCGCGGTGCAACTTGAACTCGGTCCAGCACAACAAAACCACGCCAGATGCGTAACTCAAGACACAGCTCATCCTCTTGAATTGATTCTGTGAGAGAGACCTGTAACGCATCTGTCAACGGTCGTTTCACTGCCACACTGCCTGCCGCAGCCAATCACCGACGTCCTGCCGCGCAACTACGAGCGGGCCCATACATTCTCCAACAACAATCCTCAAGGGTCCGACCTCAAACGCCCTAAGTTACTCCGGAGACTAGCTGTCATCAGCAGAGAACAGCACAGCATCATCAACTGCCCACACGTCGTTCCAGCGCGAAGCCACATCACCACACCACAACCACCACGATGACGCTCAAAGAAGAGTTCCAGACTCGCAACTTCAGTATGTACCCGGGCGCGCGGCTTTGCGGAAATGACCCTTGCTGACATGCTGCGCGAAAGGCATCTACGGGCAATGGTAAGCTCAAACTGACGCTGCGCACATGGCGAACATCTCCGTCTCAACGACAACGGCAATGGGAGAGCTATTGCCGCGCGAGAAATAGCACACAAGCTGACAGAGAGGAATAGGCTGGGCATTGCCTCGATGATTGTCTGCTTCGCGACAGGGCTGGCCAACATCTTCAGCTTCCTTTCCGCGCCGATCATCATTGTGTTCTGCGCGCTTGCTCTGTATGCCTCTCTCTTCTTCTATTCTGTAGGAACGTCGCCAAGCTGACCATAGTAGCGCCTCCTCGTTCATCATCCTCTTCATTGAGATTCCGTTCCTCCTGCGCATCTGCCCGACGTCGGGCAAGTTCGACGAAATGATCCGCAAGGTCTCGACCAACTACATGCGCTCGGCGACCTACGCCGTGATGGCCGTGCTGCAGTTCCTCAGCACCATCGGACCCGACACGTCGCTGATCGCCGCCGGTATCTTCCTGAGCCTGACTGCGCTGTGCTACTTGGCGGCCGCCATCAAGGGCCAGGCATTCATCTCGAGTAAGACGCTGGGCGGCCAGGGCGTCGCCCAGATGATTGTCTGAGGTCGGGTCCCGTCTTATGATGCAGAGCATTCAGCCACGCGCTGCAGCGCAATGCGTCGGCATGCGCCGGATCAGTTCCGTTGCGCAGATGAGAAGAACGTGATATTAGAGAAGCGGAAAGGGACGAGCACGTGTACGAGGAACAGGCGTTGATTGCTGTTAGGGCTATGACATATTTATATCATTCCGAATCACACCAGTTTATGCTTCCCCATTAAAGTGCAGCACGCACAGCGATATCTGGTCGTCCACAGATCGGGAGGCCTCATAGTCAGGCTTGTCGATATGACTCGACTTACCAAGCCATTCCACCCGACGAGCACGGAGACTACCGCTTGTTACATCCGTGAGACGACCACTGCGTTGGAAGGTCTCTTCTCTCGCAAACCGACCAAGACAAGCAACTGCGTTGCTGGGTCAACGAGAATGCATCTGGCCTTGCAAGCGTGAATACCAATGTGGACATTGACCAACTACATTGGCTACAAAGTCACGCGAGGAACCATATGCTAATTATTAACACCACCTCATGGCCGAATGCGCGGCTTCTCGTACTCATGCCCTGTCGATCATTTTTCATGTGGTCAAGCATCTCGGGTCAATGGCCGAGCCAGCGCCTGCAGAGGCCCACAACAAGTCATGAAATGACGGGAGTCGGCAGATTTTTGACCGGATGAGGAACGCCTCCTCCAGTTCGTTGGAAACCAACGTACATTTCCCCATTGAGTGCTCGACGATGACTGGTGGTTTTCACGCGTGGTACCTCGCTCTGAATTGCCCCGCGTAGAGAGAAAAGCGTCTGACTCTCTTCCCCTGATGATGCCCCTCACTCAGTGAGAATGCTGAGGTGGGGGAGCAATGGTGTGTGATGCGCAGCAAAGCGACAGAGTGCTTTACTCCTCTCGTCTGCTGTGCTTCTTCATGCTCTAATATTCGCAGATTTGTGTTCTCTAGCTGTTGTTTACAGCTCGGTTCCTTCCATCAGCTATTTTTTGCACCGCTTCCCATCGAGAAATAGAATGTCGTCCGGACGAACTTTCAAGCTCGCCACAGGCTATACCATCCCAGCCGTGGGTTTGGGTACCTGGGTTCGTCCATTTCTCTTCCTTTCTGTGTAGAGGCACCTACTCATGCGGTTTCAGCAATCCAAGCCAAAGGAGGTAGCCCGCGCCGTCGAGGAGGCTCTGAGATTGGGCTACCGCCATATCGACGCGGCCGCTACCTACGACAATGAGGAAGAGGTTGGCGCTGGTATAAAAGCCTCGGGTGTCCCGCGCTCAGAGATTTTCCTGACATCCAAGCTCTGGAACACTCACCACAAGGCTGAGGATGTGGAAGAGGCCGTCGATGAGTCCCTCAGGGATCTGCAGACAGACTACCTCGACCTGTACCTGATCCATTGGCCCGTGGCCTTCCAGAAACCTGAGACACCTAGAGCCCGCGCGGCGGTTGACACTAATGATGGCGGTGTTCATGTGATCGAGGTACCAGTGGAGGAGACGTGGCGAGCCATGGAGAGAATGGTTGAAAAGGGCAAGATCAGGACCATTGGCCTTAGCAACTTCACGCAAGAGCGCATCGAGGAGGTCCTCAGCTTGTACGTTTTTGCCTAGAGTGTAGTCGCGAGAACATCTGGGCTAACAGGCAGCAGCGCCAAAACCAAGCCCGCCGTCCTCCAGATCGAAGCGCACCCCTACTTCCAACAGCCGGCCCTGTTGGACTGGTGCAAGAAGAACGACATTCTAGTAACGGCCTACTCACCCTCGGGCAACAACGTCTATGGTTTTCCCAAGACCATCGACGATCCGACTGTGACCCGGATTGCCAAGGACCTGGGCAAGACACCCGCTCAGGTGCTCATCCAGTGGGGTGTACAGCGCGGTACTGTCGTGCTGCCCAAGAGCGTCACTCCGTCGCGCATTGCAGAGAACTTTGTCGATTTCGAGATACCAGAGAAGGCAATGCAGGAAATCTATGCTCTCGACAGGAATACACGGTATAACTTCCCCGCGAGGTTGGGTGTCAATGTCTTTGGGGAGAAGACGGAGGAGGAGCTGAAGAAAGGCAGGGCGGACTGGATCGCCGCGCAAAAGAGGTGAGAAAGCGAACGGTACAGCAAGATATCTTAGAGTTAGATTGAGAGTTTGGCGTTATGTTTTGTAGCCCCTGAAGATTTGTGATTTGCCATGCTCGTACCGCTTGTTTGTATATGTGTCTCGTAGCAACCTTACACCATCCAACGCCAGCGGATGGATGCGGCAACACCACAATCATAGTGGCAAGAGTTATTTCGCCCTCGTCAGACGAACGAAGCTCCCGCATGCTATATGTAATCGTTCATCCTATGCGATGAGCACACCCGCCGAAGTCGGCGCAGTCCTAGGCCCGTTCGCGGCCTTCATACGTGCGTCTCTCCTCTCCCATGCGATCGCCGTCATAAACCTGGTTCTTGCAGCTCGCAAATACATTCCATGAGAACAAGATCGTTCATAGATTTTTTGTTTGTGCTGTGCCAGAGAATTACAACATGGGCAAAATTGCAAAGATTGAATACTTCCGCGTCCCGCCCCGGTGGCTGTTTGTCAAGATCACCGACGACGCTGGCGTCGTCGGTTGGGGCGAGGCCTCGCTCGAAGGGCACACGCAAGCTGTTGAGGGCTGTCTAGATGCCTGGATTAATCAGTACACGGGTATGGAGGCCGAGTATGTGAATACCAGGTCCAAATGCAACACAGAGAGGCTGACGGTACCAGCGACATTGAGCACATCTGGCAAAAGACATGGCGCATGGGATTCTACCGCGGCGGACCCGTCTTCATGTCCGCCCTCGCCGGCATCGACATTGCGCTCTGGGACATCAAGGCGCGCAAGCTGAATGTCCCCATCTACCAGCTCCTCGGCGGCAAAGTCCGCTCCACACTCAAGGTCTATGCCTGGATCGGCGGTGATCGTCCCGCCGATATTGAGCAGCAGGCTCTCGGTCGCAGGGCGCAGGGCTTCACGGCCGTCAAGATGAACGGAACTGAGGACGTTGGCTGGCTCGACTCGCCTAGCACCTTGGATAGCTGCGTTGAGCGTGTCAAGGCCGTCAAGGCGTTGGGCCTCGATGCAGGTGTGGACTTTCACGGACGCGTGCACCGGCCCATGGCGAAGCAACTCGCCGCCGCATTGGCAGAGCATAAACCCATGTTTATCGAGGAGCCGCTTCTGTCAGAGCATATTGAGGGGATCAAGAGTCTGAGCGCACTCACGACGATACCTATAGCACTCGGCGAGCGGCTACACTCCCGTTGGGATGTGAAGCCCTTCCTCGAGGCCTCATGCATCGACATCTTACAGCCAGACATCGCGCATGTCGGCGGCATCTCCGAGCTTAGACGGATAGCAGCCATGGCAGAGGCGTACGACGTCGCAATCGCACCGCATTGTCCTCTCGGCCCGATCGCGCTGGCGGCGTGCATCCAGGTCGATGCCACACTAGCCAACTTTGCGATTCAGGAGATGAGTCTGGGCATTCACTATAATACCGGGGGCCACGACCTGCTGTCCTATAGCAAGAACCCGGAGATATGGGATGTCAAGGACGGCTTCATCAAGCTAATGGAGGGCCCGGGTTTGGGTGTCGACATTGACGAGGACAAGGTGCGGGAGTTGAGCACGGGTGCCGAGGCGTGGGTGAGCCCTGGCTTTGTTGGGCCAGGCGGCGAGTGGCGCGAGTGGTAGGCCATGCAATGGAAGGGACATCAAGTCTGCGAGATGACAAGACTTCAAAGAGTTAGTTTGGCTCGTGAGCTCCCGGTTGACATGCAGCTTGTCGTGACGCAGCGACCGTTGTTTACCATTGCCCCTTTTCATCGTCGATGGACGGCGCCAAGGCTCGTCACTGTATGCCACTGGCATACATCCTACGCAACGCCCTTTGGTCCGACACTATTGCGATCATTCAGTAGCTTTGTCAGATTGAGAAAATTGATTAGGTGTCGAGTGCGATTTGAACTTTTCCCCCGTAGGCTCATAATCAAACGAGCACAGGCCAGCAGTCCTGTCCCTACATCTTCGCCGCAGTCAATCTGCAAAAACACGACGAGCGGATGGGCACATCGGCCACAGCAAGCGCCCTGTCGAGCTTTCCTTTCATAGCTTGTGCCTCGTCAAGACGGCCTAACCGCACGAGACATTCACGCCACCCATGTAACGCCCATACATTGTTGGGATGCTGGTGTGTCCTCGGAAGCGTATTGTCTACGCCGAGATCAGCAATATAGACGGCCAGCGCATCCTCGACGAGGCCTTGTTCCAGTAACAGAGCCCCGTACGCGTGTCGCGTCGGCTGCATCCAGCCCCACGGCTCGTCAAACGGCAACGCGTCGTAGCGGTCGATGGAGTCGCGCAAGTGCGCAAAGGCAATCTCAAAGTTACCTCTACGATATTCGAGTTCGCCGTCGAGGAGCGCCTCCGCCACGGTCAGAATGTCGACGCACTTGTTGTTGAACAAGGTCCTCGAGGGTTTCACGCGGGGCACGGCACGCTGAAACTCTTTTCTTTGCTTTTCTGCTTCCTCGACATGGCCAAGGGCGGCCGATGCCATGCCCTTGGCGTATAGAGTTAATGCCGTCGTAACACAGTATAGGTCTCGATCAGATGGTAGACGCATGTCCATAATGTCCCGCCACCGTCCGAAACGTATGTAAGCGTGAACACGCATCGCGAGGAAAGACTCGAGCCAGTCTGCCATGGGAGGCGACTCCATTCTCAACAGGTCGTCTGAAATGGTCGCCTCGAGTCGTGTCACCGTGTCGAAAGCAATCTGCGATTGCCCCGAGAACATGGCAGCGTAGAGCCGAAAGTGGTAGTCATGCGATCGGTACAAGGTATAAAAGTTCATCGGTCCCTCTCTCTCGAGGAAGATCTCATCAGCACAGATGGCGTCTGTATTCGCCACCACTGCCGTTGCGTAGTCGCCGGTCAGAATGTCCAGATGGGACGGCATGTGGTTCAAATGCCCCGAGTCTGGGACCATGCCTCGCAATCGATTCGCCGCCGGCATTCCCATCTCGGGGGATTTGGACATTTCCACCAAGTGGATGTAGAGGTGTAATACGCCTGCGTGGTTGAAGCCTGCTTCTGTGTCCATGGCATGCTCAAGAACGCGCATCGCTTCGAGGGTGCGCGCTCCCGATGCAGGCTCACCGCTATGCAAGTCCCATAGTTGCCAAGGGGTGAGGTTCATCATGGCATCGGCGTAGAGGGCGGCGACATCTGGATCCTCGGGAAATTCTGCGTAAACCCGGCCCATGGCATCGGCATACTCGCGATTCCACACGGAGCAGTTTGTCTTGGTAGGCTCCTGACCGCCCGGGTATCGGAATGCCAGGGCTTCCACAAGAGCGCGCTCGACAGCTGTCGTCTCGGGGTGGGCGCACACGGACGCCTTCTCGACGGCATCGTGCGTCCTCTCCACCGTGTCATTCCTCTCCCTCTTCTCGAATAGCTTCCATGGTTTGTTGTAGTTGGGTCCTAGAGAGTAAGCGAGGCCCCAGTATGCCATAGCACACCCAGGGTCATGGGCTATAGCTCGCTCAAAGCATCGTGCGCCTTCCTCGTGGTTGAACCCGTAGCACCAGATGAGACCGCGATTGAACCATGTTTGCGCCTGTGGATGATGAGTAGTGACTGGACGAGCAAAGGACCCAAGGTCGTAGTATGTGTCTCGGGAAGAAGTACGGTGCATGTCTTGTTTGGAGATGGGAAACCGAATCAGGGTGGTGATGACCGAACACGACAAGCTTGGGAATGGTGTGATTTCATCCAAGTTCTTGTAGATGCTCGGTCAATCGCTGCAGGGCCTCGGGTTTGGGCAGGGACAACCTGGACAGGCGGTGACCCGGGATTGCAGGAACACTTCGGCCAATGACGAGTCATTATATTCCGAAAATTATGGGCCGACTGGGATTAGCCCACCGCTGTCGGTGAGGCCCGAGGTAGCCTCGGAACTCAGGAGAAGCAACTTGGGCTTGCAAATAGACTGATAATCGGTAATCTGATTTCATTAACTTTGTTTCCTAGCTCGAGACTTTCGTTATAAATTGTCACTCGATAAAATCTCCGCACATGGTGGGCTCTGGAGTCTCGGACGAGATGTGACCTTTGTGGTATACCCAGGTTCTGTGACAAAGCGAGCCCCTTATCGAATAAACAAACGCGTGAACTTGTGTAAAATCCAGTATCCTGACATTCTGTCTGTAACTCCTCAACTGCTGCGAGTAGTTCTCAGCCCAAGGTCGTAGACCTCCCCCCCTTTGACTGTTAGTTAAAACTTCATCTGAAAATCGGTGCAGAGCTGGTTTCCACCTACTTTCATCACCAGCTCACTCTCATCTCTCATTCCCACTCGCCAAGAAAAGAAGAAAGGTCTAAATCTCCTCTCTACGTAACCGTTCAACCACACTTTTGTTCAATCGAGCCGTGAGTCGGCGATCGACGCCCGACTCTACAGAAGTTCGCCTATCATCCAACACCTCGTGTGTGGTGCAGTTTCGGCACGATGCCTCCTGGTTCAGTTCACCCTCAGGAATGAATCAATTACATTAGTCTAGAACGCATGCCGTATGGTATGTGCAGACGTTTAGAAGAAAATGACGGCGCGGTTCCCAGGCAGTTCATGACTGTGATCAAGACGTGGAATCTGGAAACATTTGACGACTTCTTTGATCTTGGTCGGGACATTCCAGACTTTGCCAACATCAATCGCGAGCACTTTATTCCACTGAGGTACTATTTCGGCTTCTTGTCGAGATTGTGTTAGCTTGCGGAGCCTCCACTCGAGCCCAGTCTTCCCAAGGTGAGAACGGCCATTTCGTGTCAGCTGGTCAAGAATGAAAACCGCGAAGACAATAAGATCACTATTGCTCATCTGTAAGCGATACTGGACGACTTTGAGTTCGAATCCGAGGGAAGTCGCACACTATAGTCACGAACCATCAGATCGGATGGCTGACTTTGGACTTGCTACGCAGCAGCCAGCTAAACATCTGATTACCAATGTCTTGGGGGAGTCCGAGTCTGAGAGTGACAATCCAAACACAGGTCCAGACGAGAGCGACGGCTCGCAGTGCGAAACAAAGGTTTCAGAAGCCATAGGAAATTCCTTTTGCAAACGAAAAAGGTCTCTGGAAGTTGTAGACAACCAGGACAACTCCAACGTACATAGGGATGCGCTTGTCAGCGATACAAAAAGAAAAAAAAAAAAAAAAAAAGGCTCCGCCAGTACCTACAGGTAGTCTTGACAGTACTCAGTCAACAATGGCTGTCAAAGATCGACAACACCCAGGTGGACCCGAAGAAGAGCGTGCGTGCAAGCGTCCTTGTGCGGATCCGACGGTAGTTCGATTGAAGCGTCTAGTCAAGGAGAGTGAGTTGAATCTGGCTCAACATGAGCTGGCACAAGCAGAGAAGGAACAAGAGGATCATTTGTCATCACTGGTCACCGCAATGGACAAACTCAATGAAGATGTTACACAAACTATGGAAAAGTATGCACTCGTCTTGACGGAGGGCTTTTCACAATTCGCTGGCTATGATGTCCGTGGACGTATCAACGGCTTGGGACAAGACTACCAGAAGTATCTCACTTTTCAGGCTGAGAAGCGTGGTGCAGCCGGCATTTGAGTTCGTTCCGGAGGACCCAATCTTTGATCGGCCAGAAGAGATTGCCGAGGGCTCAGCACCACAAGAGAATGTAGAGCCAGCGTTGGAGACGCCTGGATCTCCGGTCCCAGCGGAGACAACAATTTCAACGCCGGATGCCCCCCAGGAAGCGTCACCAGACCCGGACAATCCAGGGAGCGAGGGGACAGAATCAGACGCGGCACCTCAACCGCCATTGAAGCCGGAAGAGTCTCCAACTCCTCGGCCAGACACCAAGGCGTCGTTTGCTGTCCTCGAGGACTTTGACTGGTCGCGGTTCGCGTACGCTCACTATGTCACGAATCCAGCGTACCTCTGCAACTCCCTCCTCATCTTCGAGTCTTTGGCTCGCCTGGAGTCCAAACCAGCACGCCTCATGCTGTACCCGACCCATATGCTTCTTTCTCCCTCTGCTCCCTCAGCAGAGGACATGGACGGCAAGCTCCTCATCAAGCCGAGGGAAGAGTATAAAGTGACGCTGAAACCCATCATGATCCAGCACAGAGATAGCGAAGACGAGACGTGGGCCGACTCGTTCACGAAACTGCTTGCCTTCAACCAGACGCAGTACGACAGGGTTCTGACACTGGACTCGGATCGCACTATCCTGCAGCCGCCAGATGACCTCTTCTTTATGCCACATGGACCTCTGGCTCTGCCGCGGGCGTACTGGTTGTTGTCTGCGGATCCGCCAGAGCGCACACTCGCTTCCCACGTGATGCTCACTGAGCCCTCGACGTACGAGTTTGACAGGATCCACGAACAAATACACCTCGCGGGAGAGAGGGAATATGACATGGAGATCATGAACAAGCTCTACGAGAACTCGGCCATGGTCCTTCCACACAGAAACTATGCTATGCTCACAGCTGAATTTCGCAGCGAGAACCATCAGGATTACCTGGGCAGCGATGAAGCATGTGATCCAATCGCGGTTCTGGACGCGGCGAAGTATATTCATTTTTCGGACTGGCCGGTGCCCAAACCATGGGTGCGAGTGGATGGTGAGATTCAGGCATTGCGGGATGTGTACCAGCCAACGTGCGTGGAAGTGGACAGGCGCGAGATCGGGAAGAAGTTGTACGATGACTTTGCTAAGCGAAAAGAGGTCTGCCGCACTTTCGAAGAATGGTTGACAATTTCATGCTAACATTGCCGGTAGGCGATATGTCGACTTGGTTGAGAGGACATGGAGATATGCGTGCTGGCCGGTGGTGGGCTTGGCTTGGCTTGCCGCTTTGTTGCGTTCGGCGCCGGCATGACTTGATGCTAAGATTGCGAAAAGGGGTCCAAGACGAATCGTCTAGCGCGACATCTGCGAATCTCATTGGCAATTCTGATTGACACGAACTGAGGCCAATGCTTTGCAAGCTTGCAAGCCCCCAAGGCCCAGCTGAAGAGTTAAAGGGCGCCTCGGGGTGTGATGCTCCATCCGCGTGTGCTTCGTGATGAAACGCCACCTCGTATCTCCGCACACGTGCTCGTCAGTCCCAGACCAGTGCAGACCAGCTGTCATATATGCATTTCCCATCCAACCTCTATGTACAGGTAGGTAAAAGTCTGTAACCGGCACTCACTACGCCGTCACAAGTGGGCCAGATCTGACACGCTCCAGCCTGAGTCCGCGTCACTGGAGTCAATCACGACTGGAGGCCGCCGGTGGAAACTCCTCTGCCTGCGTGTTTCTTGACCAGCCTCAACTGTTAAGGAACGACATGGCCAATCCAGCACAAATCATAATCACCTCCACTCATCTCCCACCCGCCGTCAGTCCGCGCGCCGTCTTGGCAGTCCGGAGCACGAAGCCCCCACCCCACAAGGCGTGCGCAGCGGCCTGTGCCTTTGACGCATGCGTCCCTCCCTCCCTCGTGTCACTATCCACGTATAGTCAGTCTCCAACAGACGGAAAAAGCGGGTTCGACAAAGATTGGTCTTATCGACTGCCCATAGCTAGCAACACGATCATCTCGGATTCTCCAGGGAGACTTTGATATCTCGTCATCTGGCCCAATGCCGCCACAACATTCAGTCGCTCATTTTACGCACCTTCTCCCCTTCTCGCACGTCCACGGCCGATAGGAATTCTCGCCACGCAACTTGGCCAGCGGGTGACCGACCCCCTTCTACACCGAACCCTCCCTACACGTCGCGCCCTCACGACACGCGCAATGCTCAACTCTCGCCGCGCCCTCGTGGCGGCGGTCTTCATCCTCATTGTCTTTTTCCTCATCACCCGATCGCACGATTCGAGCTCGGGCGTCGCGCCATCGAATACCAACACCGAAAAGACCTCCTCGTCGAATAATGGCGGCAACGCTGCTGACCCCCCTGCTGACCCCCCTGCTGCGGCCGCCGAGATTCCCCCCGAGAAGCCCAAGCCGGCGCCTGTCCAGAAACCGAGAAAAGACATGTCGCGCATGAGCACATACGACAAGCTCGCCTACGCTTACCCGTACGATGTGGACACAAAGTTCCCCGCCTACATCTGGCAGACGTGGAAATACGGCCCTGCGCAGGCCGAGTTCGCCTTTGGCGAGCAGGAGGCCTCGTGGTCAGACCAACACCCCGGTTTCGTGCACGAGGTCATCACCGACGAGGTGGCGGTCAACATGCTGCGACTGTTCTACGCGGCTGTGCCAGAGGTCCTGGAGGCGTACCAGGCGCTGCCACGCCCGGTGCTCAAGGCGGACTTTTTTCGGTACTTGATTCTGCACGCCCGAGGCGGCATCTACTCAGACATCGACACGTTCGCCATCAGGAGTGCAGTGGAATGGCTGCCGCCCCAGATCCCGCGCGAAACGGTCGGCCTTGTCATTGGCATCGAGGCGGACCCTGATCGCCCCGACTGGGCGGAATGGTACAGCCGCCGGATCCAGTTCTGCCAGTGGACCATTCAAGCGAAGCCAGGGCACCCCGTGCTCCGCGACATCATCACGCGCATCACGAACCAGACACTGGAGATGAAGCGCTCGGGCAAGCTCGCGAGCTTCCTGGACAAGAACATTGTCGACTTCACCGGCCCCGCGATCTGGACGGACACCATCTTCGACTACTTTAACGACGAGCGGTACTTTGACATGCGCGACAGCACCAAGAAGATTGACTGGAAAGACTTTACCGGGATGGAGACGAGCAAGCGGGTGGGTGACGTTGTGGTCCTGCCCATCACGAGCTTCTCGCCGGGCGTGGGACAAATGGGTGCCAAGGAGCCCGATGATCCCATGGCATTTGTGCTGCACAACTTTGAAGGTTGGTCCAACAATGGCATCCGCCTCCCCAGATAACTGACCGGGACAGGCACGTGGAAACCCGAGAGCGAGCGCCATATTGGCGAGCAGCAAGTGGTGATGTAGCGCGCCACGCCCGATCAAACCCCCTGTCTACATTCCCGACGACCGGAATGACATGAAGCCCAGCTCAGCTCAGTCCTTTCCTGTCATCCGCCGACTGTACATATCAATACCCGACAGCCCTGCGCTGTCTTTTACATTGGGTCGAGCGTGCGGCGCTGTATATACTGGAGTTTGGCTGCTTTTGGGAATGTAATTTCACTCATAGCGTATAGACGGTGCGTGCTGTCAAAGGGGACAATCTCAGCAGGCTGAGTGGACAGGTTTCCCAGCCACGCACGCAAGGGATAGAGGCGCCTGGAGCGACACGAGAGGATCCAATAATTGTACCACGAAAGACACACGCACGCGCTTCTTGACGGTGATGCTGTGCGGAGCTTGCCGAGTGCCGGAGTAGCCAAATCGTGGGGAAGCCCAGGCAGGCTCTGTGCGGGGAGCCGGCATGTGCGTCGGTCTTGGCTCACGTCTCCCGTTGGGGGTTGGGTTGGGTCACGTAATAACCAACTTCGACGGTTGGTGACAACCTCGGATCCGATCGCCTCTCCGCTCCAATTCTTCAGCCTTGCCTCGCTCGCTCGCTCGCTTGCTTGCTGGTCATTACGCATCCTCTTCCCTTCTCCCTCTTACTGACTGCATCCTGCCAGAATGCTGCTCTCACGCAGCGGAAGATGCCTCCCTCAACGGGTCTCCCTGGCTTCGCTGGCCAGCTCAGTAGCCGTGTACCCTCCTTCATCTCACCGGTGGTACTCGGCAGACAACACCAACCTCAGCTATCGTCGCGGGCCGACGACGCCAGAGCTCTTCCGGGGCACCATCCCCGAGCACTTTGCTCGGACCGTCTCCGCGCATGGCGACCGCCCTGCTGTCATTGCGCGCTCGCCCATCCCCTCCTCGTCCTCCGGCATATCGGCGCCAGAGACGCGCTTGACCTACTATGACCTGGATATGCTCTCCAACCGCCTCGCCTCGTCACTCGCAGACCTCGGCGTGTCCAAGGGGGACCGCGTGGCCGTATCACTCGGCAACGGCGCCCCCTTTGCCGCCCTGACATATGCATTGTTCAAGTTGGGTGCGGTCCTGGTTCCACTGAACCCGACCTTTACCAGTGTCCAGGTGTCCGCTGCCTTGAAGCACTTGGAGGCCGAGGTCCTCATCATGGGCGCCGTGACGGATCTGGCCTATCGACCTGGCAAGGGCAGAAGTAACGAGTCCCTCATCAAGGACGTCGCGGGAGACATCGCTTCATCCACCATCCAGAGCGAGGCGGTCCCGTCCCTACGAAAGGTGGTGGTGCTCGATAATCGGGCATCTCACCAGGACGTGTCATTTCCCCTGGAGAGGTACCCTGCATTAACACCCTATGGGACCCTCCTATCCGGGTCATCGGGTCCCGTCACGCCATCGACACCTCTGTCGCCCAGTGACACGATCAACATCCAGTTCACCTCGGGGACAACCTCGATGCCCAAGGCGGCCATGCTCAGCCACACATCCATCCTGAACAATGGCCGCTTCATCGCCCACAGGATGGGTCTCGAGCCCTCAGATCTCATCGTCGTGCCGCCCCCCTTGTTCCACTGCTTCGGCTGTGTGCTCGGCTACATGGCCACCGCCACGACAGGCGCGGCCATTCTGTTCCCCTCGCCGGCCTTTGACCCCGTGGCCACGGTCAAAATGAGCTACGAGCACGACGCCACCGGCCTATATGGTGTGAGCACCATGCTCCTCGCGGTGCTCGAGTCACTCGACAAGGGTATCATCCCTTCCGCGCCCAAGAACCTGCGCAAGGGCATCGCGGCCGGTAGTTCCGTCCCCAGCGCCGTCATGGAAAAGGTCCAGAGCAAGCTCGGCCTGCAGGACCTCGTCATCTGCTACGGCATGACAGAGACCAGCCCCGTCAGCTGCATGACCAAGCCGTCGGACCCCTTTACGTACCGGACGACGTCTGTCGGCACCGTCATGCCGCACACCGGCGTCAAGATCGTCTCGCCCACCGACAGGGACACCATCTTGCCCATTGGCGAGAAGGGGGAGCTGGCTGCCGCCGGCTACCTCACAATGAAGGGGTACTTTAACGACCCGGACAAGACGGCCGAGGTGCGGGTCCCCGATCCCGAGACGGGCGAGATATGGATCTACTCTGGTGACGAGGCCGAGATGTCGCCAGATGGCTACGTGACCATCACCGGCCGTATCAAGGACCTCATCATCCGCGCCGGCGAGAACATTCACCCCCTCGAGATTGAGAATGCCCTCTTCACCATGCCCGGCGTCCAGGAGGTCTCCGTTGTCGGGGTCCCGGACGAGAAGCTCGGCGAGGCCGTCGCGGCCTTTATCATCTGCAGCGATGGCTCGACGGGCAGGACGGTGACGGACAAGAGCGTGAGGGACTGGGTCAAGGACCGCCTGAGCGGGCATCTGGTCCCGAAATGGGTCTTTTGGGTCGATGCGTACCCCAAGACGGCGAGTGGGAAGATTCAGAAGTTCAAGCTGAGGGAGTTGGCTGGGGAGCTCATGAAATCAAGCAAGTAGATCCTCACGTGTATCATTAGCAAGGCCAGGCGTTTTGGTTTCTCTCTCGTATATACAATTCTTGCTTCCTCACAACAGTGCTCAACTTGGAATACTGCGGTCCACAATGGTAATTCGTCGCTTTTTTCGCTATCGATATGAGTCTTCTCTCTTCAGAAACAATTTCAAGTAACATGGTCCCCAAATGCAGTGTGGGCGCTCGCATTTCTATGGATCCTGTGAAAAAAAAAGAATGAAAAAAACCATGGCCATGAATGAAATGGAGAGCCGTGTCTCGTTGGCGCTCAGCGCTTTCAACAATTTCGAAACGCCGCAAAACGCCAGTCTCAGGGTGAATATAACCTGAGCGCTCTTCTGCACAGCCTAGGCAGACAAGACCCCTTCTCTAATCCACCTGCTTGTCGCACCCGATGCGGCCCAGAAGCTCTTTCCGGTCGCTGTGCCCCGGCAGACTCACCCCCGAGCTGCTCGACTGGAACTTGCCGTGTCTGCGTTCCCAGCCCTTGAGGTCCAGCGATTCGACGCCGACGTCCTGCTTGAGCGCCTCGGCTTCCTCGTAGACGTACTCGTCCTCACTCTCTTCGGCCACCGCCTCGTCGTCACTGCGGGTGTCCTCGGCACCTGCACCGCGGAGGACCTTGACGGCCACGCGGATGATCAGGGTGAACCAGAAGATGGTGATAAACTGGAGAATGATGAGCGGCGTGAGGAAGGCCCATTTCACCGTCTCATTGTAGCACACGTGGCCGCTCGAGTTGTAGAATGGCTCCAAAAGATACCCGTAGCCCGGTGGCGGGTCGACAGGCCCAACGAGGTTGTTGTTGCTGCCCTTGAAGCAGCCCGTGGGCATGATCTCCGGCGTGTGCGCGTAAATCGACCAGCAGACAGCGCAATACGTCACATGGCGCGCGAGTAGCCACGAAATCATGAAAAGTCCAAAGAGGTAGTCGCAAATAGTGGTGTAGCCCGCGTACTTCAGGCACTTGGCAAGCTGTAAAGGTCAGCATTCCGATGGAACAGGTCTAACTGCACACATCATGGCAAGCTTACCGGCAGGAACAAATCCACAACATCCATGATGACCAGAATCAGGTTGCCCACGCGGGTGTGGTGATAGCTGTAACATGAAGAGATGAGAGCGCACGTCACAAAGTGGTGGCTCAGCATCTGGTAGTGATCCTTGCGCTTTTCCTCCACGTGAATGACCAGGATTTGCTGGATCCAGAACGCCCATTGCACTAGGATGTATCCCTTCATCAGACCGTCCATCTCGCGGTTGGGCCAGGCTGTCCACAGTTCGCGTAGATTCAGATAGTGCGGCGAGTTGCAGTAAATGTACTAAGAATCGTCAGCCCCATGCTTATCGCGACGTTGCGGGAGACCTTACCATGCCCAGTGGCCACAAGAAGCAGTAGTAGACCAGCAACCAGGCCTGCTCGCTGAAGCGAGTCAAGTCCTTGCGCTTCGTGACGCCCCCCATCTTGGCGATGGGAGCAAGCACATACTCCATAGTCCACGCCCGCAGGCCTGTGAAAGCCACAACGCAGAACGCTATCAAGTAGACATCGTCAATCCCCACGCCATATCGTCCTGTCGTGTCGTTCAAGTAGGAGAGGTGAAAGAATTTGTGCGTGACGGATCGCGCTTTGGGAATGAACCCATGCGCGAGGAAAAGGAGGGCGATGAGGTTGAACGAAAGACCTAGATAGGGTGCCCAGTCAGTAGGGGTCCCTCAGTAATAGGAAGCGTGCGAGTGGCGCACTGCGCCGCCATGTGTCGACTGGAACATACCGACTTGGTTCTCAACAAACCAGCGTGCTGCTGCTCGCCAGAAGCTCTCCTCCTTGCGCTTCAACTTCCTGACGAGTACAACGTTGCTCCCCGAGGTCTGCATGTACAGCGGTCCGTTCATGCTGGAGCCACCGGAACTCTGTTTCGGCTGTGGGCGCTTGGGGAGACCGAGCGAAGCACCAGTCTGCTCGTCGACCGGCGACGAGGCATGTAGTTCGTCACGCATGGTGTCCGGTGGTCAATGGCACGTTTGGAAGCGACTGTCGGGACGATTGTGTACGTGAGTTGATTCGGTCGGACTGGTTGAAACCAGGTCTCAGCTTAGTCCCGAGTAGGGAATGAATGAATCTGAGACCAGCGGAGGGGGAGGAGAGGGTAGTCAAGAGGAAGCGCTCAGCTCGCTCCGTTGCTGCAACGGTCGATCGTCGAGGAGTTGAGGTAAACGGGTAGGGATACGAAGGCTGGACGTCGAATAGGGGAGGCAGCAAGCCAAGCGTTGGAAATTCTGCCACTGCCTGCACGGGGCTCAGATCGTGGGGCGGCGGCCTGTGGAGGGGGTGTCTTCAGCTGCAAGTGTTCCAGACTGGACAAAGAGTATCAACACGTTCTAGGTCTCTTCCGAAGGCTCAATCGATCGCGTGGATTTGGGGAAAGCTGCAGAGCACCGTGGCACAGCTTACCAGAGGGATGAAATCGTCGTTTCTGTCCGCAAGTGTTGGCATTATCCACGTAGACTTCAAATCTGGGTTATCGGAAAAGGTTGCAGTGCGTGACGGGTCCCACACAAAGCTCGACCCCGGTGGCAGGGGAGCCGCTGTCAGTGGGGCTCAACAGCAAAGCGCCAGCCAAGCACAATTAAGGCTTTTTGGCGGTGAGAAGGCTTTCGGAACAGCGAGGCCAATGAGAGCTGGCTGTAAAGGGGGGCTACAACGTTGTTTTAAGACATGATCTGATAATCGATGTCTCCCCATCTTCACGGCTGGCTTGCCCATCTTGAGAGGCCCGGATTGGTTAGACACGTTTACGGAGTACATAAAAGAGACGCTCTTTGGACCTCTACGCAAGTGTCCCAAGCCATAAATATCATTTTCCTGTTTTTATTCTTGGGCCTATCGGTGTTAGCGTCGGATAGCACCTAATGAAGATGTTCCCACTCACGGGTCATCCCCGCCGGCCTCCCACTCAGGTGCCGTTGTGGACTGGGCCGGGTCATCATGAATACCATCATTGGACAACCACATTGTGAAGGCAGTTATGAACATGCTCTTTCGCGTAGCGCTATTGCCCACGATGCCTAGATTCTATGCTCATCTGAATCTCATGGACCTTTGGATCCTCTCCACCGACTGTCCATAGATACTCCGCGATCGACCTGCTCTGTAAGAGGCGCTCGGCTGTTGGCAGATTCATTATGCACGTTCCTCGATAATGTTTGTTGATGCCAGATACTAAGCTCCACAATCCAGAACAAGCCAGTGTTATATGTAAGTAGTTCCCTTCGACTCAATCGCGGATGACCAGTGACCGATTAGGTTCATGTTGGTGCAGCGACATGGGGGCCCCGCGGCTCTACATCACCGTAGCACAGACCTGATCGATCCCAGACACCTTCGAGATGACTTGCAGCGGTAGGAGTTCAGTACTCACGTCACACAACATACAAAGACACGCAGTCTTCAAGACGAATCCAAAGTCAGAACAAGTGTCGCGCCACACTAGTTCGCACTGTCCTGCCACCCTAATTCGTGGCGGTCAAAACAGTGTTCTTACTGCTAAAAACACAGTGTTCCCCTGCCAGTACGTAACGTACCTGGTAATACTTGCACCGCCACATGACCTTGAGGACTGTCATCGGCTGGCCTGGACCACCCTGTGTCATCGTCGCCGCCGCCAGCAGCTCATTAGACCAGGTCACTTCAACTCCTCGGAACTTACATCAACCATCACCACGATCGCGCATTCTATCAAGACACCCGTATCACCGCCAACATTTCGCAGCCAACAAACTACTCCACGATGGCGTCCAAGGCCAAGTACCAGCCTGCGCCGCAAGAAGAGCCCATCAACGACGACTACACCAGTGCGCCACCCGCGTACGCAGCTGAATCGTCATCCCGCGACGAGCAGCAGGGCCTGTTCGGCGCCCCGCGAAGCAGCGAGGACAACATTCCCGATGACTTCAAGGTTTGCATGCTCCCTGGATTGATGACACTCGACACATGCTGACGCGCTGTAGTTTGGCGGCTCCGTAGCAGAGGCCACCCTCGACATTCGCAACCAGTTCATTCGCAAGGTCTACACCATTCTCTCGGCCCAGCTCATCGCAACCGCGGCCGTCAGCGGTCTCACCTTCTGGAGTGATGGCTACAAGACGTGGATTCAAAGCCACCCTGGTGTTGTTTACGCATCTGTACGCTTTTCCTTTCCCCCTTCCGTACAATTTCCTCGGCTAACCGCATACAGCTCTTTGGCTCCCTGATATTCATGGGCCTTACCTACTGGAAGCGCAAGTCTTACCCGACCAACTTGCTCTTCCTCTCGCTCTTCACGCTCACCGAGGCCTATGCCATTTCCGTCATCGTGTCCTTCTACAAGTCGTCCATCGTTCTCAACGCCGTCTTCCTGACCGCAGGCATCTTCATCTTCCTCACTGCTTTCGCCTGCCAGACCAAATATGATTTCACCAGCTGGATGCCATACTTGTTCGGTGCGCTCTGGGGCCTCATGCTGTTCGGTTTCATGTCCATCTTTTTCACCTACAGCTCCACGGTGGAGCTGGTCTATGGTGGCGTTGGCGCTCTGGTATTCAGTGCCTACATTCTGGTCGACACGCAGCTGGTCATGCGCCATCACCATGTGGAGGAGGAGATCGCGGCTTCCATTAGCCTGTACCTCGATATCATCAACCTCTTCCTCATGATCCTGCGCATCCTCAACAGCCAGAATAACAACTAAGCTGTGGTGTCCGCACAGATAATTTATTGGCAAGGAGTGGTGTTTGTATCTGGTGGATATTCACAGGTGTTTGCGGCGTTTTGTACTCTAGAAGTGCGTGCGGGTCTGGGTGCGTACGTTGCATTACAAGTCCAGTAGTGAAAAAGGAAATAACGGGCTATCTGCAGATTGGCTACCAATACACTTCAAACAAGATAACCGAATAGGCATGAGAAGATTCATCCACCGCTTTACCATAGTGCCATCGTTGTGCCTGGACCAAGCCAGGTGGCATGAACCTTTGGTGAGAGAAATACTCCAATTGATCCACGGATATTATTATCCCTCCATTGTCTTTTCTCTTGAGCGAGAAACACCAACGCCAGTATTATAGAACAGTCCATAGTCCATAGTCTCCATGTCGCCGTGCAGTGTTCACTGATGCTCGGCATCACCGTTCGCCCCCACGGGTTCGGGTGTGGCCTGGGCGGCAGACTCGCGCTGCATGCGAGCCTCGATCTCACGAAGCTGGGACTCACGGGCCAGCAGCTCCTGCCGCTTCTCGTTAATCTCGCGTTGGACTTTGAGCTCGATCTCACGCAGCTTCTCCTCTTCCCTGCGCAGCTGCTCCTCCTTGAGACGGACGGATTGGGAGGCAAGGTCCTCGGGGTTCATCGACCTATCAGCACTTTTAGGGTCAGCAAAATCCTTGCATATGAGAGATACAACATACCCTCCGGTGGAACCATCGACACTCTTGGACAAAGCCTCGGTACGGTAGTTCTCGTACAAGAAGTCGTGGGTAATCTCCTTGAGGTCGGCCAAGTGGCTGTGGAGAAGCGCCGAGCGAATAGCCAGGAAGTCAGAGTGGCGGGGGTTGTCCACCTCGACAACACCCCAGGGGTACTGGCGAGCGCGAACCTTGCGACCGCCAATCTCTACAACATCCTCTGAACCCACAATGGCGAAGGGCATCAAGCCCCTGAGCTCGGCATTCTCTTCCACTGTGTCCTCGTCGTCCTCCTCAATGTCGTAGGGGAAGTTGTAGACAGGAATGCGGTAGTGCTCAATGTCCTCCATGACAAGCTTCTTCGATTCGGCGAGCTCGGCGGGCGTAAGGGTATCGGCGCGGCCAATGACGGGGATGACGTTGACGCGGGGTGCAAGACGCTTCATGAGCTCAATGTCGAGCTCACGGAGACTAACGATTATCAGTTGGGCAACTCGCATCGTACGGCGTAGAACTTACCCATGGCCGGTGGGAGTGATGAAGTACAGCGTAGCGTGCACACGGTTGTCCCTGAAGCGAGGGTTACGCTTGATACGAGACTCCTCGGCAAGGATGTCATCGTATTGCCTCTCGAGGTATCCGACAATCTCTGAAAAGCTGCACATCAAACGTCAGACAGGAGCTTCGCTGCTTGTTGGCTTCATGTTCTTACCTGGCCTCATTGTCGATTTGGTCTCCGAAGCCGGGGGTATCGACAATGGTCAACGAGATGCGAGTGCCTTCCTCGTCCAGCTCCAGCTCTGTTCGTCTCGTCAGTATTATGGCGCTTTGTGCATGTTTTCAAGTGACGAACCAACGGTGATGGGCTTGATCTTGACACCATCCTCAGTGTGAGCGTTGCTTGCATCGTCAGACTCCTTATGCTGCAGTACGTCCTTGCCGCAGAGCGTGTTGACGAATGTGGTCCTTCCTGTGAGCTTAATAAGTATTCATTCGTGTTGTGTCGCGTTGCTGCTCGACGAGGGGGCGGTTCGAGCTGGAGGGGGTCATCGTACCGGTCCCTGAGGCGCCACAGACCATCAGGCAGAACTGAATGCCCTTCTTGACGTTCTTCTTGCGGCGGAACATCTTCTATAAAGGCGTAAAGCATTAGCATTCGTCTGTTGACCGTTGACGCGGACCATGGTCGCGCTGGCTGAATTGGGTTCGAGCTATCGAGAGTGACCGCTAGGGGGTGAACATACAGCGGAGGACGACATCTTGGCGATTGGTCGGCTGATCTGTCGCAGCGAATTTCTTTGCACTTGATTGCAAGTTCGGTTGAGGAATCGCGGATGTCGTGACAGCTGTCCCTGAGATTGGTGAGTGGACGAGGTCAAGGTTATGGATGGGTTGTGCAGAAGTGCAGCAACTGAAAGGAGAAAATGTCTAGAGCAAGACAAGTGGTTGCCCAGAATGGCGGTTGCAGTGGCAGTCTGGGTGCTGCAATTTCGGTGGCTCAGGGGGTCCAGCCATCCAGCTGTTCCTTTTCCACTGCGAGACCCTGACCGCAACTGCCCATTCCCCGTTGCCCGTTGCTCCTCCGCCCAAGTTCTGGCAACATGCCCCTTGCCAAGACTCGAGAGTGCGCTAATTCCTAAGAGGGAAAGGCCTGAGGGACGGCAGTTTCTCGGGGGAAGGTGAGGAGCAATTCCCGGATGGCCTTCTGAGATCACGTGTAAGCAGAAAGCTTCAGCCACATCAGCAGCAAACGCCACACTGTGCCACCCCTCGGGCCAAGGCCGGTGACCTCGACGGAAGCGCATCCCGTGATGCAATCAACCACGTAGCTCATTCATTATTACCTTAGAGTGCAGCGGGCGATTTCTTATTTTTACTTGGATTTTGAGACCTCCTCCTCTGGGTTCTGTTCTAACGGTGCACGCTTGTTCACGATTCTGCAGAATGCAGCACATTTATTGCTTTTGAGATCCGATCCTTATTGATTCCCACCATCACCACCATAATAGAAGCCTAAACACAGGGCGATATCCCTTTTCTGGATTTGCATTTTCAAAGAAACGCAATTTTCGGGAGACAACGCGCTTTTCTCTTGTAACTGAAGATCTCAAGTGCAACTTCTTGGCTATCAGATCAACAACCATCGACGTTGCTCTCGAATCCTACAGTCAACGAAGTCTCGACTACCCTGGATCCATAGCAATTGTCAGGATCCTGACCGGAGTTGTCGAACGATATGGATGTAAGGCGCGCAATATCGACATCAGTTCCGGACAGGGTACTGTCTGCCGCTTTCAATCAGAATCGCGGATGTTTTAGTGTTGGGTTAGAAACAGGTGTTTGCAGTTCGACCCTCCAGAGCTATTCCTCACCATGACCTTCGCTGGAACTAACTTGCTGCTAGTTTTCGACTCCAGGAGCGGTACTCTGAAAGATTCGAGAGGTCTGTCTGCAACGGTTCATCTTGCTCAGCATGTCTTACTAACTAAACGCAGACTTCAACGGCGGCTTTGGCCTGGTTCAAATGCTTGGGACGTCCCAATACATGGCCCTTGTCGGCGGCGGCAAGTCACCGAAATTCGCCATAAATAAAGCCATCATTTGGGACCAGGAAAAAGGCAAGGTGGTAACGGAGATCTCAGCATTGGAAGCCGTGCGGAACGTGCAGCTGAATCGTCAGAAGATTGTGGTTGTTCTGCAGCATAGCGCACGAGTGTACGCCTTCTCCAAAAAGCCCAATCTCCTCCACGCGTATGAGACGGCGGACAACCAAGGGGGCCTTTGCTGCCTCACCAACGATCGACTTGTCATCCCCGGTAGGACATCTGGCCAAGTCCAAATAGTAGAACTGGCAACAGGCAACGTCAGCATCATACCAGCACACTCCTCTGCGTTGCGCGCGCTGCAAGTCAGTCCTGACGGGGAGCTTTTGGCAACAGCAAGCGAAACAGGCACTCTGATTCGGATATTCTCCACAGCGAACTGCGCAAAGCTAGCAGAGCTGCGACGTGGCGTTGATCCGGCGACGATCTTCTCGCTAGACTTCTCACCTTCGAGTACACTGCTGGCGTGCACGTCGGACAAATCGACACTGCATGTCTTCGACGTACCGCATCCTCGGAAACCGAATAGCTACAAGAGCAACCACCAGCGCGAAGCCGAAGGGAAATGGGGGTTCATAGGCAAGCTGCCCATGATGCCCCGGGTCTTCTCTGACGTGTACTCCTTTGCCTCCACAACTTTTGAGTCGGGAGATGAGTTGGTGGCCGGAGGCATCATCCCAGCGACACAAGGGAACCATGCGAGCTCGCCGCGACCAGCAAAAGGCCTGATAGGGTGGATAGAGGAAAATGCCCTCATAGTGGTCGGCACCGGGTACAAGTGCCGATGGGAGAAGTTCATAATTGGGATAGGTGAGGATGGTAAGCGGAACTGTTATCGAGAAGGGTGGAAGCCCTACCACGGGCAGTCGTAGCAGTTACTTAACGCTATCGCAGAAGGCTCAACGGTGACTTCGCCGAGGAGAATGGCTTCGGCTGTGACGATGCCTGTCTTTGCGATTCCTGCGTTTATCCTCATCACCGTGCCTTCGTCTCCTCCTTTCGCGATCCTTGGAATCGTCTCTGTTCTTATGAGTGTCTCGCTCTCGCTCTCGCTCTCGCTCCCGTCGATCGCACTTCTCTGCGTCATCATCCCGTCGCGATCTTCTTGGGCGATCTTCCCCATCTCGAAGCGACCTGTGAGATTTGTGGTGTCGTCGTTTCTCTCGTTTGTCTGCCCGTTGCCGAGCCTCCTCGACTTCTTTCTTCTTTTCCTCTATTAAGAAAGGCTTCATGGGGTCATCGTCGTCGTGGTCTCGCATCAAGAGGGCAAGTTCTCTTTCTTCGGGTAGCGCAGGGCGGCGTTCTTCCTCCTCGCTGCTGGGTGCATCCTCCTCGAGATCGTGTCCCTCCTTCTTCATGATATCCTCCCATCCGACCTTGAATTCGCCTTGATCCTCGTCATCCCTAGCCTTGTATTCCGCATGGTCCACACGCACGAGTCGGCCTTGGATTTCGGCGCCGCCAAGGTTGTCAACCGCGAGATCCGTGCTGCGCTGATCTTCGTATTTGAGCCAGCCAAAGCCTTTCGACTTGCCCGTTTCCTTATCTCGGACAAGTTTGAGGAACGTCGGTTCGCCGAACTGAGAGAATATCGTGATGATATCGCCTTCGGAGAGCTCGTATGGCAGTCCGCCAAAGTAAACGAAAGCGGTGTTGCGATAATCACGATGCCAAGATGCCTCCGGGGAGCTGGGGGAGGTTAGCTGGGAAGCATGAAAGGGGGCATTTGACTGACATCCCGTTCTCAATCTCTTTCTTGTTGAGCGCTTGGATTGCGCGAATTTGATTCATTGTGTTGACCGAGTGCGCGTCGAATCGTCGCGTGGCGACAAACTGAAGATATTGGCGGCTGGCTGGCTGGTGAGATCGTCCAAAAGCTTCGCGCCCTTCTTGGGCTTGTTAGCTGACGGTAGTCTCCGGCTGATGATCGTGTTAGAGCAAAGAAGAAACGTGTGTGCGAAACGAATTTCGGAATAACAAGTAATACTGAAGAGACTGAGTTTGCCTTATGATGTAAACTTCTGGCTCAAGCCATCTGTGGTTCTGGGCTAGCACTTGGTGCAGGAACCCGCGTCTTTTTTGCGGGTCCTGTCATTGTCGGACAGACGCGACCAAGCTCTCCAGTCCGTATCCGTACCTCATTTGCCTGCTGCGAACCTGGACAGAGCATCATAACAACTACAACTTACCGATTGTCCGCCTCCTGACGCATTCGGGTCGACCGTCTCCGCATTGCGCATTGCTGTCTGAATTTTCGACACTCTTTGGACGTTTCCAAGGAGTTTCATGCATTAGAGCAATCGCCATGATCGCCTAACTCGGTACCCCTGATCCACCTAGCAAACAACCAGCACCGTCGACTGCTGCTCGCCGCTGATACCTGGGTTGAGCCCGTTTCAGCCAGGAAGAAGGACGAGTGCTACTGAAGAGACCGCCGATCGAAACTCCCTTGGCTCAACAGCATGAACTCACCCGCGAACCGCCACTCGACGCAGACCGCTGGGTCTGGCGAAGCAGACGGGCAGAATGGGGAGCAGAAGAAGAACCTCTGGATCTCGATGCTAGAGTCCGTCGCCAGTGGGAAACGGCTACCGGAGAAGAATCTCGTGGTTCTTGGCGGCACGCCAGACTCGCAACGAGACTTTCTAGACTCCTTGTCCAGCTCGGAATCGAAACGCAATTTTGACCGGCGCAAGATACCGCCGGTAGCGAACAACTTCGCGCTGGGTTACACGTACTACGATGTGCTAGACGCTGATCAAGATGGTCTGCAAAAACCTGCTCCGTCACGTCGCGGGCCGTACTGACATGGCGCAGACACGCTCGCTCGAGTCTCATTGTACCTACTGTCTCAACCATCCGCCGAATTCGCCTCTCTCATCGCACCCCTCCTGACGCCCCGAGCCATACCGAACACGGCGCTTGTGATATTGCTGGACTGGTCCCAGCCACACCTGTGGCTTCGCCAAATACGTCAATGGATCATCCTGTTCCTGTCCGTCACCAAGCAACTTGGAGATGAGGAGCGCTACGAGATGAATGACGTTATGGAGGCGTGGAAGACGCGCGGACGAGGTGGTGCGTCGGTCAATCTGGATGGAACCCCTTCGGCGCAGGCAGTATCAGGGGAAGACGACAGCTCCTTACCACGAGGGCCTGGAGAATGGACCGAGCCACTTGGTCTACCCCTGTGTGTGGTTTGTCAGAATGTGAGGCCCCTTATCTCCCGAAAGTATTACCCGGCTGACATGTGTAGGCGCAACGAATGGAGGTTCTCGAGAAGAACAATGGCTGGAAAGAGCAAGCATTCGACCACGTACTCCAGTACCTCCGGACAGTGCTCTTGAGACGTAAGTGTGGGAAGACATGGTGTGCTGCGTATGCGCTGACATATCTGCAGATGGCGCATCTCTCATATACACGTCGCAAAATGCCCCCTCACAGCTCACGCCACTCATTCATTCGACGCTGGGGATCACATCCCTTTTGAAGAAGCAGCCACTAAAGCAGAACGTCATTGATCGCGATAAGATTGTGGTCCTGCCCAACTGGGATTCGTGGGGCAAGATCCGTGTTTTGGGCGGACAATTTGAGGCCGAGACGATATCACAAGGCTGGGCCGAGGACATTGACGAGCGATTCAGCGGCGAACCCCCCAGCTTGGAGGTGTTGGCGCAGAATCGGGCCGCGCAGAAGGAGACAGTCGATCCACTTCAGGCCGAGAGTGCGATCGCGCAGTACGAGGAGTGGTGCCAGGAGTCCGCCAGTGATGGTCTGGCCCTTGTCGAGTCGATACTGCAGAAGAAGCAAGCTGGAGTCACGGTGTACAGCGAAGACGCTCAAGAGTTCTTGGAGAAGCAAGTCAAGCGCCTGGAGACGGCCAGGAACAAGGCGGCGCCGACGGAGAAGACCATGCCGGAAGCGCCGCCAGGTTGGTCGGAGAGAGAGCATGTCAGCGAGCACATTGGGCCCGTGCAGTTCAATGTTGGCGGGATCCAGGTGGACGCGGATGATATGCTGCAGCGCATCAAGGTACGGACTCCCTCAGCTTTCTCGTGGAGCAGCGTTAACCCCAGACAGGACCGCAATACATTCTCCTCTCCTGAACCAGCGCCGGAAGAGTCAGAGCAGCCCGAGACGTCCAACGTCACCAAGCAGTACGACAACGAGCAGCTACATAATTTCTTTCAGAATCTCATCAACAAGCCCGCCGGTGGAGGGTCTTAGACGTGCGAGGCATTCCTCACGAGCTCATTTGTTTAGACGCCATATTACTGTACTCATACCGTAGGGCGAGTGGTGGTAGATTAGATACCCTTTTTGACAGCAGAAAGCATGTATGTGTGAGCGAGGGATTTGACAAAACGTATATTGAAACACTTGTGATGACCCATAAAAATACGTAACCCAGAACGCCGTCAGCCCATCACCCCAACGCTACATGTGCACAATAATAACCTCTGCTGCTAAATACACTATGCCTTTGCCCTGAGGAGCCTGTAACGTGTTGGTGGTGGCTCCTGGGTCTCTGGCAAGCGTGCTTTGACTACCCCCCCAAGCAAACCAGGGAACAGCCAAGGGTGTTGTAGCATCTCGGCCTCAAATGCGTTGATCGTGTTGTGAGCCAGAGACACATACTTGTCATCCGCAAGGATGTGGCCCAGCTGGAAAAGATTCTCTACCGAGACGGCGTTGGTAGATGGAAGGGTGGTATCAAGTCCATCCTTGAGTCGCAGAATTGTGTGTGGGGCATCGGCGACTGTCGTGTAGAACCCGCCGGCAGGGTCGTAGAACTTTGCGATTTGCGCTTCTATAGAGTTGTCAGCAAGTTTTTCATTAAGCAAGCCATTGGCAGCACTGACTCTGTAGTTGATCTGCAAACATGAGCAAGTTGTCATCTTTTGTGGAGTGCCAGAGTTGGAGAAGCCCCTTGATCAAGTAAGCGTAGTCGTCCGCGAAACCCTCGCCACCCCTTTGCCCGTTCCACGTCCTGTGCAATGTCTGGCTCACAGGGTCCCACAACTTCTCCCGAAGTATAAAGTCCACGGCGTCCGAGCATTTCTTCTGGTACGGGTAGACGCCTTTCGGCTCATCTAGCGCGTCCTCCGCTCGGGCCAGAGCAGCGATGACCAAGCCCACTGTGCCCACGACAACCTGGTCGTCAATCTCTGGGCGAACACGATCCTGTTGCTGCTTCTTACTGAGCGCGGTCTTGGCAAAATGGATGCAGTCCTCGACCCGCTCAACGGAGACGCCAAATTGCCTGCTCAGCTCATCGAGTGATCGGTGGACACTGAGTGTGTTTTGGTTGATGAACTCGTCGTTGGGGTCGTGATGCTGTTCCACGTTGCCATCTTCGCGGATTCCGAAATAAGCAGCTGCGATTTGCGCGGCTTGCTTGTCGAGGGCCTCGACCTCGCGGTTAAACTCTTTACGTGTCCACGTATGATAAGCGCCCTCCCACATCTCTTGATCGCCTTTCTTCTGGTACGAATCCGCGGCCTCGGAAGTTGCAAAGGCGCCGTTGGGCAGCGCAATGGGTGCGGTCGTGAGGTAGTCGGCGAGCTCGATCACAACGTCGCGGAACTCATCGTTCGCCTTGCCTCCCTGCTTCCAAGCGTCCGTGTAGAGCGAAAGAAGCAGAGCATTGTCTGATGTCAGCTTCTCAAAGTTGGGAACTGTCCAGTCAGGCGTCAGAGAGAACCTGGAGAACCCGGTGCCTCCGACATGATCGCGCAGCGCTCCGTCGCGCACCTTCCGGAGAGTGGCAAGGGCCATCTGGAGGCCAGTTTCGCACTCTGAGTGCCCAATGACATCTCTGGCCGGTCCCGGCAAGTTGGGGAGCGACATGAGGAACGCCAGCTTGGGAGGTGTGACGAACTTGGGCGCAAGCCCGAAACCGCCGTACACGGGATCATAGGTCCCGGCAATATGGGAGTAGGCGTCTTCTAGCTGGTCAAGGTCGACCTCACTGGCCGTCTTGGTCTGTGTTGAAGCGGATTCGTGGGCAGTGGTGGTCTGAGCTGCTTGCTGTGAACTTGCGGCGCCTGGCGTAAAGTTACGTGTACCGTTCAAGGTACCCTCAGCAGCAAAGTTCCGCAACTGAGCTACCATTTCCGTGGCTTCTTTCCGACACCTCGACTCCTGATCCCTCCAAATATCCCTGACCTTTTTTACAATCGCCAGAAAGCCCAAGACTTCTTCCTCACTGTCGTCCGTTGTCAGCGGCGATGAGTTTGCACATGGCCAGTAGGTGCCGCCAAACACCGGCTCGAGGTTTGGGGTGAGGAACACGTTCAACGGCCAGCCGCCGATGTTAGCGAGTGCTTGAACATAGTTCATGTAGATCGCATCCAAGTCTGGCCGCTGATCTCTGTCAATTGCCACGGGGATAAAGGAGTCGTTGATGATGCTGGCGCATTCCTTGTTTGCGAACGACTCGTGCGCCATGAGGCGACAGTCTGATCTATTGCATCAGCGGGAAGCTTGTGAGGTTGTTTCCATGCGGACTCACGGTGGCAAGCTCTGTAGCCGATGTGCATGTATATGAGCTTGTGCTCCCTCCGGGCTCGCTCAATTGTAGCATCGTCCAGAGGCTGCCATGCGACAAGACTGTTTGCAAGACTTCTGACAAAGGCGCTCGAACTTTTGTCTGCTTGGTTTGTGAGAGGCTGCAATGGCAATGCCGTCTGTTGGCCTCCATCTGAAGGAATCGGCCCCAGGGCCTTTGCCGAAGCCGTGAGCTCAGAGGCAACCATTATGCTGGGTGTTGGACCTAACAGGGCCGCGGGGTCAGAGGGACAGGATGTCGCGTAAGATTGTGTGGGCGATAGTATATGGCTATAATGTAGAGCGCCAGATTCCTAAGCGTCTTGTGATGATTTGCCAGCGTTAATCTCAAAAAGTACAAAGAAACTGAAAGGCAAAATTGAACCCCGCCAAGTTATCAGACCCGAAGTTGAAAGTACGCCCAGGGTCTCGTTGGTGGGATGAGGTCTGCGGGGGCGCAAGGCGCAGGGGCCTTTTCCCGGATAATTGCAGCTTACATAATCACCGGATCAAGCTAACAGCTTTGCTGCTTTCTGCAGGGATCTGCAAACGTCGTCTCCAGACTCCACACTTGCTCGGCTCAATGAACGTGTATTCTTTTGTAAAACTCTGTACACCGAAGAACATGATCGATATTTGGGAACCGTGTCTTCTGATCAAGATACGGCCAGACGAAGACCTCGACTGCTGGTGCTGCGAGTGTTGGTCAAGACCTACGACGCGTCGTGCTGCGCATATATAACTATATGGCGCCAGGCAGATTTTCCTCGCCAAACTGAGCGCGGCCAACACCAGGCTAACCTTCTAGACTAAGCCAACTATTTTCAAATGCGTGCTAAAGTACGGATAAAGCGTCTGTGCTGGTGGCAGAAGGGGTTGATGCAAGTATGTGAAGAGTGCCTCGTTACGCCTGTTGGGACATGATGTTGTGCGGTGCATGACAACTCCGCGCGCGACTTCGTCACGAGGATAGGGATAGACTAGAGAGAACAAGCTGTCCCCAGAGAGCAGAGCGTCGTTTCACCAGTCGAGGATGGCAAGACTGCCGACTGGAGGGCGAAGACGGCGGTGGAGACATTGATGTTATGGCTGATAGCGACAGTGACAGTAGGCCATCCGTTGCTGAACTCCGGCCGAACGGCCTCTGCGGGGCAACTAAAGCTCACGCACCAGCAGAAGAATACCAGTAGACAGACAACCAAAGTAGCAACCGGACTGTGCTTTGGCGCAACAGACCACATGAAGTGACACTTGACTCCGACCTCGATTGTAGACGAAAGATTCTTCTAGGTGACCAAAGAAGCGGATGAAGCCCTTTAGGTTCATGTTTCCTCGAGGCTCAAGCTTCCTGAGCAACAATCCAAGACCCCAATGCCAGGCAGCTAGTGTGGGGTAGGCACAGACGCGACCCCTGTCACATGGCAGCGGCATGCTGGCAGCGCTAGCTGCTAGGTGGCTCCGCCCGCAAACTAATGCCTGGATGGAGATCACTCGTCTCCGTCACCGGCCTCAACCTTTACATCATCCGTCACCGTCCTTCGCTTCTCATCAATTCGCGCCTCTCCTCCGTTTATAGTATGAACGCCGATTGCGGCAATGGGCGAGTCCGAATACACTGTCTACATCCGGGTGCCGATACCCCGCGGCGACTTCGTTGACCCGCCATCCGTGAGCGACACCTTGCTGGCATCACAGGTAACAAAGCTAATGTGAGAAATGCTCAGGTTACTTGGAGACCTGCGGACGATGCCGCTCTGTGGAAGATTCTCTCCAAGACAGGGACCACACAAGACGACATAAACTGTATTTAATGACCCTGCCTGCGCCTAGAGAACCCGCTAACTAGTCTTGACAGGGACACAAGTGTACGATCATTGCTCACATCTCGCCGTTGCCCTGGCTAACCTCCTTCCAGCGCCAGCCGCTTCAATGTCCCCGTCGACTTTATCCTTAAGCAGGTTGCATACCTCACCGAACGACATACATCGCAGGTCCGCGCGCAACTGCTCAAGGCCACGGCTGCTGCCCGCGGAGGGTCAAGCAGCGCACCCTCCCCCGTACCAGGCCCTGATTCAGCGGCTGCATCGCGATCACTACGTCGCGACTCGCCATCTATAAGAAATGAGGCAGCAGGTCATGCGTCATCTCTGAACACGTCGCGACCTGGTGTGTCTAGGAATGCATCTACCAGCACGGCTGTTCTAAGAGATGCCGGGGAGGCTTCGTCGCTCCAGCTGGGCAGCTCGACGCGAACTGGCACGGCAAGTCGCCAAGCAGACCATGTTCTTCGGAAGAGGCTCTCCTCGCTCCCTATAGACTCAACACCTCAATCACCGCCTGCAGAGGTCAGCCCTCCCAGTGACAATGATCAGCGACTGTCTCCGGGTCCGGCCGAGTCGAGTTCAGGCTCCTCGGAGGACGAATCATATCCTGCACAGTCCCGGATCATTCGCCGACCGCCAAGATACCAGCAAAAGGCTTCGAATGTGTACGACGACGAGGACGACGAATCCGAGCCGGCTTTCCAGCCCTATCAGCCTCCAGCCGGCGGCAATGACAGATCGGGCCAGAGCATGACATCAACACTGAGGGACGAAGTGCGCCCATCCGGAGCAAGGCGGGTAGGCAAGGCTGCACAGCGCCCACATCACTCGCAAACATCGGATTCCGACACCAATCTGCCGACGCCAGCGCGCAGACCAGCACGCTCTTCGGAGCAGAGGACGCCAGGCCCACTGTCGCCCCGACGAACGACAGAGCTGTCCGGTCGGAGCCCAATCGCAAAGTCACGAGAAGGGAGTGATGGGACCCCAAGTATGGGAAGCAGCTTTAGTGATCTTGACGGTATGATTGACTGATCTTCGCCGCCTTCCAGCGCTGACCTCTCAACTAGATGCTTCGGTAACTCAATCCGCGCTGGAGGAAGCGCTGGCCAGTCACATGGGACGTCCTGGCTCAAGCAGTCGCTTCAGCATTAGCCAGGCTTTCCGAAGCCGATACAACCAGGGCGGGAACTAATGATGTGATGAACGCATGTAATGTATAACTCTCATACCTCGGCGAGGCGTTTGGCTATCGATACACGTAAGGACTCCTTGGACTGGCATAATACGGCGTTTGATTTCATATCGGTTGTCTGCAGTACTAGTCTGAAAACAAAAAGAAATACATGTTTGCGCCGCCTGAAAGCAAGCCTTCGTTTCCAAGTCGTGCGAAATATCAATCACGGCATGCTCTCTCGTGTCGTCCGATATCTTATCCTCCACAGGCAGTTAATTCTCTGGCCTAACACTTACTCCTCCCCAACTACGTTTTCACCCTTCTCTGCGCCTCATACCTCGAGGCTTCCGCTTCTTGAAGTACCACGCTTCGTATACTCCCCTCCCCTCCCAGTCACTATGTTTCGTCGACACTGGTCAGGTCTGCCGAAAGACGCGTACTTCCCCTACGACTTGAAAGAGCTTGGGTGCGTCTCGCTAGTCCTGCACCCGGCCTTGGCTGACATGACAATAGATACTTCGTCAACGAAGATGACGAGGTCCGCTCGCTTGCGAATCCAGACTTTTACTTCAAGTACTTCCTTGACCGAAACGAGCGCATCAACTTTCGCCAGCGCTTTTGCATGGACTGTACGTTTTAAGCAGTCTGCTTCTCTGTGTCCATGCTGCTAATCTCTGCTCAGACGCTCTTCAGAAGATCGTCCACGAACGCCTGGAGGATGAAGGCCTCGTCAAGGTTCCTCTCCCGCTTGGTACGCCGTCCACTGAGAAACACATCCCCATCTTCGCGGAGAAAAGTCTTTCGAAAAAGTCCCGCGTCGTGATCATATTTGGCGAATGCACCAAGGTACTCGGTTGGGTTGCGGGGCGGGTCATCACCGGCGAAGGAGGCATCGACAAGGGCAGCATGGTCCGCGTGATCAAGGCAGTCCACGAGCAGGCAAGCACCGCTACGGATGAGGGCCCTCCTGGAGTTGTCCTCGCCAATGTCGGGGAGTGTTGGTGGTGGCCTGAGGAGAAGAGGGCTCTGACTGTCACATCGAGCTTCAATGTTCCCATGCCCAGCCTTGTGCACGCTGGCGTCAAGACGACACCCGATTTGAACCATGTCAAGGGGTATACTAGCCCAGAGGACAATGTGAAGAGCATGTTTGAGGACGTCCTCCCGCACATGCTTGGGGAAAATGCGGTCCTTGACATTGTTGCTGTAGGTGATACTTGCTCGGTGGTTGAGAAATATCTCGACGAAAAGGCAGCTTGGGATACCTGGGGCAAGAATATCAGCTCCATGGTTCTTGTTGATACACTCCTCCAGGCTGATCAACTTATCAACCCCGATTTCAAGGACTTTCTCGCCAAGGTAGGTGGTTTTGCATCGTTCGAAGAAGACATCAATGTAAACTGACGCCTATAGCGCGCTCGATGCTACCAGATCTACTCAGATATTGTCGACTTGCCTTTGGCACCTCCGTCCGGCAATCCGAGCCTCTTTATTCCTGCCTTGGGTGTGCCTTGCTATTCTTCCTCCGAACCAAACTACGCAGAGTGCATTCTCATCACGGCACTCGAGCCTATTCTCGATTACCTGCAGCGCAACGCCTTGGGTCCCACGTTGGAAAACGACCTGATCCCCGTCCCTCTCATGCCGCAATTGGAAGGCGAAGAGGAAATCCCGGAGACCCAGGAGCTAACGGATGAGAACTGGGGGGAGGTGGCCGAAGGAGACAAGCCGGTTGTGGAGGTCTATCATGCGGAGCGGCTGGACCGGTACAGAAAGCAAGCCGAGATGTGGGAGAGGTATGCCGAAACAGGGCAGGCGATTGACCCGACCCTGGAGGATCTTGCAAGGGGCGAAGGGGCTTGAGCCATCCTGAGTCACGAGGCAGTCAGGCGGTGAAAAGAATCGCTGTTGATTTACGGGATATCACAGAATAGTGCTACAGACACTCATAGCAATACAACAAGGCAAAACCGCTCGTCGCTGCACGTACAGACGCCGCTCATGCTTGGAAAAGCGACTTGGCACCAGCACCCATCATGGGGCGGGTGTCATCCACAAGGTCTAGCGTCCTCTTCACCCTCTCCTTGACGACCGTCGCCTCCGCCTCCCACCGCCCTTCCGTCTCTTGCGGCGCACTATTCCAGAAAGACAAGGCGCTGGGCTTGGATGCCTCTTTCTTCTTCTGCTGCTCTTCTCGCATGAGACGCGTCACCATTAAGGACCAATTATCCAGCCCTGTCTTCAGACATTCACGGCATCGATCCTTGGCGATGGCTGCATCCCGGCCATCTGTCAACTTGAGCTCGCGCATCTGCTCTTCGGCAAGATCCACACCCTCGCGTGTCCATGCCACGCCATCCTCTTGCGATGACGACGCATAGAGGATCTCGCCTATAAATAGGTCAAGAGATGCTTCTTGACAGCGCTCTTCAGGGCTGCGCCACGGAGGCTGCGTACCATCTGTCGGAGGCGCGGGGTAGTCGGGTTCCGACACAAAGTCGACAATCCGTTGCATCGTCGAGGGCTTGGGTCTCTTCTGCACGGGGACGCGCGGGGCCTTTGTGGGCAACGCACGGCGGACTTTGAGAAGAGAAATGTACATTGGCAGAGCAGAGGCTGTGTCTCCACCGCGAGCCTTGTGGTTAGCGACGGCTGTCACAGCCTCGAAAATGTTCAGCGAAGGCAATGGTCTTTTCTCCTTCATGACCAGAGTTTTAGGGTCGTAAGGCAGGGATGCTTTATCGAGGCCCTGCGTAGCCTCCGCAAGTGCCAAGTCGTATAGTGCCCCAGCCCCCTCGCCACTGCGCTTCAGCTCCAGAAAGTTGGCGTATTCTAGTGCAGCCTGCATCCTCTGCCGCTGGTTAAGGCCCTGTGTTGCCAGTATCTTCAGATAAAACCGGTCTGCTGCAGGGAAGGCTACCTCGCAATCCTCCTCGCGCGGAGGTGGTGGGCTACCAGGGGGCACGGGTGCCGGACGAGGGTTCGATGGTCCGATGACAAATTTTGGCTCCCAGCACATGATCTTCCCACTGTGTCCCTTGTCCTTGAGCCACCCATCGCAATCGCCGGCCGCTTTTGCCGCCAGCATGATCGTTTCAAAGTACCCGCGCCTCCATTCTTCGCTCATTCCAGAGATGTCGTGCGGGATGAATTCCCAAGGTGTCTCGTCATTCGGATCTTCGTGATCATGTAGCCGTGGGATCTTGTGTCCGTTTCGATTTAGATCCTCGTGTGCGAGGCAGAGGTTTCTCGCTAGTTGGAGTGCCTGCGATGGCGAGGCGTACTTGTTGCCATGCGGTTTAGTCCACTTCTTCGCTTCTCGCAACATATGACGCTCCCGCCATTCCCATTCATGCGGCGTCGGATATTCCCGTTCCAGTTTTTCCTCCTGGTACATGAAGTACACGACCTGGAAGCAGGCGAAACCGGCCAGGGATATAAGCCCATAACGGATGAAGAGTTTGAACTCGTGTCGCAGCCAGTATCGCGTGCGCTCTGAGGCATATGTGCGGATTAGTGTCGAATTCGAGGATGTTGGAGAGGACACGGTAGGGCGATAGCGCGTGCTGACATTGGCGGATTGGGTTTGAGTCGAAGGACGTGGTGTGAAGCTTTGCTGGCAGCGAGGCCCGGGTGCTCGAAGGCGCAGGGGCTGCCAAAGTCGGCAGACCACAGGACGTGGTCGCATCTTGATGGACAGCGCGCCGCAAGGTGCCCGTCGTCTTCCCAAGATTGACAACTGGAATGGTTTGACGACGTGGACAATTGTGCATGAGATGGGAAACGTCGTCACTCAAGCCCCACCAGTAGGAGGATGCTACGTGCGATGACTAATCTGTGCATTGCTAGTGGGAGCCACAAATTATAACCTCATTCGTGATTTGTGCAAGTGTAGAAACCAATACTGCACTTTCACGTCGCAATTTCACCCCTTTTGTTTAGCTAAGGGCACCATGGTATGAAATGGCTCCTTTTTCTTTGGATGTCTTCTCGGACCATCGCTGGCAGCTTGTAGCCACGGCAATACTTTCTGGAGCCACTGCTGCCTCTCTTCTGCTTGGTTATCAAACGTTTGACAGAGAACTACGGCTGTCGCAGCTGAAAAGTTCAATACCTTCATTGGCGGACGATCAAGATGGTCAGAGGGTATGCTGGAGTCTAACATGTTCCAAAGATGAGAGCTAACGTGTCGCAGCTGAACAGCTTTGGGGCAGCTTCCACGCCAACAGCCGTGGACAAGGAAGATGCAAGGAACCAAGCGTTGGCGCAGCGAGCACAGGCAGGTGATTTCGATGAAGAGCTTATTCTGGAGCAACTGGCCCGCAACAGAGTCTTCCTAGGCGATGATGGCCTGGCTAAACTACGAGACGCGTTCGTTGTAGTGGTTGGCTGTGGAGGCGTTGGATCGCATTGCGCAGCCTCTCTTGCTCGTTCTGGTGTTTCCAACATCCGCTTGATTGATTTCGATCAGGTCACATTGAGCTCCTTGAACCGCCACGCTGTGGCGACTCTCGCTGACGTGGGGATACCAAAAGTCCAATGCTTGGAACGCCGACTCATCGCCATCTCGCCGTGGGTAAAGTTTGACCTGCGGCAAGAGAAGTTTGACGGCGACGTAGCCGCTCGTCTGCTCAACCCGTGGAAGGGCACTGATCGCAAGCCTGACTATGTTGTTGACGCAATTGACAACATAGACACGAAAGTGGCGCTGCTAAAGTATTGTCACGACAACAAGCTGCCAGTGATCAGCTCTATGGGGGCTGGTTGCAAATCTGATCCTACGCGCATCATTGTTGGGGACATTGCCACCACCACTGACGACGGTCTTTCACGTTCCACCCGCCGCCGCCTCAAGCTGCAGGGCGTTACGGCAGGTATCCCGGCGGTGTATTCCACGGAAAGAACCGGCGAGGGCAAGGCAGAGCTGCTGCCACTCCCGGAGGAGGAGTTCCAGAAGGGGACCGTGGGAGATCTAGCAGCGATGCCTCAATTTCGAGTGCGAATCTTGCCAGTATTGGGCACTATGCCTGCGATCTTTGGTCTGACCGTTGCGAACCACATTATACTCAGCATAACGGGATATCCACATGACTATGTCCCTGCAAAGGGGAGAGACAAGATGTACGAGGGGATCCTGAACTACGTAAACGGGTCGGAGGAGAAGCTTGGTCGGCTGTTCCACCCCGGTCTCATTGGGCTCAAGACGCCGATCACGCTCAATGACGTTGCCTTTTTGTCCGACGACCTGTATAGCGGTCGGAGCATCATCTCGGGCATCCCAACTCGTATTGTTCTGGTCCGCTGGGAGAAGCCTGAAGAGACGAACGTGTCATTCACGGGTGACGAGAACGACAAGGACTCGCAGCGAGCGTCCAAGCTGCGCCTAAGCGATCTCGTTTGTATGACAAAGGAAGAAGCTCTCAAGCACGAGCGTGAGGTTTTCAAAGAGGGCAAGAAGGTTGTAGAGGTATACGACGCGGACATTGTGGACAAGGTTGCTAGAAAGAGGGCCGAGATTGCCGAGTTGGAGAAGTATCGCTGAGGATTGACCAGTGCTTGGTCTTGTACTAAAATGATGTCATGTATAGAATATTTACGAATCAATATTGGCCCTCAATATAGAAGGATGACATTCATGTCCGGTTCTCGCAGCCGCCTTGCATCGGTGGGTTCGCGCTCACCGCCTCCCCGGTTGAAACTGGAACTTTTTCCAACACCCATAGCAGCGGACGGAAAGCTGCATCTGCAGGACTTCAACAAAGCCAATAATGGTCACGATAGAGCGAGGTCTTGCCATGCAAAGCAGCTGGACGAGGCTGTAGTCATCGACTCTAGACTCTGCTGGAGCCAGGAGGTGATAGCATTGACGTGACGTGGAGGGATAAGCTTGCGAGGACTAAAGTCGGTCTGGTCTAGCAACCCGTCCTCCCGCAGCTTTGCATGATAAGTTCAACATCTGCCTCCTGATGGCCCCTGTCGCGAACATGGCACGACGTGATGGCAGGTGAATCGGTGTGCTAGCTCACCTCACTCAGCGTCAGCGGTCCCTATAGGGGCCAATATTCACCGCGAAGGGCAGGGCTTGCAACCCCAATAGCTGTACGCCTTATTATTGGGTGTGTCGTGCGAGGATTCGCTCAACTGAACGAGTGGCGAGCCCTTTCTCTCGGCGCTGTGTGCTACGCACCACCAATCTGACCTCTAAGCGCACACAACTCCCTGGGCCCAGTCACCGACAGTTATTAACCTTTCAAGAGACACAGCACGCCTACTCCAAAGTCTACGGTCTTGACCAGTAGATACGAACAGGGCTGACGTCCTGGCTCTAACGTTCATGTTGGCTGATGGCCACTCGCCCTCAGAGGGGTGTGGTATGATTGCAGGTAACAAAACGTTCTTCCTCTTCAATAAGCCTTTGTGCTTCATGGAATGACTCCAACACAGGGTGATCCCATCTGCCTTGTCTAAAGCCTGGCCCATCATTGAGTGATGCTGGGCCTGAGTAGGGGCACACAGTCTATCGTGCATGGTAGCGCTGTTACTCTATACCTTTGCACGCCTTTTTGGATATTCATCTTTCGAGCCCGAGTGCTGGCCACGAGGGTACACGGACTAGGCAAACGCGGTTACTCGTGCAAATGCTGTTGGCCTCGTTCGAGCAAGCAGGGCTGCCCGGGTCACCAACACACCCTCAATTTAGACGCATAATCTGGCTCTACTGCAAGGCGAACTCCGAGTTGGGCATCTAGACAGGGACTTAGAAGTGTTGATACCTCATGGCTTTCGCAGCCGCCTGGGCGAGGTCCGCACGTTGGCCACGCTTATTGTCACTTGCTACGGCCAACGGCGAACAGCTGGCTCTGCGTGATGTGTCTAGGAGATCACCGGGCTCGTGAGTAGGCCATCTTGCTTGAGCATTGGAAGATTGGTTTCTTCTCGGTCGGTTTCCGAGCTTGTACTCCAATCAAATCGTGGCCTGCCTCGAGAAGATGGCCAGTGGTTAGAACACACGGGCAGTATAAACAACATTGATCTGCCTGAACTTGACAGCACTGATCGCCTTGCACAGAGTGCAAAGCAGCTCCCCTGACCGTGCATGAATATGATTCCACAGTGGTTCTAAAGTGTATTTACAATTTGTAGACAGCCCCGAGCACATGAAACGCCTTGTTGGCATGTTTCGAGTATGTCACGGTCCGTCTTGTCGACGTGAAGTCCACGAATGTATCTACATGTGTGTTTTTGTGATTCTTTATCACGCCAATGCGTCAGACACATTTTTTCACTGAATGTGCGTCCTCGCGAGTCCCTAGACCCGTACCTCATGTGCCAAAATGGTGGCTCTGCGTTGCGTCTGCGAGGCATAACAGCAACTTGAAAGTAGGAGCTATGAAAAGTATTCCGTAGCACGGAGGGACGGAAATAAATGAGCACTGATCGCAATAATATTGAACTCTGGACTGTCATATACTGATCAAAATTACCCTAGATACTGGCACCAGGCTAAGCGCCCGAGAGAGTCCATTGGGTTACACGAAATTTCCCAACGAGCCAATGATAGCCGAAAAATAGGCCAGCGTCCTGGAATTCAATCTGACTTTGTAAATGATGTGCGAGAATCGTCAGGAGAGACTTGTAAGTACCCCGGGTCAGAGGCATATCGAGAAGCAGGGCAACGAGGCAGCGTGGTGACATGTTGTACAAGGTTCGTACGGCGCAATGCATCCCGTGTTCAAGCATCGCTTGCAAAGAGGATTCCATCGACACATCTCGCCTTTAGAATACCAGGCTTCGAACATTCAAGACTAGGCTCGGAAGTGTTAGCTGTCGAAGGCTATGAGCAACAGGCCCCCTCATCTTGGGTTTGTGCAATGCCACGTTCCTTCTCTCTGACTAGGCTAGCCGCATGTCACGGGCCACCGCTGGTCTGCCGTTTTGATACATAAACCGTTCAGCCGGCAGTGAGCTGATCCAGCCCCCTTCGCGAGAAGGTGTCGAGTCCTCATATCAGCGAAATGGTGCAGCGAACTGGTGTAGAGGACCGATATAGGTGTGCAATGCGCTGGGCTGAAGGCTGGGCTGGCGTACTCCACGGCGGGCGTTCTAGTAGTCAATCATGAGACACTGCCATAGCCTGATCGCCCACATGCATTCGCTCAGTTGGTAGGATGAAATGGCAAACGAACCGGGGAGAGGTCGTACCCTGCTGCATTCGGTCCGAAATGTGCTATTAGCACGACGGATGGACGCCTTAATAAAATGTACTTGGTGGTTCGCGGCGAACCACTCACGTATAAATGGTACGTTGATCTCTGCGCACCAGTCCATGTATGTCCCAAGAGACAGCAGGCATTCACTCGCAGTGGCCTTGACAGCCTCTTGAGTTAACATTGATACGTGTCTTCGCGCCCTGTGTTGATTCACAAAGCATTGAGTTTGGCGGCGACAGCGCCATGAAGCACGGCACCCCGATAGTGCGATAAATACCGCCCACAAATCAAATACCAGCTACAGCTAAAGGCAGGCGCATTGGATCAGCCCCGCGACGAAGTACGAGGTGGGTGAAAGAAACTCTCCCCAATAAATCCCTTCACAAGCACGTTCAAGACGCGCCACGTCTAGCCAGCCAGCCAGACGGACGGACATACGGACAAACCCACCCTTTGCGGACTTGACACGCAGCTTGCTCACGCGCGATGCAGGGTAGAGCCGCGCTCGCTGTGCTGACGGGAGAACGCGAAGAGACCCCGAGCTGATACGCAGCCACGCACGCGCCACCAGCTTTCGAACCAGCGCCCTCTGTAAACTCAAGTCGTAGTAGGTCTATGCGTCGCAGAGCCGGCCTGCCAAGGTCATGAGCGCACGAGATGAGAGGGCGGCGGCAACTCCAACGGGCGTGTCCGACGGTTGGATTGCGCACCTGAGGAGGCGGGATCGCAAAGTCAAATGCTCACTGTGCGAGGCAGAGATGCCAAAGAACCTGGAAACGTTTCGCGAGCACGTGCAGACCAGCCACGGTGATCTCGCCCAGGACACGGCGGCGGTCGAGGCCGCGTTTGCGAGGATGAACCTGAACGCCTCCAACATGTGAGTGCTGGCATTGCGCTAGTCTACGTTGTTGGGTGTTGTGTTTTTGGCTGATCCAGGCGGCAACAGGTCGGCAGCACGCTCCCCCGCGCAAGGACCACAGACGCAGGCTACGCGGAAGCGGCAAAACTTGAGCGCTGAATCGAATCAGCCAGGTCAGGCATCAGGGGACGCCGATGACGACGAGCCGGTCGTCAAGAGACTACGATCTCCGCCACTGGCCAGGGGCAGCCCTCGGCACGGCCCTCCTTCCCCGTCCACGCCTACTGCGACCAGTGGACGCCAGCAGGCGCTCGAGGACTCGCTCGAGGAGTTCTCGCGGGGCACCCATCGCGCACCGACCTCTGGGCGGAAACTCTTCGATCCTGCGACGGACAGTGCCACGCGAGGCCGTGGACGCGGCGCTTCCAAGGGGACAGCGACCGCTCGACAGGCCCCGCCGGCGCAGCCAAGGCCAGCCCCCCCGACCACGTTCGCTCAAGGCCATGTGCGGACCTTTATACAGGACAAACCACAAATACCCAACAGCGTGCAGGAAAAGGAACCATTCACCACGCCCATGACCCCGTCGCAGCTTGCGGCCGAGGTGGCCAAGATTTTCAAGATGATCGCCGACGGTCAAGAAAGATGCACCAAATGGACCACGGCCAAAAAAGCGACACCCGATGCCAAGATCACCGCCGAGGAATGGTATTTACAGTGGCTTGAGCATCGGGCCCTGCTGAATAACCACTACGACTTGCTCATGGCATGCCAAGACCCAGCTGGGAAGGACACGCTCACATATATCCCCGTCGAGAGGGATATGCCAGCCAGGCTGTGGCAGTTTGGTATCTACCAATACCTCGAGCTGCTGCGGACACGCCTGCCCGACGCGTACGAACCTCTGGTATGCTTCCTGTACACGGCGTACGGTCTCTTGGGCCTGCTCCGAGAGACCAACCCGCTGTTCCAGGACACCTGGACAGAGTGCCTCGGTGATTTGGCTCGCTATCGCTATGCGATTGAGAATAAGGAGGAGGTCCGCGAGCATTGGGAGGGGGTATCAAGGATGTGGTATATGTATACCTCGGACAAGCTGCCGCACGTCGGCAGGCTCTACCATCACTTTGCCGTCCTCAACCGGGGCTTCGTGGTGCCGCAGCTCTGCTACTGGGCCAAGTCGCTATGCGTGCCCCTGCCCTTTGACGGCACGCGCGCGAGCATCCGCAAGCTGTACGACCCCTTGTTCGCGCAGGCCACGGCGGAATGGTTTCAGCGCGATATACAGTCAGTGACCGCGGGCGGCGCAGAGCAGCAGGCTACGAGCGAAGGGGGCGGCGACGCGGACGAGCGGGTTGCAACATCCTCCTCCTCCTCCACCTCCTCCTCGGCCAACGCGATCCATAAACATCGCATGGTTGATATGACGTTTGCGCTCGTCCTTGGCATTCTGTTTACGGGGGAGCACAAGGATCTACTCGACGAGGCCCAGGCGTATTACCTGCGCAGCCTCGACACCCACATTGCCATGATGTCCAAGCGTTGGTTAGAGAGTGGGCGAGTAGCTTTTTATTCTTCCTATGTGACCTATTGGCTGACCACTGGGACATAGGTACCAAACAGGCATCGCCATCACTTGCAATCTGCTTGGGTACTGGCATGAGAATGGCAACAAGTTCAGGTCGCTTATCATGCCCGACTATCTCAAGAAACCCACTGATCCGGCGGTGGAGGATAACGAGGCCACACGCGCCGAGTTCGACATATCCCTAAAATTCCTAACCCAAGTCTACGAGATCGCCATCCGACGCACGGGGGACACGAACACATTACCCTTTGCACACACGATCCTGGCCTTTTTACTGCACGTGTCCAAGTACCCAGACGCTATGGGGCGTGTAGCAGAACGTTTCCCGTGGGACCTCACCGCCGACATGCTCAACTACTGGCTCTTTACGGCCCGGACTAACAAAAGCAACCCGCAGTTTAGTGTAGATACATTCCCGGGCTCGAACAGCGAGCAGCCCACGCGACCGTTCCCAGAGGACCATGCCATGCGCGGGCTGTGGACCACGGACGACTATTTCCCGCTCAACTGGTTCCGGAACAGCAAGGTTGAGTTTGAGGAGCGCTACTTTGAGCGTCGGTCCCTCGTCGACCTGCGCGTGGAACGCATCCTGTGGATTGCGACGCAGCTGAGCAAGGCGGGCGATTGGTTGGTGTTTGATGCCTCTTTGGAGAAATTCGGCGCGGCAGGGCGGTTTGTCATGGATGTCAGTGGGTCGTCAGGGGCCTAGGCTAGGCTACGTAGGCCGTAGTTAATTAGAGTACTATGCATTTTGATTGTCGACATCACATCTGCATCTCCGCGCGAAGGGACTAGTCAGGGGCACTTTGGTCTCGACTTTGGATGCAAGGCGTCCGTCGCAGCTCGCTGCCTCGTACGACGGCATGGCATGCAGCCACACAAGGCTGTGGACGACGCGTCCCGCCAGTCCCTTGCATCCTCCTATGGCCGCCTTGTGTAACGGTTCTAACTACTTGTAGGCAGAATCAGTGAAGCCACGACGACCTCCTGGACGGCACCACCAGGAATGATGGAGGATGCATGATTGCTGTCCATGTGAGCCTGGAAGGGCTGTCTGGGTGGAGGGTGCTGGAGGTGCCATGCTACGTCGGCATAGTCTGTAATGGGCCTGTAGTAACATGTAGGTGAATGTTACACAGCGTCCGGGGGCGGCGCAGGTCATCGTCGTGGACGCATGCCAGCATCACATGATGGTGCGCGGCATGCGCCCACGGAAGGACGAGAGGCTGTGGCGCGTCGGCTGACGGGGCACGACGACCACGAGCACGCGATCTGCTGGTTCGCACTGGCAAGGATGCCCGGGCCGGAGGTTCGATGGAATGTGCAAATAACAAGTTGTGCACGTGTTTTCCGAACAAGTAATCTCCGATTGTGCAGGTTTGCAGTACTTCTTGTATAGCAATATGCAGGAACGCTGGTGTATCAGAGGGTGCTAGGTACCACCTACCTTACGCAAAGAGCCCTCGCTACGTACATGTCCAGGTTGTTCTGGTTTGCCCTCGTCTCGAGTCTCGGCCCTCCTCTGTCTTGCGATGGACAGCGAGCGGAATCATGCATACCTATCCAGACACGCCCCGTGCTTTCCCTGTTCCTGGCTGCTGTGTAGCATGAACAAGGCTCGATGGCCCCAGGCCACCATGGTCGATGAACATGGCCGTTTGGTGATTGATTATGCACGGTTACGAGGTACGCATGCGGTGCGAGCCGTGGCGCGGCCGCCTTGCAGACCGATTAGCCATTATTGACGGCCAACGGCCTACACGACCTATGGCGAGGCAGAGCTTGCGCGAGCCAAATGCGGCTCTTGTGCGACCGGTCCTTGGAACATGTGAGCAGGTCGTATCACATCGATTGCACCATTATCGACCAATGTCCTTCCTTCGGCATTTGACCGATGGTGGGCACAACTTGGCAGCTGCTGATGACATCAAAGGGACCAGTGGTCAATCAGCCCGCATGTGCACTTTGCGGCCATGGCGGCTGACCAGAAATCTGCGGATGTCTCCTAGAAAGGGTTGGGTTGCATGTCGCTACCGCGTCTGACGGCTGCACCTGGCGACAAGTGTACATGTATATGTGCTGCGCTATATTCAATGCTTTTGGTGGTAGCTGTCGTGCCAAAGTGCAGTTCCTCTCCGCTCGCTAAGGATTCAGGGCCAGGGGCATATCCCATGTCGTACAAGCGACGTGTCTGGGGCCATTATCATGGTTCCTGAACTTGGGCCGTGAACTTGGGCCCAGAGGGTTGGCGCATGTCAACATGGTGTCGCCAGGAAGTGACCATGACATGGAACCCCTTATCAGTCATATACATCAATACGGTACTGGACAGGGAGAGAGGTACATGGTCGTGATAGCCTCATATGACGTCCATCATAGCCAAAGACTATATATATTCTATGGAAAGACTCCTAGTCCGACGCAGCCATGCTGCCGTCTATGAGATCCTCCACCCGTGTACGACACCAAAGAGCGTCTCCTCGCTGCCCACGTTCCCCTGAAAGACGAAAGGCAACATACTGCAAACCAGGCCACTGTGCCACGGGCTCATCGCACCGCCACAGCGGCACACCGTGCGCGGGTGGCGGCGCATAGGGTAGGCCAGGGCTTGGGAGGGAGGCTGCCGAGGTTGGCCTCGACGGGCAGTATGGCCGTCGGTCATTGTATTGCTGTGTGAAGAGGGACAGACTCTTGAGTGGATGGATGGTGGTGTTCCTGCGGCCATGACTGCCTATTTCTGCGCGTACAAGTGAATGACAAGAATACTGATATATACGGGGATTCCTATGTAGCTGTAATATATCCAAGAATGACAGACAGACAGACAGATCTGTGACTCTACTGCCCCTCGACAAAGGCAATGTCCTGCTCGACCCATGCATTCAGCCTGCTCTCCAGCTCCGCATCGTCCTCGTCCGCGGAAGCAGCAGCGGCCCTGGTCTTGAACGCGCCGTCGCAAATGTCCGACGTCATGGGGCCAAAGTAGGTGAGGTGCGCGTCCACGTCGAGGCCAAAGGTACCGGCGTTGCACTTGATGTTGGCGTTGCCGGGGCACACGCGAATGTCGCTCACGGGGTAGTCGTCGGCCGTCGACTCGCCCCGCGACAGCCAGTACTCGGGCGACGTGTGGCGGTACCCAAAGATGATGGGCGGCAGACGCGGCACGGGGTCGTCCAGGTGCGTGATGCGGAACTCGGGCCCGGCCTGGTTGCTGATGTAGTCGCTCAGCACGCCGTTGCCCACGCGCGGCGAGCCGTACGTGTAAATGTCCACGGGGATGCCGTCGTTGCGCAGCTGCGCGGCCCCGAGCGTGGCCACGGCGCCGCCGAGCGAGTGACCCGTCGCCACGACGCGGTAGCCTGGGTGGGCCTTGATGGCATCGCGGATGGTCGCGGTGACGCCCGAGCGCATCTCGCTCCACGCGCGGTTGAAGCCGTCGTGCACGCGGCCGCGAGACACAATGGGCGAGTCCTCAAAGTTAAAGTCGAGGTTGGAGAGCCAGTTGCGGACGTTGGAGGACCCGCGCACGGACAAGACGATCTCGGTGCGCGCCGTGTCCAGGGCCACGTAGCTCGCGATGCCCGTCCACAGGCCGTCAAAGCTGCCCAGGATGGTCGCGCCGTTGGCCTCCACCTCGGGACAGTTGCCGCCGCACGACACGGTGGCCCCGGTTGAGGCGCCCGCGTTGCAGTACGCGGCCGAGGCGTGCTCTGCGTAGAAGGCAAAGTTGTCCACGTCGGACTCGCTGACGGATTCTGCGGCGTGTCAGGGCTTGCCAGGTCTTGTCAGAGGGGGCAAAATACAACTCACGTCTGGCAACGTTCCTCAGCGAAGTGGCATAGTCCTGCGCAGAGCGCATGGGGCTGGCCACCGCGAGGGCGGCGAGGGAGAGGATGGAGAGCGCCAACATGGTAATTAGCAGGGCCGCCGAGTGTGTGCGTGCGTGCGGATGGATGTCGAGTCTGTCTGCCTGCCAGTCTGTCGGTCCTCCTTGAGGGCGAGACAGCGCTCTCTATATACTCGAGCCCATGCCATCCCTCGCGAACTCATGCTAACCGCGCTGGGAAGCCTCCTCCGAGACAGTCGCCCGGAACTGAAGACGACGATCTCGAGCCAGGCGCTTCAGGCAGGCAGGGAGGCCACGACACGCCCGCCAAGAGGCCCCAGCGCCGCCCTGTCCGGGGCAATTACATGACATGGCGCCCCTGCCGGCGAGAGGAATGACCAGTAGCAGCTGGCAGGAGAGGTTTCCTCTCCGCGGGGTCGCGCGGGGTGGCTTTTCTCGAGAGACAAGTCGATAGAGACCTTCCCTTCGTGGCATGGAGCGTGCCGCCGGGACGTCGTCTGCCCGCCTACCAAGACTAGTTCCGCCCACGTGAACCCGAGGGTTCGAAGTTCGAGGAGGTGCAGCGCCGATCCAAGGCTGTGGGGAAGCAGACAGGCCAGTGATTCGAGAAGACTGGTATGGGTCTTGGGTTGGGGGATGTTGAGTGAGCCTGAGGGTGTGGGTGGGTCGACGCTGGCCCAGGCCAGTATCGTCGTCATGCTCGCTTCTTCCCTACGCGGCCTCATTGTAGGGCTTCAGCGCGCCGTGCCTGTCGCGTTCGAGAAGCTGCGCGTTGCAGGATGACGAAGAAGTCTGTCTTGGATAGCCGCGCGATGGATGCGCGTACGTGTGTGACGGTGTGATGGACTCGAGGAGTAGCCGCCCCTCTTCTCGAGGGTAAGGGGATGGGATGGGACGGGGAAATGGAAAGGTCCACCGTCTATCCATCAGGGTCGCCTAACTAGCTAGGTACCTTAGGTGGTTCAATTTGATGGCCCATTCTCCTCCAATTGACGCATTATTAATCTCAATGCCATGGACTGCCGCTCGGCAGGCGCCCAATCGGGTTCCAATGCCGAGCGACTGCAGTCTGCAGGTCATCACGTTGACCAACTTGACGCAGAGGCACCACCAAATAATAGACTGGAAGCAAGAACCTATGTAAGAAGAAGTAAGGTACCTGCAAGGTAGTTGTAATTTGCCCAGCGCTGTGAAGCCTGTGATTGGCACGCGTGGTGCCGTCTTCTCGAGTCGCAGTCGCTGCGACAACGTCTGTCGCCCTCCTCCTCTAAGCTCTAGGTCCCTCCAACAAGAATAGGTGGGTAGCAAGTAGCCCAACGTGATACCGCGTCCGCTCGGAAAGGGATCGTTCTCAGCTGGCGCCAATCTCCTGCCCTCACTTCCTCTGTCTTTCTATTCCGTACTTCACTGCTTCTCCTCTCCTGCCAAGCCGCGTCGACCCCAATCGCCCAGCATAGTCCGCTGACTAGCGGAAAGTGGCGGCACACGATGTGCTACTCCCACCTCCAGTCCGTGGCCAGGCTGGCCGTTCGTCTCAAAGGTCGCTGCATCTTGTCCCCAAGAGCACACGCGTCTAACCTCGGCGACGACATGTGAGATGGCTGTATGTGGCCTGTTGTCAGAACACGTGTAGACTGTGATGACATGGATCAATAATCACTGATGCCTATTTGCAACCAGTGCCAGACGATCTGTCACTCGCCTCAGAACGATCATATTATTGGATACTCGTCTCAAAACAAACGCTTCTGTAGACCTTTTGAACTCCAAGAAAGCTATCGCTCCTTCCATCTCTCAACACCAAACGGAGCATTGAGCTGCTAATGTGTCTGCGCGTATTCTGCCTCACATCTGTTCAGCCGCTCCAGCTCGGACCCTTCTTGTCTCTCGCTTCATCGAGGCCTCTCCCAAGTCTGATCCTTCTGCCCTCGGCGTTTGTCTTGCCTAACTGCCGCTGCCTATATCGCCAGGCATCTCGATTCGGGGACGCCCGTGGAATCGACGAGATCTGCATAACCGCACGGTAGACAGACTTGACTTCATCCCTCATGTGGCTGCTGGAAAGCTTCGTCAAGTGTGGATAAAGCCTCTCCAACGGGACAGGTGCTACAAGAGCGACGCCAGCTGGCCACATTGGTGCCCAAGCGTCCTCGTGAATCATCATCGTGGATTGTCGTCGTGGTCCATACGACTTCTCGTCGTGAATCATCATCGTGAATTGTCGTCGTGGTTCATACGACTTCTCGCCGTCAGAAGCAATGTGCAACTCGCTTAGCTGTCGTTGGTACCACACTTCCGTGACTGTAAAATCCTTTTGCTGCTGCTCCCGCCGCGGCTCACACGATCAGAAAGTTCATCTTGGGGTCCTTGAGGATCTGGATCCAGCACTTCTCAGCCGTCCCCGAGCTGTCCAGGCTCCAGATCATCTGCAGGGCCTCCATCGCCGTGTACAAGAACCCCCACGGGATCAGTCGCACAAACGTCTGCAGTCGGTCCATGATCATGATCCGGCTCTCCGTGTCCTTGGCGCCCGCGCCCGCGATAAACGACGGCCAGCTCGTGGCCTTGTAGTTGGGATCCTTTGGCGGGATCGTGACCAGCAGGTCCAGCAGCTCCCGGTTGAGCTCAGCGGCCAGCCCCGGCCCGACAATGTCGTGCACCGACTCAATGGCCTGGATGATGTACAGGCACGCCGCCAGCCGGTGCGACGTGCCCACCTTGATGCGGCTCTCCAGTGGTATGTCCTTGAGGTAGGGGATGGCGAGTGCGTCAATCGCCCACGCGGCAATGTCGAGCGTCTGCGCCTGGCGCAGCAGGTCCATGCCCGCCGCGCCCACCTGCCGCGCGCCGTCGTCGTCCTCGACAATTACGTTGGACAGCTGGGCCGCCGCGTACAGGATCTCGAGGACCTGCGGCGGGCAGCACAGGTAGCTGTTGGCCGTGGCCCGGCCGAGCATGACGGGGATCTGGGACGACTCAAAGTACGTCTGGACCGTCGAGGTGGGCGGCGTAAAGGCCGACGCCATGACAAAGTAGCTGAAGCAATCGGACGACATGTAGTCCCGCAGCTCGTTCGTGGGGCCGCCCTGCGTCGGGCCCAGGAGGCTCATGATGCGCCCGGCCCCCTCGAGATGGGCCTTCCAGCCGTGCTTCCCGGACTCGATCAGCTCCAGGTTGATGAAGAAGAGGGACGCCGCCAGGACGACGTCGGCGCCGACCGTCTCCACGTTCTCCACGGCTCGGTACATGAGCCGGAGCGCCTTGTGCTTCGCGACGAGGGCGTCGCGCAGCGCCAGCCGCGAGGCCTCGTTTGTCGTCGGGGTGATGCTGCCACTGCCGGGCAGCAGCGTCAGGGCCGGCAGCGACGGACGGATCAGGTTGGACATGTGCGCCGCCGCCGCGGCGACGAGGATGTGCTGCAGTATGGGGTTGTCGCGCGTCAGGGGTACAAGACTGCGGAATGGGTTGCGGTCCGCCACGTCAAAGGACACCAAGTCTTTGCACACCTGGTTCGTGACTGTGCTCGAGTCAGGTCTGTCCGTACGTACATCTATGACTAGGGGAGAAGGGGGAAGACGGTGCTTACAGTGTGAGAGGTAGTGTCTGTAGGATTGGGACAGGTCCTGCACGAGTGGATCGGCCAGTATATACGGGCTTGGGGGCGCTTCATCTGCGATGCGGCCGTGGGGGACGAGTTGCCAGTCGTCGACCTCGGCCTCGCGAGCAGACGGCGACGGCGCTGGGCTGGGTCTTTGCGATGACGACAATGATGATGATGGTGATGAATTGTTGGTCTCTGTGCTGGCAGGTTGCTGCTGCCTCACGGCATCCGCGCTCGACGTCTTGCCGGCCAGCTTGCCTCGCGAGGCCACGGCCCCCGTCCACCGGAAAAGCTGGCCATAGCCGAGACACTCCTTGCCAGCGCGCAGGCACTTGTTGCAGTGCGGGTACGAGCGATCACACCGCAGGCGCTGGCGGCGACAGTTGTGACATTTCTGGTGGAGTGCTTCAGTCGTCCGTGTCGCAGCCTGCACCATTGTCCTGTTCCAGGGACTGACTGACGGTCTGGCACGTGATGAGGCACGCTCTTGGCTCGGCGCAGGTCCAGTTGTTTGATAAGACTTTGTGCGTATCGTCATGTCCGTCTGTAGGTCTCGCTGACAAGGGGCATGAGGTGACCCAGTGGGCGTACGCAAGCCTGGGTTTTTTCTTTTTTGGCGTGAGGGGCGTTGGAGCATGCAAAATGACGTTTACGGCCGAATTCTTCGCAAATCCGATGGTGTCGGGTGGGATTTGGGCGAGAGAGTCGCTCTAGGGTAGGTAGATAGTGAGCTAGTCAGCCGGCTGAGACACGCTGCGCTCTGGCCTACCCTGTGGAACGTCCCAGAGGAGTCGCGAAACTCGCATACCCCTCTATTACGGAGTAAGCTCATCAAGTTCATGCTCCAACGGCTCTCAGATCACTACGTAGACTCCTCGATATCTCGTGAATGAGCTATACATCCACTATAGTACCTACGGCTCTCTATTGGGGCGCGTGGGGACTGTCTCCACAGTCAACTACTCAATTATTCCCACCACGTCGTGCGTTACCAAGAGGAGCATACAACTGTCAAAAAAGATCAATCATGAAATAATCAGCTGAGATTCATAGATTGTCACAGCACGAGAAATTTCAGTACTCCCTGTTTTGAGACCCAAATAACCACACTCATTTCACTAGGCTGTACGGAACTATATCTGATAGTATTCCGTATACGGACAGTGGAAGTATCAGATGACTATCGGCACAGCCCCCAATAAAACAGCCAAGGATCGACGTCAAGTAGTATCAGCTTCGTCGATCACTAGGGGCGGGGATCAAAGACGGACGTTTGGGCTATCAGAGATTCAGAAATGGTTTCAGGAGAACTTCCTATGAAAATGCACATAAGTGAACGGCTAGCCGATGGCCGTAAAGAATAACTTGCACGAAATACCCACCCAAAGTCAAGCAGCCTGCATGAAGGCTCAGCGCACCTCTCCCGTCCCAGATGCACAGGGCATCGAGCCTTGCCGAGCAT